TCCACGTTTCTTGACACTAACCGTTGGGTGCGCGATACCCGGTGTCCTTTCCGTTACGTCTCCTCCATTGCGGATTTCTATTGAGCTTCTTACTCCAACTTGTCCGGTGTCCGATATTGAGGTTAGTTTTCGCGGTCTACCACGTTTTCGAATATTGACCGTTGTTGTCACTTCCGTTGTCGTTGTACGTTCGTCCTCATCAGTCCGTATTTTCACTTTGCGTACAGAAAGAAAATGTGTTGTCGCTACAATTGTTTGGTGTTACTCCTCGTCGAGGTGGTAACAATGTAACTTAATTTGCTCACTATGTTGTTGTCACTATTATTATTTTCCTTCGAGTTTCGTGTCGTGCTAAACTTGATAATTTTCCACCTTGTCACGAGTGTTGTTATCTAATTATCTTTACGCTATATAAGTTTTAGTCTTTCCAGCTTGAGCCATTCCCTGTATAATCCTTGATGAGAAGGGACCGAAAACGTTCGGATACTTATGACAAGTGCCTTATTATGACTGGATGTGTGTTTGCGTGGATATTTGCGACCCATAACTTACCTTCGTTTTAAAATAATAATAATAATAATAATAATAATAATAATAATAATAATAATAATAATAATAATAATAATAATAATAATAATAATACTTGAAGTAATTCAAAGGATCAGTTGGGGAAGTGAACTGCCTGAAAAGAGAAAAAAACGCCAGACCCACCAGGACTCGAACCCGAGACCTTGCTTGTCATGAGCAATGCTCTAACCACTGAGCTATGGGACCGGGCTGAACCCAGAAGGTGCCGACAAGTTTTTCACTCCAAAGGCAGCTCACAACTCGTGCCACACATACTAATGGCACTTGGGTCTTTCTCCCTCCCCCAGGGGACCAACCACGGTCAGTTTCTGGACCCTACCAGAAGTGAAAGAAAGTGATTAAATTTTGAAAGGATTGGGAGAACATCAAATTCAAAGGATCAGTTGGGGAAGTGAACTGCCTGAAAAGAGAAAAACCGCCAGACCCACCAGGACTCGAACCTGGGACCTTGCTTGTCATGAGCAATGCTCTAACCACTGAGCTATGGGACCGGGCTGAACCCAGAAGGCGCCGACAAGTTTCTGGTAGGGTCCAGAAACTGACCGTGGTTGGTCCCCTGGGGGAGGGAGAAAGACCCAAGTGCCATCAGTATGTGTGGCACGAGTTGTGAGCTGCCTTTGGAGTGAAAAACTTGTCGGCGCCTTCTGGGTAGAGCCCGGTCCCATAGCTCAGTGGTTAGAGCATTGCTCATGACAAGCAAGGTCCCGGGTTCGAGTTCTGGTGGGTCTGGCGTTTTTTTCTCTTTTCAGGTAGTTCACTTCCCCAACTGATCCTTTGAATTTGATGTTCTCCCAATCCTTTCAAAACTAGAAGCAATAATAATAATAATAATAATAGCGCCAAAGTTACCTGCCCTCGTGCAAAGCTCGCTGTGTTTATCGCAGTTAGAGTGCTCTGACTTTGATGCGTTGCGTCGTTTAAAAAAAAAGCTTAGTTAGTACTAAGTAATAGTAGTTCATTAGACTGTGTTTCAATCAGTTCGGCCGGCATATCTCTGAGCCCCGCTGATCAGACCTAACAACGGTCGAAACAGCTAGCTGTCTGGAGATTGAGTGAACGATTTCTACGACTCCCTTTCATAGGTATAGGCAGCACTGTTACATTTACGCTACTGTGTTGCCACACCTGCCGACATGTCAGTAGCCTGCCGATTTTTGAGGCATGTCACGACCTGCCGACAATTGACCTTCTCCTGCCGACAACAGCCATGAAAGTGTTCAAGGTTGACCTTATGCATGGTTTAGGAGTCCTGATCCAGATTGTTGACTTTTACTGCGCATCACGAGTGTTTCCGTAGCTCTCTCCTGAAGCGCTAAGCGAAATCATCATCCGTCTCGGGAAAAAATCGGCAAACTCAGCCTGATTGTCACGCAAAACCGTGAAATGTTTTTTTCTTATCAGTGCCGCATGTGTGTGTATCGAGGTCGCTATATAGGGGGGGGGGGGGGGGGGGGGGGTCCGGGGACAAAGCCCCCGGATGATGCATTTTATTTTTTCATGCTACTGATATTTGGCTAGAATGATGTGGCAACACTGACGCTAAGCCGTAGCCATGCTGTGACTGAGGATAGCTCTGTTGTCATAGTTCCTGATATACTTGATGCTGGAACATGCACATAAATCATTCATTTTAGTACCCCCTGCTTGACAAACTGGATGCTGTCTATGACTATGAGTATGAGGGTGCTGTGTCTGCCAGGCTCAGCATGCACTTACTTGAACAGTTGAAGTATGTTATTACTACATTTAATTGTAGTATGCTAACCAGAACCAGTACTTCTATAAAAAATAGTCAGCATGAATAATACTACAGTCAAACCTCGTTAGGACGAACACTGATAAGGCGAACTTTCCATTAGTACGAACTAAGGCCAATCCTATGGTTGGCCAGGCATCAATTCTAGGCAAAATTATTCGTTTAAGACGAACTTCTGTACAGCGAACTTTCGCGAAGACGAACTATTTTCAAGTGTGATTTGAACAAAGTCAGTGTGGTCATGTACATGTAGTACGAACTTTCGGTCCACGAGCGTGCGCGTGCGCTGGCTGCCTTTTTTCTTCTTTTTTTCAATAGTCGAGGTCATTACTTTACGTACAGTGCAAATTGTTTTCAAGCGTGTTTTGAACAAAATAATCAGTGCGTTGTACGAACTAACTTTCGACACAGTCGTGATTCATTGCACTTTGTCATTGTACTTACATGTACCTGTTTCTGGCTTATGCCAAGAATAACATGCTTCCCATGTACCACAGCATGCACCTTCACGTAAATACAATCCATCTGATATGCATATCGATTTTTTGTCAGATCTGGATAAGAAGAACTCCTGATAAGACAAACAAATTTGTTCAGTCCCTTGAAGTTCGTCCTAACGAGGTTTGACTGTAGTAACATGCCACTGCATCGCAAAACCATCAACCGACAGCCTTGGCCCTTGGTACCAAGTTGTATGTAACGACGTGTAGATCTACGCGAATGAAGCGGGATTCACAGAAGCTTTTTTGCGATGCGACGCGATCTGCGACAGCCGCGTGCGATGCGAACTTGCGAAATACCATTCACAGAAGAAGCCAGTGATGCGACAACATCTTGCTGATTTGGCTACGTCACCATGATATTCGCGCGGTTTGATACAACTTGTACAAATTTATAGGCAACTCTTGAACCTTTGTACAACTTTGCTGTAGAAAAGGTCAAAATCGTACGCCAAATCGCTTGTCGCATCGCATCGCAAAAGTTGAGCCAAGCTCCACTTCTGAGATGGCCTGCGATGACCCAGTTGCGGCAGTTGCGTGGGGTGCGACATGGCTGCGATTTGGGGTTTTCCCGGTTTCGCGACTGTCGCATCGCAAAAAAGCTTCTGTGAATCCCGCTTGACTGTTGGGACATTCTTCCAAAACATGACGTCACAGAATTCGTAAAAAAAGACAACTTTTGGCTAGCCTGTCGCAAGCGCGAGACTCATCATGGGTGCGGCGCGCTCGAGCTGCAGCAAATGCGAAGCGCGACAACAGTCATTCGCGTAGATCTACATGTAAATTAAAGGGGAAGTTAAGGCAAAAATTAAAATTTCACCAGTTGTAGGTTTCGGGGTGCTGAGTCGAATGGTCGTGGTCCGAGGAAGCTGAGACGCTCCCTTCCTACTTGAATCCCAATCGAACTCGCGCACTTCCACCGAAACTGGGTGACTGCGCCCTACTAGATGGGGATTTGTATGCAAAATGTCACTAAAAGCGCCATTTCGTTCTTATAAAAGCACGGATGACCGCGATTGGCCCATATGTTGTAGTCTTTTGGACGCTGAGTCGACTGGTTTTGGTCCGAAAAGGCTGCGATGCAGCGTTCCTCCTTTATTCCCAATCGAACATGGTTGAACAAGCGGTCACGTGCTCCTGGGTGCCCAAATCACCTGGTCACCACGCCAGCAGGCGACAACTTTCACACCAAGGTTCAACTCCAGTTCAACTCGAGTGACAGGACTGCACCCAAAAAAGGTCAAACAGGCTAGTAAGTTGTACCCTGCAGGCACGGTGACCAGGTGACTGGTGTACGCAGCAGCACGTGACCATTTGTTCGACCATGTTCGATTGGGAATAAAGGAGGAACGCTGCATCGCAGCCTTTTCGGACCAAAACCAGTCGACTCAGCGTCCAAAAGAGTACAACATATGGGCCAATCGCGGTCATCCATGCTTGTATAAGGACGAAATGGCGCTTTTAGTGACATTTTGCATACAAATCCCCATCTAGTAGGGCGCAGTCACCCAGTTTCGGTGGAAGTGCACGAGTTCGATTGGGATTCGAGTAGGAAGGGAGCGTCTCAGCTTTCTCGGCCCAAGACCATTCGACTCAGCACCCCGAAGACTACAACTGGTGAAATTTTAATTTTTGCCTTAACTTCCCCTTTAACAGTAATGGTGTATCTACTACAGTCGACACCAACACGGAGACTGTTCCCCTTCATCAAGTAAGTATTAGTTACAGACAAGTACAATAGTTAGTTGGCCTGGGACGGTCACCCAGTCACCAGTGTGATCGACGGGTTGTACTGTTTGTCTGCAGTGGTTTCATAAGGGGACGGGCTTTTCGGACTAGCTGGATGTTCAACAGCACATTATCATTATAATTATGGGAGGGATGAACACGTCTTCGCATTTACTGCTCACAAGTGATGCTGCCAAGTCGAGTAAGTGCTTGGAGTAAGTACTAACTACTTACGTGCTGGAAGTTTGGCCCTGAGTACTTCAATCGTACTCTGCACCGCATCTTGCAGCGTACACACTCTGCAGTCACCTGGTCACCCTCTTTATCATAAAAACACTGCTTTAGTCCATCCTTTCAGTCTTTACTGCAATACATCATGATCAATGGCGCGCGATAGCACCGCACTCTCTGATCGGCTCACTTCGCGATCGCACTTGCAGTTTGGAGTGTTGCGAAACCAGAAAATATGGCACTGCAGCTAGCAGTCGATTCTCGTTGCACTCGTACATAATCATCGATCCGGCCGCCAGCACCTTTTAGTTTTTAGTGCTAAGTCTACCGTCTAGCTCGGCTTCCCCACAACAGGCAGTGCTAGCAGTGGGCAATGATAACACTGTATCAGTAGACTCTACCCCGTCCCCCACTGTTTCCAACTCCAAGATCAAGCTTGCACCTACGTAGTCGTTACCTGCATTGTAGTCCGGGTGCTTCGTCTGGGCTGTAGTGTAGTAGATCTACGTACCGCTACTGACTGTTTAGTTGTTGTGATCTCTTGTACTTGTACTAGTTGTAGTGCCAGTTTTCCTTGGCTGACTCACTGATTCAATGCTGAGTGATCTAGTGAGGGGGCATTGAACGACTTACAGTTACTTGAGTTACACCGCTCGGCTGCATCTCGCTTCTCCACCCTGTGATGTGATCGGCCGGGTGAGCAGCACATATGCAGGCGACTGTTTAGACCCTGCAGCCTGTGTTTCTGCCTCTGTGCGTGGAGCTGCTGAGCTGTGACAGAGCGGGAGAGCGGAACCCGCGTGGCAGAATGATTCCCTGACAGTGACAGAGGATTGAATCATCCTACGTACCCAAACTGCAGCTAGGAGTAAAACTGTTGGTGAACTTCATCCTTGTCGAAGAAGAGTGTGGATGGTGATTGGTGTCTTCTAAGCCGGTCGTACCCCATCCGGGCTTAGCTTAGGAGAAACGTTGAGTTAGTTTCGACATAGCTTCCGCCTCCGATTTGCGTTGCTTGTTGACAGTCTCGGTTGTGGACTGGACAAGTGCCGCTCGCAGTAGAAGAAATGGCTTGTTCGGCAAGTGACACAGGTAGAGGCCGCAGCCGGTGGCGGCAGTGGCATGTCGCTCATACGCTGGCCACATTCTGTTTCCTACTGAAGCAGATACATGTACATGTGTGCCTGGCGGACGACGCCGACCCTGGAGGCAATCGAGTATCGGCGGCCGGAGATGCCTTGCCCTTGCAGCCACACTTCCGACAGACGCTAACACGGTCGGAGGTGGACGTGTGCACTCGTGCACTACCCGTACCGTTCTGCAGCCTCCGCACCCGCACTAATTCCTCGGGTGCAGCGACGGGTGAGTAGGGCGAGCTTGCTGTGCGTTACCTAGGCTAGCGGCTAGGAGTGTTGATTTTTGATGGCTAGGTGCTAGACTAGTCGACTTGCGACTATCACTATCACTGTATTCGGATCTTGTGTCCTCTTCGACCAAGGTACATTGTAACCTGAAGAGATTATCAGTCTCTCATTCTGTTGTTGGGTGTGTTCACTACGTTGGATGCATGTAAAATTGTCTGTATTTCCACTGGAAAGAAATGTCACTGTGCGTGGCAGTACAGTGTGCAGTACAGTAAAAATGCCCAGATCCAGACGCCCATAATCCGGGCACGTCCACCTAGTACCAGGCACCTTTCTAACTCATCTCGCAGATGCCTGTGTATACGTGTGGACATGTGTCTATAGGTGTGTGTATATGCGTGTGTGCGAGTTAGGGTGTTGTGGGTGGGTGGGTGGGTGTCCTGTGTGTGCTTGTATGTGTGTGTGGGTGTTACTATGTGTGTGCGTGTTAGTATGTGTGTGTGTGTGTGTGTGTGTGTGTGTGTGTGTGTGTGTGTGTGTGTGTGTGTGTGTGTGTGTGTGTGTGTGTGTGTGTGTGTGTGTGTGTGTGTGTGTGTGTGTGTGTGTGTGTGTGTGTGTGTGTGTGTGTGTGTGTGTGTGTGTGTGTGTGTGTGTGTGTGTGTGTGTGTGTGTGTGTGTGTGTGGTGTGTGAGCGACATTAAGCGCGTACTTGTTAGTGCTAGACCTGCGCCTACTGCATCTGCCTCTGAAATAGCCCGTCCCTGTATACATTCACGCGTTACTCCTCTCGCTATCGTATTATCACACCTCTCTCCACTTAGATATACCAGCGCTGCCTCCTATTCCATTATCGTTGTCTGATGATTGGTTCAGCCATGAAACTCGGAGTCACAACGGAATAAATTTGCCAAGGTTTTCATTGTGTGCCTTTGTGTAACTCATCTCGAGTCGCTAAAATTGGCTTTTCCTGAAAAACTGCCCCAAAATCTATTGATTGGCATAAAAATATGTTTACTTGCATGCAGTATCGATATTAATAATTATTATTATTAGGAGCTTCTACGCGTTGGCATCAATGCAATGTAGATATACACAGCACAGAGGGTGTGCGCCTTAACCTGCAATAGTGCTCAAATGCCCGGAATGGGCAGAGCGTAGTACGCAAGAGGTACACAAAAGGAAGTATATAGGGCTGTTTTTTGTTGTAACTCAGAGTTTCATGGCAAAAACCAATCATCAGACAACATAAGGAGATTAGAAAAACGCAGGTATATGAAGGCAAGCAGCATGTATAGCTTTCGCATACTGTAGTGTCGCGTATAAAAGCATGACCTGTATAGAAGCATGACTCGAATAGAAGCTGATTTTCCAAAGCATGCCATGACACAGAAGCACAATTTGAATAGCACATCTACTTGTAGTCTTGCACACTACACGTGTGACAATGTGCACTGTACAGTGTAGACTGAAGATGCTGACGTAGAAGCATGTTTTGAATAGAAGCATAAATTTGATAGAAGCACTGTTTGAACCCTGGCTTATACGGCCGTACACACCTGCTTTTATACGCGACATTGCAGTAAGCGATATAAGAGAGAGAGAGAGAGAGAGAGAGAGAGAGAGAGAGAGAGAGAGAGAGAGCGAGAGAGAGAGAGAGAGAGAGAGAGAGAGAGAGAGAGAGAGAGAGAGAGAGAGAGAGAGATCGGAAGCTGCGTTGCAACCTGCCTGGATTAGTGAAATTTTACTATACCTCATTACAGGTAGAGATTGGCTATAGGGTTGGCGCGGGTTATAGTAATAATTATACCGCTTACAATGTTATCACCTTCAACATTCAAAAGTAAAAGTATCTTTTCCACTCAAACGAAACCGGTTATACGAGTAATCGGCTATAGCAATACAGTACACTCAAACGTCTCTTATCCGGACGCCTCAGGTATGGGCACATCTCTCTACCCGGCACCTTCAGCTTGAGTTGCTGTGGCAAAAGTACTTCGATTTTGGGAGTTTGAACTTTTTTTGTATGCGCAAGTGCGTATTCGTCACTGCCAGCCTGTGTAGTCCACGCATTTTCATCATCGGATTCTTTTTTTTATCCTGAAAGTGTGCAATACGTGCCAAATAAACTTCATCAAAAACTGGTATAATACATGGTCGATGATCTGTGCTGAGATACGGGCAATGCCCGGTTCCGGGCCAAGGTGCCCGGATAAGAGGCGTTCGAGTGTATATCGCCTATTGTGGTCCAAATTCTCACTTCAAAACCACTCAATTGCATACATTTATTATGGATCGTTTATAGTAATTCATTGTACCCGCAGGAAGCCTCGGGAAAATAAGATTGTATAAATGCTGTGTACTACCAGCACTTTGGTCATAGAGGAGATGCAGGTTGTTATTTTGTACTTTACAAGTCTCGGTATAGTATTTACATGTATGGTGCACGTCTGTGTATGTCACCATGACTAAGTCGTAAAGTTATCACTTACATACTTTGAAGTACTACCTTGTCCAATCCGATGTAGTGATAATTGTCTATAGTGATCATATCACACTTGTTCAAACACCAATGCTATAACAGATCTCTACCTGTACATAGTGTGTGTGGGGGGGGGGGGGGGGACTGATCATGATGGTGTAACTGTAAGATTTCTTAGTTTGTGTCAGGTACTGAGGTCACGTGTGCTGTGTTTTTGTACTTTGCACTTTCGAAAATTGTGGGGCGCGTGCATTCAAACTGCAGTACGGCAGAAGCCTCGATGGAACTCTCACATAGGCTCATGTGGCCGTGTTGTTGTTGAAATGCTATATGGTACAATGTGTGTTGTGCTTGCCTCCATCCTGCATGCAGAGTTACCCCAACTGGCGTACACTTGCAAAGGATCATCTGACACTATAAGCTGGAACAACACCAGTCCGAAGACTACAATTGTACTACTGCACCTCTTTTTCCCATACGAAAAGGAATGCCAAAGATCGTTTCGACTCAATACAACTTCCACGCAGGTGCTACTGCCATTGGATGTATTAATCAGGTTTCTTCCTTACAACTGCCGGGCACTGAGTCATTTTTACCCGCTTATCGCACTTCAACAATGTAACAGCAAGGAAGCTTGTGGTCCCATGGGCGAAAAGTTGGATTTTTATAATTGCCTAGGCGGTAAGTACTTTGAGTATGTTGTTACCCAGATATTTAGGAGTGCCATCCACACCCGCCTTACTATACATATATTGCATCCACCGATAATAAGTCAAATCCAATTATAAATGGCACCCCCCCCCCCTTTCAGGTCTGCGTCGTCGTATGGTTTCAGTGCGCTTGCTTAAGTAATACGTCACACGTCATCGTCAGTCGCAACCCCTTGTTTGACCTTGTAGAAAAGCTGTGACTTATATGTTTTCTTAAGTTTGAGGGAAAGGTGCAAACGGGAACAGCTATACTAATATTTACTAGTATTTACTAGTATTTACTAATATTTACTAGTATTTACTAGTATTTGGGGAAATACTATACTCCCCCCCCCCCCCCCCCCCCCCCCCCCCGTTCCTCTGGAAAGCATACGCTGCATAGTGTGTTCAAAGAGAAGAGTCTTCCAGTTTGACGAGAGAACGCCCAATGCTGATCGGAGCATAGCTATGTGGCACACGGATTACGGAGTGCAACGCTTCTGCTTCACGGCAACTACAGTGTGTTACTGAGTTTCATGCTATCAGCTATCCAGCTATCAGGCTATCAGGCTATCAGCTATCAGCTATCAGGCTATGGCAATCATCCAACCAACTGATAATGTTCAGAACATTAGACAAAAGAGACGGGACTATTGCACCATGGGACAGAACTGATCACGAGTGAATTGGCGTTTTTGACCATGCTGGTCTTCTTCAGAACGAATGTTTAGCACAGTCTGGATGTATTCAGCAGGGAGCGTATGCGTTAACGCTCAACAAAGTACGATCTCTACCCCACATCGAGATCAAGCAGAGAAAACCATGTGCATGTTGATGCGTTCCAAATTCAGTGCCTTGTAAATAGATCGTCACCTTTCACTAGGGCAGTTGGGTGCAAGGGCTGGAGGTGCGAGGGCACTGGCATTTGTACAGCATAAATGCATGACAAGCCAGCACAATAACCATGCTGTCGTGTTGGCACGGTAAGATGGCGGTGCAGGGTGGGCACATTCCATGTTACATGGCCAGCAGAAACTTCACATATGCATTTTGACACAATTCCTGTGGGTTTCTTGACTTGAGAGAGATGCTACGGTCTGATGTGACGATATAAAAGAGCTCGGAAGCCAGGACAACATGTCTGTGTTTTTTGTTTGTTTTTTTTTCTACAAAATCCACATATCTCCAGACACTGGGGTGAATGATGTGTATTAGCACCAGGGCCATAATGTCTGTGGTGCTGCTTTTTTTCCTATTAAATACAGGTGATGTCGTGAGGTAGGTACTAGTATGTGAGCTGAGTGAGGCTTGCTTGTTGTTTTGTTAATACTCAGATGTTTTCGCGAAAATGTGTGCGTTGAATAGCTAGAGCGTCTGCTTCTAATAATCAGTCAGGCTGTTGTGGGGTAACTTGCTCAGTCTACACACCACTCAATCGAAGGTGGCCTGTGACCAAACTCTGACTAGGTTGTGCCCACTAATAATGTGTGGTTTCGGTTGAAATTCACAAGGACCCCTTTGCAGTGTTGGTGAGAAATTGGCCTTGCATTTACTGAGAATATTCTGAAGTTTTGAAAGGAACATCAGTCACAGGTCCCAGCGCTCAACTCGTATGGAAGATCTAAAAATACTTGTCAATTCTCAATTAAGGCAATTGCTCTAAGTGGCCAGATGGCCACTTTGCTACATTCTTTCAGATTTCCAGGGTGTCCCGGCTGGAATGGTCTAGAGACTGTTGTAGACAGTTGTAATAGAATTATTATGATAATTACACCATCACTGGTACTATGCCGGCCAGCAAAGGACACTGGTAGCAAGTTAGCCTACGGTTCCTAGTACATGTAGTTCATGCACACTGTTATTATGCCTGTGCCTGGTTACTGTTGGATGGTCAAGAGCTGACAGACAGTCGTCGGGAGTACTGGCATCTTGAATCAGGAAAGTGAACCAGGGTTGGTTGTTACTCCGACCCAAACTGCTGTCATCATACATGCCGTGCAGTGAAATACCCATCAGTGATTAGTAACAGCGTGTGTGTTCTTGTCAAAGACCAGTGTCGGACTGTGTCAGTTTGTACAGCGGGTGCCCTGACCAGCAAGTACATGTAGCAAGAACCCCGGTTTTAGTACTCCGTGGTACCAGCCCATCATGAGGAGATCATGTACTGCAGTGTATCACATGTATTGCCCAATACCTGTTCACAGACAGTATCATCATCTTTGCTACGGTGGTTGTTCATTGTCTGGGCGCAGGTGTTTTTAAACCAATCTTATTGCTCTGCTTTAAAACCCTCTAAGTGCCACTGGAGTAAGAAACTTCAAATTTTTGGAGTTCAGCAGAACTCAAATTTTTCATAGCTCAGCTATATCTCCACGGATCCTCACAATGATGGTTCTCTGGACAGATACCAAGGCCAGGCAGACAACTATGAAGAGAAAATGCAGCGAAAATTGTCTTCCTCGCGAGGTTGCCTGAGCGAAGTTCGTTTTCTGCATTTTCGTAGCATCCGCAATTTCCCACGCGTGTGAGCGATTGCGGTGCAGTCAACTTTCAACATAGGAAATTTGGACAAAGTTGACCTGAAAGCCACTGAAGATCTCGATGTTTTTTGATATCCAATACGCATGGGTTGCCGCAAAAAAAATGGAGAAACCCGCGATGCGTATACTTAATGTTTTCGACTCGCGACACTTGTTTGTCCGAGCGCTCGCACTTCGGGCTTCGCCTTGGCGGCATCTATCTTCACGGACCCAACATGATGTGATGAGTCGATAGCCAAGGTCTTCTTCCTGAAGACGTAGAGTGGTCATTTGTAACTCTCCTGTGTGTAGAAGTGGAGATCTAAATCATTTGTACACACATAATCATTCTGGGCTCCTTACGTCGCCCGTGGCGCTTAGAGGGTTAAACTTGAAGGCATAGAATTCCACACAACCCCATCATGCTAGATTATTTAACTAATCCAATCGTACCAGTATACGCACTGTTGGCATTGTTTGAACCCAAGCTCCATTGTCCCGTGATGCCCGGTGCGCTGCCCTGGCATTCTGCCGTGGCTCAGCCTTGTCATGTCAGCATGAGTTGCCAGAATTAACTACCACATTTTCCGGAGTATAAGCCGCACTTTAAACACCAGTAGTTCACCCAAGAAAGCCGGTGCTGAGACTCAGTATACTACCATGGTCACATAACACGGTGATAAACAGGGAGGACGTGTCTGTATTTCATGACAAAACAATCTGGGTGCGGCTTATACTCCAGGAAGTGCGGTGATTATCTGCTACATGTCCGGCAATGAGCGGATAATGAGTCTGAAGTGGAGAGCACTGGCTTCATTCTTATAGTTGAGAATTTGTTTGTCTTTCCTTTCTATTCTCAGATCCAATGGCTGTTCAAATCCATGGCAACATCAAGCAGAGATCCGTATCAATGCAAGTGAATACCTACAAAACAATCTGGCCATCGCAAACGCCAAAGCAAAACAGTTATCATGTTCTGCAGCGTGATGTCACACGCAACATCACCAGCATGTGTAATCTGACTCGAGTGGTATGTACTGCAGCTACTGCAGCTACTGCTGCACTATAGTAGTATTCTGAACTGTCATGTGCTGTTGACAGTGTAACAATACTGTACTGCTACTAAGGTGCAGTGTTCACCGACATATCATTTTATTTGACTGACTGATCTTGCAAAGGAAAGCAAATGCCTATCGCACGGCGGGATCGCGATGCGATTATGTTAAATGAAACTGGGTTGCATGTACACCAATTGGAAGTGTGTCTTCTGGAGGGTCAAACGTATGTGATTTACAACAAAAATACAAGAGAGGGAGGGAGGGAGAGAGAGAGAGAGAGAGAGAGAGAGAGAGAGAGAGAGAGAGAGAGAGAGAGAGGGCTGTGTTGCGACTCTGAGTTTCACGTTAAGTCACAATCGTCAGGCACCCGATCTGCTGAGCCAGTATGTACATACGGGCATCCTGCACCTGGTAAAATTCTAGCCTGTTCGCTTTTCGGCATCCAGCAGTACTACTGTCTAGTGAATATGTTGTTTTGTGCTGGGAAAGGCAAGCAGAAAGGACGTCCTACCTCTAGCTACAGATTATCAGGACTATATTTCTCAGTCTCCTGTGTTTCCATTTAGAACAAGTTATCATCCTGAGCACATGAACTAGTTACTTGCACCACTTTTTTAATACTTTTTAGCGTAGATGTCAACCCTAAATAAAATATCTCGGCATAAAGCTTCCAGTGCCGCACATACAAGTAGGAGGACAGAAGCTAAGTCACATGAGTCACGTGACATGTTTTCTAGCTCCCCAGTTTCCACCACAAACCTTGTGCTTTCTGCTATTTCTACCGTTTTTCAGGTGTGCAAGGCAAAGAAGAACCGTTGTGTGCTGACCTGCAGCAATCTGGACCCCTGTGCTCAGTATGAATTCTGTGTATATGTCGATAGCCAAGTACCCGGAATCCAAAAAGCAAGATGCCAACCAGGCATGACCCAGTGGACACCTGTGTCGACAAAGATGTCTTCAAAGCAAGGTATAACCCTTATGCACATTGACGTCACATACCACATCCCGTAGAATCCCGTAGAATCCTGTAGACCCAGTTGGTGTTGATTGTACAGGACCTTATTGTGTTATCTGTAGTTTCGACTACGAAACGTTCCCTTCAGGCGTTAAATCATGCAACGACTTTTGTCGGACGAAGATCTAGCTAGTCATTAGTTCTATCCAAACTGATGAAGCTGGAAAAGCGTCTGTCTGCCACTAAGTATTGGGTTAAATTGGTCAAATGTGCATGTGTAGCACACAATGATCACCCAGCCGTGCATGTACACTCCTACGGGAATTCGTACATCTGTACGAGATAATGTGATGTGCATAAGGACTATTGTGTACTGTGCAGCTTTGCTTGATATTCTGGCTTCCTGTGGTTGCTGTAGAACCCGATCATAACAAACGGCAATATCCCAAAACAGAGGCAGTTGTTGTGTGCGCATATCATGTACTATTTTGTGATTATATCCTTCTCTCTCTTCTGCAGCTGATCTGTTGTCCACTGCATCTTTACAAATGACCGGGAGTCGTCTAAGTGACACTACTGCTGTTGTCACTATAAAGGTAAGATTTGTCTCCAACATTGTATGTCTGGCGGAACGTGAGTATCATTGGGAAACAACAAGTCGAGTGCTACCAATGGTTCATTTTGAAGGGAATGGAGTGGTTGTTTCCAGTGCTGTTTGGTGGTCATGTGCGTAGGCGGGAATTGTGGTGTTGCTCCATCACTGCCAGCAGCAACTTGAGCACAGTCTTATTCTAAGTGCACTGTGAATCTGCACCAGGCAAATATTTCGCTGAAGCTCTGCTCTAGACTGATGCTAGGCTAATGGGGTTTCTCGGCACTTGTGCCATTGATTGTGAGACTTATCCACTCACCCCCACCGTTAGGTGCTGCATCTGCCGCTAGAGTTTACCGGGTGTTAGTGGCCGTCGTAAGTTTCCTTCGGGAACGGACACGATCATTTACTTACTTACTGCTCTAGACTATACTGGGCATTGTGTATAGTAACGTATTGTAGTCATCATCCTGGACATGGTCTAAGAGCTTGGCTGAGAACCAGCGAGTACCTTGATCAAGTCCTGCTTTGAAGTGCAAGAAGTACCTGCGTACTATGTGCGATGCACATTTTTTGATTGGACTAGCTCGAGGGTTATGATGACAAACTGTAACGTGCAGCTAATATGCATGCTAATATGCTAATGTGTATGTAAGTACCCCCCCCCCCCCCTCTCTCTCTCTCTATCTCTCTCTCTTTCCCTCATCTCCCCCCCCCCCTCCTCCTCCCCCGATCCCCTCCCCTCTCTGTCTCACCTATGTCAGGCACCATATACATCTCCAGGATGGATGTACAGAGTGTCAGCGGCCAGAAACCCAAATGTACAATGCAGACCTGGCTTGCGTGAGAATCCCACAAATTCCCTTTCCTTTTTTGTTTTGTTTCCTGTTGTTGGTAATCTTGCAGAGCTTCGGCAATAGTACGTCTGATACTTCCTTGCAAGTGATGGCTACTGTTTGCCTGCTTCCCAAAGTTGACACGGTAAAAAAGATCTGTCAGCAGCGACCAGTGATGCTTAGCAGTGGGTATCAATTCACTGACATTGTCTTCACTGGTCTTGAATGCCGCAATGATGAGTACTCAGTCACTGCAACCATATGTGAAGGATGTAGGACATCATCCTGCAGGAACCTAAGTCCAACACTTGTGAAGAGATCACAATGTAAGTCTGTGCACTACCTGCAGAGTTGATCAGCTACTTGGTTTCACTTGAGAGATTTTGCTTGTTAGTTTGAGGGTTAAAAAGGGAATTTTCATTTCGTTTGCATTTTGACAGCCCGTGTTATATTTCCTGAATTCTGTACCAGTTCTGTATTCACTGTGTTCATTATGCTCGTAAAAGATCCTTTTGATCTTTTTACATCTACACTAGTCCACGATTGCTATTATTTTTTACGATTTCCACTCATGTACAGGCCCGTCGCACCGACTTCGGAGGTGGGGTGGCCATGGAAGGGGGCCCCCGGGAAAAAATTCAAAAATTGAAGCCAAGTGCAAGCTTTTCCGGGCATTTGGTGCATTTGGTGCCATTTCATTGTAACTACAATGAAAGACTTTTTGATTCAGCAACAAACCAAGAAGACGCTACGATTGGGAACAAACATTACCCTCGCCCGGGAAAAATTTCAAAAATTGAAGCCAATTGCAAGCATTTCCAGGCATTTGGTGCCATTTTAGTGTAACTGCAATGAAAGACTTATTGATTCTGCAACAAACCACGACCGGGGACAAGGATTTGCCACGTTTGCGCTGAGCTGCGATCATCGCGCTTTGTTCCAGTGTGCTCCAAAAAAAAACACGCCAAAAGGCCGCCCCGGCTGTGACGGTCTTGATGTACTCTTGCAAATAGATCAATTCTGATATCACTTAAAGGTTATTCCACTACATCATCATTTGAGGTGCACTGATTAAACGGAGTGGCTGCATCACGAGCTTAGCTTTTCCACCCAGTGCATGACACATACAATGATGTCATTCGTAGAACCTTTATGCATACTATTCACAGTGTAACTACACACTGACTGTACCTGATACTCATGCCCAACTACACACTGACTGTACCTGATACTCATGCCCAACTACACACTGACTGTACCTGATACTCATGCCCAACTACACACTGACTGTACCTGATACTCATGCCCTGTAAGTACAGAGCAGCCATTATTGTACTTGTATAGCGTAGTCAGATAATAATCCCTGTTAGTTCATATAACTGTGTTCTGGAATGGCTATTGCATTGGCAGTGGTAGGCAGTAGCGGGCGATGGGCTTTCTTGTGAATGGCGATGGTTCGCCTAAAGTGTGATGCGTTTTCTCTGCATCGTTCTTCTCTCAGCGTTGGTGAACATAACAAGCGGCGGAGGCGGAGAGGATTCTGAGACTGCTGTGTCTTTGCACCTGTCCTGGGATGATACGTTGAAGCAGCTATGCGCCGCCACTGCTGGAAACCATGAAAATTGCCAACTGCAGGCAATGTTCCAATGTGCTAAAATTGGCTTGCTACCGTACTCCGTCTCGGCTAATCAAGCTGAGCTGAATGTGCCATGGAGTGCTCTCCTTCCGGATGCAACCATGACACGTCTGGACTGTGATGTGTGGGTATCGTTGTCTCTGGCTAGTTTGACACCTATCGAGCAGCACTTTCCCATATCACAGAAGCGGATCCTTATCCTGGAAGTGAGGCTTGTACAACTGCCTGTGGTGACACCAGGCGTGGGTAATTCGGGTAAGACAACGGGTGCTGAGGCAGTGGGAGAGGAGTCAACCGAGCAGGCACACCACCGAGCGGGTATGTCTTAGTCAGTAGAACCGGCAGTACCTTCTGTCTGTACGATCCCCGTTACTTGCATGCTTTGCAAGGGTAGTTAGCTGGGTATGCCGTATGATGTAGGCAAAATCATACTGGCATGTCTGCACATGGTGTTGTCCTGTTAGTCCAGGTGCAACTCTGTCATGATTACTAGTGGTTGGAAGCAACATTGCGGCATGATGTGGCTGAGTTTGTTGGTCCAATTTCCTCACTATTTTACTGCAAAGTATTCTTATAATTCCTTTAAAACAAGCTGTGTGAGACGTCCCTCAGAATTTAAAAGTATTCTATGTTGTTAAATTTATCGTTCTGACTCAATCTTCTACTTAAAAATCAAAGAGAATCAATTAAAATACGAAATGAGACCGGTCCCTTTATCTAAGATGTTGTGATGCTTTTCAATGTTCAATGTTTGCCTCTATGTATCATGTCGTTCAGGAGTCACTAATCCTGTCATAATCTCACTCAGCGTGGTATGCATTGCAGCCATTGTTGTGTTAGCTGGCATAATTGGATACAGGTGAGCCACAGGTCCCAATTACCTGATTACGTCGCTGTCATAACTAAAAGTTTAATGGTCTCTCCAAAATATAAATAATGGCTCTATATTTGGTATACTCTTATATCCTTGCTGGAAATCTCTCTTTTTGATTACATTTTGTCCACATTATGAATTTTAATGAAAAGTATAATGGTGAAATGAAGAAAATGTACGAAGAAAGAAAATTGAAACAAAACACCTCTGTGCGATTGACTAAAAAAGAGTGTGGACCCGATTCAAGTTCCCAAACTAAGAAGAACAATTTGTTCTGCTATTCTGGCAGTTCGATTCCGCTGACTGTTTTCAGATAGAGATCGGCTATAGGGCTGGCGATTATAATACAAAACAGATTACAGAATAACAAGGACAACCAAGGCTTGTTTGCTGCTACTTCAAGTATACTATACCATACAGGTTATAGTGATAGGGGATTCACACCCATGGGAAAACCTGAGGTCCACGGGACAAGGTACACGTTCAGACCATCGGCATCGGTCAACCGAGTGTGGCCGTTCATATCCGGACTCAGTTTTCCCTTTGCTGCGTGTTTGGCCATGAACATGTGGCCGGGAATGAAACAAATTATTCTGTACTGCGTTTTGGAGTACATTCTGTACTATGCTTTGCAATCACCATGCACGATTGTCCTCATGGGCACTGTCTGCGATGCGCTCGTACAACTAGGGTTCAGAGTTCTCATAGCCAGCAATCGCATGTCATCACGATCACGTACATTGAAAACCAATATATTTTTGCGAATCGACCTTTTTCTCAGCATCACTTTTCAACGAGGACGAAGCAAAGTCGGCCGAGCGAAGCCTAGAGGAAGAGAATCATCCTGTCTACTTCACCATGACGATACTGACATAGGTACGAGACGAACTAAAATATCCACAAGAAAACTGTACGCCCACCTCCGCGCTGACTTTGGTCTGAGAATTTTCTATTACCATCAAAATGTACGAGGAGCACTAAAAAATCAGCTACAGACGTACCTGTGTCGCTCTCCACTCCTTTTTCAAGGCACGAAAGTCGTCTGTCCACTTTCAAACCGGGAACAAGACATACCGGTACTAGTGGTCCTTTTCAGCTGCTCCACGAGTGCGGGTATTGTTCACCAAGGGCCGCAGAGCAGCATCTATTCCGGCCAAACAGCTAAAAATACAAGTAAACCTGCATGCCTGAGTACATGAGTACAGTCATGCAGTAAATAGTCAATTTCAGTGTTTTTGCTCCAAACAGCATCTAACTTTGACTAGCTACAAAGATTACATCAAAGGATCAAACAACAACCATTTTCTTCAGGTTTTTTTTCGGCAGAAGGCTTCTCCTTGTGCCTGGCCCAGGCCAAAAATCACACCTCGGAGGGGTACAAAAACTACAACTCTCAGATGTCGTCGATTGCAGGCCATGTCGCCAAAGACAAGATATACGCACGTGCATCGTATGGCCACGGCTTTGCCATTTTTTTCCTGGGAGGTTCTTCCTTTCCCGCAGTACCATGGTTTCCATAACAACTTTCGTTGTGGTTTTACCAATGTGTGTGCGTGTGAATCCTCTATTAGCAGCTTCAAAGTTCAAAAGGAAACTGAGATTGTGTAAATGCTGTGTCCTATCAGCAGTGTGGTGATAGAGTAGAATCATGTTGTTGTTATTAATTTTAACTTTACAAATCTCGGTATGGTATTCATATGTATGATGCATGTCTGTTTGTGTGTGTTATCGTGACTAAGTCGTAAAGTTATCACTTACATACTTTGAAGTACTACCCTGTCCAATCGCGTGTATAATTATGATTGTTGATCAAATCACGCTTCTTCAAACACCAACCATATAACAGATCTCTACCTGTACCTTGAACAACAATTATCATTACTTTTGTGGATTGGTCAACGGGAGCGCAAAACCAGCTTACGCTACGAAGATGTTTTTCTTGTGAGTTTCCACGTGCACGGAGAGTTTCCAAGCTGAGGTGATGCGCACAAAGCTAGACACTCTCTCTGTTATTTTGAAGTAGTTGCCAACCGAGTATAACTTGATATCCTGCGCAGTGCCTATACTGTTTCCAGGGGAACTGGCGGGGAAAAATAATCGGAAATGCGCGCAAGAAGGTGTGCGGAAAGGTAGGGGAAATGTAGGCCAAGTACAGTAGATGTGCAGAAAGCCAGAAACTGCAGTATTTTGTAACTGGTTTTGGAGATCGACAGCCACAAAACCCACGTACATACAGTCGACCTACCCTTATAACGATAACCTCTATAACGATATTACCCTTATTATTTATTATTATTATGTGCTTGTTCGCGTAGACATCAGCATGGCCTGCAGCTGCATTAATGGGCATGGAAATCATGCAAACCAGCCAAAAATACCCTTATAACGATATTTTTCTGCCAAACCAAATCACTCCATTGACTTGTGCATACAATGCCTTACCTCTATAACAATATTGCTATAACGATATTACCCCTATAACGATATAAAATGGGCTGACCAATCGACATTTTCCATTTTATAACAATATCTAGCAGAGATTATGTTGAGCCCACTATCCAGGTAGGGCAAGCTTCACTTGATAAGTCGCTGGGACATGACGAAATGCAATGGGGGCACCAGTGGGCACCTTGCTATGTACATAATGTGCATGTACGACAGTTTTTGATGCTATGAAGAGCGTAAAAAATGAACAAAATCCATGTATTATTATTATTTGAAAAGGATTGGGAGAACTTCAAATTCAAAGGATCAGTCGGGGAAGTGAACTGCCTGAAAAGAGAAAAAACGCCAGACCCACCAGGACTCGAACCTGGGACCCTGCTTGTCATGAGCAATGATGCTCTAACAACTGAGCTATGGGACCAGGCTGAACTTAGAAGGCGCTGACAAGTCTTTCACTCCAAAGGTCCCAGGTTCGAGTCCTGGTGGGTCTGGCATTTTTTCTCTTTTCAGGCAGTTCACTTCCCCGACTGATCCTTTGAATTATTATTATTATTATTAAATTTTTGATTATGACGTACATGTATGTGTATGAAATGAACCAGTTACCACTATAACAATATTACCCTTATAACAATATTTCTCGGACTGACGCAAATATCGTTATAAGGGTAGGTCGACTGTATGCTATTGGAGTGGATCACGCAGCTCACGAGGCACGAGGTTCAATCCTGCCGACGAAAGTTCATGAGCACGATAATATTTTTGTTTTGACTATAGTGCATTTCAAAAGTATAGACCTTTAAACTTTTTCGAATAATTTGTAAGAAGAAAAGAGGACCAAAGAGCTACAAGTTTAACACGCTATATTATCCACTAAGGGGCCGTCCGTAAATATCGATGTTTTTTTAGAGACGATATTGGTGCTTCTCTCCCTTGACCCCCCTCCCCCCAGAAGACGCACATGTACATCTAGATCATGGAATCAATATTTTTGGATGCTCATTTTTTCCTTTTTTTGTCAATAATATGAACCCTAAGGGGTCGTCCACAAATATCTTTTTAGAGAAGATATTCGTTCGTTGGGGGGGGGGGGGGAGGGTTGGTCCCTGTTCGTCTCGTCCTTTTGGAAAAAATATTGATCTCTAACTTTGGGCGGGCACTGTGCAAACATGCAGTTGATGACCTACACAACGTGAAAGTCAACCCCAAGAATACAGCCATGGCAAGGTTGAGAGACTATGACAATGTAAACCTAGGTGTATGGTGAATTTGGAGTTCCTGTTGGTCACGTTTCTCGAGGAGATTACACTTCATTAAAAAAAATTCTTGAGTATATATATCGATACCCTGCATAAACGTGTGCATGTTCGTTTTGAGGGGCGAGGGCGAGGGAGGGGGTCCAGGGACATATGAACAGATATCGTCTTGAAAAAAAACATCGATATTTCCTAGGGGTGAAAGTTGGCAATGAGATCCCGACTTCAAGTACTCTGATTTTCTCCGATCGAATATTCTAGTATTCTTCATCTCCTAAAAAGTGCACACTACGGGCCTTAAAATCACATGATACGACCCTGATTGAACCGAGTAGCAGTCATTTTTCTCGGGTATATTGGTTGGTGGGTCATTTTGGCTCTCTCTGCTGGTGGTCAAATGTTCACCACACAGTCTGCACATCAATATCTGCCGACTACTGCTCTGAAACTGTAGATTTCTATGGTAAATGCATCATGCGGTACCATGTATGAACGAGTACTCTGATTTATTCTGAGTACGATTATTTTTGAAAAAAACCGAGCGAGTACTCGAGTTTCGGTATAATTGTTTCACCCCTAATATTTACGGACGGCCCCTAAAAATAAATTAATCCTTGACTCTCCACCCGAGTCTGATTCAAATTTGGTTGGAGCTTTTGGAGAAATCTCTTCGGAATATTGCTCAGGCAGCTCACGCAATTTTTCTCATTAAAATTTCTAAGTGATTGGATAACAAATGCCCAATTTCGGAAATTTTATGCACGAAGTGATCACAGGTTTTATGTGGCATAGATGCTGGCCTAACGATTTTTTGAAACCAGAGGTCTGGACTTTTGAAACGCTCTTTTGTATGCATGTTGTGATCCAGCCACTGCGACACCGGGTTCCTGCCTTATATGGTTAGCTTTGCATAGATCTACGTGCACAGAACACAAGCACTATACCACGCGGGCTCACAGATTCTCTGAAAATCTATGAAAAATGAAGAAAATTGCAATGTTTCCACAGATAATGCTTGATTCACGGAAACCTACGAAAATCGTGGAATTTTTGCGGTCACAGATCGTTATTTTTTTAAAAAAGGGGACAGCCTGGAGTGTACTGAATACAACTGGTCTGGAGTCTAGTTCCTCCCTGTCGTATACTCCACCATTCATGCAGTGGGCAACCTGTAAAGTGCGCCTTGAAAGTTTTGAGGCCAGATAATAAGACTATATCAAATTCTAGGACAAACGGTGAGAAAATAGTACACTGGTACAATCTTCAACAAAAAATAATTAAAATATCATGATTTTCTGGCACTCCCTGGCCAAAACAACTTATTTTTAAAACTATTTGAACAACTTCAACATAACAACACTATTCTTCTGCACCCACAAATTAGGCTTATGGGTACGTTGACAAACAGCTTCCAACACTTTCAACTGCAACTCATAACCATGACGGGCACGAAACAAAATAGAGAAACTAGAGTCAGAATATACCATATAACAGGAAACAAGGTGCTTGTACACCGAGGCCTTCCTACTGCGAAACACATACCCACGCTCACTCTCATTCTTCAGCGCACTCAATTCGCTGCCCGACTCACTACTCACTCTTTCATCCTCATCATCATCCCGACCTACTCACTGGGGAGTGGATCACCATCCGCTGCGCCCATGGCGACGAGGTGCACTATCCGGTAGTCAGAGTTAGCATCTCTATCCGCGACAGCACATATTACGTGCAGGCTGCAGTGTCACCCCATCTGCCTTGCCAAGTGCTCACTGGTTGGGATGTACCAGACATTCAACTCTTCGTCACGGGGGCTTTTCCCCCTCACACAGAGCATACAGGCCAACCCTCCCGGTTTTCCCGGGAAAATCCCGGGAAATCAACAATACTCCCGGGGTGCCAGGGATTTCAAGCAAACTCCCAGAAAAGTAACATTTTCGTCTGATACAGAATGTTCCTGAAAACTCCATGACTTCGCCTCGAATGTCCTGGGTTTTTTTCTCTCAAAAATATGTAGATCTACGGTGCGCACTCGCACTTCGAACTGTGCACAACACTTTCAAGACCTGACCGGCCTAGCCTGCAAGATCTGCATTGACAGGCGCGCTAGGCGGGCGCCGACTGATCGAACTGCACTGCAGGGTCGAACTGTGCTGTGCGCAGATCTGCCGAGTCTATGCCGTCGAACGTTTTTTTGGCGAGGAACAGCTCTTTTCACTTGGTTTTTTGTTCCATCCAGGGATTTTGAGAGAAATCGAGGGATTCTGCATGTCTTGTCAAGGGATTGAGATTTTGGTGGTTGGTCAGTATGACAGAGGCGCTCGCTGCTATGACTAGGGCCCAGACGAGGTATATGCAGCCCAGCAACACTCCCGAGGCCATGTGGCAAGGGCCATTTACAGTCACCTGCAACGTAGGCAGCGTCCATTATGAATTGGACCTGGGTCCTTACCGCGACTTCGCACCTTTCACGTGAACTTCCTGCGGACGTTCCGTCAACTCTTACGTGCCGCATTCACAGTGTTCGGTTATCCAGACGCATCTACTGGCCAGCTGTTGGAGGTGGCTATGTCTCGGTCGTCGCAAGCTGGCTGCTTGCGACTTGTGAAGGGGGAAAGTGTGACGGGAATGGACTTAGAGCTCGGTGTTCCCATACCCTTTGGCTTTCGAATGTCGCTGTGTCATAATTTACTCTCTTTCTGCATGCTCTGTATTATGATCCTCAAATGGATTATTCATGTATCACGAGCAGCTAGCCTATGCCTATTTACTCTACAATCTATTAACCTGTAGGAACACACCTCATTTGACATCTTTCTCCACATCCTTATTCTAACTCATACACCGTACTCCAAATACAGCAGGGTGTCCAATATAACTCTCTACATTGCAGCATTATTATGGATAATATGAAGCCGGCCAACGACGAGGGTTTCGCCTCAGATCTTGGTTAGCCCAGAAAAGAGAGAGTTTGATTACTTCAAGTAATACTATTCTTACTGTTACACCATCAATTTTGCGTCCCGTCTATGTTGCCAACGTCCTTGCTTGTTGGTGTAGATCCTGGCATAATTCGCTGTAGATCGCCTTGGTCGGCCCGACGTTGTATGTTCCGTTGTGGTATCCATTGGTGTTCTTGATGATCGCAGTGCCGCTGATGTTGACTCTTCCACTTCATCCGTCTCCCTTGTTGTCGGTAAATGAGGCGGAGGCTCAGCCGGTGTGAGCTGTACCTTAACAGTCGCCACAACATGATGAGGCCACCAGCGGCCTGGCTTCTTTGTAGTCTGTTGTGGTGTTATTGTCAGTGGCATCTTTTCCTTCTCCGCAACTACTGGTAGTGACTCATATCCGGTACAACAATTCTTGTCACTGTTTCCTGTGAACCAGCGGACACACCAAGCGTTAAGGGTGGAGGATCCGGTGGTTGTCCTTCAGTTGGTACTCGACTCGGTGGTCTCATTGGCGGTTGAACAGAATGATTGTGGCTCATTACGTTCTCCACCCCAACCTCGATTTCCATTAGACTTCTCCGTTGCTTTGGACTCCAAAGTTTCTGCGTTCGTCCCAGTCAGTGTTGACTGAGGTCCCACCGCCACTTTTGCATTGCTGCTTTTGCATTGCCGTTGGTATCCAAAAGGATGCCATGAGGCTCAGTTTGAGGAGGACAAGCCACTGAAGATGGCATGTATTTCATTGGCGAGGGGAGCAGGTTCTTAGAGAGTCTGCCCCGCTTCGGCCGTTTCTTTTGTGCGTCTGGTGGCAAAAAGTGTAATCGAGTGTGTTGTTTGATGCATACGCTCAGATGTTGAACAGTTCTACCAACATACTGGCTAGCATAACGCTGGCATTCAAAGTTGTGAATCATTATATTTCCGTTCTAGATTGTACCAGTGTACTGTTTTCTCATAGTTTATCCTCGTGCTACATGTTCACGCTTTAATTGTTTTTAATTTTTTAATGCAACTGTGTTGTAACCTTCCACTATATCAAATTCTGTTTCCCATTGTTGTATAGAGCTGTTTCAGGCAGGCAATGTGGTATACGACTGCTAGTGGACACCTGTATAGCTAAAGTTCAATGTCCTCTCGAAAATATAAAACCTAGCTCTTTTAATAGCTGGTATGCTCTTATATCCTTGCTGCGAAAGGCTCTCTTTTGATTACATTTTGTCCATATTATCGATTTTGATGGAAAGGAAAGTTTAAATAATCGTGACAGAGCAGAAATACACGAATAAAGGAAAAGGCAGAGAATTGAAACAAAAACACATTTATGTTGTCATGAATCGATCCTCATTCTGTTTGTGTGAACGTATGTCTGTACATGTACAGACGGCGTCGATACAGTCGTGCTCATCGAGCTGGTTACATGCTGGAAGAGGCTAGCAGGCGACGCCAGCACATGCATAGAAAGCTCCTCAACGTCGGCAAGGCACATGGTCTCAAGTCCACGTCGCAGAAGCCCAGCAGTGGCGGCAAGTTTGGTCGGGGCGTTGCTCCTCCAGTGCCAACAACACCACGGCCAATACACATACTCAGCAACCCTAGCGTGACTGGCAGACCACCAGCTGGATCAGCTGGATCACCCGCCAATGACCATGCAGAGGAGATCTATGATCGATTGCAGTTTGCAGGTGCTACCATCCAGAGGAATCAAATTGCAGATGCATGAACTAGTCATCTGGACATGCATTGATTCATGGAACAACGCTTTATCATGCAGCAGGACCGGCGTATTATATCTTGAACTTGAAGGTGATGGAATGGCTCGAGAACGGGCTGTGATGACGTCAGTCAGTGGCATTCATTGGGCCTTGGCCCCTTAGGCATGGAAAGGTACATTGCACCTACTTGAATTGCGAACAATCATACAGGTATTCATAGGGTCATGTTGCTTTTTTTTATTAGTAATTTTGTGTCCTGAGGGGGGGGGGGGGGGAGGAGGAGGCAGTATAACATTGCTGGTATGACCCTATTACCCCCCCCCCCCCCCACACACACACACACATACACCCTTCTCCATTTCTTTACCATGCCACGCAGTCGACATTTGGTATGTTATTGTGTGGTTGTCCGAAGACTTGAGCGCCAGGCAAAGCCATGGTGTATGCATATGCAAGCTGATTTCAGACGTCATAACGGCTGTATCTTATCGATTTTTTGTCTGCTCTATGAGTAACAAGTGGAAGCCTTAATTGCTGTACCACACTTGACCACTTCTAGTGCATCCGACCACACTTGACCACTTCTAGGGTATCACCTAATTTTGATCATTTCACTTTCCCATTCGACTTTCTGGTAATAAGTACATGGAGCACATTCTACAATTTTGGTTTGACTCCCAACGCACCCCTTCCAAAATTCCTAATGCCATGCCAAACTTCTGTCTGGCCAACGCCGTGAACGGTATTCTTGATATTAGTTTTTCAAGTTTGTACTTCAGTAATTGCACTCTAGCCGATTATTATTATTATTATTTGAAAGCTTTCAGGCACTTCACTCAACTCTCTCAGTCAGTGTCATGGGTTTCAACTTTCAACACCAAATCTAAGCAGGCGAAATTCTAAGTTGTTCATAGTTTAGTAACTTGCATTGGCAATGCATTCTTCTGAACGTCTGAGCACGTCTCACAGAGTGAGCTTAACTTGTCTGAAACCTCGTCTTGGTGCTGCACCCATGTATGCGAGTGTGTGTGTGTGTGTGTGTGTGTGTGTGTGTGTGTGTGTGTGTATGTGTGTGTGTATGTGTGTGTGTGCGTGCATGTGTGTGCGTGCGTGCATGTGTGTGTGTGCGTGCATGTGTGTGCGTGTGTAAAAATGATCTATGTATCACGTAATACTTCTCTGAAGTAGTGTATGTTTGGGTGTCAGCATACACTGTAGTTACGAGAGTAACTCCAGCACAGTACTCTTCAGGTATCCACTGTCAGCTAGACTCAGCGCTGTCACTTCCGATCTAGCCGCAGTAACAAGCTGTTCAAAGCCAGCCAGCTCAGCGTGAGCGGTGGCAGGTGAGTATGTGATGCGGATTCCAGCATGAGCGGCAAGCAGCAATGAGTAGTACTGCTGCTGGTGAACCGTGTGTATACCCCACTGATCATCAAGTAGCTGCTTTGCTTCGGCCAGGCGTGCCAGACGCCCGGTGAAGTCTGTTTGAAGCATGGCAGATGGCATTGCTGCTGTCAAACTAGCTACTACGGTATGGGTGACATTTACTGGAAGGCTTGATGTCGTTATAACAACGGCTAGTTGAGACCCGTCGTAGGAGAAGCAGCCTGTGGTGTCATGACAGCCAGTATCAAATTGCACTTCCGAGAGTGCTTTACCGTTCAGTGTGATATCGCTAGCGGGCCATGTACCACGTAGGATGATGTTGTAACTTCTCTCCGTCAGCATTTCTGGAAACGAGCCAGACATGGCTCCAACGGTAAACTGGACAGTGTTTGCTGTGGAGGTCTCCGTCTGTACGGTGTAAGAGAAGGCTGTTTGCGAGAAGTCTGTTGCTTTGTATGAGTTTGTTGCACCGTCATCCTCGTACACCTGTCCGCGTCCGGCCATTGCTGCACCGCCAGCAACAAAGGCTAACAAGCTCAGCCTGAGAGGCAGTTGCTTTGCAGATCCCAAGGTCATTTCTGACGAAGGTGTCATTGGAATGATGGTGCCTGCCTTCACAAACACTGGTGTTTCACTCAGCGTGTAGTTCCGTGTTACCTCCTCCTCCTGGTGTTGACCATGGAATACTTCACCGCTCTGCCAGTTCACCAGCGTCAAACCCAACGGCAAGAAAACGGCCTTGCGTGAAGTATTGTACTGCGGATCCATAGCAACGGTGACGGGAGCAACGAGTATGCTGTCACCAAACATGTACTGATGGTCGTACTGATACGAGAGTGGATTGTCAGGATAGGAGTAATACATAGGTCGCATTAGACTCACACCACTCTCATACGCCTCTCTTGCCGCCGTGTAAATGTATGGCACAAGAGACGCTCGCAGAAAGAAGAACTTCATCAGAATGTCATAGTTCCTTGGTGGATACAGCCATGGCCGGCGCCACATTGTGCTGTCCTTCTTGGCGTGTATGCGGAAAATTGGCGAGAAAGTGCCAAACTGAATCCAGCGGGTGTAGAGCTCTGGAGGGGAAACCCCCACGTGTCCGCCAAGATCGTGACTCCAGTACCCAAAGCCTACGTTACTTGCTGTGATTGTGAAATACACTTGGAAATGCAATGAGTCCCAGGATGGCAGAACGTCACCAGAAAACCCAACCTACATGTACATGGTTGTACGCAAAGAACAAACAAAGCATGACCAATCGTCAAACTTTCCAACCGAGCTTGTCGGCATACGTTTGGTAAGCTGGTTATCAATCATCACCACCCAGATACATGTAGTTTACCATCCTACCAAGTTAAGCCCGTATGCATGTACATGTGTAGACCCAACCCAGGCAAATTGTAAGTACCTGTCAAACATAAAGGCCGCATCCATTGCCATGATGATTGCATCACTGATATACCCCCCCCCCCCTCCCCCATTAACTTTCAAAATGAATAATACCAAGGCTGCAATGATGAATGTACCATTGGTGACTCGTGACATGCATAGGCACACAGCTGTGCTCTAACCAGTGTTAGATATGGTAGCCAGTCTTTGGCGTGAGGACCAGTTTCTTTACTTTTATAAGAGGGCATGAACACACATCGGGCGGATAGGAGGATGAAGGGAGTAGTACATGTGCCAGCATGTACATGTACACTCATACCCCTGTTATCCGGACCCTGAAGTTATGGGCACTTCGGTCTACCGGGCACCCTTCGGGCGAGTTACAGTGGAAATATTACTACTCTTTTGTCACTTTCTGCGGAAATAGTGACGTCATATGTCATACATGTATCTATGGCCTTTCCCCATCTAAATGTATGTGATTCGGAGTTACGGACATTTCAAAGTTACCGGCAGTGCCCGGTCCCGGACCGCCTGGGTAAACCAGGTATGAGCGTACAAACTTAGTAGAACTCGTGACAATGATTACTAACCTGGTATCGATGATTTCCCAGGCCTCCAAAGCGATGCAGTAGCATTCCTCTCTGGTCAATGCCGGCTGTTCCGTTCCAGTGATTTGGGTTCGTGTAGAATATATAGTTGAGCCAGAATGTCGGGTTGACACCGGTTATGTTAATCCAGCCTTCACCTTGCTGCCAATCCAGCCACCAAAAGTCAATACCTTCCTCTTCTCGGGCACCTAGGACTATCTTGTTCCAATTTGTGACAAACGTCTTGTTCTCTGGAACGAATGGCACGTAGATATTCGTCGTTGGATCCACTCCCATTGCAGTTGCCATCTCTTTGTAGTGATCCTCCCAAGGCTGAACACCCGATGCCGGGTGAAGGTTGAGTGTGTTCTTCAGACCACGTGCTTTGCACCATTTCAGGTAGCCGCTGGGATCAGGGAAGAGGTGTTTGTCCCAGGTGAATCCCGTCCAGCCACGCCGTTCCCCCGCCTGATCCTTGACGTTATCATAGAAGGTGATGTGCCAATCCATGTCACTAACAACTGCATCCAGCGGAAGGCTGTGATCACGGAATTGGTTCACAATCTCCATCTCACCAAAATCACTATATGCCCAGTATCGGGAGTAGATTAGGCCGAATGCAAATCGTGGTGGCATTGGGATCTTGCCTGCAAGATCAGTAAACTCCTTCAATGCCAGTGTGTAATTCAGACCATGCCCAAAGAAGTAAAGATCTTGCTGGGCATTTCTTGCATAGAAGCAGCTTGGTACACCATTCTCGCCTGTGCGGTGGTGCCTGGCGTGATAACAGCAGCCTTTGCCGACGCAGTCAATCTCTCTGATGCCTACGTAGCCACAGTCTCTGCGCGATGTATTGGCAATGTCGCACTGATCTGCTGTAGGTGCTGGAATACCAGGCTGATCTAGCCAAGGCCAGTCTGGATCATGGTCAAATCTCGGTCTGCCAGTGTCATCAATTACGACATATCCCCACTGGGAGATAACTGCCAGTGTGCAGTGAAGATCAGCTACTTTGTTGGTCAAGCAGTTTAGGTCCATACTTGAGGCACCCGTGTTATGATCCAAGGTACGTGCTGTACCCAGCAAGTTACCTTGCAGAGTTATGTTGAATGTTGGTATTGGCATCCATGTTCTGCTGGTGCTCAGGACATCTACCTGCAGACATACAGAATGGGGAAAGTAGTGACAGCACAAAAAGTCAACTAAAAAAAAACGAAAATGGTGCATAAAATAATTAGGGATGTGGACTGGTATAACAAGCTCTGGCTTGCTACTCCATACTAGCCGGTCCACACACACGACGCACATACAAATTACAGCGCCGGCCTTGGATCCTGCCTATTTTTTTTTTTTTTTTTTTTTTTTACTTGAAACCACGCACCCAATTCGTAAAAGAAGAAAGAAGCAGGAAATGACAAAACAACAGACTAACAAGACATTGACTGAATGGGGCTGCAAATGCAACGCAGCGGTGGTGATGAGGTGCTGCAGGCTCCGCCGACCAATGGTCTCGGCATCCGCGCCTACTTCACGCATCAGAAAATCGGGAGAAGAAGAGAAACAAAAACGATTGAAAAATATATAGCGAAAAGTATAGTGTGGAGAGAGAGAGAGAGAGAGAGAGAGAGAGAGAGAGAGAGAGAGAGAGAGAGAGAGAGAGAGAGACGGAGAGAGAGAGAGAGACAGAGAGAGAGAGACAGAAAGAGAGAGAGAGAGAGAGAGAGAGAGAGAGAGAGAGAGAGAGAGAGAGAGAGAGAGAGAGAGACAGAGACAGAGACAGAGAGAGAGAGACAGAGAGTAGAGAAAACAAGGAAAAAGAGAGCAATACCTACATGTAGATACTGAGTTTAGACTGAGTCAGTAGCCCACATCCAGTTCTCGGCGCGCAGGTAGCGGTATACCTGCGTCTTGAATGCCTGCATTCGGCTGCGATGGGGAGGATGCAGGAGCAGATCACAGGGCAATGCATTCCACTGGTGGAGCACACAGTGGGGAAATGATCGCTTCAGGACTAACGGGGTAGAGGCTGGCAGGCTGGCGTCCAGTTGAAACCGGTGGCCAGCAGCGCTGGCATGGTCGCTCCGGGTTCGCGGGTTGGCCGACTGCTGACGGCGAGCTGGCAGAACCGCGAGAAGTTGAGGTGGGCCCGTAATTACTTGTAGCTTGTATAAACAAGCTAGGGCAGCTACTGTCCGTCTGATTGCCAGACTAGGCAGGATTGCTCCCGGACCGATGATTCCGAGGGCCCTGTGCTGGACTCGGTCCAGTCGGCTGAGGTGGCTGGATGACGCTCCAATCCAGATAAGTGGGGCGTACTCCAGCAGCGGACGGACGAATGCTTTGTACACTGTTATGCGCCCAGCCAGAGGGAGAAGATGAGCTGACCGGCGCAAAAGACCAAGTCGCTGCCTTGCCCGGGTTGCAACAGACCGGAGGTGCTCCCCAAAAGACAGCTTCTGGTCAAAGAGGACGCCTAGGAGGGTGATCGAGTTTGCCTCGGGGACTTGTATTCCGCCAAACATGATTGGCGGGAGGTGCAAGTCAGCTCTTCGGAGCGTTGCAGTCATTGCCTGGGACTTGGTGGGCTCAAATGCAATCTTCCATTTCTGGCCCCAGTTATGCAGCCGATCGATTGACAGTTGCAGTGAGTGCCCTGCACCTGCCGCGCTGCCATTCGACACAATGGAGTAAAGTGTGGTGTCATCTGCGTACGCCTCCAGCTGGGCATCATCCACCAGAACAGAGGGTGCATCATTTACGTACAGTAAAAACAGTGTCGGGCCGAGTATGCTGCCTTGGGGAACGCCCGCAGTTATGGGGTACTGGGTAGACGTATAGCCACCCACCAAGCATCGTAATGAACGTGATAACAGGTACGACGACAGCCATGTGTGGAGTGGCCCAGTGATTCCTGCATTACGTGCCTTATGGAGGACACCAACATGGGACACGCGATCAAATGCCCCAGCAATATCAACAGCGAGGATACGAGCTGCTCCATTTCGCCCGACAGCATTAACCCAGGCATGATGCAGAGCCTGCAGAGCATCAGATGTACCCAATCTTCTCCTGAAACCAAACTGGTGGGAGGTGAGGAGCTGATGGTGTTCCAGATGGTTTGTAACCTGGCTGTTCACAATAGTCTCCATCACCTTCGAGATGATGCTCAGCAACGAAACAGGGCGGTAGTTCTTGAGCACAGAACGCGAAGCCTTTTTGTGGATAGGAACCACGTTTGCCGTTTTCCACATCTTGGGTTGAATGCCTCGCCGGAAGCAGAGGGAAAACAGCTGACACAGTGGTGAAGCTAGTTCTTTGGCACACTCCTTGAGCACCCGGGCAGATATTTCATCCGGTCCCGATGCCTTTGACGTATCCAGTCTAGCCAGAACTCGACGCACTGCTTCAGGTCGAAAGTGAATGGTACTGATCGGTTGGGATGTGGGCAAGTCGTGGGGAGGGAGATCAGCAGTGGAGATATCGTCGCCGGGGATGCTACACTTCTTTGCAAAGAAGCGTCCAAATGCCTCCGATTTCTCTGCACTTGTTGCGTACTCGTGGCCATCGGCGTCAGCAATCAGCGGTATATCTGTATGGCGCCCCATGCCACTTGCACACTTGAGCTTTGTCCACCACTGCTTGCTGTGCATGGACCCGTTTGATAAGCTGCGGCGTAGGCTGTCCTCCTTAGCTTGACGGGCTCGGAAGAGGGTTGCAACAGCCTCATTGACAGACGTCACAAATTGTTGCTTCAGTATGACGTCCTGGGGGGAGCGCCTCCAGGACCGCCAATGCCTGTCTTTGATGGCCATTGCCCGCGTGCACTCCGGGGTCCACCACTTTGGATCTGATGGCTTGGTGGTCATTGCCTTTGACGGAACGAACTGGGCGACGGCGTTGGATATCGTGGCAGTCACCTGCTGGCAAGAAGTGTCCGGGTCATCCGTTATGATGTCAGACCAGTTGGTATTCCTAAGGTGGGAGCGGAGACGGTTCCAATCTGCTTGGTTGTAGCGCCAAACAGTTCTGTGGGTGCGCTTCTCTTGCTGCACTCGAGCGGGGAATGTGGCAACAACTACAGCGTGATCTGATTTACCAACAGGAGGCAGCACATCTACCTCCACTGGCTCCTGGAAGTCGGACATTATCAGGTCAAGAGTGTTGTTTCCGCGGGTTGGTTCTGCCACATGCTGGGTGAGGCCATGCAGGGCACACATATCCTCAGCGGCTTCGCCGGCTAGAGACGTCCTGCTGCTCTGAAGCCAACTGCTGTTGTGCACGTTGAAGTCCCCGGCAATTACGAGCTTGGCGCCTTGCTGTCGCACTCGATCGATTGTGCTGTCAATATGTTCCAGGATTGAGATGTCATGATCTGCACATGAACCTGGCCGATAAGCGGCACACACTGTAACACGACACCCTGTTTGCAGTTGCACTGTAAGCCATATGACTTCCAGGTCACCGCAGGTTATCTGCTCCATGTGGCTATAGGCGAGGCCCGAACGTATCCAGACGGCGACTCCACCGCCTTGCGCTGTACGATCTCGGCGGATTGGGGGTGAATAGCCAGGTAGCGTGACATCCATTGCTGTACACTTCTCAGAGGTAAGCTTCGTCTCGGTGACGATTGCAATGTCCGGGCAGGTGGACATAACTGTGTGCTGAAACTCTCCAAATTTACTCAGCAGGCCAAATGCATTTGTTAGCAGTAATTTGAACAATGGTCCCTGGGTGGCCGGCTTCTGTCGCGGGAAGAATGGTTGGGCATGCGGGTTCATGAGTCCATTTTCTTGGAATCAGGGTGCTCCGGAGAGATCGTAGACTCATGGCTCCGTGCCTTTCCACGGGGTGTGAGGCCTGGCAGAGAGTCTAGCTGGTTGGCTGTGCTATCCTTTGCTGCCGCTAGCGTGTTTCCTACTTCGATTTCTGGCTGAAATAGCTCGTTGGTGTCAGATACTGCCTGGTTTCTTTCGCCAGTTCCTGATGGCGATGAGTCATCAGTTCCTGATGGTGATGAGTCATCAGTTCCTGCTGGCGAGGAGTCGTCAGTGTCATGCGATGAGTCATCAGTTCCTGCTGGCGAGGAGTCGTCAGTGTCACGGAATCGCCACTTCCTGCAGTACAGCCGGCCTGGCCAGAAGTTTCTCGATCGTAGTAGCCAACCATCTCGTGCATACATTGTAACGTGTGCAGCGGACGACTTCCGGGCTGGCTCACCAGCACTCGACTGGAGAATGCTTGCAGACAGTCCATCCAGCGTTCTGTCAGTGGTGGTGGCTACTCTCTGCTGGATATATGTCGTCGATTAGCCAGGTGCCACTGCGTAACGTCTTTTGGAAAACTTTTGCATAGGTTTGAAATCAAGTAGGAATTGTACAGTCTGTATCGGCTATAGAGTGACCGGATATAAGAATATATCGGCTACAGTGATATTGGTACGAAATATCAAAAGCAAAACGCATTTTATCCAGTAAAAATATCACTATAACCAATATTATCGGATGTAATGATATATCGGATATTATGATGGAAACAAAGAATCAAAACATGCATAACACACTATATTATTATCGGCTATAGTGATAACTTTAAAATACATGTAGCATTAATATCAAAGGCCCTATTTTTTACTTTCTTCACGTTGCTTATTTTTATAGTGATACATGTACATGACTGTACATAACAGAATTTTTTTATGGAAATGCGGGCACTAGCACTGTCAACTATGCAGCATGCTCATTTGTCAAAACGCTATGCTGGAAGTATTTCTTTGCCTTTCATGTGTCGATCGAAGAAAAAATCGATCGTATCGCATATAGTGATGCATCGGTTATAGTGATAAAATCACGGAAATCAAAAGGATACGCTATAGCCGATACAGACTGTATTTGTATGTAACTAGTTACGCTGGTCACACTGACTCAATAAGTCATGGATGCAGCAGCAGCATCCTCACACTGTCTCTGTTCCAGTGAGTATAGTCCTGGTTGCCGTTCTGCTACTGATCATCTCGGATACAATACACACAGCATGGGCATGGGGGAAGTCAGGCCGGGCTGGGAGATACCGGGGGCCAGGCCCGTGTGCTATGCACCCACAGTTGTCAGTAGCCTTGTAGTGACCAGGGGCGTCGGAAGGTATTTGACATTGGGGCAGCCATGTATGGATGGAGGGTCCTCCCGGGAAACGTTTAGGGAAATTGGGGCCCTAATGGCCCATATTTCATTGCTTCAAAAATCACAAGATAAAAATTATTGGTGCGGCTTTGGCCGCACCTGCCGCACCAGTTCCGACGCCCCTGTAGTCTACACTCTCTACAAATCCTTCTTTGGCAGGACCGCCAGACTGAGCACGTTTTTATTGGTCCGGCCATACCATAGCCTTTCATACAGTTTGTGTATGATATGATGGGTACACATAACTCCCCAGCAGTAAACATGCGTTGGTGACCAACAAGTTGGTCTGGTGATGACCTGACCAACCGGACCGGTTCCGGGGGCCCTGTTTGGTTATAGGATTCTGGATGTGTGCCATCGCTATGCAGGTCATGTGATTACTACATCAACAGTAGGGCTGTTTTGTAATCAGGTACAGTAATGAGAACCCGAATGGCATCACAAGCACTGATTTCCTACTTCATGGCACCAAACCCTGGCTACAGAGATAGCTGCGGGATTGACAACAGCAACTGAGCAAGCCTGCCGCAGTGCCTATCAGTTCTATACCAAGACCGGGACCACAATGTACTTGTTTGTTCTTGAATTTTGCAATTATTATACGAGCAGAGTTGCACGGCAAGAACAGCAGAGAGGCGAATGGGTGCATTGGGTGGAATGGGTACTCTTTGGTGAGCCTACTGAATAAGACTGACCTGCAGATTGTGTTCATTGAAAGTTTCCTGTGTAGATGTGGTGAGATATCGCAGATGCACGGCAGTCGTGTTGATTTCCAGCCAGTCACCATGCATTGCTTTGCTGAAGTCTGGCACAGACATTCGACGATTCAGGAACGTGAAAGTTGGCTCATCGTGGTCTTGGCCAAACTGCATGCGAATAATATGTTCCGTTAGCACAGTGAAGCGAGCCTGGCCCGACGTTACAACCGCAGCAGGGTCAGGAGTTGGGTCCAGTGCTGCTGACGAAGCCTTGCCAAACCATGCTAACGTTAGATACAGAACAATCGCCGCTACACAACTTTCGGACCTTGCGAATAGCGAAGCTTCCATTGTTCATGCACAGCGACGCCCCAGTACGAGCTCTACGGCAACTAACAAAGCCGTCTTTGCGTCTGTCGCTAGATAGAGTGTTTCGGCCTTTGCTGGCCTTTTTAATGATTTCCGAAATGTGTTCTGCGTGTGACAAATCCAAACTACCTCAATGCAAACTAATACTAGTAGAACATTGCCAGGTTGACCCACGCAACAAACTACAAGTGGAGTATGCTGCGGTACAGGGGCATGATCCAGTTGACTACGTCTGCTCTGACAAGACATTTTCATTACCTACAAAATGGCATGTGACATCCTTTCCTTGTCAGAAGTACTACATTACACATACATGTAGAATCAAAAAGCAGGCCTCCTCGACTCCCCCAAAAAGTAGCCTCCTCGACTCCCCCAAGAAAAAGTAGCCTCCTTTAGTAGGCTTTACGCAGAACAGACAGAAGTAATGACTACATTGTCATTGTAGTTCTGAGTCTTGTAGATTATTCTACCCTAGCTAGCCCTGTAGCCGGTCATGTCTCCGGATCGCGGTCAAGTCGACACTACAACGTTGTGTCTCGATAAACGTTTCGCTCAATCGATGGAGTCGTAAGATGACAACTTACCAGGACACACTGACAGTGACAGCCTGATGCATCATCGCGCATCGATGCTTCATGGAGGATATGAACAGTTTGAAATTCCAAAAATAAGAAACAAAACAGCTTCTGCATTTCTCATTGATTACTAGTATTGTTGTTGGGGATCCGAAGCATTGAAATAGCTACTGCTTTGACGTGATTACACTGTGGGAAGTCATGGCTCTTCGCCTATGTCGTGGATGCGCTGGACGATTCACACGTCCTTGTGTAATTTCCAGTAAATCAGTCTCAGGACGAGGAAAAAACGACAGTCTTTCTGGGAAGAGATGGTTCTCAGTGCTATCGCGATCCCCTGTTGGTCATGGACACCGAATGAGTGTTGATACACCGATTTCCCAACAGTTCCGTAAGTCTACTACCCAAACAGTAGTAAACTGGTCTCCTTTCCCCTAGATAAATTGGAAAATTATAGTTGACTAATTGAAGCTACTGCTGCCTGCACCTTTGTGTTTGTAAATGAGCGGACTGTGGTTGGTTTCATTTTTAATGTAGTTCTAGGAGGGATCGTACTCTTTCACCATCATACTACAAGTAATGAGGTATTGAGTATCATAGATACTGAGCTGTCATGGACCGGTGAAAGGCAAAACTGTGCTTCTGCAGGATGTTGCAGAGGATCAGTAGGTACCTCCCGTCATCAGTACCTCCCCTCATTGACTCTTAGCCACTGTAGGAGTACATTGTAAATGTATGTTTCGTGCCGTATAGCCGCATCCACTTTAATTTCTATCAACATTGCCGACGTATGGAGCAGACACTTTCTTCACTAATTACCGCCGATGTCGCAACATCTTAGCTCAACAGTTCTATGCGCAAATAATTATTCTTTGTGTGTGTGTGTGTGTGTGTGTGGGTCTGGCTTTCTCTTTGTTTTTGGGTGAAGGCCGTAGCATGTTCATCCAGACGCAGGATACTCCCAACCCAAACAGTCTCAAGTTCCTGCCGGGACAGGATGTGCTGGGAGAAATGAGAACGCTCGACTGTCCCAACATTGAAGCTGCTGGTGCGTCTACGCTTGCAAAGTAAGCTGCAGTTTGTCTTGCTGCAGTGGAAATACTTTGAAATTCTGAACGAATCTTGGCAAATCTTGGACGACATTCAAGGGCACAGTGTTCGCGAAAATGCCTACATTCTCGTTCTGTCGACTGTCGCACAAGCCTAGCATATGATTACTGTAGGCTGAGGGTAGCGGATGGATTTCACACGTGACACCGCTGACTGGTAGGGATTGGAGCTCGCAGATCACCTACCGTAATGTCGCATATTAGAGACAGGCATATTCCTGTAGAAGCCGATGTCAGGGCTAGGCTTCTGTTCACATCAGGCTTCTATTCAAACCAGGTATTTCTATGTGTGTCAACACTAAACCAGGCGTATGTGCCCACAGTGTATCTTGAAAAATAAGGCTTGTATTCGAAACAGGCTTCTATAAGAGACAGGCTTTTATACAAGACCTGATGGTTTTTTATTTTTTTGACTAAGTGCACAACCTACTCGTCAGAAGGGGAGAAGACAACAGAGTATACAATAACAAAACAAATATTATGGTATGTTTAAAAGCAGAGCACTGGTTCATCCTGCTGCTCTGCATGCAACCAGTGACAGTGTGCTAGACAAGACTTGGCTTCTTACTTTGAGTTGGCCTCAAATGGCAATTGAGTACATTCAGGTACTAGTATACCGGTACATAAACCATCAGTTCATACACTAGGGTTCCCTGTAAAAGGCGATGATGCCTGTTGGGAATTCCCTAGTAGAATAAAAATAAAATAAATAAATAAAATACACACAATACTGCCGGGGAAATGGTATCATGATGCCAGCACTAGCTACAGTCGTGGCCAAAGAAATCCGACTCGCAAGTCAAAAGTAGCATTGCGTTTCCGTTTTAATTACATCATTCACAGTCTAAACACCCACCCGGGGGGCCCCCATTAGCCTTGGCGCTGCTGTCAGCACATGGGTCGGATTTCTTTGGCCACAACTGTAGTTGCCAATGTGTTGGAGGACTTCAGGTGTTGTTGGACTTCATGTGTTGTTGGACTCCATACCCTCACCTAGCAGTACCGGTATGACGTAGCAGTTTTGGTTCTGTGTTTTCCTGCAGGATGTTGTTCAAAATTGAAGGTGTGAAGAGTGTATTTCTAGGCCCAGACTTCTTGACAATCACCAGGGTGCGTGTGCATGTGAACCCAGTGCCTCTGCCATACAAACCAGACTAAGCTGAGCTGCATCCTTGCATGGTTCACAACACGTGACATTGATTGGGGTATTGTGTAGTACAGTGTACTTGCCATGACATTCACTGCACAAGACTTACTGTGTCTGTCAGTCTTGATCTCCCTGAGGACCCATAGGGCTGTTGCTGTAGATTTACGAGGTGTATATTTATGTGCACTTGTGCTTGAAGCACATCATGTATAGCCAGCTGTGTGGGTCGTTGTGACTAATGGGTACATACACGTGCACATGTGTGTACATGTCTGCGTGTGTTTATGTGTATCCACAGACAACCGAAGACCTGGAATGGACGCTAATTAAGCCGCATGTTTTCGCCACCGTTATGGATTTCTTTGCGTCCGGTCTGCCCGTTGTGTCAGAAAATGCCTTTTCTGGCTCAGCTGCTGAAGCTGATTATGGTAAATCCCTTCGCCATCCTGTTATTGGTGTCTTGGATAACCATATTTCATTTTGTAGTGCTGCCAAACAGGCACATTGATGTGACAGCACTTGAGGCCTACAATTAAACTGAAAACTGAAAGAATTGTTGATCTAGGTCACCACTGCTAACTGCTAGTATGTGATGTCACACAATGGGCTAGTATTTTTGACATGACGATGTTGTTGCTGTTGCTGCTGGTGGTGTTGCTGCTGCTCGTTCTGGGATGTGTGTGTGTGTGTGTGATTTATTGTCATATTTTCGCATAGCAGTTTCTGCTATACAACATCACAATTATGTAACAGTCTTTGATTTTGATTAGAATTTTTCTTTGAAGGTTGGATGTTTACCACATTGTCCTTCTTGAGAGTGATGCTGAAAGCCCATTTGCAAAAAAACCCGACTGAGTCATCCATGCGCACGCAGATTGAGAGTGCCTGCACCACATACACTGCACTGTATGCATGCTACTTGACAGTGCAGGATAGGCATGGATAGTCTGTATGTATCGCAGTTTTCTGCGAATCACGGTGATTTTGAGTAGCAGTAGATCGATTTAGCATCGCAAACTGCGATGCGATACAGGATAAATTCATCCCTGATACGTGTGTGTGTGTTTTGTGTGTTTTGTGCTTACTATAGGTGACGACACTGAAACAGTGCAAATGATCTTGGAATTGCTCGACACCCGCATCAGGTACATAATAATGCTGCAGTGCATGTTGTGCTGTGCTAGAGCCGGTATTGCCCTGCAGCCAGCTTGTGATTGACTGGAGTATTGCATAACGGCATGTAAAGTGAAATCGAGTAAGCATCAGTCTGAACCTAGCCCGCCAGTCAATTGTCCTCGACACTGACCTTGGCGTTGTTAACCAAATCCAAGAAGATGAGCTTTTATATGCACCAGTGTTTCCTTCTTTTCTCTATCATGTAGCAATCATTATCAGATTCACTGCCGGGCCGGGCCCTTTGTCTCCTGTAGCGTCTAATAGCAATGGCTCATCAGTACAGACTGCATGGGTTGGACTTTCCTGTGTGGACCTTCATCACAACGAAGAAAAATTCACACAATACAAGAATTTTAAACATTCAGCTTGTTCATTGAATGGATTTTTCTGCGACTGACGGGCGGCTACACATACAGAAGTGCTCTCCAGGCTCTAAGCCGATGCTGCGGGGTTGGTGCTCTCCAGGCTCTAAGCCGAGGCTGCGGGGTTGGTGCTCTCCAGGCTCTAAGCCGAGGCTGCGGGGTTGGTGCTCTCCAGGGGCTACACCGAGGTCACAGGCTGAGACAACGATAGATGCCATAGTCTGTGTGGCATACTAGTAGTGTGCATCGACAAGAGTAGATAAACAAGAGTGTGCAACTCCGGATCTCTCCTGCACAATCTGCAGATACCCGGCGCCCACGGCGGAATTTTTTGTTAACGTCACCTTTTTTCAGAGAAACGCGGATTTTGCCGCAGAGCAGTGTGAGAGCACGTGCTGGGCACCGACCTTGTAGTGTAAAGCCCAGCCAAGTGCACGAGGGAAAACTCTCCAAAAGGCTCGCAGCGCGTGCGTCGTCGAAAAGATTACGTCAACAAAAAATCCCGCCGTGGGCCAACCCATCCGCGAGTTGCACACTCTTGTTTATCTACTCTTGGCATCGATCATCACACTACGTACATGTACCGGTACAGCTGGGCGGATGTGTCCATAATGGAAGTATTTGTTACTGTTATTGATAATGTAATTGTTGTTGACATGGCGTATGCTATGTGTTTCTTTTCTGTTTAGACCAACAGTACAAGAGGATGGAGGGGACATAGAATTTGTTGTGAGTTTTGATCACGTCTTTTTCTCCCTTCTGCTTCAAAAACTTGACAAGAAAGTTATAGGTGTTCTGCCATCGAGACTACGAGATATCCATCTGTAGCAGCAAAATCCTCTTTAGACCTATTATATCCCTCAACACTCAACGATTTCAATGCATAGCAGTTCTAATCCAGGAATGTGTAGTGGATGTAGTACTTGCGGCTTTTGATACTCTGAAAAGCGGCTGCATGCTCCTTTTTTCATCTACTAGTCTTCAACTGAAGTAATGAATTTTAGAATAACAGTTCTTTAGAAGTCAGTTGCAGACTGCCGCAATTAGCTCAACACAGTGGTTCCCTCCTATGCTTATGCCTTGTTGCTACATAGCGAATACTTGAATAGTGATAGTTTGCTTCAAAGTCTCGCCAACTGATCTGTTTATTTTATTTTATTGATGTCTCCACTGGTGTAGTGACAGTGACTGATTAGTGCTTTGTTGGTCTGTTCTGCTCTGTCTTTGCCAGGCATTCACGGGTGGTGTGGTGCAGCTAAGAATGCAGGTACGCGTACGGGAACACACACATATGTGTGTGTGTGTGTGTGTGTGTGTGTGTGTGTGCGCGCGTGAGTGTATGCGCACATGCACTCTCACACTGAGTGTACTATACAGCCATCGTTTGCTACTGTTTGGCAGAGCTGCTTCTCTTTTCATTATCTGCATTGGCATATATGCATTGTGTACCTTGGAAAGTACTGACTGATTGAAGTAGAATTCATTCCTGTTTGGATAAAATTCATTCCTGTTTGGGTAGACGTCATTCCTGTTAGGGTAGAATTCATTCCTGTTCGGGTAGAATTCATTCCTGTTCAGGTAGAATTCATTCCTGTGTGTGACTGACACTGTATGCTCATGCGTTATGGTATTGTCGTACACAGGGCTCCTGTTCCAACTGCCCCAGTTCTACAGCCACACTCAAGCACGGCATTCAGAATATGTTACAGTTCTATGTACCAGAGGTAGAGTCCGTGGAAGAGGTCAGTGTCACTGGTGTGTTGTTCCCTGTCTGTTGTGTATAGTGTTCATGTTGCTTGGCGAACACAGGTTGATCTCTTCATACAGGCATGCACTGTGCAAGTGCGTAGTTGATCTGTACGTAGTGCAGTGGAGAGGCTGCTTGGCCCTAGCACCATGAAGCCTACACTGTGCAACAAACATTGAGTTGCTGTTGGCACGTTAGTTTACGAAATCACCAGAACTTCAATTGTATAGATTTGAGAAACATTATTGACACATATGTTTTGCCTCATGACTGTATTGCTTCATTTCTTAAAAAGTGATCCCTCCATAAAGTTGTGTACACTGTATGTTCGTCTCAATGGGGGAGGAGGGGAGTGAAAGACGGGCAAATATAGTCTTGAGAAAGATATCAGTATTTCCGGAGGGCCGCACATTGCATGCTGCTTTCTCTGTAATTCATAAGTACGCGTGTTGTTTGCATATCTGTGCTACTGTAGGTAACGACAGAGGTGGATGAAGTCAACGATCAAGAATATCAGAAGATGGAGAAGAAACTGGAGGAGCTAAGGCAGAAATCGCATGACAATAAGGAGAACACTTAGGTCTTCCTTGTATTTGCAGAATAACTTTCATTCAGAGCATTTTTGAAGTTAGAGTTTCTATGTAAGGCAATGTGCGCCTATATATAGCATGTACCTATATGTAGCTGCTACAGCCTACAAATATTGTGTACAGCTCCGCTGGAATGATCAGAGAAGCAATAAGTTTCTCCATAAGCACACTGACGGCACTGCGAAGTGAGAAGTCAAGTTTGTTATTTCGGATGCCTTTCTTTGTGGAACAATATTGCACAACTAGCAGCACGTGATCGTGTTTGCTGCTTTTATCTAGCAATGGCTGCTGCTGCTGCTGCTGCTGCTGCTGCTGCTGCTGCTGCTGCTGCTGCTGCTGCTGCTGCTGGATAGCTGGGCCATGTAAAGCAATGACATGTGCATTCAACAGTTTTGTCCGCACGTCAGATCTGTACGAAACTCAAATGTGCCCATCTGTAACTCACCCTGATTACGATGCTTCAAAACTCATCAATACTGCTGCTGTGTTGCTGGGATGGTGAAGATCTGATGTGTGAAATGGGAGATTACTCACTGGAGCTTGGCAATCACTCCTTCGCCTGTAACTCAATGAATGAGTTACTGTCAGACAGTGACATACTGTGTAAAGTAGTTGCATGTACTTGACATTCGAGCTTAGGCACGCCAATAGCATTTATGATTTCTGATCAATGCCGAGGTAGCTTCGCCGTTGTTTTGCCCGGTGCGCTCTCCGAAGGGCTGTTCTGGCTCTGCGTGTTTCTCAACGATCAGCAAGGATCCCCGCCTGGTTGTACTGCGATAACCGGACTTTGCTACTGTACTTCAACACCAAACTTGTCAAAGTTGCGCAACAGCACGGAGACATTGATTTGCACCGTGCCGCTGGATACCGTATGTAGCTGACACCGCTGTGCTGCGTTTACCACTGTACCCTCATCTTTCAACTGAGCAGCGCCTCCCAAGAAGAAACCTGCAATAGAAATGCACATGAGCACACGGCAATGCCCATCTTAGAACTTCGAAAGAAAGTTCATGAGTTCAAAACCTGATCACATCCTTCTGCGAAGCAAGTAATTGATATAATTCTGTACTGCCGAGTACATAATCATCATCATCATCATCATCAGCCCTTTCGCGTTGGCATCGGCGTTAGCCTAGCCTTCGCTTGGGCCACACCCAATGTTAGACATGATACCAGAAGAGAAGGGGAGAAAAAGAGAAAGAAAGCAAAACCAAAAACGAAAAAAGGGAAAAATATAGGTGAACAAACTCTTGATCATACGCATACTATTCAAAGACACTAACAATGCAACACGCTGGTGCAGCACTAGCACATTGCAAGTAGCCATAAGTAAGTTAGACCTGTTCAGGTCTAACTGCCGAGTACACATGACAGAAACGATATTTCGTAGTACTTGTATATCCTCAAGATCAGCACAATGCATCATATCGCAGTGGCTGGTGAAAAGGAATAGTATTTTCATCGACTGGAACCTGCCAAAAACACAGAGTACTAAAAAAAACGTTGAATACTTCAACAATTACATGTACATGTTTCCACATGCAGCTACTTCCTGTGGTGGTCACTTACTGCTAAGCTGATCTCTTGCTGTGCCTCTTGGCTTCCATGTGACACACTGTAATTGATGTGAGCCTGGCGTAGTAGGTAGATGACAGAAGCCATAGCCACCTGCACAGCAAAGCATGAAAGAAGATGTGGCTTTCTCGTTCATATTCCTGCGGTTACATACTTGTAGATTTACTTGAAGTGTGGACGATACATCTGGTGTGCTAAGCTGCCCTCCCCCCCCCCCCCTCCCTTTACTATGGGAGTTTTCCGGGTGTCAGAGCACTTCCACCAGAACACCTTAGCTCTTGTGAAGAGCCTACACAGTGTAACATGCTGTCAAAATCGAAAAACATATTAAACTACCAAGCAAGGCTTCTGTATATACAGTGAGACATCGCAGTCCATCACGCAAATACTGACTCCGCAAATGACCAGAGAAACCCGCCTTCAGCAGCAGGACCGACTCAGTCTTCCAGTTGCAAATACAAACGCTGCCAAGTCGAGGTATGCCTTCAACGCTACAGGTAAATGGAACAGGTTACCTAAAGACGTCCGCTCCAGCACGACGCTGGAGACCTTCAAAGCTGCAGCAGTACCTTACACAATTGGTCATTGACTGTGCCTGTTGTATTCCTTGCTAAATACTTCGAAGTACCTGGAACAGTAGCTAACGCCATGTTTGACTATGGATCCATACTATTGATCTCCAGCTGACTATCATTTCCAGTGCATACACTTTTTTTCTTCCCTCTTTGCCGCTACCTTGTTATTGGGAAGAAATTCCCGTTTGGATTTTGCGAAGTAAAACAACAAAGTTTAAAAAACTACCCTTGCTATCGATAACATAGCGAGTTCCTTGTACGTGTACATACATGTAAACCGGTGTGATCACCATTATTTGCCATGTAGTGATGTTTGTCCAGCAGGCCTGTGCCCCGTATGGGTTCCTGGGTGCCCGGAACCCCCTTTTTCCCTCAAAATGCAGGATTTTGCTTCATTTTTTGAATTTTTTTTCCGGGGGAGGTCCCCCGGAAACCCCCCTTGAAGGGCACCGGCGCACGCGCCTGTCCAGGGTGCGCAGACTCCACCTGCAACCAACTCATATTATCTATTTCAGTAAGTCAGTCACCAACACTCAGCCAGGTCCTTTATACAATTACTTGAAGTACTTTTTGAAGTACAGTCAGACCTCGTTTATCCGGTCCTCTTTTATCCGGATCCCTCGCCATCCGGACGAAAATTGTTGATTACCGATTTTTAAGCATACATGTATGTCATGCATATATACAGTATGTACATGGTTGTTCGATTATCCAGTTCCCTCGCCTATCCGGATTTTTTTGTGTGAAACGGATGTGTGCGGTTATGCGAGGTCTGACTGTACACTGTGTATGGTGTGTATGTGCGTATGGTGGGTATAGTGATTGCCAATAGCAATACTCACTAAGTTCACATTGGCCGAATAGTCCTTGACTCCAGACCTCTACCTGAATCTTTGGCCAACCTTGGATTGCCTTGCAGGCAAAGTGCAAGTCTACAGCGACGCGCACACAAGACAAACTCAGAAAGTTGTAAACAGCGACATGGCTCTACCCACCGCTCTCCGCATCATTGTACCACAGTGGTTGTTTACTGGATCTGCTTAGTCCACATTCAACACAGCAGCACGTGTCATGTACATGTATGCAGCGGCACTGCAGATTGCATTGCCGCTGGTTACTCAATACGTACCGAGAGGGTACTCAATACGTACCGAGAGGGTACTCAATACGTACCGAGAGGGTACATGTACTCAATACGTACCGAGAGGGTACTCAATACGTACCGAGAGGGTACTCAATACGTACCGAGAGGGTACTCAATACGTACCGAGAGGGTGACTCCAATAGAAGCATGACGTGTCCTGTGGGAAACCAGGTAGAACAAAACGCAGTTCTTCAGGGGTGAACCGTGTCTGCCGTGGCACACATCAATACAATTTCTTCAATCCATCCTTTCAGTCAATCCTCGGTAGTATAGTGGTAAGTATCTCCGCCTGTCACGCGGAAGACCCGGGTTCGATTCCCGGCCGGGGAGGACATTTCTTTTCCTCAATTTTTTGATGAACATGGCCTTTAAACATTTTTGCTTGCAATTATTTTGCAATGCCCATTGAAGTCCCAGCTTCCTTATGCCATAGCATATTCATGTGTGGGAAACCAGGTAGAACAGAACGCAGTTCTTCAGGGGTGAACCGTGTCTGCCGTGGCACACATCAATTCAATTGCTTCAACCCATCCTTCCAGTCAATCCTCGGTAGTATAGTGGTAAGTATCTCCGCCTGTCACGCGGAAGACCCGGGTTCGATTCCCGGCCGGGGAGGACATTTCTTTTCCTCAATTTTTTGATGAACATGGCCTTTAAACATTTTTGCTTGCAATTATTTTGCAATGCCCATTGAAGTCCCAGCTTCCTTATGCCATAGCATATTCATGTGTGGGAAACCAGGTAGAACTAAACGCAGTTCTTCAGGGGTGAACCGTGTCTGCCGTGGCACACATCAATTCAATTGCTTCAACCCATCCTTCCAGTCAATCCTCGGTAGTATAGTGGTAAGTATCTCCGCCTGTCACGCGGAAGACCCGGGTTCGATTCCCGGCCGGGGAGGACATTTCTTTTCCTCAATTTTTTGATGAACATGGCCTTTAAACATTTTTGCTTGCAATTATTTTGCAACGCCCATTGAAGTCCCAGCTTCCTTATGCCATAGCATATTCATGTGTGGGAAAACAGGTAGAACAAAACGCAGTTCTTCAGGGGTGAACCGTGTCTGCCGTGGCACACATCAATTCAATTGCTTCAACCCATCCTTCCAGTCAATCCTCGGTAGTATAGTGGTAAGTATCTCCGCCTGTCACGCGGAAGACCCGGGTTCGATTCCCGGCCGGGGAGGACATTTCTTTTCCTCAATTTTTTGATGAACATGGCCTTTAAACATTTTTGCTTGCAATTATTTTGCAACGCCCATTGAAGTCCCAGCTTCCTTATGCCATAGCATATTCATGTGTGGGAAACCAGGTAGAACAAAACGCAGTTCTTCAGGGGTGAACCATGTCTGCCGTGGCACACATCAATTCAATTGCTTCAACCCATCCTTCCAGTCAATCCTCGGTAGTATAGTGGTAAGTATCTCCGCCTGTCACGCGGAAGACCCGGGTTCGATTCCCGGCCGGGGAGGACATTTCTTTTCCTCAATTTTTCGATGAACACGACCTTTCACATTTTTGCTTGCAATTATTTTGCAATGCCCATTGAAGTCCCAGCTTCCTTTAATTAATATGTCATAACATATTCATGATGGGCTATTCCACAGTGTCAACAACAGTAAAACTGTTGTTACTGAAGAGTGAAGTACAGTAACTTTACTTCAACTGAGACCATGCAGCCCGGGATACAATTACACTGACCTGTGGTGCATCAACCTGAGTTTGCCCTTCAGCACAGCCTTCGAGTAACCTCCATGAGCTACCATGACTAACCGTCCATTTGCAGAACAGGCCTGACGCCGAGAAGCCCGTAGCACCGACAAGCTCGCCAATCACATGTACTTCCGCCATTCAACTGCAGTGTCGTGTAACTACTCCACACCGTGACCAGTTCACTTATTGAGTCTATCTAGGCAATGTCAGGCACTGACCATGAGCCTGTAGCCAACTAACTCGGCAGCGCTCCGGCGAGTCTAATTGGCTACGCAAACATTGGATTTAGGGACTATTCGCCAGTTTCTTCTCCTTCGCGCAAAATCGCTAATGTTTGAGACACTCGCGCGCTACTCGTACGCCGCTAGCGCTAGCGCTTCACACACTCGTACACAAAATCACAATCATACTGATGTATGGAATCGAGCATGAGTACGAGGACGAAAGTGCGGAATCGGAGCCCGACGCGCGCTAGCGCGGAGGGCTCCGATTCTAGCACTTGAGTCCGAGTACGAATGCTTTGATACCATTTCTGACATGCATTGCACGAACTACTTCGTACTACTAGTACTAGTACTACTACATGTAGTACTTCACACATACCTAGTACCTACTCAAGGCACGCACACTAGACCAGACAAGGAACACAACTAGTCGCCAGTTTAGTACTTCAGACATGTTACATAATGACTAATGTACACAGTCACAACACAGAGATTAGTCTTAGTCTTTCATACCGGCGCTCCACTCCCGCCTAAAAAACTCCCGCCTAAAAAAAAAAAAAAAAAAAAAAAGCGGCCTCTGATGGCTGAATCGGAGCACGCCTAGGCGTGCTCCGATTGGAAAATCGGAGACCTGCAAGCGCTCACAGGTCTTCAGTGGCTGATTCAAAGCACGGCAAGTCGCGCTAGGATTCGCTGTTGCCATGTCGATTGTCATGTGACATGTCAGAATCATAGTTTTTGCAGCATAGTCGAGATGCTTCCCCGGTAATCATCTCCCTGGAAACCATGAAACGATGCTTTGCTGGGCGACGATTGTGAATGTGTGAACAGACCAGCCACTGGCAATCAGAAGCAGTCTGGTCAAGTACTCGTACAACTACAAGTCATGTACTGTCTACTGATGTAGATCTACTCGGCTCGGATCGTCCGCAGTGTAGATCTACTGCGTCTTGACTGAAGAGTAAACCGTCCGTGAACAGGGCGGGAGCTCTGTTGTGCCTTCTGCCGGTCAGCTGAAGTGAAGTGGCACTGCGGGATCGTCTGCAAGTCATGAGAAAAATATTACACTCAGGCATTTTATCAGGTGGAGTGCAGCCAGCCGTCACAGTCCCAACGACTTCCCCATTCCTTGAAATCTTACTTTTGATCTGTGATTGTAATATTAGTCTATGTTGGCTTCATCATTGTAACCTTTGTGCGTCTAGTCTTCTTAGTTACTGTCTAGGTACTGTACTAGGTCATCTAGTGACCACAGCTGCGCACACCCCGGTACATTGTATATTTACGCAACACAGCCAAACAAGTCATGTCACATAACAGGCTCTGTACTGGGCCCGAGGAAGGACTGCAGTGCTCCACGTCCTGCACAGCGTGTGAACACCTGTGCTTGTAAATACATTGTATGACTAACAACTAAGGAGTCGGTGTGCGGTACATGTATACAGGTGAGGGTATCTCACTGGCGGGTACAGAACAGAAATCTCGAAAATTACTAGTTACAGCAGCAACAGGTTTGCCGAATGTGGCAATGTAGTAATAAAACTAGCAATGTCTAGTCGTGGGTCAGTCAAGTGTCAAGTCGGCGGAAAATCGCGAGCTCCGGTGTGGGAAGCGAACACATTAATTATCTTTTAAATGTCTACTCGCAACGATGAACATCTTGACATTTCTTGTGTCCGAGGAAACTGTACATGAACATCATAACAGTTACTGACTGTACTGCAAACGAACAAATGTTACCAATGAATGATAATAGCATCAAAGTAGCGTTGATATAAGCATGATAAGTGGCCCTCCTCTTATCTCCCTCTCTAATCTCGTCCACCAACACACCTCTCCGATCCGGGTGGCCTGTAAGTCTGACTCAAGTCTGACGGGTATCATACCCAATATATTTTTCATGTTCACGAGGTGTTTGTCGCGCTGGAAACGGAGCGTCTCTGTAAGTTTGTATCCCTGGTGATGTTTGTGCCTGGAGAGCACTATAATTATAAGTGGTGCTCTTCAGGCACAATCTTCCTCAGCCTACTCAAGCTCAACTGATGAGGGGTGAATTCCCCGAAACACTGTGTATTGAGCAGGGAGTGGTGCTTTCTTGCAGGTTTGCCGAGTCGAAGGTTCGATGGACTTCTCGTGTGCTCTGGATGGCAGTCGCGAGTCAGTCAAGTGTCAAGTAAAGTCGGCGGAATAGCGCGAGCTCCGGTGTTGGGAGCAAACTCTTTAGTACATGACTTTGCAGATGCTATAACTAGTATGTAGACAAAGACTTTTAAAAGTTTCTGAAGTCCGTAGACACACATGTTTGCCGTAGTATTCGTACATGTACAGGAGTAGTATAGGCTAAGGGGGAGGTACTTACACGTACATGTACTAGTATGTATAATGTTGTACTAATGCCCACTAGCCATGCATCTTCATTGCTTCCAGTTATACAGTGGTATAGGCTAACACGTTTGGGATAAAGCAAAACAAGTCATGTTGGCAGCCGGCGACTAGAACCGCCCATGGAATGCCCAGGGGACTTTGCTCATTGCTAGCGTCGGTTACAGCATGCAGCCTGTACATGTACAATGGCAGTCTGTACATGTACATACCCTGTACAATAGCAGATTAGTTAGAGTGCTCAACACCACAAGGATGGAGCAATACCACAAAGGCAGAAGAGAACAGAGACAACCAGCTAGATCATCATTGTTATTTCACCTTGTTTCATGCTGTCAATCTAACAATTGCGTGAACAACAACAAGGTTTCTCTAATGCTGGTTTACCAGTGTTGCCTGTGACTATCATATCATCATTGTTGTAACGCTGCGTTTCATGCACACAGCAAGGCTAAGAGTAAGACAATCCTCAGACAACTCAATTTCTCTGTTCTCTTCTGTCTTTGTGTACATACATGTACATTGCACATGTAATTGCAAATTGGCCAACCCGTTATCATCTCTTGTAGAGGATACATGTACATAACGGGTTGGCCAAATTGCAATTACATGTGCACAGTGTAAACTGTTCTCCATCTGCCATGCACAATCAGGTCCTGGACTCAAAGCAAACAATGCAGCCTGTAGTCAATACGTCCTGCTACTGGCTGTAGACTCAGTAGGTTCCCATTCCTGGAGCCGTGCATACTGAATAACTGTTACTGCCACTGGCCACGCAGAGGATGATGTTACTGTACACCTACAATGCGGCCAGAGTAAGACAACATACACGTAGGATGGAGCTGGTCGTACACAGTGCAATCAAGTCCCAAATCAAGTCCACAATCCGATTATCGTGACTGGATGTTTTCATACGTCCTCACCCTCCCTACCCATCACAACTCCTACTGCCCAAGTTTTGATTTCACCCACTGCTTTGTTACTGGACGTACAGTACGCCGCGGCGCCACAAACAGCACAACCATTAATTTTACAACCACCCTTCTCCAATGGTTATGTTGTCACTTCACTACGGTCCTGGAGGATGGATAAGCAAGAACATCCCCCCCCCCCCCCCCACACACACCCGAGCTCTTGAAAGCTAGCCACGGAAACTTTTACTTTCTGAGCTTTTTCTGAAGCCAATGACAAACTGAAGTACATTAATAATGTAAATGGGTTGGTTGCCTGGCTCTGCCTGAACTCCAAGTAAGTCAAAGATGTTGCAATGCTTCCTTGTCTTCAGGCTCCTACATGTATGCGGGCAACCCCTCGAAGTCTATCCTAGGAGTTCGTGAATTGCAGGGCTTCAGTTCAAGTGAAACCCTCACGTATCACAAGTCTAATGAACTAGCAAGAGTACTGGGGGTTATGTAGCTTGAGTCTTGACACAGTAATGTCCAGTGGACGTAGAACCTACATGTACAATCATGTACATGTAGGTGCTTCCATGCTGAATGTGCGTGATGAGTGGGATCCAAGCCTAGGACAGAATTACATGCATGGACAAATGCAATAAAAGTCATGTAGGTACACTGCCGCTGAGTCCAACCTTTCAGACGACCTTACCACAGAGTCCACGTCCACGTCCGCAGTGCAAAGGCGCGTGTAGATGTGCCAGAATGGTCCACCTTCATTCGCAAACAACCACACCGGCGATGGAACCCATCAAGTGGCCCTGCTCCGACCGTGACATAGCCTTCCTGGCCAAGTTACCACCAAGCTTTCAAGTCTCAACGATTCTCAGGTTATTATCATTCTACGTATGTTTGTGGTGGTGTACAATACGGTCATGTGCCTACGCCCTAGCAAAGGCCCCGGAAATGCCCTCCCTCATGCAAAACCTATCGCGGTAACTAATAATCCGAGAGACGTCGTAAAATACTATACGACTTCCTGAGTGGAATGCATTATTTATTATTATACGCATTCCCGCGTTGAAGTGTAGCAGCAGTATGCTGCGTCCACAGCTTCGCTTATGCAGAATGGCAATGCATCTGCCATCATTAATTCGTTAGTAATGAATTAATGTAACCAGTTTATAGGGTAATGATTACCCTATAAACTCCTATCAACTGGTTAGATGCCAGTAGCAGCCACCCTTCTCAACTTTATCTGTTGAAGGAATAAGCAGTACTACAAGTAGTGGTAAACTCGCCAAAGTTTTACTTGTGAATCCTTTCTCTTCAGTAGATCTTGGCACCTAGTAGATCTACCTACCGTGGCCATGTGTTTTAAATGAACTTTTAATCATGGCTGGTGTAGCCGTAGTAAAGATACTGGCAGATTTACATACTACAAGTAGTAGTCATTAACATTTTAGTATTTACCTTGTTTACATGTGCAAGTTAGTTAGTTGTCAATGTCATGCATGGTCACTGGTCCAAGCAAATAGACTGGCGTAATCAAGGGTAAGTCTACGTATTCACGAACTAGGATTGGACGGCAACATTCTTATCCAGGCTGGAGTGTACAGGTTCGTACACTTTTCACACCCAACCGGGAATGTAAATACTAGTAACTGTTACCCAAACCACCGTCCAGTTGTAGATATTTACATCATCACTGACAGTTCGTGTTCTACCTGCGTCTTGCGGATCGTCAGTCAAGGCTGCCAAGTCCGTGAGAAAGCAATAAAGGGCAGTGTTAGCGAGTTGCATGGGAAGAAACACCTTTCGTTTGTCTACATTGAAATCTGCTGCGTGTATTCCTCCCAGGGCCTTTGCAGCGGGAGGTCTTCCGAGCGGCTGCCAGGCAGATGTCCGCCAGGCACCCCATGCATTCGTACACCCAGCGCAGCGGTAGTGCGGAAATACTACTGGTGATGCTGTCACGAAGCGCTAAAAAATTCCAATCCCGAATTGTCTCTCTCTCTCTCTCTCTGCGAGACGCACGTACACGCAGATCTACTCGAACGCGCTGAGTTGCGACATCAGTCATGAGCTGCAGCACTGTGGTTGGTGTTGTGCTGGTCGGAATGTTTGTATCGCGAATCGGACACGCGCCAGGGTGACCGTCACGTCAACCCTGCACTGCAGGCCTGGTCATTCGCTGCACTCGCCACACACACACTGCTACCCGCAAGCTATTACATTTATGGTACATAGCCATGGCCATCTCTGACCTCTCCGGCCCCGAGGACGGTTTCATTTTTCAGACTACAGCAAAGACATCACCACCGTTTTGCACTGCGATCTGGAATTATTACAGAGGTGTTCGTCACAGGGTGCAGTTTGTGAAAACTCTTTTCTGCTGAAATCATTGTCGGGTTGGTGCCGGGCTGATGAGTAGATGATGATGGAAGAAGGTTCGAGGAGAAAAATGTCGCACATCCCAGCTCTGCTGTTGTCGCTATGTTGCTGTATGTGGCAGGCACCTGTAACCGAGGCATACTTGTCAGGAGGTAAGATGATGCTTGTTTGTAACCACGTAACTGTTGTTAGCTGTGATCATCTCCATTGTCTGATAGTGTGTACAGGCGTATACGTGTAACGAAGTAGTTGTCATTCGTGGCTATTTTTCTAACGCGCTGTTGTATCGCCACTACACTATCGGTGGGTTTCTCCAGCCCTGGACAACAGTTTGCTGCATCCATCCATCCACTCTACCCCGAACTCTTCTACTACTTTGAAGTAGGAATTACACGGACGGAGAGTTCTATCTAGACTTGAGTCAATGACAATGACTGTCACAAGGTATATGTGTGGCTGTGTGGCTGATACTGTGATAGATGTCACAGTGGCTTGCTTTCCCTGTGTCACCGCACAGCTACATGTACCTTCATGAGTTGTTAGAGTGGAGGCTGGAAACTACTTGTGGAAAGACCCCCAATAACCATGATAACGTTACCACAGTGTCAGGCAGTAGAAACTGGGGTGGACTGAGACAGTGGAAAGGCAACCTGTCGGCAAACACCGACGTCCGTCTCTGGAGTCAAGAACAGGTGTAAATTTCATGCAATAATTGTCCAGACGTTCAGAGAGTTCATCATGATCCATTGCATGCATGGTACCCACTGCCAGGCACTGGGCTAGTAATGACCTTTACTTTAGTGGTGGTTTCCAGTCCTCTTGGGCAGGAGTTGCATGCACTGAGCTGGAGATAAATCATTGTCTACAACTACAAGGCAGACAGGCTACATAAGCAGGACATAGCACTAGTCATCTTGCAAAATCCCGGTAACTTACTAGGTAACTTACTAATACTAGGTAACTTACTAGCCCCAAATGCCCACAGTAGCTTTCAAGCACTGCACACATTGTTCCGGAATACCCAGACTGGACCAGAGACCATGCAAGCCAATGTGGACCAAGTTCTAAAACCCAAACACAAGGAACAACACACATTCCTTACCTACCCTGCAATGCTGTGTGGCACTGCTGTGGCCAGTGTAGGATTCTGTGTGCACTACATTGAAGCAATGATTCAACCGCACTGATACTATCAACCAGGACCCTATTGTCACACTGGTAACAGCTTGCAACACATTAGTTTACTTCATGCAGCCATGAACTGCCCACATTGCCCACTGCAGTGAGTGAAAACACCATTCATGGCCCGTAACTAACTTGTTACTTCTGCAGTAACACGTTAGTTGCAACAAAAATCAAATCTGATTGTCTCAGTGCCTCACGTGTACAACAGTATTCATAATCTTCATATACATGTACGTAACTGCGAGCCACTCGTTGTTATGGTGGCTATGGTGGCTATGGTGGCTATGGTGGCTATGGTGGCTATGGTGGCTATGGTGGCTATGGTGGCTATGGTGGCTATGGTGGCTATGGTGGCTGAAACTGGTCACTTCAGATTTAAAACAAACATGTAGCTAAATAACTGGAGTGCGTGATTTTTGTGATAACAACTATTGCATAAAGTGCATAAATTGCATAAAGTGCTAAATTTGACAACTCTGGGCCATGTCCAAAGCATTCAAAGACACCTTCAACTGATGCAATTATCCATCGCTCTTTCCAGTAATGAATAGGACCTATGACTGCAGTGTACATGCAAGTATGGCCAGCAGAATCCAGACTGCTACAGTACTGCATGCACATGTAGCTATCCCATGACATGGTCAACACGGCCAACGTCTTGGCTACTAGGTATGCAGCGCATGCAGGAGAGTCCACAGAGCTTAGGCCTTAGGCCGGGTTCAATGAACTATGCAGTACACATAAATCATGGGAATGCTGAGCTGATACGTGTGATTCATAACACTGGGATGGGTAGTCAGTGCTCAGCGTTAGTAACACTTGCCGCACTAAACTGTTGCTGAACAAGGCAATTGTAGAACAGTTTGTCACAGGTTGATCATGCAGTATCACTGAATGGGGCAAGGGATCACCGTACTGCCCTACCCCTCACTCAGTACAGTGTGTTCCAGCTAATGTCACGTGGCGGATGTATAGTGGTGCTGGCACACAATAATATGGATGCTGGCTCATTGCTGGCATCAATAATATAATTATAAACTATTTTTCGCGCCATCGCCCTAGGTTTTCATTTGGCTACCTGCCACAATTAGCCCCTGCTGCTGCTGGGCCCCCATGTGCCTCGCGCTGAAAGTCTTCTCTGTCATTGAACTATTACACTCGTGATCGATCATACATCCTGCTTTCCTCAGTGCTGTGCTCATCACCATGCAGTTTTTAGTGCACCTTCCCTTTATAGGCCAAGGCACGCCTATCAGCCGATCCATTATTTTGTCTGATGATTGGCCCTGTTGCCATGGAAGCTCAGAGTTACAACAGTATACAGTTTCCTGGCATTGTGAACTTGTGTAAACCATTGGTTGGTATTCTCTTGCTGGGATTGATTTGGAGTTTTTGAACCTAGCCTTTTGTCAACTTTCCTTTATTGGGTTCATGAGTGATCATGATGACTGTAACCTAGACAGAAAAAGAACTGCATCATCATGACTCAGTCGAAGAGCCTGGACTGACTTAACCACCCTGTGTCTATCTGTGACTTGTTTCTTGTTTCTGCAGCTTCATCAGGTATCACACAGACTGTACCAGTTTCAGTCCTTGAAGATGTTCCTCTGGGCACCAGTGTTTATCAAGTTGAGACTGACCAACCAGCCCGGTCATTTCGGATAGTCAGTCAGAAGAGCTACGGCGTGGAGGTGACGAAGGCAGTGTTTGAGATCAACAGCTGCTCTGGTGAGATCACCAGCAGCCAAGCTCTAGATAGAGAAACCACTGCTGAGTATCATATCACGGTCGGTGTTCAACTAGCCGGAACAAATTCCTCCAGCCAACAGCAAACTGGTCAGCAAAGCTATCTCTTGACCTTGCACATAACTGTGCTGGACGTGAATGATAACGCTCCGTATTGCAATGCGAATGGCTCATTCTCCAGCTCTGTGCCGCTCAATACTGCAGTGGGCGATCAAATTCAGTTTCGTTTCGATACCCTGTGCATTGACGCAGACATGCCGGACACAAATCACAGCAAGCTAGAGTGGGAGCTATTGGACAGCAATCACAAGAACACTCTCTTCTGTATAGATCAGCTGTCGGGTGGTATTGTGCTGTGCCGGGCATTGAACTCAACTCTACTTGGTAGCATGATCTCTCTACAAGTGTTGGTTAGTGACTGGGGTATGCCTAGCCTTTCCACCACTGTCCAACTGGATGTCGTCATTACACAGGCAAACTGGCACTCACCTGTGTTCAACACATCCATGCTGCACTTTACCGTGCATGAAGATGTAATGCCGGGAACAGTGGTAGGAGCGGTCCGGGCAGCTGATGCTGACAATGGCCAGCAATCTCAAGTCATGTACAGTTTGCAGGCTAGTGATAAATTCCAGCTGGACACCTACAGCGGAGCACTGACCGTGACGGGTACTCTTGACTATGAACATCAGTTCCAGCACAGACTAGAAGTGACAGCAACGGATTCAGCTCGGGTCGGTGCACGGCTATCAACTATAGCTGAGATTGTTCTGGACGTGCTGAATGTGAACGAGCCACCAACACTTGAATATAGACCAGCTAGCATACGCATCGGCGAGGATAGTCCCGAGGGTACGAATCTTGCCACTCTCGTCTGCACAGATCCTGAAGATGACATAGCCAATCTTACGATCAACGTCCCCACTGGTGTTGTGTCCTACAACAACACAGACTCTCAGCTGAAGCTAGCTACAGCTGTAGATGCTGAAACCGTCCACAGTTTGAGTGTAAGAGTTGTATGCCGTGATCAGGGAGAGCCGAGTCTGAACGATACACTGCATATCACAATCACCGTAAACGATGTCAATGAGCACACTCCACAGTTTTCAACCGTGAACAGGTACAGGTTCGTCGTGGCGGAAAACGTATCCGCTGGGTCTGCTCTAGGCAAAGTACATGCCTCGGACGCCGACAGGCCGCCATCAAACAACATCACCTACGCGCTAAGCTCATGTTCCGCCGGTCCCGTGCAGTGTTCAGTATTCCAGCTCTCCAACTGCACTGGTGTTTTGAGCATTCAAGACTCTCTGGACTATGAGAAGGTATCAGAGTATCACCTAGTAGTGGCAGCATACGATAGTGGACAGCCGTCTCGCCATAGCACTGTGCCAGTGGATATCGTGCTTCTGGATGTCAACGATAATGCACCTGAGTTCCGAAAACTGCACTATGAGCAGACGGTTATGAGCAGCACCTCAATCGGAACAAGTATCTTGTTTGTGTCGGCGCACGATGAGGACGCAATAGACGAAAATAACCTACGCTATGCACTGCTGCAGGGAATCTCTGCATTTCGGATCAATGCAACAACTGGTTTGGTGACATCAGCAGCAGCAGCACTAAATGACACGCAGTACAACATCATAGCCGTGTGCTATGACAGTGCGTCGCAGAGTCCAGGTCACATGACCCAGGTCAACATCACTATTAATGTGGTGGATACTATTCAGAATCTAGCGGCACCCAACGTCAGAGATACAACTATCACAGTCAGAGTGGCAGAGAACACTAACCTAGATTCCATTCTCTACACTATTCAAGCAAGCGACAAGGACCCCGGTGCTGCTGGTGAGATCCTGTACGAACTACTAAACTGTTCGGCTAACTGTGAGAATGTGATGGAATTGGATCCCTTGACAGGTGAGCTACGGTTACACGGACAACTGGATTATGAAGACACACCGGAGTACGTATTGCTCATCAGGATAAAAGACAACGGCAAGGCGATTGGCTTGCAAGAAAAGTCCACACTGCTGCTACTCAGGTTGCTCATTGTGGACTACACAGAGGCGTACTTTGTGGAAGATCTCTACTCATTCAATGCCTTGGAGGGATCCACAAATGTTGGCAAGTTGGTTGGCAAGGTAGAATGTATGGACAGAGACGCTAATAGTACAATCTCATCCCAATACAGCATTGACCGAGGTAGTGTTGCTGCCGTCTATCCGTTCAACATCACACCAACTGGAGAGCTCTACACAACACAGGAACTGGACTATGACAACAAAACAGCAACAAGACTGTATGAGTTGACCATCATCTGTGCAGTGGGGTCAAGCTCAGCTCAGACAGTCGTTGTCATCCATGTTGAACCCGTAAATGAGTTCAGGCCGTGTCCGGACCTCCAGTCGTCCAAACGGACAAAGTACTTAAGCCTTCGAACATATAACCATATGGTTTTCCTTGTCCATGAGAACGAACAAGCAGGGGTCCAGTTAGCAAGGCCAATATTCACGGATGCTGATAGCCCAGACACAGGCGATGGACAGTTGACATTTGAGCTAAAACCACTGGTGAATATGTCCACAAACCCGCTCGGTATAGACCCAGTTCTTGGCACAATCTATCTGACACAAACAATCAAATGGACTTGGGAGGGACGGATCCTTCCATATACGCTGATCACGAAGGACCAAAGCGGCGCTTTGTACAACACGCGTATTAATATGCTCATCATTGACACGAACAACAAGATTCCCAAATTCAATATCTCCTCTCCAGTGCGTGTGAGTATAGATGAGTCAGCTGCACAGGTTGGTGATCAACTACTTGCTGTGGAATGTGCTGATGATGACTACAGTCTGCTGAAGGGTGGTCAGGTGATGATCCATCTCTCCACAGACAATGGTGCAATGCATCTGTTTAGACTGGACAGCATCAACTGGCATCCGCACAGCAGTGCCATCTCCATACTACGACTCAACAGGCGCGTACTGAATGAGACTGTGAACCATCACAACGTCACGCTGGTATGTGGCGACTTGGCAGAACCGTACCACACTGTCCAACTGAACATCGCCGTTGACATCATCCGACACAATCACCATGCACCGGTTTTCCAGCACCCGTCCTACATGGCATCAATCAGAGAGAACGCCTCCATTGGTAGCAGTGTGTTAGCAGTGAGTGCCAGTGACATGGACCGAGGAAGTCATGACGTCATCGCATACAGTATAGACAACACAACACGCATGTTCCACATTGACCAACACACTGGACTGGTATCCGTAGCACGACCACTGGATCGGGAACGCCAAGCGGTGTACGAATTCTACGTCACAGCTGCGGATGGACACGGGGGAAATTCCTCTGCGTTGGTCACAGTCATACTTGAAGACGTCGATGACAACAAGCCATCATTCAAGTCACCACTGTACACAGCCAGTATTCTGTCCAGCGCTGACGTAGGATTTATTGTACTGGCTATGCAGGATGTTGATCTTGATCTACCAGAGAACGCACATACTAGATACACATTGCAGTCAAACCAGACACTGTTCTCTGTCAACGCATCCATCAATGCCATTCAAGTGAACAGTACTGCACTGCCACAGTTCAATACAACTGTTTCATTTGGAATACAACTAGCCGATGATCACTATCCAGGTCTGACTGATACGGCAATGATCTCTGTCCAGATTGTCCAGCAGCAGGCAGTGAAGGAACATACTCAGCAGTTTACATCATCCGTGTACACAGTGAACATGAATGAGACAGTCACAATCCAACGTAAGCCGGTTCCTGTCATCTCTCTATCCACTGTGGACGATAGTGCTGGCAGTGGTAGCGGTGGCAGTGAAGATACCCGCACTGAATCAGATGTGCACTATCTACTCGTTGACCCGTACCGACTATTCACAATCAACCATACAACGGGTGAGGTACTTCTGACCGGGCCACTGGACTATGAACAGAGAACACAGTACACGCTGTACGTGCAAATGTATTCCCAGTCAACAGTGTCTCCAGCTCAGCAGTGGCTAGCCTTGCGCACCCAGAGTATACTGTATGTGAATATCATTGACGTGAATGACAACTACCCGGTGCCTGAAGCACACCTATACAAGGTGATTGTTAGCTGGGATGATCCCGTCGGCAAGGCATTGACCACAGTACAATGTACAGACTCGGACTCAGGCGACAATTCCAGAATCAGCTACAGCGTTGCAAGCCAGCCATCTCCTCCACCGATTGCCGTCGACGGCACAAGTGGTGTGGTGACGCTAGCCACAGCCATGAATCAATCTCTTGTACCGTCAATAGCAATACAGATGTGGTGTTCTGATCATGGCCAACCACCTAAAGTGGCACACTTCACTTTTCAGTTGGCTACCCGGGCTGTTAACCATCACACACCACAGTTTAGTAGTGCTGTGCTGTATATCACAGTACAAGAGACCACTGCTGTCGGCCAGTCGGTGGCACCGCTCAACGCTACTACACTGCTTGCTACTGATCCCGATCCCGGCAGATCCGGTCTGATATCGTACTCTGTGAGCGGTGGAACTGGCACCCAGCACTTTGACCTGAAAGCAAACGGCTCGTTGACAGTATTGCGAGCGCTGGATCGTGAGACAACTGCCCAATACACGTTAAACATACAAGCAGCTGATGCAGGAACTCCACCGAAGTCTTCAACCGCAGTTGTAATTATCACCATCAGCGATGCCAATGACAACACACCAACATGTATACAACAAGCAATGGTTAACATCCAGGAACTTGCTCCCGCTGGCACCACGGTAGCCACAATGTCATGCTCAGATGACGATGCAAGTGGTAACAATCGCTTACACTTTGCCCTAACCGCTTGGCCAGCTCAAAACCTATTCACTGTGGGATCGTCAAGTGGTATTGTTTATTTACAGGAAGCACCAAGACAGCAAGAGCGTGGCCGCTATGCCTTGACTGTGCGTGTATCGGATAATGGCAACAGGTCGACTGTACAAACATTTACAGTGAATATTGTTGGAAAGCCTCCAGTCTTCATGGTGAGCACTGGGAATCACACCATGAAAAGCAGCGCCGGTATTCAGTACACTGCTGAGGTCACAACTAACCTGCATACATTCAGCAATGGCAAGGCAATCAACACTAGCTTGCTCTCCTTGCACGCAAGCGATCCAGGTTTCCCAGAACGAACGGGAAATCTCTATTACAGGCTGGTTGCCGATGCCAACAATTTCTCGTCGTTATTCCGCTTGGATGGATGCAGTGGCAGCCTGGGTGTGTCACCGCATGCTTTCTTTGATCAGTTCCTTGTCTACAACCTCACAGTGACAGCAACAATCCGTGGACAGCCGAATCTATCCACTAATGTGAGAGTAAGTGTGAGAATTATTGCTGAGAGTCCAACTACCCAGCCACCGACTACCCAGCTGGCAACCACGATACCAACCACCATCCCTCCAACAACCACGATACCAACCACTCTCCCTCCAACAACCACCACACCAACCACTATCACTCCAACAACCACCACACCAACCACTCTCCCTCCAACAACTACTCTCCCTCCAATAACCACCACACCAACCACTTTCCCTCCAACAACCACCACACCAACCACTCTCCCTCCAACAACCATCATACCAACCACTCTCCCTCCAACAACCACTCTCCCCCCAATAACCACCACACCAACCACTCTCCCTCCAACAACCACCACACCAACCACTCTCCCTCCAATAACCACCACACCAACCACTCTCCCTCCAACAACCACCACGCCAACCACTCTGCCTCCAATAACCACCACACCAACCACTCTCCCTCCAACAACCACCACACCAACCACTCTCCCTCCGACAACCACCACACCAACCACTCTCCCTCCAACAACCACCACACCAACCACTCTCCCTCCAACAACCCCCACACCAACCACTCTCCCTCCAACAACCACTATACCAACTACTCTCCCTCTAACACCTACTATTCCATCCACTACCGCTTCCCTAACCGCCTCGCCAACCTCTTCGCCTGGAATCACAACCATACCTACTCCTCCGCAGCCCACAACATCAATTCTGCTCACTACCCCTCTACCACCAGTGTGGATGACAACAGAATCAACACAAACAACTATTCCTCTAGGATCCAGTTCAACAAAGCAGCATGTGCAGAAAACAGGCCCATCATCTCCAGTTCTTCCCTCAGCAGATTCTGCAACACGGCTGTCAACTCCATCACCAACTTCTACCCATCCAGAAACAATCCTTCCCCTAAGCACGCAACAGCAGACCAACGAGATGCCAGGAACAAGTATGGCCACATCAGCGGCCGGTCAATCGCGAACTAGACAATCCAACCCATCGCTAACTGGTCAACAAGGCTCAAGCAGCATAGCTATTAGCACCAAGCAGCAGCATGCCACGAGCACACACCAAGTTGATCGTGCAGCAACAACACAAGCAGTAGAGATTACACCGACCCATGATGTGGCAGTGAACACCGAGGAAACACCAACTCATGATGTGGAGACCACTGCTAAAGATACAGATGGATCAATAACACGCCATGGAGATGAAACTGAAGAGACTCACACTATCAGTGATGGTAAGTGTCCGCAGGCATTCAACGGTGCTACATAACAAATACATGTACTTATAGCGGAGCAAGGCGGTGTGGGGTGCAAGAAGTCATTGTTGTTCCATATGTTAGGTTCACGATCTCACATATGCACGCACTCGCACACTCGTACGCAATCACACACTCGCACACGATCACCTTTAGGCCCTCATCAGACTACGTACATAGAAAATCCAGTACAAAATCACAAAAAACCTAAAAGGCAACATTTTTCCATGCCTGCATTCAGACTACACATTTTGCATGCAATATACAGGCAACCTTTGACCCTACGAAATTTTGCAAAGGGCCTGGGATGTGTGAAAGCAGCGGACAGTCGTACCCGGGTACAAAGTTCGTACAACTGCCTGGTGAAAGTACGATAAATGGAGGAAAGTTGCCATGTACAAGGGTTGGCCCCCTGCCTGAAAGGATTGGGCAGCTTTTTAGGCTTCCCGCCAGATTCTTGTTGTTGTCTTGGAAACTTCTATGTAAATGTGACTTATAGGCTGTTTTGTACCTAGTCTGAAGAGGGCCTTACAGACTCGTACTCACCTTTACTCTCGTACTCACCTTTGTTCCCTTTTCTAACCTTTTCTTCCGTTGGCCTGGGTAGCTGGATTCGCGCTCTAGTACATTCATTTCCATAGCTACCCTGGCCCTTGATAAGCACTGACTTTGACATTTCACTCTCTCTCTTTCCGTCGAACCTTGAGATTAAACCTCTTGACCTTCGTCCTCTGTCCAGCTGAATCGTGTGATCCTGTGATCCTTTACATTGGCGCCCAACGTGGGGCTCGAGGCCACGACCCTGAGATTAAGAGTAGCATGCTCTACCATAGTTAGGAGAAGAACGAGTCATATCAACGCCAAATTTAATAATTCTTGGCGAATGAGAAAAAAAACAGCATGAGAGATGATTTCCTGGTTCATGTACTAATACATGATATAAAGTGTTGCAGAGCAGACCTTGCGTTTGCAACTTGACGACGCGCCTCAGATATGCCCGTTCTAATAATTCGTTTGTGTTTTTCTCCCGTACCTCCAACAGACCCCACCACACAATCAGAGGAAGACACGGATCAAACCGGTAGAGCTGATGCGATGTCAGATGAAAACGTGACAGTGTGGGTGATCAGCGGAGGAGTTCCGGGTGCAGCCATCCTGATACTCGTGGTTGTAGTCATTGTCCTGCGGCAACGCCAGGTTTGCATGTACAGTAAGAAAAGCAGAGCCTACAGCGAACAACTGCACCAGGAACGTATTCGCGATGGGCACGGCCATGAACGCTACTCAGAGGCACTTGGTCTGGTGAAGCTGACGGAGAACAATGGCGAGTTTGCCTTCACTGGGCCCACGTCGTTGAAAGCGAACATGGCGGCAGAAGAAGAAGAAGAGGATAATGTGGATGACGCCTTTACGTCCCCATCATCAGTGCAGGTGGGAGAGGATATGACGTACATTGCACTGGCCAATGCACCATCGTCACAGCGCAACTCCCATGCCTCCACCATCATACCCAACGGAAGTTGCTCCGTGCTGCCGGAAGACTTGGCACTACCATTCAAAGCAACGAGTGAGTGTAGTCCGTACAACACTATGCTGAACTCAACACACTCTCAGTCTGCTGAGGCTCAGACCTATGCACAGAGGAACAACTCTAGGAAGCACGAAAGACCAGTGACGGTGTCACCGGCATCAGCACTGTACATGGATGAGCTCAGTCAAACAGCACTGCCTGCTAAACCACGCAGCAGATACTCATTCTCCGATGACCTGCTGCGTTACCCCAGGAACCGAAACTCATATGTAAGTGAACCCATCACTAGGCAGCCGAGAGGCAGGAATTCCTATGCAGGCAGTACAACTACACCATCATTGGTCATGGCACCGTTGTCTGCGGTTATCATGAGAGAGTACACGTCGACCTTGAATAGCGACCAATCAGCGTCCATACACGTGAACCCCGAAGCAGTGCCGGAGTCACCGCCTGCATCACCAGTACACTGGCACAGTCCACCGCGCCCATCACCCAACTTATCCTCTTCACCAGCCAGCAGTAGCCTAAGTGATTTAGGACAACTTGACACGGACATTGATCTTGCTAGATATCTGAATCAACCCACCCTGCAAGGTGAACATGTCGGCCACTCGCTTCCTGGCAATGTTCAACTGCAATTCCACTCGCAGGCTGATGGCCAAGACCCTGAAAACACTCCAAGCTTGAACAGTGATGAATTCCCGGAGCCACCAGCAATGACTGAGGATGATGAACACAGCGATGCTGCTATATCCTCGCTCAGTGACTCTGGTAGCGTGTCACCAATCCCCCCGACAACACCAGCACGGAGTACATCGGTACGCTTCTCTGACGTCGAGTTCATTCGTATTTCACCAATACTGCAACGGGCCGCAGAATAATTCAATGATAGTTCAGACTCGGGAACATCTGTAGTACTTCTGTGATGTCATTTTCAATCATGCTTGATGATATTGTTGAGAATATTGTGCTGTTTGCATTATGCATGTCTGAGCTGCAGTGAGTGAGAGATCATGGGCACAGAGCAGACAATGATCCATCATGCATTTAAAAAACACTACTAATGTTATAGACACAAGATAGCTTCAAACAATAATCCCCATATTGCTGCCAACCGCATCATTGAATACAAAGTTATCATACTTGTAAATATATCCCTGAAGCCCGCAAGCATGACCTTTTCCAGATTGTTGCGAGATGTCCTACTTCCAATTTACATGACTTTATGTTGATCCATATTTACTTGATTGCTCTTCTACCATTGTGGAGCCTACTAGTAGTTGTACCGAACGGCAGCTTTGTTCCAGTTGAAATGTGCCAAACTGCCAATACTTCACTGAATACTTCCATAAGTTGCCAGTCTAATGTTATACTGTACTTCAAATCAATATACCTGCAGCTGTAGTGCTGACAAGCTCTCCGGTACCAGCGGGGAGTTATTTTTGAAGTACATGTACCACAATGTACCGTTGATCCACCCCCTCGAATTTCTATCTGTGCAGCGACTTGAGCATGTGCATCAAAAAATACGGTGTTGAACCGACGCATGCACTGCTGTACACAATATGTGGCAGTGAAGGTATACCGGTATCTGTGTATGAAAATGAGCACACTCCAGAATGGCAAGTCTGACCTTTTGCACTGTAGTACATAGTACTCCACTTGGCAACGTTGATCTTTTTCCTGCCCCTGTCGGAGCGACACAGCCCGGAGGTAGGGGATCAACGGTATTTTACGGTACATGCGTGGCTAGGCAATGCGAGTTTCACATGGCCAAGCTGAGAAGGGCAAACGTTGCATTCACGTTCATGCTCACCGCGCAGCCACACTATGCAGGTGCACTGCTTCTTGCAATGCAGTAACCGGAAAACCAGTGGATGAATAAGTACCTATAAATTACTATTACTTCATTGAAAAAGAAAGTCTGCCGAAAACGGGCCAAGAAATTTGAAATAGCCGCACTAGATCTGATAAGATGCCGCAGCTACTTCGAAGTATATACCAACAAGTGTGGGTGATCTTGAGAAATTTCATAGGTTCTAATTCCGTGAGCCTAGAGAAGGAAAAAGCAGAATGCTTGCTCTCCGTGTTGCACACCCATACCTGGGATTATCTGCAGTGCCTACTAGGCTCATAATCTAGAATATACAAGACTTGCTAAATGAGCAAATCACACAGTGCTGCGTTCCATGTTCGATAACAGAAGGAACATGCAAAGTGACCCATGACAGACACATGACAGCATGTGCACCAGGGCAGGGCACAGCTGGCAGCAACATTATCATCATGGAGCAGCGGCCTAGTTTTTAAAGCGCCTGAGAGCGCACCAGGACCACTAATGTTCTGATGACTTGGTCACTGCGCCCTGCAGCACATACACCATACTGCCACTGAGATGAATACTACAAGTCCATAGACTAGCTTCTTACATATCCTCAGCCAATTGAAAGCGTACAAATCCACCGAGCGCGAGTCCATTGTTCTGCAACAATTCCTGCACAGTGAGCGACTCGTCCAGTACAAAGCTGTCTGCTAGGGTCTGCTTGTGAGCTTCCAGTACTTTCTCCATGTTGTACGGACGAGTAACATTCTCCAGTCCTGGGTTCTCTGAGTTCATCGAGAGCAGATGCTGACAGAGCTGACGGCCAAGCTTCCTCTCCTCATCTCCGAAAGCCTTGTCAGCTGGAGCCGACTCCAAATCGGCAATGGTGCAGATATGACCAAACTGGACACAAAGCACAAAGAGAAGAATTACTAGCACATGTACAAGAGTACTGTGTTTGATCTCTCAGCCAGGACTGGTTGGACAGAATAGGAAGAGCAGAGGTGGTGTAGGTGTTGATCCCTCTACACTAGTACATACTGCTACACACTATCCAACAACAGCAGCAATGGAAGACAATACTATTTATATAAGACTGGCTTTAGTGGCCGATGATGAACTGCAAGCTTCTTTTCTTGCAACATACCAAAGTCCAAGATGGGCTGGTACATGTACTATGCATACATCACAACGAAAGTGACCAGCACTCCTTCAGCGTAATCTGTGTGTCGGGTTTACAAATACTCATCACACAATCAAGCGCATCACACTACATGCTAAACTACACCACACACCACACACACACTTGTACTTGCTCACTTCCAAAATTGGTCCCTTGGGTCTCCCTGGAAGAGGGGAGCGAGACTCAAAAGGAATCCTAGAAAGAAGAATCAACTAGCTATTGAACCGCCCAACGGCCGACACCCCCTGAAATCCCCAAACTATGGCTGGAATTGGAAATGATCCCACTTACGGGCTCACCACACCTCGGTAAGTGGGCGAGGACAAGGTGCAGAAAAAGGATTGACGACATCAGGGCATCCGTCCCGGGATCCAACACACACACACATACGCACGCACGCGCGCGTACACACACACAAATGCACACACATGCACACACATGCACACACATGCACACACACACACACACACACACACACACACACACACACACACACACACACACACACACACACACGCCCATACACACACTTGTCACAGAGATTAAAACATACCTAGACACACAATAAATTAATTACAGAGAGCAAAACGTACCTGGCATTCATCCCGTGCTGGCACTGCAACTGAGTGTACATATGATGCCAGCAATGGTGAAGTAACCGTCATAGCACGACGCAGCACGACATTCTCTCCAATCACACCGACACATTCTGCTAAGTGATCTCCGAGATTTGCACCACCCTTGATCAATGGTAGGTCGCGTAGCTGATCAAATCCATAGTTTCCAATGGCCATCATGGGGCCAACGGATGTTGCGCTTTGACTATGTTTGTGAAACGAAATGGCTGCATCGTGAACTAGGTCGACAAAACGCTCGTTACGCTGAACAAAATCCGTTTCGCAGGTCACCTGGCCAAAAACAAGAAAGTGACCCATGAGTTTCAGAGAGTGTTTGCAAACGACCAGCACAATAGAATGCAAACATTTCTCCCGATTCTGTAAGAATATGCTACTTAAAAAAAGTAGCTTTATCCTGTGAGTGGACTACCACAAAAGCAAACTGCTAGAGAAAACCATGACTGTCACAATGTATTCGTTTCGTGCATACATACATCTTGATAGCAGATAAAAACTTGTTACCTTATATCTTGCACAATCAATTGAGAAGAATATCCAAGGCAAGCATTTCCACTGAAGCACAATCAATAGCTACTGTACTTCAAGTATCTGAATTTACAACCACAGTATGTACTCGTCAAAGCTTCAGGGTGCACAGTCATGCTCAACGCCCAGGACAAACTGCACGTGTCATACCTGTGTCATACCTGTGTCATACCTGTGTCATACTGATTCAGCAATATTACAAACAGCAGTACAGCAGTAGCAAGAGATCAGTCAGAGAAAGGAACACACAATGCTACTCAGTACTGGTACTTACCTCCACAATGCTGACGGATTGGTTGTCTTGACTGTGCACTACACCGAGCAAACCCTGCGCACTCTGGCGAGAGCTCAGCTTCTCCATGCGCTCCCAGCCATGTTTCTTGGCTTCTTCCTTCAGGAAAGCGGCCGCCTCTTCTATATTACCTTGCTTGTCAATAAGCGCCGCACGGCACTTGTCCAGTCCTAGGCCGGATTGCTGGCGTAACTTGAAAAGCTTCTCTTTCGTCACATCACCTGACAGCCGTCGGCAGAATGCGCCCACCTAGACACCAGAAACAGGAGAATGCCAGTATAGCCCAGTCTCCACAGTGCTGATCAGAGCTGTACTTGCCACACATAAATGAAGTAGCACCGTGTTTGATCGTACAGCCTAGCAGTCATAGTACTGGAGTTGAGCTGCAGTGCCTGGTACCATGGTGATAGTGTATTCATTAGGTTTGAAGTCCATTAGCCAGAACTGCACCTTTGCACTTCAGGTCGGGTTTTTTAAATCGACCACCAATGCACACCTGGTCTACACCACACGGAGTACATCGGCATAGAACGGCCAAGATAATTATCTATGCACACCCTACACTTGCTGGGGTAACCAGTATAGACAGCAAGCACACTGCTTTGATAGAAGCAGACACTAGTTGCACTGGTACATTGTACCTTGAAGTGAACCCACACCCACACAAACACACACACACACAAACACACCCACACACACACACACACACTACTGAATGCCTGCGGGCCGTGGTACATTATATAAGGGAACACGCTATGTCACTAGGGAGGTTTAGTCCCACGTAATCCGTGGGTACTTTACGTGTGTGTACCACGTGATACTCAGTGACCCACGTACAGACGTTTTCTGATTCACGACATACCGTGTATGGAGGCTCACCCACGTTCCGCCAGAACGTGGGTGAAAATCAGAATGGAGCGCATTGTGCGAGCTGCGAGGGTGCTCAGCTGAAGAAGTTTCCAAAGCACGAAATCAAAATATTCGATGAGTTTCTTAGGCCCAGGTAGCTTCGTCTTTGACCAGGTTTGGGCCTTTAGCTTCATGCTTTTGTTTGTTCCGTGTTAAACACAACATTGCAACGTGGGTGCCCTTCATCCACTTTACGTGGATCACCCACGTACGCGTTTCCGTTACGTGGGAACTAAACCTCCCTACTGATGTCCACCGGGCACGCCAAACCATGAATAATTATTCGAAAAGCAATGTTTTCATTCAAGATAGTAATTTATGACAGAGAACATTTCTCATCTCTATATGATTCCATTTGATCAGCCATTACAAAAATATAATCTGCATTGATGATCATAAGATTCATAGCAGAAGATAGATGTTCCTGTCACAGTGGCTGAGGACATCATGATTAATTTTGTTTACTATTTCAATCAATTTCAAAACTTTGAATTACATAAGAATGTATCCGCCGACTCACATTTTGGCAGGCATTTCTCGAGAACAGGTACGATAGAGACATGACGATGAATGATCAGTCTGTTGATCTAATGCTAAGTGGAGGAAAACTCCTGGGAAGTCCGGCTGTAGGAAGTCTAATGAACGACCAACACTCAATTATTATTTTCGGGATTCGCAAAGATCATAATGTTTGCGGACAAACCCTGCGTCGCTGCGATGAGTGGCAGACTGGCAGCGCCGGTGACGCAACAGTAGGGTGTTCAGTCACGTGACATGTGATTTCTTATTCTTTGGATTTTGGCACCAAATTTTTTTTTATTCGAAAGCTCTAGGTTTCAGGAGGATCTTGGTGAAGTTTCAGCGAAAAACAAGCAAAAGTGGCCGCGCAGTGGCCCGTTGAAGTTTTCGCCCATTCACACTATGTACACACATATTTAGTATGCGGCCAGTGGCACACACCAGCATTTCTGCCATCCAAACCCAAAAAACAAAGTTGCTCAGATTTCTTAGCTTTTTCGCAGGCATGGCACTAATAACAGAAAAGTAAATGCTGTGAAGTCAATTTTCCATTTTTGCTACCAACTTTCAAATTTCCCCCTTAGCAACCACCATAGCAACTGTACAAAAGTCAATGTGTTACCTCCCAAAAAACTAAGTTTCTCAGATCACTTAGCTTTTTCGCAGGCATGGCACTGATAACAGAAAAGTAAATGCTGTGAAGTCAATTTTCCATTTTTGCAACCAACTTTCAAATTTCTCCCTTAGCAACCACCATAGCAACCATACAAAATACAATGTGTCAGTGTCGGTTACCTTGAAATGCTGCCCAATTTCGACTGTGCCGAAAGGAAAACACAAAGAAGATCACTGGAATTATGCAGCATTGCATGACAAGACAAAGAGTTCATTGCTGGATAGACAAACAGGCATGCGCCAGGATATCAAATGCAAACAAAACCACACCCATAACAGACATTACACGCTTTAGCGGATAAGAGAATGCTCAAATTAAATTTGAGAACTTTCAGAGCACATAGAAAAGATTTATAATAGATCAAGCTGAAAAGCTCAGAGACAGATACATCATGTCCGAATTATGGCTGAACGAGGACTCTTGCAGAGTGAATTCATCGTACAGTTCCGGTTCGCTTTTATACATCATTCATCATCAACAGCGCTCGCCACATCACTGCCAGGTTCGCTGCGCTGGCGAGTCAGCTTCCTCAAGTTGGACGCCAATGTTGCAACTGGGAGAGTACGGCCAGCAGAGCTCATAAAGAACAGCTCCTTGGAAGCTTTCTGCTCCAGAACGAATTTCCGAAACTGGAGTTGTGAGCGCAATGCTGCTCTTTGACCAGTGACAGAGGAAATTGCTGCAAGCTTTTCATCGATGTTCGTCTCCTCTGTCCACAGACCATATGCCTCAATCTCCTTGGTCAACTGTTCTTTTCGTGCAATGGTGGCTTGATGCTTCTTCTCCTTTTCTGCCTGCTTTCTCTTGAGCTCTGCCAAGCGATGCTGTTGGATAGCGACCCGTCTGTCCTTGAACTGCTGACGCGCTGATGGAGCTGTTTGCCTAGCCACTTCAATCAGGTTGGACTGCTCAGCTGGTGAAAGAGACTGAAGCCATGAAGCGGTCTCGTTGTTGTTGAACAGAATCATACCTTCCAGAGCAACAGTGTCAGCATTAGGCTTCTCGCGAAGCAAACGGTCCAATTGTGCGAAGTCACGCTCACTGACAGCATTGGTCTTGCGAACCGAAGCAGTCTCAACAGCTAGGCCCGGTGCACTGTGGTACTTCCCACCCGGTAAGTGGTCCACGAGGAGACGTGCTGAGAATGAAGCTAGCGTCGAGCAGAGGTAAGCGAGGATCTCCAACGTGATAGCATCATACTTCTCCGACGGCTCCACGAGAGCTGTGAATACATCGCACAGTGTGGATACCTTTGCATTGGGAAATGGCCGTGCGCTGCCGTCAAGGAGGTCGCTTGCATCTTTCGCCCAGTCGTCAAACTTGCTACTCAATGCAGTGTAGTACTTGCCAACCTCAAGCACAGAAACATCCGGATCTTCCAGCAGACACCAGAGTGGGTTGATCACAAGCTTGGACAAGATACCAAGTGCTCGAGCACCTGCAATCAACTCTGTCTCACCCAGATCTTCTTTAACAGCACGCAAAAGTTGATTGTCTCGTACACTGACGTCAACCAAAAAATGCAGCATTTTGTTGTGGAGATAATAAATACCTGCACCATTGTGGAATACAACGTAAGATCTATTTCCCCTGTACTCATCAAGAGGCAATGGTGTGTTTGTCTCAGACAGGAAAGCATGAAAGTCCGCTACGCACCCCGCTGCTTCATCACCATGCTTTTCAAAGGCTTTAGTGGTACTGTAAATAAGCCGTGCTGTGTTCCCTGTCCCCTGCCATGTCCCAGGAAGTCGCTCAGCACCAACCTTCACACCCTCACCAAAATGAGCCTTTTCCCAAACCTTTAACGCAGCTGTGCAACTATCAGCCAAGCCGACAATGTAATGCATGCCACAATAAAAACAATTTATGCGGCTCATAGACGTGCGTTCCTCCTCACTGAACCCTTCCCACCCGTCAATAATGTCTGGCAATATCTCCTTGCGATAATCTTCCACTAGCTTGTTAAAACTCTTCTGCACAATGCACCTATCGCTCATGGTGTTCTTCATGTTAGCCAGGAGTTTACTGGCAATGTTTGCATGCCCAGCCGTTGCTGCCACATCCTCAATATCGCCCAAGACTTGTTTAAATGTGTCGAACACATGCTGAGCTGTCCCGCTTTTCATTTCGACCATGCCCAAACTAAACACTTTGTCAGGAGTGGCCATTTGATAGCCCTGATAGGAAACACCCTGCTTTGATGTTCCATCACAGTGTCCAGTAGTGAACTGCTCATTTGCCAAAGAGCTTGCAACATGCAATTGTGACACCTGTCTGAGCTCAACCAACATTTGTGAAAGGGTAGCTGCACTAGGGACCTCCGAAATCTCAGCACCTGCCAGGGTCAATACAGAACGGATTACAGGACCCACATTCCAAACACCTACGTTCTTTCCTAGGAGCTCATAACAACATTGGCGGACTTCTGTGGTGTACTTTCCATCGACTTTGGAAGTGATGTGCTGCCGTGCATTGCCTACAGTTCTTTCTAGCTCCAGCTGACAAGACAGGTCCTTGACCAATTCACTGAGCTCCTTCTCCCTCTGCATGCTAACTCCAAGCTCTGCACCTAAATCACTTAGAGATGAGGTGGTGCTAGCTGACTTTGTCTTTGCATAGTTTGTCCTGCAATAAACATTATTTAGCTTGCGCTGAAGGCGCTCAACACTCTCTAAAGCACCACTCAATTCTTCTTCCACCACTTTCCTTTCCTCATCACAAACATGCACCTTTTCTTCAAGATCGTTAATTTTCTCATTTCGTCTTCGCAATTTTTTCCCAATGTTACGAACCTTGTCATGTGATGCAGACAACCGGCCCTGCATTTCAACCATTTCAATTTCAATATCTGATCCGACTGCGTCGACATTGCCCACCGTAAAAACCTCGTCTGACATTTTACTACAATTTACATCACTACCTGTGCTGCTACTCCTAGTTTTATTATCTCCACAAACAGCTGCAGTGCTCTCAGATTTTGATTCTGGGACAGAAAATTCTTCACAAATTAGGTGTGACAGAGCTTCATGACGGGAAGCCTTTAGCAACTTAGCTCTTGCTGCTTGGAGACGCCTGACTTTGGAAGTGAGGGCCTTCACGGAGCATGGTACTTCAACATCCATGATCGTTGATAGCCAAGTGTGGATGGCTGACCAGGCTAAGCCCTCATCATTCATGAAATGGGTGAGCTCCAGAACAAGGCCATTCGTCACAGTCGACGTCTGGTCAAACTCCTCACGTTTTGACTTTAGCCTGTCCGAGCGACGACGCGATTCCTTGAATCCTACTGCTGCGGCGTTCAGCAGGAAGCACTTTGACAGACCAGCTTCACGACAGAACTCGCCAGGGCATCCTGATTCGCTTCGATCACTCATCGTTGCATGGCATTGCCTGCATAAAACAAATGGTCAAAAATTTGAATTTTTGAATTTTGTACAGGAATAGATGGCGCAAAAATTGAAGATTCCTTTTGAAATACTGCTCAATACGGCTGAGGTGCACGAAGACAACGATAACCTACCTTGCCAAAATCAAGGACGCGGAAGACGATGGTGCTAGTTTCCAAGTCGTGCAGTGGAGCAAACTGCCAGAAACGCGTCAGCTAAATGCTGCGACAAAACGAAAGCAACGACAACTCTGCGACAGGAAGGAGCACGGAAAAGCTGTTTGAGTCGTCGTGGAGCTGCTGCCGTACTGCAGCAGAAGACAACGACACCATCTTGCTTTGAACAGCGCGTGAGCGAGTTTTCGTGCATGACGTCAACCATGGTCAACCAGTCTTTGATGTGTGCCATGAAGCACGTACATTTTGAGTGGGCTTGAAGTGTGGCTGAGAACCCCGCATCAGTCACGTGACTGAACACGCTAGCAACAGTGCCAACACATGCAACTCGTTGTCGTATCTCCATAGCAACGTCCGCAGCGCGTCACGCGACCCACAAACACAAAACATATTATTAAAACCAGGGAGTCGTAAAAGCCCGGGAGAGGACACGGGATGCGCGCACGCGGACGATGTTTGCCTCGGCCAGAAAGTGAAGCACGCTAGGCCGGCGCGGCCGGATCTGCTCGATCCACGGCGCTGTGCTTGTCTTCAGGGCAGGGAGTCCTAAAATACCAATATTTTACAACTCGTTTTTGACACCATTATCCGAAACTGGTGGCGAAGGAAGGATAAACATGATTGTATGTCTGTCAGACTCAGTACAGGGGTGGGGAGTTGAGTGTGTGTGTGGGGGGGGGGGGGAGGCGTGTGTATGTGCACATGTGCTTGTACTTTTGTGTGTGTTTGTACAGTGTTTGTGTGTGTGCTTGTGTGTGTGCGCGCGAACGTGTGTGTGCATTTTTGTGCACAATTCCGTTATGAAGTACAAATGATAGGTTTACCTTTTGTACACTCGCCAAGACTTCCGTTTCCTAAACGGCTCAAGTCACCGCGTACTCAGTATACGAGTAGAAAAGTGTTGAAATTATCAAGATTTATAAATAACGACCTGCAACCATGTACAATGTAGATAGATAGGGAACACACATTGATTGTTTTTAAAAGAATCCAGGCATTATCATGAATCATGGAACGAGTGCGTAATAATGCTCTATGTTGCGTTTTGACGATGCTGAAGGAAGGGAGCCGTCGCGATTTACTCACAACACACGCACAGAAGTCCACTCGACTGCAATTTCTGACACAAATTCATAAATCCACGAGTACGCCGAGGAAGCTCAGCGGATCTCCACAAGAACTTTCGCCCATCACCTGCAATGGAATATGGGCTGTATGATATGACCAGTGGTTAACACGGGAAGTGGCGTCATTTTCCACAAATCTCGTTTCATTCACAACCATTTGACTGCAATTCAGTGCAATTTCTGCCGCAAATTCAACTCCACGAGTACGAGGAAGCTCAGCGGATCTCAACACGAACGTTCGCCCATCACCTGCAATGGAATATGGGCTGTATGCTACGACCAGCGGCTAACACGGGAAGTGGCGTCATTTTCCACAAATCTCGTTTCATTCACAACCATTTGACTGCAATTCAGTGCAATTTCTGCCACAAATTCAACTCCACGAGTACGAGGAAACTCAGCGGATCTCAACACGAACGTTGGCCCATCACCTGCAATGGAATATGGGCTGTATGCTACGACCAGCGGCTAACACGGGAAGTGGCGTCATTTTCCACAAATCTCGTTTCATTCACAACCATTTGACTGCAATTCAGTGCAATTTCTGCCACAAATTCAACTCCACGAGTACGAGGAAACTCAGCGGATCTCAACACGAACGTTGGCCCATCACCTGCAATGAAATATGGGCTGTATGATACGACCAGCGGCTAACACGGGAAGTGGCGTCATTTTCCACAAATCTCATTTCGTTCACCCCAACTCAAATAAAAGTGAAGTACAATTAGGGATTTGTCTTGCATTTCCATCGCCTCAGAATAAATTAACTTCGATAAACTGAGAGAGAATGAGTGAGGCAGCTGGAAGATGAGGATGAAAATAGAGATCAGAAGACTCGACGGAGCAATCGTCTCCGTGCTCTAAGAGAAATCGGAGAATGTCCCAATTAGTATTTCAAGAAGACATCACAATTTTCGAAAATAATAATTTCCTTGCCTCGCAACACCGTTCCCTGGCAGCGTTCCCCGGCAGCGCGAGGCAAAGATGTTTTCTGGGAATGTGTGCCGTGTCCTCTCCCGGGCTTTTACGACTCCCTGATTAAAACCCACAAACATTATTATTTTTTCTACTCTACTTCTACTTCTACTTTTTCGTACTCGATCGAGTGCCAGGCCCAGGGCATGGCATGCATGTAAGGGCCGCCTGGGCCTGGTTGGGGTCCGGTCAAGCCTCTGACTCTGAGTCTGGAGCTCCTGCTTCTTGGCCAAAACTCGTGTCGTCCACCATGGTCCACTGGCGAGTGGCAGAGCGTGGCTCAGCAAACGTGGGTGTTGTCAGTGGAAAACGTCGCCGGAGGGTGCTTTCCGAAACAGTTTCTTGAACTAATATCCGAACTTTAATAATAGGTCCCTCGGGCTCTCTGCTAGTGCTAGTGTGGAACGTGTTCACCAACAGCAATAAAAGACGCTGTTTTGTAGTCGTAGCTGTGCAGTAAACACAGTTTATGACAGCTCCACGAGCGTCTATAGTAGTATAGATCTACTGAGTCTGTACTCAATAATAGTATTGTCTATTTTCACCGTTGTGAGCCATGAGCCGTATGTAGCCGCCTACAATAGCGATTGCCGCTAGCGCAGCAGCGGGGTGTAGCGGCGTGCCGTGATTCCCGTCGAGTCCGGCAAAATGGACGACAGCGATCTGGACTTGAGTGATTTCAGCCTAGAGGAAATCGTCCAGATTCAAGGAGTCCTGAAGAGAGATGCTGCCTTGCAGAAGGAAGTGGATGCTAAGCGTCGGTACGTAGATCTACGTAACCACGGTGGGTGTTGTCACCGTCACCAATGGTCTCGCTGGCTTGTGCCGCGGCTTTGTGTGTGTGTGATAGCGTAATGTTACTTGTTACTTGTTACTTGTAGTAGTTGTACAGTCACGTCGATCACTAATTCCCAGTACACATTCCACGTGACTTCTCTAGGTGAAACGTAGAGCAGAACAGCATTTCTTTACGTTACGGGAACGCGAAGAAAGTTCGCGTGATTCTTTGCGTCGCGTTTCCAAAACGTAGAGCAGAACCTCCCTATTAGCAAGTAAAAGTGCAGGATGAAGTACAGACAGTAGTGGAGATTGGACATAACGACACTCCTTCAGGAGAAAACAAAATATCACTATATCCGATCTGTCACTAAGCCCGATCTTCACATAATAGTGTGCAATATGTATGCCAAAATGACAGAAATGTATATCAGATATACATGTGCATAATATAATGCATTATGGATTTCAGATTCATGTATGTGCATGTGTCTTGCATGCATGGTTCAAGCCAAAAGTCATGCATGGCAACTACACCGCTGCACTGCGGCTACAATGTGCAATGACCAGCACGCGTGGAGTGACACAGACATGTCCCATCAAGAGTTCATAACCCCCAAGAGTGTGCAACGGGCATAGGCCCAGCGCTCGGCGAAATTCCTACAGTACGTCATGCGCAGCTTGTTATCCGAGGTAAATTTGGGTTCTTTGCGATTTCTGGAAACTAGGGGTGAAATGATTATGTGGTTTAGTCGATAAATTAGTCGAAAAAATCTAGTCGATTACGATTTTTCTAATCGCTACAGCATTTTCGTACGACATACTATACGGTACGACGAAATATCCGGCATGTGCAGTGTGTCTACATGACTTTACTGCGTGCAGCACATGTACCAGAGTAGGAGTGGATGCGCGCGTGCACGGAGGCGTCAATCAACGCGTGCAGCGCGCACAGCGAGTTGCTCATGCCCTGGATACACACTACACGCGTACCCGGTAGATCTACCTGATGTACTCTCTAGATCTATTGTATGACACGCGGCCGTCTTTTCTCTGCACCGTGCACTGATTCGTACCCGCGAACTTTCGTTCCGGTTGCTTCACGGAACTCACTGTTCTGGACAAGTAGCCTTCAGAATCAGTTTGTGCCTGTGCGACGGTCGATGTTTCCATTATTTTTGTTCTCTTTGAAGTTCCAAAATTGATTGTAGTTGATGCAAAATGGTGAGTTTTTTCGTCAGTGGTGCTTAATCGATAATAATCGACAAGCAATCGATAAGTTTTGGATTAACCGTTAAGGAATATCCCTTAATCGTTTCACCCCTACTGGAAACTATACCCTGAACCGCTCCTAACTCAAGGCTGTAGCCTCGACTTTTCGAAGCTTTTTTTGAACACATTTCGGACGTACAAGTCGTACTTTCTCAAAAACAAACTCTTTCAAGAATCCATGGACATCGCGACAGGAAGAAGTGAGGACGCTGTTAAAAATATTGCATTGCCGTCGAGGACAATCATTCTGATAGCTGTGCTACTCAGCCGAAAAATGCTCCTTCGACTTATTCTCTCAAGTTCCTCAACCATTTGAAATCATCTTTGAGGAAAGCACAGGAAATATGCCAATGGCCTGGGGAAGAAATTGTTCTTGAAGAGACTGGCTGCACTGGTGAAAGAAGAAGGCGATGAAGAGTCTAGTCACCATTGCATCGAAAAAATAAATAGTTTTAGGGATCGTATATCGTGTGCTTTGTTTTACTTTTTTTGCTTCTTGAGGCTCAGACTAGAATCGCAGTTTAGGCAGTTTACCCTGGGGAAGCATCCTGGTTTGACTGTAAATTTTAGAAGAATTCATCGGCGTGACTCATCGCACTGCACCAAAAATGACGCAATGAAGGAATTCCGGCGAGCGGGCTTCCATACTGGGACTGATCAGGAGTTGCACACTCTTGGGGGTTATGAACTCTTGGTCCCATGCATGCCACTCCGCCTGATACAAGAGGAAAGTCGATATATTCGATGCATTTTCAGGTCTCCGGGCACCAAAAAGTGTCACTAAATTCGATCTGTCGTTTTTTTCGAGGCCGTTATGCCCGATCTATAATGTACAGAAAGGACTTGCTAAATGACTTGGGCAACAGAAATTTGTCGTTGTATCCAAGGTCATTATAATTTCCACTGTACACACAAACACTTTCTCCTGTTTCCTTATGATTAACTATGTTGAACAGTTCCTGGTACATACACAAAATTAATAGGAGATCCCCCAATAGAGCTGTTTCAAGGTTGTACCAATGGTCACGTTTTGGGGTCAGGTGCCAGAAATATATGAATCGCTGGTGAACAGGCAAATGACTGGATGCGTGGAGGTGAAAGAAGCAGTAGAATGGCACTCCACTTGATGTCCGACACTCGTGTTGAGTCAGAGCAGTTGCCAGGAAGCCCTTCCATGGCTTGGGCAAAAAAAGAACAAGCTTCAGAATCGCTCCAAGCGCTGGCGGAGACGAACCTGTCACATTTCGTATACTTTTCCATGCGTTTTGATATGCGACCTGTTCACCACAATCTCGGGGTGAGCGCCGGGGCGGTGGTGGGAACGTCGTCCTTGAAAAAGCTCTATAGGCGTTAGCCTCTGCCGAGTAATCCTGAAATACAGATTATCACAAACACAAGACTTGTAATATTACACAAACAGAAGACTTGTAATATTACATATACAGAAGACTTGTAATATTACACATACAGAAGACTTGTAATATTACACATACAGAAGACCTTCAGTATAAAGTACATGTACCCTACAGCAAACACAACCCTGGCGGTAGAGTGTCTGTGTACCCTACAGCAAACACAACCCTGGCGGTAGAGTGTCTGTGTACCCTACAGCAAACACAACCCTGGCGGTAGAGTGTCTGTGTACCCTACAGCAAACACAACCCTGGCGGTAGAGTGTCTGTGTACCCTACAGCAAACACAACCCTGGCGGTAGAGTGTCTGTGTACCCTACAGCAAACACAACCCTGGCGGTAGAGTGTCTGTGTACCCTACAGCAAACACAACCCTGGCGGTAGAGTGTCTGTGTTGCCCATTGGGCATAGACAATTTCAAGAACCGTGCATTTAATACCCGAAAATCCCAGCCCACCCCAGCCCTATTCATTTGTATACTGTCCAGGCATCATACATGTGCCGTATTTTCCACACCAGTAAGGCGCCGTCCGTAAATACATGTATTTACTTAGAGACGTCTATTGGGCGTTTGTGGGTGGGTTCGCCTGCAAAGCATCTCTGTAAACACATGTCGGAGTGCATGCATACCATACCATGCATGCACATGTACATGATGTAGCACTGCTACAGCTAGTCAAGCGCAGGTCAGACTTACCATTTTTCTCTTGTTGTTATGTCATGTATACTACGATGATCAAATCAGCAATGACGATAAATGCTAGGGTAGATGTCTGTATTTCGTGACATAAAATCTGGGTTTCGGCTTGTACTCCAGTGCGGCTTGTACAGCGGAAAGTACGGTACACTGTATGTGATTGTGACACTGAGTCAGTGCTTGCTTGTTTTCTGCTTGTTTGTTTTGCTCTGGTCATCTCTGCAATGTAGTCACTGTCAACAAGAAATACACAAGATGCGTTTGATTAGTGCTACTGGCACAACGTCCAGAATGTGTGCACGCTGTCGCCAGTCTCTGGGTGTCCTGATAGGCCGCGGGCAGATCTGTCCGCAGTGCAACCTGCTAGTCTGCTCAGACTGCAAGAAGACAAGTGGCTGGGTACCGGCTTCTCTGGGCTGGTTGTGTTCTTTCTGCCTTCTACAAAGGTGTGTACAATCGGTCACTTAGATCATGCTACTTAGATCGTGGAGTACTATGTACATCGTGTAATCAAGCACGCTCTGGAGGTCATGACGGCTGGATTGGGCCCAAAGTTGTAATTAGACATTGTTACTCGAATCTTTTCGTATTTGAATTATCAAAATTCCACCTGTATGCGAATAGTGACTATGCCGGCCCTTGTTCCAATACAGGTTATTTGAATTACACACAAAGCCGGCACAAAGCAGGTTTACAGAGTTCGCCTCAACTCCGAGTTTCTTACACAATGCAATCATCAGATTTCAATGATGTCATTGCATTGTGATATTGCATACAGTGATGATATCATAAGCGATATCATATTAAAGCGTTGTATGGAGTGCGGCACGGAGTGACAATCCAGTCACTATCCATGTCCTGTTGAGATTTGTATTATAAGTTGTGTTAAGTGGCGAAACTGCATGATGTGGTAACAGTGCTAGTGTTGTCTGGAAACCTTCTGTGCCTTTGCTTTGCAAATTGACACTGCATACGAATAATTTTAAAAGATGATGATACTGAGACTGTCGGGTGATAAAGAGCTGGGGGATCAGCCTCGTAGCCTAGGCCGTAGTTTTCTCTTATTTTCATGTAGTGCAGTCTTTGCGCAGTGGAGACACCGTGTATATATTGGTGTGCGGTGCTTGGGGAAACTCTAGCCTGTTCATTTTCCGGTGCTACGTTCTTCGCCGTGACAGTTCTCTCTGGCATAACCTCTATACGCAATACTGACACCTATACATGTAGTCACTGAGCGATCCGATGTGACTGCAACATAACAGCAGAACTATTATCCGGCATTGCATGCTTCACTGCTTGTCCAGGCAATCCAAGTACCAGGCAGGAGACTGGTTCTTTGGTGTCAGCAAAGCTACTCCTATACAGGACCGGCCAAGTGAGCGGCTGATGAAAGAGACTGTGGCAAGTAAGGAAACAATCATCACAATGGTGGCCCTGCAAGTACTGCTCTAGATGAATGTATTCGCAGCATGATTAATTAAGTTGAACTCCAGCCATTGTCAGAGTGTAGGAAAGACAAGTAAGTTGCGGAGCCTGTTCTTCAAGGCTTCCAAGGCTTCAATTGTATGATCACACACATCATTTGCAGTCATTAGACTTTATGGGACAAGTCCATTACAACTGTACACACTGCGAAACTACATAGGCTTTGAAGTACTAAGCTCTTCATTTTGGAATTGTGTGTGTGTGTGTGTGTGTGTGTGTGTGTGTGTGTGTGTGTGTGTGTGTGTTGCGGTGCGACTTGGTCCCGCAACTAACCATCGTCAGGCAGACCACAAAAACCCAGAAACTCCTTTAATGGACATTACCACTCGTTTCCAACAAGAACACCAAAGAACACACTCCGAACAACGATCGCCAAATCGCTGTCCTGAGCAAAACGTGCAGCGTGCGTGCATTTGGCTTGCACTGCATGCATGCACACAACAACGTGGCATAGAGAGAAAATGCATGAATCATCATACTAAATATGGCGACTGCCAAAGTCCGCGTGCAGCGCGGAGTGCAGGTACTAGGTGCATGCAACGAAAAGAAAAGCAATAATTTGAATGCAGAACAAGCAGAAACTAGTTACAGTAGGTATCGGTTATAGCGTGGGTGTTTGAAAAACGACATTTGATTCTTATTGCCGATATTTCTTACACGCGATACATCACGTGTGACATATCATATGCGCGCACGTTTGGCATGTGGACACGTACACATGATACACACGGATCAATCAGACCCGCGGTCGTACTAGGCGACTGCGGAGCAGCGGATGCGAGAGAAGTCGGAGGAAAGAGTCCGACTGGGCAGAAAAAGTGATTCTCCAATGCGGCCTTGGACATAACTCTCTTTTGTGTTGAATATTATTGTATTGAGTATGCACAGAGCTCAGATGTTATTACTACAGGCGATACACTTTGCACTGATCTGGCATATTTTGCTTCACAAAATCCATTCTTAGGGCCGATATATTCTACTATGCGATAATACTGCTTGTAAGAATAAACATACACATAAAATATGTGTTATGATTATGAAAAAATGAGTGTTCATTCTTGTAAGCAGTATATTCTTGTATACGACCACACTATAACCGATACGCACTGTACTTGCAATGTGCTGAAATAATAAAGAATTGTTGATTACGGAGGTGAAAACAGTGTCTGTCAAGGGGTGCTTGCACCCAGCGACAGGGTGACAGCACACCCTGTCAGCGAGAGTAAGTTTCGCCAAGTAGATCGTAGCGGAGTTGCCGCGGATGGCGATAATGCACCGGATCAAGTACTAGTAAGTACATGTACATTGCAACCAATTAGTGTGTCAACAATTCTACTTATATAATACATAAGCACAATTCACAAGATATTCCGCTCGTGAACATGTCGTGGTACGAACACGCATGGCAATTACTGTATCATAAAATGTGTCTCGACGTAGACGTAACAGATATGCACTCGTGATGTAATTCTAACAGACTAACAAATAATTATTACACTCGCGAAATGCATAGCAGTAATACGCACCGCACCAATATTGCAAGCGACCTAGCATGTCTTGACAATACTGCCCTTGCAGCATGTGACAGTTCTGTACACAATTCGTGACTACAATACACTAATAGTATCAACGTGCAACATGTGACAACATGTGACAATTCGAAAGGTTAATGTTCAAGAGTGCAGTCTCCTGTCCAGTGTGTGCGTGTGTGTGTGCGTGTGTGTATGTGCGTGTGTGTGTGTGTGTGTGTGTGTGTGTGTGTGTGTGTGTGTGTGTGTGTGCATGCGTGTGTGCGTGCGTGTGTGTGTGTGTGTGTGTGTGTGTGTGTGTGTGTGTGTGTGTGTGTGTGTGTGTGTGTGTGTGTGTGTGTGTGTGTGTGTGTGTGTGTGTGTGAATGATAACCGTCCTTTTCATGTGCTTTGTAACACACAGTGAGGCAGCCCCATCAAGTTCACAAAGTTGTCAAGGTTGACCAAGGGGCAGCAAGGGGAGATGACCTTCAGCGTGGTAGCAGTTCCACACTTGGCGGCAAGAAGAAAAAGAAGAGAAAGTCTAGAGATGAGAGTCATGCAAGAGCAGTGGATAGTCGTGATCCATCTCTTGCTCATGCTACTGGTGCTGCAGCAACGAAGCAGAAGGCACGAAAGAGCAGAAGTTTTGAAGATGCGCAAGCTACAGCCAAAACCAAACCAGGACGTGGTGTACCTGATAAACCTAGATCAAGCACTACGAGTGCATTACCTACCCTTGGTAAGTGCTGTCATTGTTGCTGCTGCTGCTGCTGTTGCTGCTGCTGCTGCTGTTGCTGGTGCTGCTGCTAGTGCTGGTGCTGCGGCTGCTGGTGCTGCTGCTGCTGGTGCTGCTGCTGGTGCTGCTGCCGCTGTTGCTGCTGCTGCTGGTGCTGCGCCGTCGTCACTGTTCAAGTTGCTGTTGCCAATGCTGTTGTTTGTTTTGCCCCACACTGTTCTGGGCATCCAATGCTGGTTTAAATAAAAATAAATAAATTCGACAGGTTCGCGTACTGGGCAGGTCAAGAACAAGGAGTCGTACAACTCCCTGGTCAAGAACCACCGTTCCGCTTCCGTGGGACGCCACCACCCCATGATCAGGCGTCAAATGTGGCTCCTAAACGGCGGGGGAGGATAGATCAGATCCACCATTTGCCACATCCATGATTCACTCATGCCAGGCCACGAGTTCCCAATTAAAGGGGAAGTTAAGGCAAAAATTAAAATTTCACCAGTTGTAGTTTTCGGGGTGCTGAGTCGAATGGTCTTGGTCCGAGAAAGCTGAGACGCTCCCTTCCTGCTTGAATCCCAATCGAACTCGCGCACTTCCACCGAAACTGGGTGACTGCGCCCTACTAGATGGGGATTTGTATGCAAAATGTCACTAGAAGCGCCGTTTCGTTCTTATAAAAGCACGGATGACCGCGATTAGCCCATATGTTATAGTCTTTTGGACGCTGAATCGACTGGTTTTGGTCCGAAAAGGCTGCGATGCAGCGTTCCTCCTTTATTCCCAATCGAACATGGTTGAACAAGTGGTCACGTGCTCCTGGGTGCCCAAATCACCTGGTCACACCGCCAGCAGGCGACAACTTTCACACCAAGGTTCAACTCGAGTTCAACTCGAGTGACAGGACTGCACCCAAAAAAGGTCAAACAGGCTAGTAAGTTGTACCCTGCAGGCACGGTGACCAGCTGACTGGTGTACGCAGGAGCACGTGACCGCTTGTTCAACCATGTTCGATTGGGAATAAAGGAGGAACGCTGCATCGCAGCCTTTTCGAACCAAAACCAGTCGACTCAGCGTCCAAAAGACTAGAACATATGGGCCAATCGTGGTCATCAGTGCTTTTATAAGAACGAAACGGCGCTTCTAGTGACATTTTGCATACAAATCCCCATCTAGTAGGGCGCAGTCACCCAGTTTCGGTGGAAGTGCGCGAGTTCGATTGGGATTCAAGTAGGAAGGGAGCGTCTCAGCTTTCTCGGACCAAGACCATTCGACTCAGCACCCCGAAGACTACAACTGGTGAAATTTTAATTTTTGCCTTAACTTCCCCTTTAACTGTGGGTCACAGCACGGTTGGAAAAAATCCTTCCGCTTCCAAGCAGGACTTGAACCTGGTACCTCTCGTTCCTCAATCATGGTCTTAGACCAACCCACTGTGCCTGCTGGTTTGAAGTAATCAATGCACAACACCCTTTGTGATTTTGTGTTTCCTGTCAGAATTCAGGAACACATTGCCCCCAACTACATGTACAATGAAACAAGTTTTGAAGTTGGTTCAGTAGTAAGCCACGTTTGAGCCTTTTAGAGTTACAGTGGAGATTGGATATAACGACCTTGGATATAAATGATGACAAATCGAGTTAAGCGACAACATTCTGTGGGCCAAGTCGTTTTGCAAGTCCTTTCTGTGCAATACAGATCGGGTATAATGACCTCGAAAATAACGACAGATCGAATTTACTGACACTTTTTTGGCGCCTGAAGACCTGAAAATACATCGAGTATAATGACTGTCCTCTTGTATCAGGCGGAGTGGCAAGGAATGGACATGTCTGTGTAACATGCCCGGACCTCTGGGTCACTCCACGCGTGCTGGTCATTGCACAATGAAGCCGCAGTGCAGCGGTGTAGTTGCTATGCATGACTTTTGGCTTGAACTATACATGCAAGACACTTGCACATACAAATCTGAAATCCACATGCATTATATTATCATGCACATGCATATCTGCAATATATTTCTGTCATTTTGATATATATTGCATGCTAAAATGTGAAGATCGGCTTTAGCGACAGATCGGATATAGTGACATTTTGTTTTCTCCCGAAGGAGTGTCGTTATGTCCAATCTCCACTGTACTACTGCATTGGCCGTGATGTTGTCTTTGCTAGAGAGCAGTAGTACAGTATGTGTATTGATGCACTGTTTGCTCAACTCAGACTTGAACTGCTTTGAGGAGACTTTGTTTCTAAACCATCTCACATTATGGTCCCTGTCCTGATTTGAATAGCACAAGAGGATGATGATGACGACGACACTGGTACAGACACTTCCACTGCAAGATCGTCTCATGTAAGTTTGCGCACATATCGGTACTGTTTACGCGGTTGGAACGTTTAAATGCTGATATTTTCATTTTTTCACTTTCCTTCAAAAACATTCCAGAGTAGTCGAATGCTGGAAATAATAATTCCTCCCAGCACTTGTACCTTCCAGCGTTCAGAACTACAATCTATTTTTCTCAAAAATTGGGCAAAAATTAGACCAGTAGCTTTTAAACCCGGACTTTTTTATAACTGGAACTTGTGGCATTTCTTTCGAGAGAGAGAGAGAAAGAGAGAGAGAGAGAGAAAGAGAGAGAGAGAGAGAGAGAGAGATACAGGCAGACAGACAGGCAGACAAGCAGTATTTAGCCGGACCACACGGCAGGAGCAAAACTAGACTGATTGATACTGATACATTAAAACATCATATCAGTATCAAGCAGTCTAGTCTTGCTTCTGCTGTGTGGTCCGCCTATATACTGTTGAAGTTTAGGAATATCTTGGCTAGACCTGTGCTGATGTGTAATCGTATGGGAATCCAGCCTTTACCAAATGAGACAGAGAGACGGACAGGCAGACAAATACAGAAAGAAAGATAGTGAGATGGACAGAGAGAGACGAGGGGGGGGGGGGTACACTGACGTGGCTCTCCGGCAATACAATGTGTGTGTGTGTGTGTGTGTGTGTGTGTGTGTGTGTGTGTGTGTGTGTGTGTGTGCATGTGCCAGTTAACTGGCACAGTGGTATCGATCACACCCTTTACATCATTTAAAGGGGCACTCCGGCTTCATTTTCGACGCCGAGTTTCCGATGCCAAGACGAAGGTAGGTGAAAGAGAAGACCCCTCGAACAAGAACGAGTCTCCAGAAGCAATCGAGGCGAGCAGGAAGACGACTTTTGAATTTCGCCGAGCGAGCGCTGATGACGTAATGAGGGATTAGCTTGCCAGTGGAAATGCATCTGCGCACATACATTTCACATACTTTTTGGCCAATTTTCAATCGAAGAGGAGGTTGTTTTCTATGTTCTCTCAACGTCGTGAGCGATCCCGTCTTCTATACCCTTCCAGGTACCCTCAAGGTCCTCCAGAGGAGAATTTATCTCCAGCGAAGCGTTGTTGATTCGCTAAATTCGTCTCGAGACATATTCACCCAGTGCAGTGCTGATAAATGTAGAATGTTGAATCTGTGATAATTGTTGACGATGGAGAGAGAGGCTGATAGCCGCTGTCGCAGGGAGAGTGAAGCTGCTGGAAGTAACAACGGGGAGCCCGTTTGTATCACCTGAACAACCAGACTTCAAAGCAGCTTGACCAAATCGGAGGGTGCCTCGTTGCTTATCGTGAATATTACACCGACATGAATTACTACAAGTACACTGGTGAGTTCTTATCTTGTTTTGTTCGTATGCTAGTACCCTGGCCTGGAGTTCTCGTTAGCAAATTCCTATTCCCTGGCGTTTTCTAAACATTCCGTGTAGTACTGAATACGTGATCAAGTATTCCGATTTGGGTAGATGTGGACTTTGGACATGTATTTTATAAAAAAAATCTATTTTCCAAATAGAGCGTTTGTAGTTAAATGGTTGCCCAAATACAACGAAATTGATTCTGCAGTTCTACAACTTGTACTGAAATCCAGTCAAAGTAAAAATGATTCTTCATGACAGTTGGGGTCAATGAAATCTGATCCAGGCATAACGAATAGTGACGTCTGCCACCCCGAGAACGAATGCCCATTTCGTGGGGGATACCTAAGTACTCGAAAGTGGTGCGTGTTTCAATGTGGCATGGAAGTTTTATAATATGATCTCTGGTCAATGCAACATACGATAGCCATCATGAATTGCAGGCCTCGAACGCAACTCAGACCAGAATTGGCAGTTCCCTAAGTTTATAATTCCATGGCCCCAGCTGTGGTTATAGAAGTTTGTTTGCACATTATTCTTATAGTCGATAGGTTTATACTGATGGCCGCAAACAATGGCAGTTCAAACTTCACTGATGTGTTCATGAGCTGAGAGATTTCTCTCCACTATTTCTGTTGTGCATACAGGTATGTCTAATATTGACCGTATTGGGATGGTATCTGCTCTGGGAAGGGAATCGCTGGAGCCACAGTCCAATTATACAGGCTTTCAAGAAACAGAGAGGATCCATCTTTCCAAGCTGATACCTGATGTGTACCGACAGAATTCTCACGAGATACCTTACGGACTACGTGTGGTGTGTACTTCATAGTACTCCTTCGACTACTACTAGTATCTAGAATCAAATCGACTGAAACAAGTTCAAACAACTCTGGCTTCAAACGAGCCGACGATTAGACGAACAAAACATTCTCTCATATACTGGAGCACTCTGACAACTCACGACCTATTCCTAACGATTGCCACCGCTTATATAAATATGTAGAGTGCTGATTGGAATGTGCTCACAATCTCAACAATTCAGTGCTATAATTATTTGAACAATGTGTTAGAAATTATTCCACTTTTCCTTCCATAAATGTATCCACATATAATCCACAGTGCTCCAAAGTTTCAGAGTACTCAGGGTATCAAACAAAATTATTTCAAATACAGTGAAATTGTTCGTGGACATTATAGCGTAACTAATTTACTTGTAGTTCCCTGGTCCTTTTCTTTGCTATAAATTAATCCTTTGCTCTCTAGCCGCCTGCGAGTCGAACAGTGAAATTGTTAGTTCATATTTATAATGTGGGTATGTGGGAGTGGGTTGAACATATTTTTTATATAAGGGACCTGCAACTGTAATACCACAGTACAGTAGCCGGCAAATATGTAGAAAACAGAAATGCATGCTCCCATCATTGTACATGGACGGGCGCCGCAGCAGGCTGAAGCTATCAGCCAGAACAGGATTTACAATCACTTAGAGATGCTTGAGCTATTCCAGTACTCTCCGTGTGCTGTCCCATTCCACCATGTTTCATGCCACCATTATTTCTGGTAGTATCCATGTGCATAGTTCCAAGACCATCTCGGATTCTTCAGCAATTTGTGCCACGGCAAAAGACAATGCTTGACTCGGTCACTGGGGCTGTCAAACTTCCCATCACAAATGAACTTCAATTTCTCATCTGTTTCAAGTATATGTACTGCCATGACTTGACCATGTTTCATACACAACTGGGCGAAGATTGTGGCGTTGAATTCCATAGCGCACCTTCTTGCTGCCATGCAGGAGTATGTTGAGAGAAGTGAACATATTTTTACTAAAAAACAACAGCCACTGAAGAGGATAGCAATAGCCTTGGGTGAATTTCCTGCAGGTACACGTTGTTGGTACGTCTACTGGTCGGTCTCCATATTGTCAAGTTCAGAAATCACCTGTACTACACATCTTGTAGAAGGAATCCTGATCGAATAATATTCTGGTCATAAAATTCACTAAACTGAGGGCGAGACAAATAGTCAGTACTCCCCGATTCCGTCAAGCTGCTTTGAAGTCTGGATGCACATGTGATGCTAACAAGCTCCCCGCTGTTACTTCCAGCAGCTTCACTTTCCCTGCGACAGCGGCTATCAACCTCTCTCTCCATCGTCGACAAATATCACAGATTCAACATTCTACATTTATCAGCACTGCACTGGGTGAATATGTCTCGAGACGAATTTAGCGGATCAACAACGCTTCGCTGGAGATAAATTCGGTATGCCCCCACATGAGCGCGACCCAAAACAGCGCCGTTGACTTCAGCGCCCCCCAAAAGCCCCATCCCCAAAACAGACCACCCCGTCAGCGCGCACGCTCAATACAGGTCGACTCATTTACACTCAAACCCAAAAGATGGACACTCGACTTGTCAAAGACTCAAATCATGATCAACTCGAAATGGCCAGTTCAGTATTGAAGGGCGATATTGCCTGGACTCAATTTATAATCAACTCTAGAAAGCAATGATGAACTAAAAAAAGCAATTATCGACTCAAAAACACCAGTTCAGTATTAATGGCGATATTGCCTGGATGGACGTTAACAGGTCCAGATACAAAATTAGGTTGTAGTCAACTCTAGAAGGCAATGATCAACTCAAAACAAGCAATGATCGTCTCAAAAAAAAGTTCACTGTTAATTTTTTTGGTTTTCCGAAAATGGTAATCTGCAATGGATTGTCATTAAAACAGAAAAAGAAAAAAATAAGGCACCCATTTTGATAGTCAAGGGGATGCCCACGCCTGGTAAAGAGAAAAAAATGGAGAAGAGGTAAATATTCAGAATTTTCGCTTCGCTCATCTTCCCTTCTTCGGTCCTACGTAACCACGAACCTTCCAAGTTGGAAGGTTGGTTTGCGCACTGGAGATGTGTTAGAGCTAGGTCTCGGGCCGCTGAATGTCTCAGTGGCCTGTCAGTTTCGTGCCCTATTATCGCACAGTCACTTTTTGACTGTTTATCATCTTGTTACAGTCGTGGATAGTTTCTGCACAACTCGTTCTCATGTGTTTCTTCTCTTTTTTGCATATCTTTTTTTAGGAACGGGTTTGCTCCTGATATCCACCATGGTAATACTAACATCAAGAGTACATAAAACCGGTTATGCACTCTTGCTAACAATTTACATGAGCCTGCACATTATGGGTCACGTGTGTAATGAGCTGGCTTATATTCGGACGTTAACGTAATTGGTCGCGCCAAAATGGGGCGTGCAAGAGATGAGACGAGCTGTAGTGACACCGTGTCACATTAGGTCGCGCTGTACTGGGGGTGCTAATATGAACACGCGCCGTTTATGGTTGCGCTGTTTTGGGTGTAAATCATAAATTCTCCTCTGGAGGACCTTGAGGGTACCTGGAAGGGTATAGAAGACGGGATCGCTCACGACGTTGAGAGAACATAGAAAACAACCTCCTCTTCGATTGAAAATTGGCCAAAAAGTATGTGAAATGTATGTGCGCAGATGCATTTCCACTGGCAAGCTAATCCCTCATTACGTCATCAGCGCTCGCTCGGCGAAATTCAAAAGTCGTCTTCTTGCTCGACTCGATCGCTTCTGGAGACTCGTTCTTGTTCGAGGGGTCTTCTCTTTCACCTACCTTCGTCTTGGCATCGAAAACTCGGCGTCGAAAATGAAGCCGGAGTGCCCCTTTAAATGAAGCCAGTCTAATCCAGAGACTCTCTCATGCCTTCATTTTTCCATGTGTGTGTTTGTGTGTGTGTTTGTGTGTGTGTGTGTCTGTTTGTGTGTGTGTGTGTGTGTGTGTGTGCCTGTCTGTCTGTTTGTGCGCACATGTGCACACATGCATGCGTGTGTGCATATATGCATGCTGGCGTGTAGGATGCTCGTCTGATAACACAGTCTTTGCCGCCGGATCTTCTACATAGCGAGCCGCACAGCAGACAAGAGCGCCGTCAACATCGCTCCTCATCTGGGCATGCACCGAGTACACACTCCAGCACTTCAGCAGCAGTTCTACCAGCAACTGCGGCTGTAGGCGAGCATGTAGAGGAACTGGATACAGGTAGTGCCAGTGACCGCAGCGCTATGCATTACAGCGATGAAAAAGATCTGAAATACGAAGCAGACAGCGAGCTGTCCGAACAACCTGCAAGCACGTCACACGATAGACAATGCTACCACTCAGGAGGAGCAAAGACAGAACAGGATATAAACACAGTGGCCGGTGTCAGGCCACACATTCACCAGGCTGATCTACACGACTCCACCGATGATTCCTCGCAAGCGAAGAACTTGCAGTATGTACGGCGCTCTCCATCTCCAAGGCAACACGAGCAACTGGTCCAGCCAGTTGTCATGGAAACTGAGATACCAACGGGCGACTTTGAAGACACGGCAGAGCTGTCCGATATGGAAGCAAAAGAAGAAGATGCAGATGAAAGTGAAGACCGCACTGCGGCACGGTATAGCAATGAGGAAGATGATGATACTGCTAGAAATCGCGGAGATTCTCGTGTTGAGTCACAGCTTGGTTTCGAACACACCGAAAGCGCATGTCCACCAGCTGCTGCTGTCACTCAGTCACCGGTGGAGAGCAAAGTGGAAACTGACAGTGCTTCTGACACGACCGCACATTCTGCATCATCAATGTTACCTGAAGCTGAGCAGATGGATGGCTTGGATGACATTCCGCAGCGGCAGCGTGTGCGGTCCAACATGTCAGACGGTGGGTCCTTTCGTGGTTTGCAGCGACGGGCGAACATCAAGAGAAAGAGCGGGCATGGTACCAGTGGAGGACGTCATGGGTCTGCTGCATCAGTTACTTCTCAGAATCTAGATGACTCCGTGAATCGAAATAGCGGCGTGTCGATTGAATCCGCGCTCGCAGCGGCTGCATCAAGACTTCCGCAGTCCTCAGAAGATGATACGCAAGAATGTAATCAGGTTGAAGAACCGGCCGCAGTGGTGATGTTGACAGAACGAGAGCGGGCTCGTCGTGCTGCACTTGAACGTGTTCGTAAGAAGCGTGCCAACTCGGCGAATCAAGCCACAGCCGAGGAAACTGCTAACCAGTTCCATGAGCCTGCTGCTCCCAGTGCAACAGCAGCTGCAGCAGCAGTAGTAGTGAGTAGCGGTGCAGTGCAACACAACAATGAGCAGGGACTCAGTCAAAGAGAGCGAGCTCGACGTATAGCCGTGGCTAGAGTAAAAGAAAGGCGACGGACATCCCATCCACCCATGGAATATCCGTTAACCAGAGGTGCTGGGATGGAGGAAGATGCACCGGCGCCGCAGAGTGAAGCCATCGCCAGTGATGTACCCAAACCTGCCGGCAGACCAGTAAGTACCTCTCAATATTATGATGTAAGTGAGCAGGTAGTACTAACATGAATTTATTGTAACTATATACTATTGTAGGCCGTTGCAAGCAAGATTGTGTCTTCGGGGCTAAGTAAGGTTTCCAAGAAGAAACTGATTTTGTTGACATTTTTGGTGTAATAGTTTGACTGCTCTTACTCGGGCATGCGCAAGCAGCCAATTTTGCATGTGAAATAAAATGACTGTTCTCGTAAACATTATTTTAGCCCTGAAGACACTATCTTGCTTGCAATGGCCAGTGCTGATCCACATAATTATCGTAACATGTTGTACTACCTTACCTGTACATGTATGTATTGTATTGGTGTAGTGCTAATGTGGCTAATGTCAAATGAACAAGCAAAGTAGGATTTACCCAGTGTACTGTACGTATAGACGAATGTGTACGCTACAGTAGTATAACATGGTGTGTGTGTGTGTGTGTGTGCGTGCACCCATGCGCGTACAGGCTTCATGCGTGTAAAAGTGTGTATAATTATGTGCATGTATGTGTAGATGTGTGTATGTGAAGTACGTATGTGCATCATTTGTATCCTGACAATGACTATGTCATTATGATGTGTATGTGTGTATCAGCCACGAGTGTAGAGCATGAATGTATGCACACAACATACCGGTATCAGTAACTGTTGAGGAATTGCATTATTGGCAACCAGTGAGCAGCTGCTCATGGACTTCTTACCAGCTAACATGCATTATTCACAAGCAGAGAGCTGGTACTTATGAACTCCATGCCAACTGTCATGTCATGATGCATCCATGCATACTCAATCTGCTTGGAATCTGCTTGGAACTTGAGAACCGTGAACGAACTGCCTCCACGCTCCTCGCCACGCCACAAAACAAAGGACTAGCACAAATTGTTAGAGAGCTTTTTCTTCTACTTCGCTTCAGTAGGCGATGGAGAACTCATGGTTATCAGACAACGAACGACGGACGACTGACACTGAGACAAGACTAGACAACAGAATATATTAGATTGAAGGCGTACAACGGGGACAAGACGAGCAAGTGTGTACCACCGGGGATAGAAGACGGTGCAGCCGCATGTACGCAGGAGTCAAAAACAGCGCAGCAGCATGTACCACGACTCAGCAGCATGTACAACAAAGAGACACAAAAGCAGACACATGTACGACAAAGAGCTACCCGTGCAACCGCATGTACAACGAAGAGACACAAGCGCAGCCACATGTACAACACTATCCCCCATCAAAAAAAACATCCACTCCTGTGGATGGAAGCAATCAAAACAAAATAAGAAGAAAGACAGAAGAAAAAGAAATCAAATGTGAACAACATACACAGGAGAATAGAAACAAAACATGCCGAGCCAAAACAGTAAGAGACGTAACTCCGGACAACGGGGAAAAGCCAAGGCACAAATGTGTGAAAAGAAAACAGACCGGGCCCACCCATAGAGGGAACCGCCATACTTTCAGGCGTGGGCCGCCAGGAAGTAACCACGTTGCCCTGGTACGAAGCCAAGGCAAACCGATGGCACTGCGAAGACCGCGGCAGCTGAATGACCAGGCATCTGGAAGCACAGGAGTTGTCCGGAAAACCATCACGCAGCCGATGGGCTACGAAAGCTCACAGAGACAGAAAGACACACACAGAAAGAAACACGGACTGACGCAAACATCTCAGCCATCGCCGAAAAATCAGAAAAGCACACGAATGAAGGGAAGAACAGCCAGGAAGAACACGTCGACTGAAACAGGAGCAATTAATCAGCGAGGACACCATTGAGGACACACAAACAAATCGGTTACCAATACGCAAAAGATGATGAAGAAAAACCACAGGGCGCTACCCTGAAAAACCCACAGGTCTCTAACCTGAAAAAACCCACAGGGATCGAACCTGAAAAAACCCACAGGGATCGAACCTGAAAAAACCACAGGGATTGAACCTGAAAAACACGGAACTTATAGTACATCCGCTCGCAAAACCAAAAAAAAACGAAGAAAAAAAACTGTCAGGCACCGACTGGGGCACACAAGGGCCAACCAGCAACACACGGAAACCATAACACCCGCAAGGCAAACCGATACAACAAAACACAGGATCCCTGCAGACCACCAGGCAGACCGTCGCTCACCATGATCAGACGCCCACCCAAACGAACTAGAGAGACCCACATGCCGAAACACAATTATTACAAAACCATACGCTCACAAAAAAATTCAACCTGGATCCGAAACGAGAATCCTACATGAAATTCACACCTCCCACCAAACCGGAAGCCACCAGCTTTCCGACTGGGTGCACAGTGCACGACCGAGCCTGACAACGCTCTGCACGGAACATGGAGAAACTACTACTACTACTAGCAAGAGTCCATAACCCAAGAGTATGCAACTGTGATTATGCCTGCATGCGTGGCGCGCTGCCTTTATTACGTAACTTGCCTTCATCACGCTCTGAAAGCATGCATTCAAACCCACAATGTCTCGTCCGAGCCCATCCGTTTTTGCTCGATTTGTTCCAGTACCTACGCGATCCCTAAATTTTGGCGCGTGAACTCCAGTTCCGTACGAAAGTTCATTTCAAACCAGAGGGAAAATGCGGTGTTTGATTTTCCGCAGTGCGCGGAGCCGCGGACTGCAGCTGAATGATGTAATGAGGGCAGCGCGCCGCGCGGTTGGCCCATAGAAAAGAGATCACAGTTGCATACTCTTGGGTTATGGACTCTTGCTACTAGTAGGCACTTCAGTCACGTGACACGACCTGTCAAAAAGTGCTAACGCTGAATCGCGTACATGCGTGGCACCACGGAAAGGTGCATGCATAGATCGATCTGTAGCTGCACGGAATCTGCGCAGGGCCTTCTCGTGTGGCGCAGCGTGTAGCTGAGGCCCTCAGCTTTCGTTTGAGCCCACATACGTCATGATGCGGCAATTTTTTGAACTCACGTACAGTTCGAGTAAAATCGGCAAGGATTTTTCGGGCATTTCACTTGATTGCACGCATTTGCCATGTAGCTCATCGTCTTCAGCGTCGTATTTCCTTTCGGAATCAGTTGTCCTCGTTTGTCCAACACTTTGCGCATTGCTGCGCAAGAAGAAATAATGCGAGGTGTTATTAAAAGCGAGCCGCGGCAGGCGTCCTCCCGGCAGTAGTCCTTGTTCGTCGGAGCCCATGCGCATGGCTGCGCAAGAAGAAAAATTAATATTGCCAGGTATTATTGGAGTCGCATCGGAGCAGTCGTCCTCTCCTGCAGGCAACGAGTAGGACAGTATATACTTCGGCGACTGGACCAAGAGAGCTGACATCAAAACGGCCTGCTTGGAACAAATCGTCAGCTGATCAGCAGGTGGCTTCCAGCGACCAAGAAAAGCATTGACGGTGATATAATACCAAGAATCCAGCACACACTCTATGCACAAAATCTCTCATGCTGGAGTTGCTGAAGTTTCAGTAGTCCCAAACATTTGCAAACGATGTTCTACATGTAATAGTTTGCCATTTCTTTCCGTCAAATACTCTGTAAAATTCTAGTTTGCTCCGTCTGTGGCTCATTGTTCTTCTGTACTGATCACCACGTCAGTACTGTACATGTAGCAACAATGTGTTCTGGCACTGAATTATTGTAGTTACTTTATCTTACCTCAAAGTCTCATCTTATGCTTTTCCAAAGGCTTCTCTGCACTGTTTTCATGCTGTTGCGATGGAGTTGCTATGGAGTTGCCATGGTGACCACACCCGATATCTTCGTCTGAGCTGCCGGACGGATGAAAAATGCGAAGTTTTTCCAAACCATGCTGTTTCTGCATTCATCTGGTTATTTTGACCTGCTTCGAGCGAGCCTGGTATTTGCCACTATAGACACTGAAGCAAGTCCTACCAATTTCTGATATGCTGCTGGTGCCGTCGAAATACTGAAATTGCCGTTATTCAATTCTCCGACTTTGGATGGCTATATCTCTGTGCCAAGTTATTCTTTTTGCTTCAAATTTTCTGTGGAGTCTTCCTAAACCTATCTGAATCGGATACAAGAAAGAAATACGAGTATTTCTGGTTTTGAAAAAACCGCCTGAAGTGCCTACTACTAGTACTAGTGAAACGGTAGAAACACGAAACAAAACAATATGGATCGACTACAAACGAGGCAGCACCTCGAGAACGTTCAGGTGGACATCCAAACAAATCACGCGACACAGTCACAATATCGGAGCAGTCCGACGGCAACTCCGTGACAAGCACAAGTGCACAACACAAGACGAGATCAAAGCTACCCATGCTGAATGCACGACGAGCAAGCAAAAACAAGTTCCAGATTCGAACGCGTAGCACACGAACAGAAGTTTGAAATTTTCATACACACAACCGTACAGTACAGGGTAGTCAGAGCGACACAGGAACAACGAACACAACGGGGCGAACTTACAACGAGCAGCTAGATTACACTACGCACTCGAGCACAAGAGAACAAGGTTCCACGGACTGCCTGCCGGGACCAGAGTCACCCAACGCAAAACAATTTGAAAAAATTCGAAATCGAATACAAGTTACGGCAACACATTACGCAGAGTAGACAATTACAAAGGCATTCTCACCTGAGTAGGCGCTCTCATGAGAGGCTTGGACGTTCGTGAGACTCAAGTAGCTGGGCCATGGCGAGAACACGAAGAGGAGACGAAAACACAGCTGATATGGAGACGAACTCAGGGTCGTGGATACGATTTGTTGGGCGCCAAATGTCGTCACGGGTTTGCGAACCGTGAACGAACTGCCTCCACGCTCCTCGCCACGCCACACAACAAAGGACTAGCACAAATTGTTAGAGAGCTTTTTCTTCTACTTCGCTTCAGTAGGCGATGGAGAACTCATGGTTATCAGACAACGAACGACGGACGACTGACACTGAGACAAGACTAGACAACAGAATTATAATTATTAGATTGAAGGCGTACAACGGGGACAAAACGAGCAAGTGTGTACCCGGGGATAGAAGACGGTGCAGCCGCATGTACGCAGCGCAGGAGTCAAAAACAGCGCAGCAGCATGTACCACGACTCAGCAGCATGTACAACAAAGAGACACAAAAGCAGCCACATGTACCATGTGTACGACAAAGAGCTACCCGTGCATGCAACCGCATGTACAACGAAGAGACACAAGCGCAGCCACATGTACAACACATGCATGCATGCATATGTAGCTCTCTCGTGGCACGCATTGTATTGTATTGTATTGTATTTATTTAAAAGGATTCTCCAAAAGCAAATGGATGCTTATCACGGAAGTCTCCCACATAAATATCGCAAGAAAAATGGGGAAATGGGGAGAGGAGAGTGGAAGATGAAGCATGGGAAGAAGGGAAACAAGTACCTAAATATCGAGGTATAAAAGCAGGAAAGAAATCGACGAGGGAAGAAATCACCTCTGCAGATAATAGCGGGACATTTAGATGAAAAAAACCCAGCAAGGATTAATTTCAAGGAAAAAAAATTTCTCAAACGGAAAAGTTCGGAATTCCAGTCACAGAATATCTATGCTGAGAGTAATGGAAGCTGTTGTGTGTGTGCGTGCTGGATTTGGCAATGATCAACTGAACCAAGTACATGCATATGTACGGTGTACTAAATTCAGATGAGTAGATGAGTAGGCGAACAATGCATTCATATGACCATACAAATGTGTGCTGGCGGTGGATAATTATTGTTGACTGCTGTTAACCATTTTCGTCAGGCTTTGCAACACCGCTCGTCAACAGTTATCCCAAACTTCTTATCCAGCTCATGCGCGTATGATCCTGAGTTTGATGACGAAGAGTTTCACGGATCAGATTGTGACGAGGACGCAAACGCCAAAGCATCATCTGTGAAGGTATTTTAAGACATGTAGTGTGGTCTTGAATCCCGAATCATGTGGCCAGTTTGCCGTGCATGTTTACATATTACTACTGTGCTGATGAATGTAAACTTTGTAAAGGTGACTTGAACCTCCAATAACAGCTAAACGAGTCTATAGTTAAAGTATGGTAACAAAGTGCTAACAATGCAGGGATACGTTTGCAAGTACATGCACATGGACATGGATGCATCATTGGTCTGATTTAGTACATTGGTGCATTGGGTGTAGTCAGTCACCATCTCACCACACTGCACAGATCTACTTTGCTATGCTTTTGTCTGCACTGTGATAATGTGTGTTGAACATGCATGTGCCCCCATTCATGACTCAATGCTAATCATACAGTCTGAGATGAAACTACGCTGTTTATACTACTTTGAAGTAGAAATGATTATTCTGCATGGCTTGGTGTGGAAAACATAATTCCTCGGAGGAGATGTGTGTTATCTAAAGAACTAGCGCTAACAGTGGCTAAGAGTGGATACGATGATGGCCGCGCTTGTTCATTTTGCCCGTTATTCGCCATGTCATCTAGGGCCCGCCTATCATACAGATAAACGGACACAAATATTCTTCAGAGGACTACGGCGCATCATACAGTTTGGAGGAAGATGCTGCGGAGGAAGGCGATGTTCTTGCGTCGTCAGAACCCCTGTGTGAAGATGATGAATATCCTTCAGAAATGGTGAACTCTTAGCCCTCTTAACCCAGTGTAACCGTTTCTCTTGTTGATAATATAATGGCAGGGAAGCAGTGGAGTAACAGTGTAATGATGGATGTCTTTGATCATAATCATATGGCCGCAATCTTTGCTGCACAAAAATATATCACCTTCTTCTGCGGACAGCACAATTCTACTTCTTGCCATCGAAGATATGGCTTTGAACCTATTTGTCACTCCGTGCTTGTAATGGTCTTGCAGTAACTTTACTGATTGTCTTGACGACTGATTCACAATCAGTTGCCTAATGGTTTCTTAATAAATGCCTGATCAATAACCATCTGTTTAATTGTGATTTCGTAAAACCAACTTAGAATGGAAATAAAACAAAAAAAGTTATCCTTTCAGAAGCAGTAGACACCAGCAATCTGCTGTCTTTATCGTACCCACCTGTGAATCCGCTGTCGCATGCATCACGTGTGCGTGCAGAAACCTGACAGTGCTTGCAGCTTGTAGGCTACTGAGACAGACTTGCGTATAGCAATCATGTTCACTGCCAGCTTCCGTATTGCCGGATAGGATGCAGGTGCATGTAGCTAGCTACTTGCCTAGTCATGCAGATGCCTAGGGAACGGGTGGATTTAGACCCAGGGTACTACGCGGCACAGGGTAGTCGCATGCAACCGCCAGTCTGTGAGTGCATTGCCTGTAGCTGTAGGAAAAAGAGTTGGGAGTAGCAAAGTGTACGTTTGACGGGTGCACCTTGTTCCCGTTAAACACTTACACCAAAAACTGAGCAATACACTGATAATGCTGATAGCAGTACTTTTGGTGAAGAGCATTCAATGACCTACACTTTGTGAAGTGGACCCCCCCCCTGCCTGATACTGTAATAGGGATACCGTATTGAGTCACAGTATTGTGGTCTACCTTAGTATGATCAAGGGAGAGGCAGCTCATGATCAGTGTCACACTTAGTAAGCTGTGAAGCTTCATGCATGTTATTTTTCAACTACATGTACCAAACAGTGGCTTATGCATGCATTGCTTGGGCCTGGTCAAGAGGCATGTGTGACAGGGAGGTACCGTATGTAGTACTGCCCACTTCCATCGCTTCTATGCTGCTAGTCAGGGATACTCTGAGTCAGCGGTCAGGAAAAAAGTGACTGGAAGGGATGCCATGATCAGTCCATCTTTGTTTGCAATCAATCTGAAATGGGAATGCATGCCAGTGAAGAAGAAAACAGCATTGACATGGTCCACTTACTCACCATTGAAGAGGCTAGCATTCTTCTCCCCCTGGCCAGTTTAGTCAGGTCTATTTTGCTAGCTGACAATTGCATCCATCATAGTGGCAGGCTGAGGAGGGCTTCAGCCTATGAAGTGGCTGTCCTTTATTCACTGATCTGTAAATTATCAGATATTAGTTGACAGCAGCTAGAGGCAGGGGTTTGTGGTATGCCGGACAGCACATGCAGCAGATACTGAGCCCTGTACTGCAGCAGATACTGAGCCCTGTACTGCAGCTGTGTTATCAACAGTCTTACCATGTTAGCCTGCATTTCAAGAAGATTCACCCAGTCACCGGTGCATGATAGTGGTAAACTGGCGTTCTCTGCTGGACTTTGCTAGGCATAACACCAAGGCTACATAATAGGATGTAGAAAAGTGTTAGGTTTGCATTGTAAACATACTTATTCCAGTAGTCTCAGACACTCTGTGTGCAGGTGACTCCACTTCAAGTCTTTACTCATTGTATTGGAGAGTATATACATGTAGTCTCAGCCCCAGTGTGTCTAGAATGAGTGAACTAGCATATCTCTTTGCACCATGTGCCATGCAGAGAAGAACTGTGGGCGCCAGTGATTCAGAGAGCAGTGGCAGTGAGAGTGAAGGAGCACTCAATGTTGATGACTACTTTACTGCAGCCAAGGCACATGGAAAACACAGCTCAACAGCTGCTTCTCGTGTAGAAGATATGAATCATGAAGATCAGCCGGTGAGTGGAAAATTGCACATTTATACAGGGTTTTTTCTTCCACCTTAAAAAAAAGTCCATCACATTCCTTCAAAGCTATGACTTAATGCCCACTTTGTGCTATGACATAAACACACTGACACATCTCAGTGCGCATGCTCAGTTCATTCACGAGCCATGGTCCCGGCTCCTTGTAATCTGTATGGCACAGTACAGTGATGTCGCTGTAGGGTCCGGTCTCTGTGCGATGTAGAATATCTACTTGCTGGTCGCTGCCAGATAGCTACCAAGCATTGTACATGTAGGAGTGTAGTAAAGGCACGTGACCGACCGGTGGTAGCTCAAACCTCTTTAGAGGAAAACTACCCGTTCACAGAAGAAGCCTCAGGTATCAGCAGCGAATCAATGTGCCCCCCCCCCCCCCCCCCCCCCTGAGGAAGAAATCACACAATATAATTATTGGGAGGGCTGCAGAAGCCAAGGCATGTGAAATATTTAGGAAACTGTACTCGTATGACCAAATAACGTGTCATCATTCTCACCAGTTATCAGGACTAGTGTTGTTGGTGTTGTTGTTGTTGTTGTTCTCCCACCTACTACTGGTACCATAACCGTAGGCTGATCAAGAAGATGTTGCAAACCCATATGGTATTGATGCCGTCGACAAGACCCTGAATGCAGGCAGTGCAGGTCACCTGCAATTTGACATGCGCTATGGAAAAGGACAGCTGCACATCAGAATTAACGCCTGCAATGAACTGGCCGAGTCGCATTATGCTTTCATGTATGTATGGATATTTTGAAATGATTACTCGCCAAGACTCCGTTGACAATTTGGTCTCAGAACTGCAATTTGAGAAAGAATATTATCAACAAGTATCTCGGCCTTGAGCGCAGTGTGTTATTGATAAGTTCTCCACCTTAGTCTTACAAGAACTTCAAGCTTTGTCACAAGCACAGTAACACAGAAGTGTATGCAATACCTCAAGTACGAGTACATCTACACAGTCAGTTGCAGGGGCTGCTTGTAGGTAACTAATTAGTATTAGTCGATGATGCACTAACACGAGTTGTGGTCCTTGTGTGTTTGTACAGTTATGCCAAGATATACCTGTTACCGGACCTGGGCAAGGCTGGAAAGCGTCTCACTGCCATTCGACAATTCTCCACAAGTCCTAATTTCAAGCAAGAATTCACTGTGAGGAAGAGACGTACATGCAGCCAAAGTCCACACGCTAGTTAGGTCATTGCATATGTACTTCAACTTTTCTGTAGTCTACACAAGTGTGTTAGATGACCTGTGGTTTCTAGAACCCAACTGAATGTGATCAATAGAATTTGTTGTTACTGCTGCACATCAAAACAGTGACATGCAGCACGAACAATGATGGCACAGTCTACTTGCTGGGAGGTTGGTACATGTAGTCTTCTCTGCTAGCCAGGGAGTAGTAAAATACTTACTCCCTACTGCTAACTGACCCCGTCTCTCTTCTTTGTCTTTGGTCTTACAGTACAAAGTGGGAAAGGATGAACTACATTACCGGTCTCTGTCCATTTCGCTGTGGGTGAAAGATACCAGAGACAGCACACACAATATATTTTATGGTGCTGTCAAGAAGGACTTTACCAGAGTGGAGTTGGACTCAAATTGGAGTGTGTTTGAAGAGTTGCTAACTGAGGAGGTGAGTTTGTACTAGTTGATGGTTTTACAATGTACAAGTCGTCAGAATTTTCAGGTTCAAGGATATATTGGAAGCCTCTTTGTTTGCACCGGACATCACCATGAGCGCATGGACATTGCTATGTTCGTAGAAGTCATTTCTTTCATTTGCCTGTCTTACTGTGTGTGTGTGTGTGTGTGTGTGTGTGTCGGCAGCCGAACATACTGCCGACCGGAGACCCGACCTGCATGCGGCCCACGAAAGCGCTGGCGAGACGCTCTGAGTCCGGATCTACAGCGATGTGACGTACAGGACTCTTGGCCAGAAGATACCCAGTCACGACCAGGGTGGAGGAACATCTACCGTGAGCTGGAACCAGCTTCGTCACCAGTGCGTAATGTGCAATGTCTTGTCTGCCGACGCGTATTTAGCAGGCCTTCGGACAAGCGCCGTCACAAGTGCTTGGATGAAAGGGCCAAGCCCATAGCAGAGCAGCGCGGTGCAGTGCAGTGTCCCCAATGTCAACGGTGGCTACGCAGCCGTGGTGGGCTATCGCGGCATAAATGCACACCCCATGATCCTCAGCCCCGTGAAGACCATCCCCAAGCTATTGCAAGGGACTGTTGCGCAGCTCACTGCCCCACATGTGACCGCTGTTTCGCCAGACCGTCTGACAGATCACGACACAAATGCCACCGTAGTACGCATCGCCCGACTGCAGCAACACGATTGACATTTGAATGGTCCTGCCCCGACTGTGGCCGCCGTTTTCGCCGCGGGAGCGACCTCACCCGACACAGGTGCCAGCGGCCTCCCTCCTCCCCGGTTCTCTCTTAAGGAGAGCCACGTGGCCCTTGTGGCAGTGCTGAACAGGAACAGGAACAGGTGTGTGTGTGTGTGTGTGTGTGTGTGTGTGTGTGTGTGTGTGTGTGTGTGTGTGTGTGCGTGTGCACGTGTACATGTGTGCTTGTACTTACATTTCTGTGTTGTTATTGTCAGCCTCACAGTGGAAGTATAAGAGCAATTGGCAGTCGACGGTGCTCCGGAAACATTGATTTATCAGTTCGATGTATGAGTGTAGACAGCAGCGACTTGACAGAAGCAGGAGCTGCATGTAGAGTGGATGTGCTAGTGCGTGAGTGCAATGGCATATCAGCATCTGATCCAGATGACCTTGCCGATCCATTCATCTGTGGGTAAGTTGGTTGTACGTGGCTAGGTGTAATGGCACAGGGATGATGGCTAGGTGTAATGGCACAGGGATGATGGCTAGGTGTAATGGCACAGGGATGATGGCTAGGTGTAATGGCACAGGGATGATGGCTAGGTGTAATGGCACAGGGATGATGGCTAGGTGTAATGGCACAGGGATGATGGCTAGGTGTAATGGCACAGGGATGATGGCTAGGTGTAATGGCACAGGGATGATGGCTAGGTGTAATGGCACAGGGATGATGGCTAGGTGTAATGGCACAGGGATGATGGCTAGGTGTAATGGCACAGGGATGATGGCTAGGTGTAATGGCACAGGGATGATGGCTAGGTGTAATGGCACAGGGATGATGGCTAGGTGTAATGGCACAGGGATGATGGCTAGGTGTAATGGCACAGGGATGATGGCTAGGTGTAATGGCACAGGGATGATGGCTAGGTGTAATGGCACAGGGATGATGGCTAGGTGTAATGGCACAGGGATGATGGATGCGGTGTGGCACAGATATTGTAGCCTTGCGGAATATTATCAAAATAACAGGTTGGTTGCTCGTGTCTAGCAGTTGTGTGAAGGGTGACTGCTGTGATGCTATCTGAACCCAGGAATGAAACCCTTACCTTGTCATGTTATCTGCCACGGTATCATGGCAGGCCGTTCATACACAGTATTAGAGAACTGTCCGTGCTTCTTTACATTCCTATCCTCTGACAGAATAACACACTGTGTACGTGTAAGAAAGTTCGTCGCTCTCAACGTTTCCAACATGCTTCTTTCTGTAAACTTGGCAAGTTGACTAGGAGCAACTTGCTTTCTTACTACTACCGTCAAAGCTGCTGCCTCTACATCTTACACTTGAATAGTATGCTGCTGGTTAAACTGCATGTATGTGTGTGACTGTGTGCCCCTGCCCCGCACTGTGAATGTATCGGTACTGCAGAATGCTTCTACCCGGTATGAAGAACAGAGTAAAGACACGTGTGTGCAAGGCAACCCTACAGCCGCAATGGAACCAACAGCTTACCTTTGCCGACGTGACATTCTCCGAGCTGCCATCTCTATGCATTGAGCTCAGTGTATGGGACTATGACCGATTCACTGGCAATGATTTCCTTGGCGCTGTCCGGCTAGGCTTATCAACAGACAGGTAAGGCAGGTACAAATTGAGCAACTCAACTTGATCCCAGTGCTCTTATTTGCATGGCATTTTTGCTTGTGTGGCTAAGGTGGTTATGAACTTGTGAAGAAGGTGAGTGAGATTAATCTGTTGAGCTTCGTGAGCTTTCGTCCGTGCGGACTGGTCAGTAGTTTTGTATGTCATTATAGTGGGAGGAACAACAGGCAGCCACAGCATGTGGCATGACATATTGACTCCAAACTGTAGCAGTGCGCTACGTAATTCTACACAAAAGTCTTGATTCGTGAATTTGGAACTAACTTCGAAAGATTGAATCTGGTGTCATAACTTTGTAGATTACAGAGAGGACGGAAACATTACTGTTCGGCTCACAACAAGAGAGAGAGAGATAATGGAAGCAAGGCAAAAGGCAAGGAGCGGCGAATTCTGCTGACCTGCTGAATACGGTGTACGGTACAATTATACCAAAAAGGGAAGGCCAGCGGCGCACTGGAATCTAGTTGTACACAGCTGTAGTGAGCATGCAAATAAGGATAATACGGTGCGGAAGTGAGCGGCGCATGCTGATACGGCAAAGCGGTCGAAATACATAAGTGTGACCGCTAGACCGGAGAATTTCATGAAGCCAATAATGAGGATTTCATTGAAACTGAAGTAAATCAGGTCATGTGACCGAGAATCCGCTACATTACTCCCCTGCCAGTGTACAAGCCGGAGGCAGGAAACGATAACCTTGGAAAGGAGAGAAACGACAACCACAACGTAGAAGAAGAAGCGTATAAAGGAAAAAAATGAAAACCACACGGCAACCGGAAAAGGTCCGACATAACGCCAACGGTGACAAAGAACGGAGGAGCCCAGCCGATCAGGTAGCAAAGCGAACAGCATGTGCAGGGGGTGGGGCAGCAGCAGCACCCGGCGGGACAATCAGAGAAAGAGCAGAAGCAGCAGAGGCTGTAACAGGCAGAGCATACCGGTATGCGGGCTTCAAGCGGTCAATGCTTACCTGGTCGGACTTGCCCTTGACGACGACCGTGAAATGCTTGTCAGCACGCTTGAGGACACGGAACGGACCAGTGTACGGTGGCTGGAGCGGTTTGCGGACACTATCGGTACGGATGTACACGAAGTCGCACGTGGACAGATCCTTAGGCACGTACACTGGGCGGTTGGACTGGCGAGGGCCAATGTCTGAGGGCCGGATGTTTTGCAATACATCCCGGAGGAACTGAACGTAAACAGGCACCGACGGCATAGACGGCGGTGGCTGGAAGAACTCAGATGGCAAGCGGAGAGTGGTGCCATAGACCAGCTCCGCGGAACTGCACTGGAACTCCTCGCGCAGGCTAGCGCGAATGCCCAGCAACACCAGGGGCATCATTGCATTCCAGGCACCAGGATGACGGTGGAATTCAGAGCAGCCTTTAGGTGGCGGTGGAAACGCTCCACGAGGCCATTGCGTTGTGGACGGTCGGAAGTTGTCCGAGTCCGGCAGGTGCCGAGCAGGGCCAACAAGTGGCGGAAAAGCGCAGACTCAAACTGGGCGCCACGATCTGTGGTGACAACAGATCGTCTGATGGGACGCCGAAGCGGGCAATCCACCCAGCGATGAAAGCGGTGGCGACCGTTTCCACGGCGGTGTCCTTGATCAGAATGGCCTCTGGCCAGCGGGTAAAGCGATCCACACAGGTCAGCAGATAGGTGCAACCACCGGAGGGAGGCAAAGGGCCGACCAAATCAATGTGGATGTGGTCAAAGCGCTCATCGGGTGGCAGAAACTGGCCAAGTGGAGCCTGGGTGTGGCGGGTCACTTTGCTCTGCTGACAGGAGGGGCAGCAGCGGGTCCATTCCCGGACGTCCTTTTGCATGCCGGGCCAGACGTAGCGTGCCGAAACCATACGCTGAGTGGCACGAATACCCGGATGTGCAAGGGTGCAAGTGCAGGCTGTTGAAGACGGTCTTGCGAAAGGACAACGGTACAAACGGGCGGGCAGTGCCGGTCGACATGTCGCACACCACAGGCTGGGTAGCGGAACCGTACGGGATTGGCTGAAGCTTCAGAGACGACTGCATGTCTTGCTGAGCGGAGAGTAACTCGGGATCAGACTGCTGGGCGGCTGCCAGAGCCTGAAAGTCTACCGCGGCCGGCGGCGCGGTTACTGCATCAACAGTGGCGCGAGACAGAGCGTCAGCAACAACATGGTCAGCCCCACGCAGGAAGTGGAGATCCGCCGTGAATTTAGCCACGTAGGACAGGTGCCGGAGCTCACGAGGTGAGTGGCTAGTACCAGCAGCTTGCATGGCGAACACTAACGGGCGATGGTCCGTCAGGATGTGGAAGCAGCGGCCTTCCAGGTGATGCCGGAAATGCTTTACGCCCAGGTACGCATCTAGCAATTCTCGACCGAACGTGCTGTAGCGACTCTGAGCTTGTGGCATTCGCTTGGAAAAGAAAGCGAGCGGCTGCCATGCACCGTCAACAAGTTGTTGAAGGACCCCGCCAACTCCGACATCTGATGCATCCACAACGAGCTGGAGGGGTGCATCCGGGATGGGGTGGATGAGCAGCATTGCTGCAGCAAGCGCGTCCTTGGCAGCATGAAATGCCGCGACAGCGGCAGTGCCAAGTTTCAGGGGACAGTTCTTCGGACGCTGAGGTCCACCAAGCAGATCCGTCAGTGGTTGGAGGATGTCGGATGCCTGGGGAATAAAGCGCCGGTAAAAGTTGACCATGCCCAGAAACTCGCGAAGCTGGCGGCGAGATGTTGGAAGGGAGTACTGAGCCACGCCAACGACTCTTGCCGGTAGCGGGCTGATTCCCTGGGCGTTAACCAGATGGCCCAGAAACGTCAGGGACGGCTGGCCGAAAACGCACTTAGCGGGGTTGATTACCAAACCATGCTGCCGCAGGCGCTCGAACACCAGGCACAGATGTTGCAGGTGCGTAGCGTGGTCGGAGCTGGCGATTAGGAGGTCATCGAGGTAGACGTAGCAGAAATCCAGGCCATGCAATACTGAATCAATAAACCGCTGGAATGACTGTGCCGCTTTCCGGAGGTCGAATGGCATCCTGATGAACTCAAATAACCCAAACGGAGTAGTGATGACAGTCTTGGGAATGTCGGCCCGGGTTACTGGTATCTGGTGATACGCTCTGACCAGATCCAGTTTCGAAAACACTGTAGCACCATGGAGACTGCTGGTGAAATCTTGAATATGAGGAATCGGATACCGATCCGGTTCGGTGACTTTATTCAGGAGCCGGTAGTCTCCACATGGCCTCCAGTCTCCATTGGGTTTAGCAACCATGTGGAGAGGGCTGGACCAGGGCGAGGAGGATGGCCGAATGATGCCCAGGGACAACATAATGTGGAACTCAGCTCTGGCCGTTGCCAGGTGGTCCGGAGCCAGCCGACGAGTGCGGGCATGGAGTGCCGGACCGGTAGTCACAATATGGTGCTCCACCGAGTGCTTGACCGGCAGGTCATAACAGCATGGCTTGGTGAGGCTTGGGAACTCAGCAAGCAGGTCGGTGAATGCTGGTGCTGTGGCCACCGGGGCGGAAACCAAGGAGCAGCTGAGCGATGCGGTTCCGGCAGGAATGCAATTGACCTGGAGGTCAGTGGAGTTGTCACGGATGGTGCGTCCATGAAGGTCGACTTGGAGACTGAACCGATGGAGGAAATCAGCCCCCAGGATCGGCTCCTTCACGTCAGCAACGACAAATATCCAAGAGAATGCTCGTCTAAGACCAAGGTCAAGGGTCAAACACCTCTGTCCGAAAGCCAGAATAGCAGAGTCATAGCAGCGCGGAGCTGACGCTGTCCAGTCGGATCGACGTGGCTGGCAGCAGGCTGACGTCAGCACCGGTATCCACTAGGAAACGAGTGAAAATGCATAAACCACTGCTGTGCGGTGAGACCGAGCGACTGCGGGGTTGGTCGCGGAAGCGAGAGCGGCCGTGCTGCTGTTTGAGCTCGGTGACAGTAGTCGTAAGGGCGGCAACTTGGTCCCGGAGAGCTGCAATGGCGGCCATTGTCTCTGACTCGCCAGTGTTGCAAACTGCATGGACTGCTGCACTGGGACCAGCTGCCTCCACTATCCTGTCAGCCATTTCAGCCAGATCCTACAGCGGCAGTGATGCAGGGCAGGACGCTACGATTGACTTGGCCGATCAAGGTAAGCGGCTGATAAAGAGCTCTCGCAAGAGTTTTTCGGGCATGGCGTTCTCACCTACCAACTGCTGCAGCTTACGTAAAAGCTGGGTAGGCTTTTTGTCGCACAGCTCCTTGTCCGAAATCAGCAGGTGCAAACGCTGCTGTTCCGACATCTGCGTGCGGTGAATGAGACGCTCGCGTAGAGCGTCGTATGGCTGGTGAGCTGGAGGATCCAAGATGATGTCTCGTACCTCTGCCGCATACTCGGGTGTCAGCGATCCCACCACATACTGATATTTGGTCACCTGGCTGGTGATGTGTCGGGTGGAAAACAGGGATTCTACCTGTACGAACCAAACCTGGGGTCAGCAGCCCAGTAAGGTGGTAGTTTGACGTTCAAACTGACCGCGGACACCTCACTGCCGTGGGCTGTACCACCTGCTGCGGTAGTTCCAGCGCCCGTGATTCTGGATAGCAGTTGGCCACGACCTACGCTGCGGACAGGTGTGCTCGCTGCGGAGTTTGAGGTATTCATACTAGTACTCGTAAAATACTAAAATTTAATGCTGCGTGTAGACCACTGAGCGATCGCGAGTGATCGAACACTAGACAGGGTCACCAATTGTACTTCAAAGTAGCAGTGCGCTACGTAATTCTACACAAAAGTCTTTATTCGTGAATTTGGAACTAACTTCGAAAGATTGAATCTGGTGTCATAACTTTGTAGATTACAGAGAGGACAGAAACATTACTGTTCGGCTCACAACAAGAGAGAGAGAGAAATAATGGAAGCAAGGCAAAAGGCAAGGAGCGGCGAATTCTGCTGACCTGCTGAATACGGTGTACGGTACAACTATACCAAAAAGGGAAGGCCAGCGGCGCACTGGAATCTAGTTGTATACAGCTGTAGTACGCATGCAAATAAGGATAATACGGTGCGGAAGTGAGCGGCGCATGCTGATACGGTAAAGCGGTCGAAATACATATAAGTGTGACCGCGAGACCGGAGAATTTCATGAAGCCAATAATATGAGAATTTCATTGAAACCGAAGGAAGTAAATCAGGTCATGTGACCGAGAATCTGCTACAAAACTTGCTCCGAGACTTGCCATGGCATTGTGTGTGAATCAGGAAACACATGCACTCAAAGACTAAAACATTGTACACCCCACTGGTGTGAGCTAGTAGACTACATAAGACCACAGCAATGTAGTTATTGCCCACATCGGAGCGTGCTTCTACGGAGGGCAGCACATGTTGCCTGGCCAAGGGCATGCATGATGTTCTCCAGCTGTTTAAAAAATTTTAATAGCTGCATTTCGAATAGTCCTGCGAAAACAGTACTTGTACAAAGTGGCAAGGCAACTATTCTGAACATGTGTCTGAAACGTACTTCTTCTCTGGCTCTTGTCTCTGCTCTGACATATCCGCACAGCTTGCAAGGATCAGCTGAGCATGACCGTGCGACGTGGCGTGATAGTAATGCCGGAGAGGAGAAGCTGTGGACGGAGATGCTTGAGAATCCCGGTGACTGGGTCGACACTGTACTAACATTGAGAGATCTAAGCCCACATCGCTAGGAAGAACACTGCCTTGCTGACAGCTATTCTATTGCAAGTAACGTTATTATGTTCAATGATTTATTTCCCTCAACTTACTTTGAAGGCAAAATTATATTTCTATTCCAATCGATAACTTTCCTATTTCGCAGTCGCTGATAAATCAGTGGAGATACGCGTATCCATTATTATTCTTTGTCTTGATTGTTAAAAATACCGCCGATACAAGCATTGTGTTACCTGTCATTGTGTTACCTGTCATTGTGTTACCTGTCAAGAGAATTGACACATAGTAATAGACGCACATTGATATGCCAGTGAGTCCCATTCTGGAAATGGAAGTCTATTATTAAAAATGTTGTGGGAGTGAATTCCCAACAAGCATCTGTTGAGTCCAATACCAGTAATGGATTAGCTACGACGGAAATGTTTACTACTGGAGTTTGTGGCGAGCACTATTCTACCGAGGTTCCACTGCACGCGCTGCATGAGTCTAGGGGCGTACTTTCTAGCGTCCGTTTACCAAAACACAACATTGTGGACACCTTCCAGGTCAAGACGTATTCGTCTGTCAAGATTCACCACAGTACCACACTGCACCTACACATAGCTCGTATAATGCACCAGGCTTTCTAGTAACTAGATGTTTACATGCATACAAACAAGGATTGACAAATTGTTTTGCTGTAATCGAGTTCCACTCATAAGTGCGTATGAAAGATGATGAAGCGCATCATGGTAGCTTGTCTTCTTACTTCTTGTAGCATGTAAACAAGCAAGCGTGTGTGTGCTTGCACAGCGCTGCAGGACCAAAGCCAGAGGTTGGATTTCACTGTACCAGATTTGTACCAACTAATGAATTATACACATGCACACATATGTATGCACACACATGCATCCATGCACAAACACACACACACACACACACGCACACACACACACACGCACGCACACACACACACACACACACACACACACACACACACACACACACACACACACACACACTTGTACTTGTACAATGCACCAGGCTTTCTAGTAACTAGATGTTTACATGCATACAAACAAGGATTGACAAATTGTTTTGCTGTAATCGAGTTCCACTCATAAGTGCGTATGAAAGATGATGAAGCGCATCATGGTAGCTTGTCTTCTTACTTCTTGTAGCATGTAAACAAGCAAGCGTGTGTGTGCTTGCACAGCGCTGCAGGACCAAAGCCAGAGGTTGGATTTCACTGTACCAGATTTGTACCAACTAATGAATTATACACATGCACACATATGTATGCACACACATGCATCCATGCACAAACACACACACACACACACGCACACACACACGCACGCACGCACACACACACACACACACACACACACACACACACACACACACACTTGTACTTGTACTTACTTGTTGTTCACTGCCAAAACTGGTCACGTGGGTCTCCCTGGGAGAGGGGAGAGAGACTCAAAAGGAATCTTGGAAAGATGACTCAATTGGCTATTGAACCGCCCAACGGCCGACACCCCCTGAAATTCCCAAAACTCTGGGTGGACTTGAAAATGATCCCACTTATGGGCTCACCACACCTCGGTAAGTGGGTGAGGACAAGGTGCAGAAAAAGGATTGACGGCATCAGGGTATCCGTCCCGGGATCCAACTGCAGTTACCCCTGCCCCCAGTGAAGGTAATACTTGCTACTAGTGTGGGTGGCTAAATCAGAGTGGATCTGATACAAGCTTCACTAGCACCATGATTACACAAGAGTTAATCTAGCCAGAAGTAGTTCATGGTTAACAGGTATGTAATACTATGTATACTTCAAATAGAAAGTATGAACCCTGAAACCAACAAAGGTGGTAGGTACAACATTACACCTTCAAGCAGCCGAGCCCGTTGGCAACAGACCCAACACTATCCGGCATAAGTGTACCCACCAACCACACACACGCACGCACGCACACACACACACACACACACACATACACACACACACACACACACACACATACACACACACAGTGTACACACGCACACTGAAATACACAATATCTTTCTTGGTATACAGACCCGCCAGAACCAGTCTAGTGTGGTTGGTCAGGTCATCACCAGACCAACATTTTGGCCACCAATTGTTGTTTTAAAATGCATGTTAAGTGCTGAGGAGGTTATAATTATGTAGTACCTACTACCAAGACCCAAGTTGCCAAGAGTACATCAAATTGGTTTGTATACTCTTGCTACTACTGAAGTACTCACTATAATATTACACAAAGTATAAAGAACTACCATATTTGCCAGAGTATAGTGCACACCAGGGAGTTGTAAAAGCCGCTTTACGACTCCCTGGTGCACATTTTAGATGTACTATTTCAGGCCTCAAATCGCAGGCTCTGAATATGAAAAGCGTGTACTTCGAAAAGTACCGTAGAATCCCGCGGATAAGCCCATGGACTTATCTGTTTCACAAGGACATTTCGGTGGGCTTATCTGCTGACCGAAGCGGTTGGGTGGGCATCTGTGCCCGAGTTGTGTCGGCACCCTAGTTTTTGTCCTCTTTTCGCTATTTCTTCTTTTTTCTGAAACTGTTGTGGTCTTTTGTATCTATTCGAAGTGGCTTATGTGAACTCTTTTGGCTGGTTTGCATGATTTGCGTGCCCATTAATGCAGCTGCAGGCCATGCTGATGTCTACGCGAACAAGCACATAATAATAATTATTATACGAGAACATAATAATAATTATACGCGGACATGGGCTTATACGCCGGCACCAAAATTGTGCTATTGAAAAGTATCAAGGAAGTGAGAAGTACATTGCTGAAAACCAATGTGCAAACAAAAACAACCGATGCTTGTGTTGAAATGTACAAAAAAAACTTACATGTACTACGTACATGGTACGACCTAGGCCCATGGGCTTACCGTATTTCCGCAAATAAAAGGCCGTCCTCGTATACAACGCCTTCCTCGTATACAAGGCCGGGGCAGGGGGCGGTTGAAAAAATAAAAGAATGTCTCCGATTAGAAGACCGGGCCTACTAAATGAGACTTTGTTCTTGTGTTAAAAATAGAAGACCGTGCTCAAACTGTGTAGAAGAAAATGGCAGAACGGGGGTAAAACTGTGTGGCGAGAAATAGAAGACCAGGGTCAAACTGGGTTGAAAGAATAAAAGACCGTCCTCGAATACAAGACCGTCCTCGATTATAAGGCCGGGTTAGGACGAAGTTGAAAAAATAGTAGACCGGCCTACTATTTGTGGAAATACGGTATACGATGAAGCTTTGTGATGTTCGAACTAACCCTGGGCTTATGCGCGAGCATGGGCTTATATGCGGGTAGCTTATCCGCGGGATTCTATGGTAGTGAAACGCATCAAATTGTTGCGAAATTTGCAACCTCTCACCCTGCACAAGCCATGATCATATGTGCATTTCTAGTGTCTACTGCCAGCTACACTGCTAATGCATGATGGGTACAAGACCCCATCGGTAACCATGGTAACACATGCATTTTAAACATGTAATGCACCTGATGCACTCACTCAGTGATAATTTTGTGGCAATGGTCGCACTATCATACTGTCTTTATGATCGATGATGCTCTCAAACCTAGGCTGCGCAGTGTTCCGGATATACCTTGAATTGCCAAAAAAAGTTTCTCAAAAAGAGGGGTGCGCATTATACTCTGGCAAATACGGTATGGTATGCAGACTGAGACCAATCAAATACTGCTTCCAGCGGTCTTGGTATACATGTACGTGTCATGTACACAATAGCGAGAGTTCCCAGATTGCCTAGAGTGCTCAGCACCACAAGGATGGAGCATTGCCACAGAGGCAGAAGAGAACAGAGACCTAGCCGGCTGTCTCTGTTCTCTTCTGCCTTTGCGTACGTGTCATGTACATGCCTGCAGCCATATGCCACTTACTAGTGACCCTGCCGGGGGGGGGGGGGGGGGGGGGTGCTGAGCCAGCATTAGGACACTGGTCGTTGCATTGGACCATAATTATTACTTATTAGAGACTTGCGTTATTGGTTAACTTACCTGTACATGTACTTGGGCCTTGAACTTGAAGTACTACACTTTTTTGTAGTATTGTTGAACAGATGTCTACCGTTGATGGGGAGTCCCTGACTTGGCAGGTAATTATTGATTGACCACGTAGTTCCCACATTTTCTTTTATTCACTGCTCACATTGAGTTTTCACATTACATTTACAGAGTTGACATGCAGATTTTGACAGTATTACCAGCAGTACTGAGTGCAATGACAGATTGACAGTTATCATGACCAGATGCATGACTGAGTCTGTATTGTTGATGCACGTGGGTGTACCTGGTACGAGATCTGTCGAGATGCATTTACGTTATGTTACGTTGTTTGCAATGACGTAAGGACAACGTAAGACAAGGTTCCGTGACACGTCACACCAAGAGTTCACAATAATTTTGCAGTTTTGAACGGATACTGTGCAAGTAATGTTTTTGAGGAGGTACCATCTGAGCATGTTGCCATGACCATACGTGCGACGCGATATCGCCACTCCAGCTGGGATTTCACCTCTACAAAAGGCTCCACGTACTGTAGCGTAGCGCGTTTACCATGTTTACGTCGTAGCAAACTGTCGAGATGTCCTTGTTCGACTTGAACTAGCTTTTCTGCTGCAATCAGATTTCAGTCATTTTGCCATTGAACAAGTAAGTTGAAGTAACTTTGAGTTGAAGATAGTTGAGTAATTACTTTCAGAATACCAAATCTCCGTTGAGAAGAATAGATCCAGTTAGTTGTCTTTCTGTCTAGCGGATGGATCTTTGACAAGTTCGAAGGTGGCTCGTCCGTCCAGTTCTGCGACGGATGACTGTAAGTTGTTGTATCTTCTTCATTTGTTCAGAAGAGAGATGGACACGTCGTTTGCGAATACCACATCATAATCGGAGGTTTCTGCATAGAGCAAGGGATAATGACCTACAGTAGTGACGTAATGGACATCTTTATAGTTGATATCATATTGAAATTTGATACCGCGCACCGGTCTGCTTTCGTTTTGTATTCAACCTACTTCTAAGTACATGTAGTTCAATTTGAAATAACAGTTTCCTTATATACATGCAATTACTCTGGACTCCGCAGTGCGTGTTCTCGTACACAGACTGGGGGGATGGGGGGATGATAATGATCAAGCTGGAAACTGAGGCCATAGCATGTTCTGGGAATTTTCCTAGAGGGCACTATTGTGCATGCACCGCCACATAGGCATGCGGCGGGCTGAGTGCTGTGTGCACGCACAGGAGAGACCTGCCTCGAAGTGTTGCCATGTTCTCCGCGTCATTCTCCTCAGAGAGTGCAGTCGTAGCTGCTGATGATGATGTAGTGCAACGGTCGAGTAGATAATGACTGCATGCCTACATTATCATGTTGTAATGCTACTTTACTCAATGTGTGCAGCAATGCACATTTATAAAACAATGCAAGAGATGACCACAATAGTGCAGTTCACCAGCCTTACACTGTTCGATGTGTAGAGCTTAGGCACAGAGTAGAGGGCGCACAGTTATACAGTATTCATAGCTCTGAGTTTCACGAAAGAACGATTATCAGACGATTGACAGTGACTCATATGCGGTTTAATGTATGTTGGCAAAACGTGGAAAAGAAAGTAACACAGCGTGCGAGGTGAGGCATAGCTTCTCACACAGTTGCTAGATACAGCATTCGTAAGGATATAGTCACACAACAGCGCGGTAAGATGTCAGCATCTAGCAGTCAGTAACAGGCGAGGGATTATCACGCACAATACGAAAGGTGCGTGTAAGAGCTGACCCATGGTTGTATATTCAGCCCGGTTGAGGGGCATAGTTGCACACATGGTGGGTACTCACTCTTGTGTTACTTTCCACTTGGTGAAGGATGCTGATGATCAGTTTGCACCATGGATTTCCAGGCCAGCCTGGCTGATTAGACTACACCTACACAAGTCAACTCTGTGTGGAAGTTTATCAAATGTAGGCTAAATGCATTGTGTAATGCTCTACCTGCGTTGGCCACTTTGGTCCAGTACCTGCGAAGGGGAGGGTTGAACCAACACGAGCTGTGTAATAATTATGATATTTACACAGCTTGTGTACTGTCTGAATTGAAACTTCACACCTTTTTTATTATGTACAATATCAAACTTAGTCGGAAGGAAAGATATTTGCACACAAAGAGACGAAGCCAGTTGTAAATCTGATGAGACCTTTCGTACCATTACTTCTCAAATCAGTACATCAGGTACATGGCGATCGTGTACTGATTTGAGAAGTAATGGTACGAAAGGCCTCATCAGATTTACAACTGTGTACGATATCATGTGCATTCCACTGGAATGTAGATTGTAGAGAGTTCATTCAACTTTGATTACTAGTACACGTCTTTGTATTGGCTGTTTCTGTGTACAACCTTCAGCAGCGCTAGCAGCATCATGGACTTTCCAGGATCAGCGCAGCCCCCGGCGACGGATGGTGTATCAGCACAACCCCCAGTGACGGGGGATGTGTCAACTCAGCCTGTGCCTATGCCATCAGGGTTTTTCACCTCGACGCAGCCATCAGCAATGGCATCAGGGTTTTTCACCTCAACGCAGCCATCAGCAATGCCATCGGACTTTTTCGCGTCAACGCAGCCATCAGCAATGCAATCAGAATTGTTCACCTCAACACAGCCGTCAACGCAGCCATCAGGGTTTTTCACGTCTGCGCAGCCATCGGCAATGCCATCAGGGTTGTTCACGTCTGCGCAGCCACCAGCAATGCCATCAGGGTTTGTCACGCAGCCATCAGCAATGTCTGTATCAGCAGTAACCGGACCAGCAATGTCAACAACAATAGCAGCAGCACCAACGATGCAAACAACAGCAGCACCACCGCCTTTGCAAACAACAGCAGCACCACCGCCGTTGCAAACAACAGCAGCATCACCAATGCAAGCAACAACAGCAGCACCAGCAGCGATGCAAGCAACAGCAGCAGCACCACCAATGCAAACAACAGCAGCAGCACCACCACCAATGCAAACAACAGCAGCACCGCCGATGCAAACAACAACAGCAGTGCCAGAATCAGCATTGCCAGAACCCGTGGTGACAGTTCCAGCAGTGCCGGCAACCGCAGCAATGCCATCACTAGCAATGGCAGCAACAGCAGCGGAAGCACCAACATTTCCAACAACAGCAGTGATGGAACCAGCAATGCCAAGAACAGGAGCAGCACCATCAGCAATGCTCACAACAGCAGTGATGGAGCCAGCAATGCCAAGAACAGGAGCAGCACCATCAGCAATGCCAACAACAGCAGTGATGGAACCAGCAATGCCAAGAACAGGAGCAACACCACCAGCAATGCCAACAACAGCAATGATGGCACCAGCAATGCCAACAACAGCAATGATGGAACCAGCAACGCCAACAACAGCAGCTGCACCACCAACATTCCCAACAGCAGCAATGATGGAACCAGGAATGCCAACAACAGCAATGATGGAACCAGCAATGCCAACAACAGCAATGATGGAACCAACAACAACAGCTGCACCACCAACATTCCCAACAGCAGCAATGGTGGAACCAGCAATGCCAACAACAACAGCTGCACCACCGGCAATGCCAACAACAGCAGCTGCAACACCGCTAATACCAACAACAGCAGCGGCAATGCCAGCAACAGCAGTGATGGAACCAGCAATGCCAACAACAGTAGCGGCAACACCATCAATGCCAACAATAGCACAGACAGTGCCACCACCAGCAACTGCAGCACATGTCATGCAACCACCAGCAACTGCAGCGCATGTCATGCAACCACCAGCCACTGCAGCGCATGCCATGCAACCACCAGCAACTGCAGCGCATGACATGCAACCACCAGCAACTGCAGCGCATGTCATGCAACCACCAGCAACTGCAGCGCATGTCATGCAACCACCAGCAACTGCAGCGCATGCCATGCAACCACCAGCAACTGCAGCGCATGTCATGCAACCACCAGCAACTGCAGCGCATGTCATGCAACCACCAGCAATGCCGGCAACAGCAGTGATGGAACCAGCAATGCCAACAACAGTAGCGGCACTGGCACCAGCACCGTCAATGCCAACAGTAGCACAGACAGTGCAACCACCAGCCACTGCAGTGCATGTCATGCAACCACCAGCAACTGCAGCGCATGTCATACAACCACCAGCAATGCCAGCAACAGGAATTCAGCCTACACCCATGGTAGCACCATTAGCCGCCGGGCCAGTAGCAGCTCCAATACCACCAGCAGCAGCATTTCCACCAGCGCAGCAGCAGCAGCAGCATTATGAGAGCGAGGAGCAAATCACGAGGCAACGCATTGAGGCATGGCGTAAGGATGCTGCAAGCACAGCAGGTACAACACCAGCTGCTGATGCTATGACACCTCTCGCTGAGCAGCAACAGCTGACTAGTGCCAAGGATGGGTTTGAAGTACAGCAGCCACCAGAGGACTACCCAAATCGACCATCATCGCCGAGCACCGTATCTCAAATTCCGTCTTATCGCCATGATCCACGCTATAACAAAACACTGCCAGCCGCACACCATCCACCTCATCCAGGTGCTGGCTATCCACCTGGTGCTGGTGCTCCAGGAATGTATGGTGCCTATGGTGCTGCTGCTGCTCCTGGTTATGGACATCATGCTATGGGATATCCTATGTATCCCGGTGGACCTCCAACAGCACCCATGCACCATTACCCAACCATGTACAATGCGTATGGTCACATGTACCCTGGTATGCATCCAGCTGCTCAACAGCATCACCACCACCACCAGCAGCAGCAGCAGCAGCCTGCTGCTCATGCTCCTGGTAATCCTGGCCAGGCATCTAGCGTGTATGGGGGAAATGCGTCTGCTGTCGGCCCTGCCGATTTTCAGTCACAACACCAATACTATCAACAGCAGCCGCAGCATCATCATCATCAGCAGCAGCAGCAGCAACACCAGGCGGCGAATCATGGCGGAGGTTCTTTTGCTCCAGGTTATGGTATGAATCCAGCAGCTCAAGCCGCCAACAATGGCGTGTTTTATGGTGTAGGAATGTATGGGCCTGGCTACTATGATCACAGTGGTCAGTTCTATGGCTATGAGGACCCGACTGCCAACCAATATCAGCAGCAACAGCAAGAGCCACAGCAAGAGCAACAGCTTGCATCACAACCGCAGCAAGCCGCCTCTGAGTTTGATGCCACTGTGGGTTCGATTGGCAATCTGGGTGCTGAGAACACGCAGTATCCTGTTGCTGAATCCACGCGTCACCTGTTCCCTGATGGGCTGATGTCAAGTCCGCCACCTGTAGCAGAAGGTGAGTTGCATAGAAATTGAATTCCCACTTCTCGTATATTTCTCCAAAGGTTGTTTGTCTAGGTTGCTTTCCTGGGACATCACACCCAAATATTCTTTGTGTCATTTCGACACACTTCCCTGTACTATAGATGTACACTGTGCATTCAGCTGTGTTTGAAAGTCAGTCATGACTGCATGTACTGGCATACATGTATGGACTTGCAACCTTGGACACAGTCCCTTCCCTGCATATACTGGCATACATGTATGGACTTGCAACCTTGGACACAGTCCCTTCCCTGCATGTACTGGCATACATGTATGGACTTGCAACCTTGGACACAGTCCCTTCCCTGCATGTACTGGCATACATGTATGGACTTGCAACCTTGGACACAGTCCCTTCCCTGCATGTACGAGTATGCACTACCACCACCATGTAGTTTGTGTGTGCAGCGTGGTTGCGCAGAATGGTTTGTATCTTGGCAATGTGCAGCACTTCGCCCATGTTTCTTTCATGCCCTGGCCACACTATCAAACTATGAAGTATGTGCACCGAACGTACAGTGAATCCCATCTCGCGACAAACTGACGCCACCATCCATCTCTTGTGTGTATGTGTTTGCATTCTTCTCAGAAATCACACGAACGGACCCGATGGATCGTTTCAAGACTGTCTGCAGACCGTGTGTCCGGTTTGGATTTGGTGGTCAGCTGACAGTGGTGCGGCATGATTCACTGACAGCGCGTCCACATGTCTGCGTCATGTCTGTGCCAGTAAGCCAACCACAGTACAGTACAGTACTTGTAGTACATCTACTCTACTGTGTTGCCTAATATAGCCAGGCATGTCTTTTGGTAGCATTCCTCGTATAAACATACTTGTTCACTCATGTGTGAAAGGGATAAAGTTGAATGAGTGGGGCAAGTGTTGTGGATAGTATATAGTACCCTAGTCAGAACACTCACTCACGTATGGTCTCTAAAATTCTCTCTATATTGAATCACCAAATATCGGGCATCACTGTTTTTTAACCACATCTCAATCCTGGGGCTTATTGCAGGGCATCACTGATGAATCGGTAGTCGACATGGAAATGGGTAAGGTACTAGAGTTATGGTCATAGCGTGAAACTGCTGTAGTTTCTATCTTATGAGGTGCTTGTCTGTGTTGTGGCCACACATGCATGTACTACTTGTAGTATGCTGATTCTTGCTGTGTGTATGTGTGTGATTGCTCTTGTTTGCTACATAGGCTACAGCCACAAGGCAAGAAGAGCTGGAGGGTTTCCCTGGACCGCTGACCCAGTAAGTCTTCCTGACCTGATTTGTGTCAACCCAGACCGTACCATTCTCCCCCAGAGCACACTCATCCTCACTGCTCATTAAGACTTTGCTCTAGCCACTACTGAAAGCTTCTGTAACTACACTCAAGTACGTAGAAATACAGGATGCTGCATGGTTGTGTGTATTTCTCATATATGATCAGGTCTCTATTTTGAAACTCCCTTGTTTGTTTGTGTACTCTTGAGTTGGTACTCTCTGTGTAGCAACTGATTGCTTAGGGATCTCATTCTGGATCCTAAAAAACAATAGATAGGTCAGGTGGAGCAAAGAGACCACCTCCCCCTGGCCCCAGTAAATCGTCAGACAATGCCTGGCTTGAGTGGTGTTGCAGGTGAGCGGAAACATAGGAGTAAACACTGCACTGCACCCCTGGCCACTCAGTGACAACAGTTCCGGGATGGAATTGGGGAAGTTGGCATATACTGTAATTTCACAAATTTTCGGTGTACTTTTATTTTCGGTACTTTCGGTGCGTCTGTTTCATACCTAAAATTTCAATACACCGAACAAACACTAACACACATAATCCAATAGGGAACTGCTTGTCTGTACCGAAAATTTCTGTTCACCTAACCTAGCCTGTTGCCCTCATACCGAAAATATTGAGCACCGAAAATTTCTGAAATTAGAGTACTTGGAAGTCAATTTGTTGTTGCTGCTGCATTGCTGTCTCTCTGTAGTGAGTCAACTGCTGCAAGTGTCGCGGAGTTCACATCTGCTCGGGCTTCTTGCTGTGCGTCTGAAGATCGTGCAGATGAAGATATCTTTTGGCGTATTTTGGGAGTTTTGGCAAAGGAGAAGGAGGTAGGACTAAGCACGATACTGAGATTGTGCAATGTACATGACATTGCACCAGGATTACTTCTTGATTGTGTGCTTTCCACATTTTTGGGGGCTGGTAAAACAGTGTTTGCACGAGGATTCAAAGCCAGCATAGCATGACTGCATACGTATCTGGAGCAAACGTTTATCTACTACTTCAGAGTGTGACACTGTGAAGAAGCCAATGTGCCCGAAGTCTAATCAAACTGCAGAAGCAGAGGTCACTGATGTGCTCATGTATCGCCCGTACTGTGTACTCTTCCTACATGCGTGCAGTCTATATACTTAGTAGATTATTTAAAGCACTGTGCATGACTTGTGGAGCTCCTCTTCCAAACTGGTACAGTACTCCCTAACCAGGTCACTGACCGGCTGGCCTGGCTCTGGAAAAGACACTACGACGGTCTAGGAGAGCATGAGATGTATCATGTGTGCACTGTGTCCGTGCATACCAAAAACGATTCTTTGCTTGCAACATGTGGCATATATGTGCGTCGGAAGATGTGTGTGCGGCTTGTTTGTCTGTGTGTTGGTCTAATCTAGTCCCCTGTATCCGATAACATGGCAAACAGCAAGGTGTTGAAAGTTCTCCGTGCTCAGTCGGAGTGTAAGGAATCGCCAGAGCCATCGCGTGACTATGCAACCGCTGTTTCTTCCATACGGCAACTCCTATTGGATGGAGACAAAGAGGTAAGACGCTATGGTTATTTTACACTGTTTGTGACCTTGTTCCTGCCCTCTTTTGTTTATTTTACTTTGTTCACAACCACGTGGCATTTGCCAAGGAGGAGCTGATAGGGGCGATAGCCAGCCGTTGTGACCAAGGGGAAAAAGGAAAGTGGGAACAGATTTGTACGAGAAGCACGGGGAGCTAAGGCAGAGCAGAATATCAACTAGTATGTTGCATTCTGCAGTAGCTGTACGAATGTCTTGCAGCATTGGCAGGATTTTAGATCTTGTAGCAAGAAAGATCAGTGACGGTAAGTAAGAATAGAGTTGATGTTCGCATAGAGGCAGACTGCGCAATAGGGAAGCAGAGAGATGCATATGTGCACTGGAAGATGATGAAGCGCACTTCCTCTGCATTGTAGCTGTTGTACTATTGTACTTGTACTTTGAAGTAGCTACCGGTATGTGTGGATATCACGTGTGTTTCCTAAGCTTTCCTTTTGGCTTTGTGGCTGTGCTCCTTGTCTACTATTGTGCTATATACCCCCGCTAACTGTCACTGCTTGTGTTTGTTTTTCTGCCACACTGCTCAGGGTGCATTTGATCAGGCTATCTACTCTGGCCTGTGGGGCCATGCATTCTTCCTAGCTCGATACATTCCCGACGGTTCAGAGCGTGTTGCCAGAAAGTAAGTTTGGCGTGGCCACCATGTGCTCCTGCTTTGAAATACTTGTACTAATAGATAGTTTCGCCTGGTATATGCTTGCTGGGCCACTGCTTGTTTGTTTGTTGACTTGGCCCGTGCATCGTGAATTAAGCCACCTGTTGTCTCTCTCTGCAGGTTCTCGGAAAGCCTCTCAAGTAGTGATGTTATGCACACCCTCTTTCAGCTCATGGACAAGAGAACTGCAAGCGGCTTGGCGGTAAGGTCACCACACACTCTAGATTCTGCTGTCTGTTGCTTAGTGCAGTGACTTGTGTTGTGGCTGTCCACCTGTTGATGTTGCCACGCTGCAAGGGCTGGTCAATGGCTGCTGGTCGAGTTCGTAGAGTTTAGGGCGCTGAGTCGAATGGTCTTGGTCCAAGTTGACTACTTCGAAGCACGATGCACCGTTCATCAGAGGCTCCCAATTGAACTTGCACGCATAGTGCACCGCCGCATTATGGTGATGTAGTCAATGAGGAAAGGCAAAGATTCACACGTAAATTTTGCATTCAAAAATGGCTGGTTTCAGCGCCTGCCCGATAGAGGAACAATGCATTTCACAGCTCTCGGAGCGAGATCATTCAACTCACTACATCAAGGACCACATCTTCTTTAAAAAAGTATTATTGTTCAGAGGAGGCAGCGACATGCACTGCTGAGATGTTTGAGTGTACCGTGGTCTTTTGAGGCAATGACTTACACACACATGCAATGTTTTGCCAAGTTTGAACAGTTTGAAAGAGGGCTACTGACATTCTAGAACTTGTAGATGCGTAGTCTTTGAGTTACTGAATCGAATGGACTTGGTCCGAAGAGGCTTCAGTGCACTGTTCCCCAAACATGCTCCGAAACCGGCCATCTTTGCACTCTAAATGTATGTATGGACGTCTGGCCTCTCCCAGTGGTGTCATCACTGGAAACGTGTGGAAGTTTTGCAACATGCTGCTTGTGAGGAACCTGAAACTTGTACATTTTCATTTTCACACATTGCCATTGTGACCAAAGGAGTGTAGTTTCTGATGTCTATACTGCTGTATCTGTTATTTTCATGTGTGTGTGTGTGCATTTCTGACAGGTGTGTGGAGAGCAACCAGATATGGAATGGTGCAATCAACTAGCAGTCATCATTGCAAACTTTTCCATTGCTGCTCGCTACAAGGCTGTCACGGAGCTAGCTCGTTCACTCGGTATGTAAATCATTTGTGTCATCTCTTTGGTCCCCCCCCCCCCCCACTCCCACACACACACGTACACACAATATACAATCTACAGTACTTGATTAGTTCACTGCTCTGCTGCTTTCAAGCCTCTGCACTGTTTGCAGTCTATAGATTTGCTGAGAGAATGCACTGTGTTTTCTGTGCTATGTGTTCTGTATTGCAGAAAGCTGTGGTCGTGTGCATGCTGCACATCTGTGCTACCTACTCGCCGGTGAAGTTCCTCGATCGACCGGTGGACGTCTACATCTGCTTGGTGCTAATCACAGGTGAGTGAATGGTCGTTGATTATGCTGATTTACTTCATGCATGTTGGTGCTGCATGTCGCACAATGGCATTAATTGGGATTGTTTCTGTTCTACGCCCTACGTAGATGACAGCATGTGTCTACATGACAGTATTGTATTACTACTTGTAGCTTTCCTCTTGGTGAGACAGAAGATGTAAGAATAATTGACTATTGTCATTTTCTATTTGTTGCTGCTGCTGCTGTTGTTGTTTTTGTTGTGCCTATGCCTTGCAGGTTACGGTCTTCTGAATTTGTAACACCATTGGTGTTGCAAGCAACGGAGGTAAGTATTGCTAGTCTCCTTCTTCTGTATATCTCCGTTACGTTTCATTGATCTCGTTTTCAAGAAACAAGCAGAAACTTCAACAGCTTCCCTGGGTTTATACTGTTCAGGCTGATGGACCATGCCCGAAATTTGGTGAATCTGAAGTAAAGTGACTTTTGCAGCAGAGAGACCATGTTTGGACTGTGTAAACGAATGTGTAAATGGCTTCCCCTGTGTAATCGAATGTGTAAATGGCTTCCCCTGTGTAATCGAATGTGTAAATGGCTTCCCCTGTGTAAACGAATGTGTAAATGGCTTCCCCTGTGTAATCGAATGTGTAAATGGCTTCCCCTGTGTAATCGAATGTGTAAATGGCTTCCCCTGTGTAATCGAATGTGTAAATGGCCTCCCCTGTGTAATCGAATGTGTAAATGGCTTCCCCTGTGTAATTGAATGTGTAAATGGCCTCCCCTCCATAAATGTAGTACAGTCAACTTCGCTAATAACGACTGCGGATATAACAACAATTCGCGAATAACGACACTTTTCTGGTGCCCCGCCGGGTGTCGTTATAAGCGAAGTTGACTGTACAGCTTTCAAATGGTGCGGACCTTAGACCGAGCACTCTGAAGTTACCTATGCCTCGCTTAGTGCGACTAAATCTTCACGCAGTGACTGTTGTACTTTGGACTACATGTATTAGATTCTCATGACACCTATGCAGGACTTTGAGGTACACGGTGTGCTTTGATGGCTCCAGTAATTGTATCCAGCTTTGTTGAGCATGTGTATGTGTGTCTGTCTCTGTCTGTGGGTTTACACATGTGTGCAATCTTGCAGGTATATGAGTACAGTTGCCTTCGAGCCACTGGTCGCATTCATACATTCTACCAGGTTAGTGTGAAGAAGTGTCTCACCCATGCCAATTAACGATGGCTTCTAACCTTCATGATCTCACTGCTTTGGTTTTGTTCACTTTCTTCATCTTATGTGCATTTGAAACTCATGTCTTCCTTTTTGGATGATGATTTTAAAATCATTGTCCCTGATTGAGGTGTGTGTGTGTGTGTGCGCGTGTGCGCGCGTGTGTATGTGTGTGCGTTCTTGCATGTGTGTATGCTTGTGCACACGTTGCTAATGTTTTTTCTTCTTCTTTTTCTTGGCAGACATATCGTCTCCTGTATGCACACTGGCTGACGGATGCACACATGACAACACAGGTGTGTACTGTAGGTGTGAATCACCTCCACCTCTCGACTGTTGTCTGGCTCAGTTTTACTCAAGTACTAGTAGCCATGACTGATGTAGTTTTGTGAAGTACATGCATGTAGTTGATTTGCAATGCTAGTGGTGAGTACCGCTTTTAAAATGCACTGGTACAGACAGTATGTATCCAAGTATAATACAATGTCATGTAGTTTTGTTGGTGATAGGCTGTCCTGAAATCACTCTGGTTCCACAAGTACTGCAAGAAGCAGCAGTACAGCATAGCTCTCTTTGAATGCTGGACTGTGCATGAGTATGCTGCATGTGTTTGGTCGTGTTTTCTATATTCACCTAGGCACTCGACTACTGCAGGAGCATTAGCAAGTATGTCATCAGCAAGCCACAGGCCTTCTCTGCGTCGTTTAGCCAGCACCTGACAACGGTTAGTCACAATACCATTCCATTCAGATCTGCAGTCTTTAGAATAGTTTCTACATGCTGTTTAGACTTGTGCTTCATATATATTTCTTCGGTCATTCTTTGATCTGTCATTTTACTGGTGTCCTGGTCTGCCTTCCAGTTTAGGTTCTACAGTGAAACCTGTCTAAGGCGACCCCTCAAGGGACGAGAAAAAGTGGTCGCTGTGGCCAGGTGGTCTTCTTATCCAGGTTCAGTGGGTCACGTGACCATATCCACATGTGACACATCATGTTGATCAGTGTATCACAGTGCACCCACCTATGGCTACTCCAGCACGACTCATGTGCCTGGGGTGACTGGGGTCCTCAGACCTGTCGTGCATGCACCATGTACATCTACACTTCCTGCACTGATGTGTAGATCTACCATGCATAGTGCACCATGCAATGCATACATTTACATGTACTAGCACTGTGCAACGCGGTTGTGGGTGGGTGGTCGCCGGTCGCGTTGAGCGAGTGGTCGCCTTATCCGAGGTGTTTTGAATGTGAATGCGTCCGTGACAAGGAAAAGTGGTCGCCATATCCGAGTGGTCGCCATGGTCGAGCGGTCGCCATTACAGGTTTTACTGTACCCTGATCTGATGAGTCACGATTTATGGATGATTTTGTTTTGATCTAGCAGGGCATGTGGTGGCACTGGTTAGATATTCACTATGGTACTGAGTCCTCAGTGAGTGGAGTCTGCTAACACTGTACAGTGTGTGTATCTGTGTGTCCATGTGTGCTGGTTGACGGTGATGTGCAGTTATCAACACGTCTTGTGCATCATTGCGCCAAGGATCTTGGTAGTGACACTAGGATGCCTGCATGGTTGGAGAAGCTGAGCTCCGCCGTACCCACGGTTAGTATTGTACTGTACTGCCACTGTACTGCCACACTTGCTCCAATGTTCTCACAACAGCAACGGAACATGCACGTAGGGGCCAAGGTAATATGCACTTTGGGGCCAAGGTATTATGCACTTTAGGGCCAAGGTATTATGCACTTTGGGCCGGACTTCACCTAGCACAACTATACATGCATACATGAACAGTTCTGCTGGGTGATATCCGGCCCAAAGTGCATGTTTGGCACCCTAGACTTGCACGGCTCTTGATGCCCTGGAAGTGGTGTGAATGCTGCTGGACATGCACACGTACAATGGTGACAGTGATGTACCTAATCGAAACTGGTGCCAGCTTTGCACTCCATATTCTACCCTACCCTCAGCCCATCTCGCTCTGGTGCCTCATTTTACTACTTGCACCGTGTTGCTGCTTTGCTTACTGCTGTCTGATTGTCTGATGATGCATACATTGTGCTGTGTGTACACAGACTAGTCATGGGGACAGCGGATTGGCCATGGCCACAGGAAGAGTATCTGTGATGAGTGGTGCGGTGGGTAGCAATGGTAGTGCGTGCGGCAGCACAGCCAGTCCGGCATTCAGAGATACCCAGCATGCACAGGCATTGATGTCTGGCAGAACGCAACAGGAGTCTGATGCTGGCTACACGAGCTCACTTGCCATGCATGGCAGCGGTACAACTGCAGATTACTCCGAAGCCGTCCAAGAACCTGCATACTCCACCTCACTAGCATCGCAGCAGAACCAGGCTGTATCAGCTTTCACAGATGTTGGAAGTTCTAGTAACACTACTGCTCACCAGTATGGAGGTGAGGATCAACCAGATTGGGCGCAACGGGATGATCAGAACGATCAGAACGTAGCTTATGCAACCCAGCAAGCCAATTCCATTGCTGGCAGCTGGCAGCCTACACAGGAAGAATCAACTCGTCACCAGCAACAGCAACAACAAGAGCAGGGGCAATGGCAGCAGCATCAACAGCAACAACAAGAGCAGGGGCAATGGCAGCAGCATCAACATCAACAGCAGCAGTGGCAACACCATCAACAACAACAACAGTGGCCGCAACAGCACACTTCTGGTATGTTCATTATAAGAAAACATGGAACTATTTGAAGTATAACTACTTTGGTTATCAATGGCGCTGACTACAGACATCTTGTCTGTTACACTATTTCTGTATAGCCGTTCTTTATAGTATGACTGTGTTTCGGATTTAAATGTGCTCTGGCGAAATTCCTTGAAGTGTACACTTATGACATGTTGTCAGTGGGACTCAATATCGCTCTGTAACCACATTCTGCATCATTTGTTTTCTGCAGACGAGAACGCTGGATCTTTGGATAGTGCAGACCCTGGTGATGACCCATTCGGCGTTGGCCAACGTGCTGTAAGACAACATGACTTTCGCAGAGTTCACAAATTGTGTGTGTGTGTGTGTGTGTGCACGTGTGTGTGCACGTGTGTGTGTACGTGTGTGTGTGTACGTGTGTGTGTGTGCGTGCGTGTGTGCGTGTGTGTGTGCGTGTTGCTTGATGGATGTACCTACTCATAGGTTGCATCACTTACATTGTCAAGGGCTTTGGTGAAGACTCTTTTAGTTTGAAGATGCTGCATGTACACGTATATGCATCAATGTATCTGGCAGACTGCAGTACCTGCAAAAAAAGACTGCAGTACCTGCTACAAGAAATAATAGTGAACTGTTGAGCCGTGTACTGACTTTCTTCTCTTTCTCTTTTGCAAAGGTGGACCAGGGGTCCTCTCATCCCAACCACTCCACTGGATGGGATCAGAGCAGTAAGTTGCCATGATTAGATGATTCACAAACTATGGTTCGCATTCTACTTCCAAATCTAGGGTGGAGACACCTGGCTATGGGTGGGAGGGTAGCGTGTCGTTTTTCTGCATGCTGACTCCCTGCTATATACTTGTACTTACATAGTATGCACCAGAAATCATGCTTTTGTACCTACGCACTTAATATTTTCTCTCACTCCTCGGTTTGTGTATGCGTTTGTTTACAGATCAACAGCAAACCAGAGCGCCTGTTCAAGAGGACTCTGTTGAGGATGAATCACCACCAGCTGCTGCTGAGAACAAGTCAGAGCCAAAGAAAGAGGTATGCCCGCATGCTGCTGATGCTGATGCATAAGTAAAATGATCTAGCTGTGCGTGTGGTGCAATTGTTGTCAATGGCCAGTCATTCACAGTTCTTGGTTTCAAGAGTGTCTAGTTGACTACAAGTATGTGCACACAATGTACTGCTGTAACAATGTGCTGTGTCAGCTAAAGCTGCAAAGACTTAGCACGTACCGATATTCGAATGGAGTAGTGTGATTACTGCACTCGCAGATCAGTGCTTGGTCATACTGTACCAACCAAATACTTTGGAGTGCATGTATTTGACATTTGTGTAAGTCAGTCACCAACAATACATGAAAGAGGTTCTGCGAAGTATCAAGTCAAGTAAACATTCACCTTATTTCTGGAAGCATTGCACCTTGTCCAAACTGTCGGATTTCTGAATAAGGCACGAACTGTCTCTTGTCTTTTCACAAACTCAAGTGCCTATACTGTAATTAGTTCATCGCATGGTAAGGACTGCCCTGTGCTTTCTTACGGTGACATAGGACAGCGTTTTTGTGAGAGGCATCGCATTGTTTTGAAGTTTCTGGTACCGATATTTCTGCAGAACCTCTCCACTGTACCTGTGTATGCGTGTGCGCGCACGCGTGTGTATTGTTTGTTGTGTTATGGTTTTCATTATTTGGTGATGTCTTATTGAGTTGCTCTCTTTCATTGTCACCTTTGTGTATGTGTGTTTCATCTTTGTGTATGTCCTTTATGTAGTCTAAGTCAGGACTGTTCAGTTTCCTCGGCTGGGGTAGTAAGAAGAACGAAGGGGGAGCTGGACCAAAAAATATGATTCTTCCTGACGACAAAGATCCGCCGGTAGGGAACAGTAAACTACTGTTGTCACAACCTTGCCTGTGTTAATCTGAGCAGCAGGGTTCTCTCTTTCTCTCTCTCTCTCTTTCTCCTTCTCTCTCTCTCCTTCTCTCTCCCTCTATCTCTCTCTCTGTCTCTCTCTGTCTGTGTGTGTGTGTGTGTGTGTGTGTGTGTGTGTGTGTGTGTGTGTGTGTGTGTGTGTGTGTGTGTGTCTCTCTCTCTCTCTCTCTCTCTCTCTCTTTATCTTTATCTTTCTCCTGGATTATTGCAATCAAAATCAATCGCGCTCCTCTCTATCTCCTGCTTAGACCTTAGAAATGGAGCAATCTTTATACCTACCATAGCCTCTTGAAACATCTTCTTTTGCAGCACTACCTGAATCCTCCAGGAATCTGAGGTGTTTCCACAATTTGTCACTACCATGACTGCATGACTGCATGACTGCATGTGTTTTGTTTGTCTTTTCTACTTGTTTCCCGTGTCTGTACTTTGCAGCTGGTGTATGATGAGAAGAAGGGAATGTGGATTGACAAGAATGAGCCAGACAAAGTATGTATTGAAATTGTTGCTCTACCAACATGAGCGTATGCACTACCGCCATGCTCAATGGTATCCATTGCCATGGAGAAGTTAGCTTGCGCCCTGTAGACCCGGCTGCAGAGCCCAGTGTTCACTGGCCAGGGGCTGCACAGCGCACGCTGATAATTGACTCATGCAATTAGATTCACTGAACACTCAATACTCAATAGCCATGTACATGTAGTGCAATACTTTCAAGTACATGTAATAATGGTGTCCTGTGCAACTCTTGGAAAGTGAGAGACATTTTGTCTGGTAGAGCAGCACCAAGCTGTATTCTCCACCATCTGAGGACTAGTAGATTTGCGCTAGCATATTCCCCAAGTCTACTGATACTTCCATACTGGAAATTTACCACTACAGTATTTGAACATTCTTTTAAAAATTGTTGCTGGATCGAATAAATTCACATGATTCAATATTGGCAACATCCCTACTATTCCCTAGTTGGTGTTTACTCCATCCCTCTTTCTACTTGCTCCCGTGCTTTGCAGAGACGGGGCTTTTGTGATCATTTAGTCTGTGAATGTGTTGTGTTGTTCTTTAGCTACCCCCTGGAGCTGAGCCACCACCTCCAGATGCATCATTCCACCAACCAGGGCCTACTTCATCGCAGATGCATCCTGGTAGGCCCTTCAGCAGTGTTACAGCTCTCGTACCTATCTCTTTCTGAGTTTCTTATAACAGTTACCTGCTGTGTACTCGAGCTCTGGCACCTGAAGGGCACAGAAATCTGTCCTGCTGTAACTCTGTGTTTCGCGCAAATTGATCATCAGACTGTGTCGTCTGATGAAAGTTAGAGTTTCAGCAAAACAAATTTCTTTGCCCTTCTAGGTGTGTGTGTGCGTGCGTGTGTGTGTGTGTGTGTGTGTATGGCTTTGCACCCAGGTGTGTTCAGCACTCTCTCTCTCTCTCTCTCTCTCTCTCTCTCTCTCTCTCTTTCTCTCTAGCTGCCACAACTCACTCCGAGGGTAGGCTTTGCAATGCACGTGTAGATGAAGATGCTGTAGCTCCCAACGCATTCAACCTGTGTAATGGTGTGAGCACTGCAGAGTGCAGACACTGAGTCTTACACGAGAGGACACTAGTGTGAGCACTGCAGACGCTGAGCCTTACACGAGAGGACACTAGTGTGAGCACTGCAGACGCTGAGCCTTACACGAGAGAACACTAGTGTGAGCACTGCAGACGCTGAGCCTTACACGAGAGAACACTAGTGTGAGCACTGCAGACACTGAGTCTTACACGAGAGAACACTAGTGTGAGCACTGCAGACGCTGAGTCTTACACGAGAGAACACTAGTGTGAGCACTGCAGACGCTGAGCCTTACACGAGAGAACACTAGTGTGAGCACTGCAGACACTGAGTCTTACACGAGAGAACACTAGTGTGAGCACTGCAGACGCTGAGTCTTACACGAGAGAACACTAGTGTGAGCACTGCAGACACTGAGCCTTACACGAGAGAACACTAGTGTGAGCACTGCAGACGCTGAGTCTTACACGAGAGAACACTAGTGTGAGCACTGCAGACGCTGAGCCTTACACGAGAGAACACTAGGGTGAGCACTGCAGACGCTGAGCCTTACACGAGAGAACACTAGTGTGAGCACTGCAGACGCTGAGTCTTACACGAGAGAACACTAGTGTGAGCACTGCAGACACTGAGCCTTACACGAGAAAACACTAGTGTGAGCACTGCAGACGCTGAGTCTTACACGAGAGAACACTAGTGTGAGCACTGCAGACACTGAGTCTTACACGAGAGAACACTAGTGTGAGCACTGCAGACACTGAGCCTTACACGAGAGGACACTAGTGTGAGCACTGCAGACACTGAGTCTTACACGAGAGAACACTAGTGTGAGCACTGCAGACGCTGAGCCTTACACGAGAGAACACTAGTGTGAGCACTGCAGACACTGAGCCTTACACGAGAGGACACTAGTGTGAGCACTGCAGACACTGAGTCTTACACGAGAGAACACTAGTGTGAGCACTGCAGACACTGAGTCTTACACGAGAGAACACTAGTGTGAGCACTGCAGACACTGAGTCTTACACGAGAGAACACTAGTGTGAGCACTGCAGACGCTGAGCCTTACACGAGAGAACACTAGTGTGAGCACTGCAGACACTGAGTCTTACACGAGAGAACACTAGTGTGAGCACTGCAGACGCTGAGCCTTACACGAGAGAACACTAGTGTGAGCACTGCAGACACTGAGCCTTACACGAGAGGACACTAGTGTGAGCACTGCAGACACTGAGTCTTACACGAGAGAACACTAGTGTGAGCACTGCAGACGCTGAGTCTTACACGAGAGAACACTAGTGTGAGCACTGCAGACACTGAGTCTTACACGAGAGAACACTAGTGTGAGCACTGCAGACACTGAGTCTTACACGAGAGAACACTAGTGTGAGCACTGCAGACACTGAGTCTTACACGAGAGAACACTAGTGTGAGCACTGCAGACACTGAGTCTTACACGAGAGGACACTAGTGTGAGCACTGCAGACACTGAGTCTTACACGAGAGAACACTAGTGTGAGCACTGCAGACACTGAGTCTTACACGAGAGAACACTAGTGTGAGCACTGCAGACACTGAGTCTTACACGAGAGAACACTAGTGTGAGCACTGCAGACACTGAGTCTTACACGAGAGAACACTAGTGTGAGCACTGCAGACACTGAGCCTTACACGAGAGAACACTAGTGTGAGCACTGCAGACACTGAGCCTTACACGAGAGAACACTAGTGTGAGCACTGCAGACACTGAGCCTTACACGAGAGAACACTAGTGTGAGCACTGCAGACACTGAGCCTTACACGAGAGAACACTAGTGTGAGCACTGCAGACACTGAGTCTTACACGAGAGAACACTAGTGTGAGCACTGCAGACGCTGAGTCTTACACGAGAGAACACTAGTGTGAGCACTGCAGACACTGAGTCTTACACGAGAGAACACTAGTGTGAGCACTGCAGACACTGAGTCTTACACGAGAGGACACAACTAACCTACTGTAGTAGTGTTGGCAATGTCACCCGTCGCTTGTGACAACTGTAGAATCAAGAGATGTGTATGGGGACTGTAGAGTGTGTAATGGCTGCTCTATTCTAAACCATGTACATGTAGCTATTTGCTATCCCCATGCTATGTCCAAGTTTGTTGCTCAACATTGCATGGTGCTCACTGTGCTGAAACAGCCATACAGTGTAACTCTGATAAGACATACCCCCATGCATGGAGAGCAGGAAAGTGTACTTAGTATCCAAGGTACATATTACCTGATCATATTGCAATATGGAGGAATACAACAGCCACCCGGACAATATCCATACTTGTACTAAGTGAGTTCTACTGTATGTAGTGTGCATTGAGCAGTGCTGTACACTTGTGTGTGTGTCTGTGTGTGTCTGTGTGTCTGCGTGTATGTGTGTGTGTGCTATGCTATGTACCTGTACTGTGTTGTCACAGCTTCTTCTGGTCCTACACCTAGCAGTAGTGCTAGTGTGCCTTCAGAGCAGTCTTCTAAACCCGGTGCTGCCGCTGGTGCTACTGCAGCAAGACCATCTAAAGGCCGGCTAGGTGAGTGAGAATTGCTTGATCGAATGTCTGAGTTTTCTAGAAACACATGTACGACTCGGGATGTTATTTCCACTGTCTTTGAGTGTACTTACTGCTGGCTGAGAATAAGTGTATTGCTGAGCATTCAGCTGTACGTATACTATACTGCTGCCAAGTTGTTTTCTACTGCATCCAGTCTACTAGTACACTGTACTCTGCTCCTCAATGAAATCCGATGGAGTGAGTCAGCTTTGCACCCTGCACCAGTGAACACCCCAGTGTTCGCAGATCTAGGTCTGCACAGCCAGCGCCCCGCTCGTACTTGACTCGCACAATCAAATTTCATTGAACAGCACTGTACATTTCCTGATGAAAAGGTGGGCGTTTGCTAATACGCGCATTGTGCATTTTGGGGATGCGTTCTTCCCTGGATGATGGAAGACTAGATGTTGTAAGTAATAGCTTTTACCCATCCCTTGCCTGGCCACCCATCCCCTGTCTTGCTTGTCCTGGCCCGTTTACTAGTAGTTTGTGACAACTGATACCAGTATGTGCTGTGCTGCTATCTGTTCTTCTATTTTCTCTCTCTCTATAGCGAATAAATACGTTGATACATTTGGTAGTGGGAGTACACAGACGGATTCAGCAGCCTCAATACCACCTCCTGCCTTGCCCGCACTCCCACCAATGGGTGCAGCTCCTACTGCAGCCGTGTTTGCACCTCCTATGCCTGCTCCAGGTATGGTGCTGCTGCCTATGCCATCACTGGCACTGCTGCTACTGCTGCTACTGCTGCTGTTGCCACTCCTGCTGCCGAAACTGTTGTGGTAACTCCAGGCAGGGATTTTGTGTTGCTCTCTCTCTCTCTCTCCCTCTCTCTCTCGGTGTGTGGTGTATTTCGTGTCATATTTGGTTGTCTGACTGTGTGAGTCCTAGTACAGCATGCTTGCTGCTATTGTGCACGTGAAAGATTGACGTCGACCCTGTCTCTGCGCATGTGCATGCTTGCTTCTTCTGTGTCCGGTGCATGCATAGGCGGTGCTGGTTCTGCGGAGAATGATAGCGGAAACTCACTGCCTGTAGCAGCAGCAGCAGCTCCTCCAGCCACCGGTGCGGCTGGCCCTGGAGTATTCAACCCGTCAAACAGTAAGTTGTGTGCTGTCCAGAGAACAGTAAGTTGTGTGCTGTCCAGAGAACAGTAAGTTGTGTGCTGTCCAGAGAACAGTAAGTTGTGTGCTGTCCAGAGAACAGTAAGTTGTGTGCTGTCCAGAGTTACCATACTTACCATACTTGCCTTGTTATTGATTGTTGTGCAAAACATTAGCATTAACAATGCCTATTTGGCATGCATTGTTGCATAATATTGTGTCATCCCAGTAGGAGTGTGTTTAGTAAATGCTAACTTGAAAATGATGGCTGTGCACACTCTTGTCTGCTGTAGTCACTGGGGACTCTGCTGCTGGCCAGACAAAGACATTTGCAGAGGAACAAGCACTTTGGCAGCAGAAGAGAGAGCAACACAAGAGAGAACAAATGGAGAAGAAGCGCTTGCGCACTGAGCGTATGAAAGCACAGCGTCAAGCACATGGTGGGCAAGGTGCTAGCGGACTTGAAGACGGTTTCGCTAACATGCAGGTATGGTCAACACGCAGTCAATTTCAGTGTTGCTGCTTTGTGATATGTACGGTGCATGACGATACCGTCATTGTCCATTGTTGGTCGCTTGCGGCACAAGTGTACTTTAATACTTGTTTTTGGCTTGATTGATTACAGTCAACTTCGCTAATAACGACTTCGGATATAACGACAATTCGCGAATAACGACAGAATTTCCATGCCCAGAGCAAAGTCCCATCCAACTGTAATTAATGAGACTTCGGGTATAACGACACTTCGCGAATAAGGACACTTTTCTGATGCCCCGCCGAGTGTCGTTATACGCGAAGTTGACTTTATATTTGGAGAGTGATGACTACACAAACACCTGCCTTGCTAATAGACTAGACCCACTCAAGGAAGAGGAAAAGTGATTGCATGAAAAATCAAGAACAACACCAATGAATGAATGGGGAGCAACGGAGTTACCACAAACATAAATGACTGTTGAAGACTCACCTGCAAGGTGCTCTGACAGTTGAGGGAGGTTATTATCAGGACCTCCCTATCTGGAAAACTCCATCAACTGCAGATACCTTGCGGGCAGATACCTACAGGCAGGTCTTCGACATTTTTTTCTTCCTTTCTGTGGAAGTCGGTGGGGTGACTTCCCAGTATATAAGACCATGGCCCTCAGCTCCTACGGTGTATACTTTTTTGAATGGCATTGTGTGTTGGTTTGGCGAGGCGAACTGCATCCACTGTAGTCGCAGTGTGTTTCTGAGTGAGGCTACAGGTGTAAGAAAGGTTCTAGTGCAGTTCAAAGTACATACACTGCATACAGGAATGATTGGCAATATGCAAGTTGAGAAACTGAGCACTTGGACTCTATTAGAGGTAGCGCTGTTGAATGAACACCAGGTTTTGAGGCAATGATTTCCTCTAACACACAGCATTATATATGCAATGATGTGTGCAGAGTGAAGTAGTCTGGTTTACACATTAGCAGAGTACACTAAGACGACGAGCAAGAGCCACATTTACAACAGTATTTGAATTTTTTTACCAAAGGACATTTAGGCATGTACTGCATGCTGTCCTGTGTTTTGAACGTTGGCATCAGTACATGTACTTGGAAGACACTGCTTTCTTTGTATAGTGCAATATTGTGCGTCACTCGCTCTCTATCCTGTTGGTTGTTTCATGCTCTCGCCCGCTACAGTTCTAAGTGGATCATCCAGTGAGAGTTTCCTTATTATTGGTAAGACATAGTGAGCATTCAAACAAGTTTTGTACAACACTCATCAGGAATCTTTGCTGTACTAATGGACAAAGCAACACAAATGAACTCTTATTGAAATCCGAAGTAAGATTAGTGTCACGTAATAGCCGCACTGAAATATACAAAATGTGACTTGTAACAATGAAAATGGGATACAACCAACATGCAGTATTGCTAGCGCTCTTTTTCTCTGCATTGCAGTTTGGGTCTGGGACTGCTTAACGTGAATGACTTGTACGAGTGTCGTTTCCTTCTTGAAACTTTGGAGCCATTCCTGGCGTTCTTATTGACCACTCGCATGTTGCTTGTTTGCTGCGGTTGCTCAAAATATGCTTTCTTGCCCGGTAAATTGTCGATGTCCTCTTTCGGCTTTCGTTGCAGTGATGCTGCTGTCAGTGCAATCTCCCATGATCCACTTACACAGTGCTTGTATTCTGTGCTCTCTCTCTCTCTCTCTCTCTCTCTCTCTCTGTGCGTATGTGCAGCGTATCAATGACTAGTGTGTACACTAGCATGCACTGTATTTATCTATCTATATACCGGTCCGCTGGTCGGGATCGTACTGGTAGCGCTCATCTCTCTGCAATTTAGCCCACATTATCATTGTTGAAGCTCACTGAGTGAGTCATTGTGCCACAGAATGCGTCCGCTGTGCCTCTGCTCCCACCACCTTGTCAGGACATGGTGTAGGCGGTGGTTGTGACAGCTCTTCTACACGTACGTGTGTTCTAGTGCAGGTATGTACACTGGCACCTGCTGCTGCTGCGGCTTGTACATGTACATTGTATTCTGGTATATGCCGGGTGCTACTGCGTTGATTTATATTTTATGTTTCCTATCCAATTTAGCATCATCTTGACTGCTGTTCACAATTCACACTGCTGCTCCCGCTGTTCACTATTGCTTTCAATGGCCAAGCACTGTTCCCGAGCCATCCTCTCTCGTTTACTTGTACATTGTTTTACGCTGTTTTATGCATGGAAATCCATCATGCATGTGTGATATGTGTGATATGTGTGATTTGCTGACAATATACTGTGCTGCTGTAGTCCTCGGTGGCTGGGGCAGATTTGCTTGGGACCGTTCCCTGCACACGCAGTACTGCCTCCAACAATGCTGGGTGCTGTCATTCTGCTGTTTAGACGGTGATGATTATTAGCATCGGCTTGTTCATCTAGGTCAGCTCATCAGTACAAGCTACCCATTTCTTAGTCTGCGCTCTGTTGTTGCTGCTGCTGCTGCCAATTTTTAAGTATTTATGTCTGTGACTTTTTTGATATTACTTCTTTTCCCAAGTACGTTTAACAAAAGTATTCAATTTCCAAGAACTGCTACAACATCCCTCTAGCCCACACTAAGATCATTTTAGCAATTCCTACAAGTAGTTGTATTTTGTTACAGTACTCATTCATCATTATCGACGTTTTAACTGGTGAAAAAGCCGGCCACCTACATCGTACTTCTGTTGTTTGATTATGGACTGCTGAGTGCTGACACTGATGTCTTCCTGCCTTATACATACAGTAGACCCTCTGTAGTAGTGTTGCTTGGGCTCTTTGGTAGCATTTTGCCGCTAATGAAGTGTGTGCAGCTCTCAATACAATCAGGGAATGTTATTACTAATATTAAAATAGCAGAAGTTTTTTTTAGTACTCCCCGATTTCAAAGCACCGGCTGTTAAGTTCACCAGTTTCTTGTTTTGGAATGTTTCAATTTCTTTTTTTCTGAATTCTAAACCATGTACATGTGCACATTGGTCATTGCTCTCTGCAGTGCAAGTGCCAGTGTGCATGTTTGCAAGTACATGTCTTTTTCGTATGTGCTGCTGCTGCTGCTGCTGCTGCTGCTGCTGCTGCTGCTGCTGCTGCTGCTGCTGCTGCTGCTGCTGCTGCTGCTGCTGCTGCTGCTGCTGCTGCTGCTGCTGCTGCTGCTGCTGCTGCTGCTGCAGATGTACAGGGCACAGCTTCTTTGAAAGTACCCGTTTCTCATTCATGTACACCGTCACAGTTATGCATAGCACATCAATTGAAATGGGTGTAGTAGATCAGTGCTGGATCGCTTCATACCGGTATGGTCCCAAGAGCTACACGGGTGGAAGATCTACTGGCACTGCTACTGGCACTGCTACTGGCACTGCTACTGGCACTGCTAGCTAAGAAGGAGCTTATGTACATGTACTCTGTGTAGTAGATCAAGTTTTCACAACACCCAATTGCGTGAAGCCATAAAGTAAGAGTCAACTCAAAGCAAAAAGACAACCCAAATTCGAAAATACATAGAAAGCTAGTAGTAGTAGTAGATCTACCGAGAGGGCGGTTATAATCACGGAGTCGTAAAATACTTTACGACTCCCTGGTTGTAATCAGGGGGTATTTTTGGATCATCAGCTTGCATACTGCTGTAGTACCAAGACTCAAGAGCAAAACAAATACTAGTACCAAGCTGGGAGCTTATCATTACATGTACCATGATGACTGATAGACTCTACAATGGATATGGTGCATGCATGGCCATAGCTAGTACAGCAGCATTCAGGGAGTAGCACTTTTTTTAAATGTATTTTATGTTGCAAAAGAAGGATTTCCTCTGCAGAGGGTATACGGTACCACACAAGGTGACCCTCTGTCAATGGTTTTCTATGCCCTCGCTACATTACCATTCGCACAGCACCTCCGCACTACCCACGCCAACATCCGTCAATTGTGGTATGCCGATGATTCAAGTGGTGCAGACAAGCTACAGGCCATTCGACGCTGGTGGGATGATGTGGACGAGACCGGGAAACCTTACGGTTACCATGTCAACGCCTCGAAGACTCTCCTCCTCGTCAAGCCGGACCTGCTCAACCTGGCCCACAGTGTCTTTGCAGGAACTGGCATTGAAGTGGTCACGGATGGAGCACGCTACCTGGGTGCCGCTATAGGGACACCGGATTTCATCGCTGGCTATACAGCTTGGAAAGTTCAAGACTGGCAGCAGGAGCTTATGCGACTGCCCGAGATTGCCACTACCGAACCTCATGCGGCGTATGCCGCCCTCACACACGGATGGCGTGGTCGATGGACATATATCCTTTGTACACTGGAGTTCTCAGCTGAACAGCTGCAGCGCCTGGATGACACGGTCACGGAGCACTTCCTTCCGGCTCTGACAGGGAAACGCACGTTCACGGCGGATGACCTCTCTCTTCTACGGCTACCTTGCCGGCTCGGTAGAATCGGTCTGCCATACTTCAAAGAAATCGCTACCTCCCAACTGCAGGCTTCCCAAGTCATCACGAGCAGCCAGGTTGACGAGATCATCCACCAGCACGATAGAGAGTGACAGCATCATTCCTGCGACTTTGTGGATCAGCTAGCCCGACGTGAGAGAGCATCTGCTGCCAAGTCCTCCAAGAAAGCTAGTGCTGCCTCTTTCGCTGCTCTCCGAGAAGCTGCGGACCGCCCCTTGGCCCGTCGTATGGATGAGCTGTCCCGCAAAGGTCCCTCTTCCTGGCTCACTGCTCTTCCTTTCAAGGAACATGGTTTCCACCTCTCGAAGCAGGAGTTCAGGGACGGCCTTGCATTGCGGTATGACTGGCCTCTCCTCGATGTCCCCACGAAGTGTGCCTGCGGAGTTCTGTTCTCCACTGCTCATGCCATGTGTTGCCCCCGGGGTGGCTTCCCTACAATCCGCCGATGATAACGAAGTCTGTGACATGGTAGGGGAGCTACTCACGGAGGTCTGCCACGCAGCGGCAATCGAGCCTCAGCTAGACCCACTCTCTGGAGAGGTGTTTACTGCTGCATCGGCAAACACCGCCGAGGATGCCCGCGCTGATGTCCGTGCCCGTGGCTTCTGGACCCGAGCACAGGATGCTTTCTTTGACGTACGCGTCTCCTGATGCGGCGTCCTACTCGGCCCAACCACTGGATGCCCTACTGCTTCAGCACGAGCGCCAGAAGAAGCTGCAGTACGGAGAGCGAATCCTCAATGTGGATCGTGGCACATTCAGCCCGCTGGTGTTGTCTACTTCTGGTGTTGCCTCCCCTGAATGTGAAAGGTTCCTTTTAAGCGCCTCTGTGGCTTGCTTGCCAGGGCTGACTTCAGCATGCCCTATGCACACCATGTTGCATATGTGCGCTGCAGGCTGTCTTTCGCGCTGCTCCGGCGCTGTCATGTGTATCCGTGGGTCTCGGTCGGCATACCATCGTCCAGCTAACAGGCGTCGGAGCTCAGGGAGCTGGCGGTGGTTGAAAGCCGGATCTAAACCAGTTGTGTTTTAGTGTCATTGAAAACTCTCGCCACTCCGGAGACATATTTTCCACATCTGTGTACAGTCAGACCTCAGTCGCTTATCCGGTCCTCTTTTATCCGGATCCCTCGCCATCCGGACGAAAATCGTTGGTTACCGATTTACAGCATATGTCATGTATACATACAGTATGCGTGTTCGATTATCCGGTTCCCTCGCCTATCCGGATATTTTTGTGGAAAACGGTTGTGTGCGGTTATGCAAGGTCTGACTGTACTATTTTATATTATTAATAATATTATCTTCCTATCATACCCTGGTTTCTCATCATTGCCAACGGTGTTGCTTTTGCCCGTTAGTAAAAGAGGCAGTTCTTCATCATCAAAAAGAAGGATAGTCGACCGGTCCTTCATATCATGCTCAGCTGCGTTGTCATAGAGAATAAAATGGCGTCGCCACAATCGCCAGAAGATCTGAAAGTTTATTTTGAACTTTTTGCTTGCTTTTCCTACATGTAGTGATTTGAAGCCAGAAATTAGCTACATGTAGAGGAGAGATTGTACTACTGAGCTAGCGCAAACCTTCTCTGCAGGACTCCCTGGTCTAGTAATAGTATCTACTACTAGGCTACAGCTTCCTAAACAAGTCCCGTAGTCAAGCAAGGTGGGCAAAACTTCCTTCATTCCGATATCGATAGGACCAGTCCTAAAGAATTTTTGCTTTATTCCCTTTGTTGTATAGCCGTTGCGAATTTTAGTGCAGACTACACCTTGCTGTATAGCACAGCTACAAGTACTGTCTGCCATTAGCGGTTCCTGTCTAACTCAGTGTTACTGGTGAATATGTCGAGTGAAACGGCGGAGAAATTCAAAGCTTTTAAGGCTGCTATATCCGAATCTGCTGAATCGCACCTTCGTGAGCTGTTTCCTCGGAAAACATTGGAACTGGAGAAACTGTTAAGAGAAATTTCGTCTACAGACTTCTCCTCAACTCAGACTGAAGATGTTATCCGTGGAGCTCATAAAGCCAAGGAAAGTCAGAGCGTAACAGGAGTTAGCCTTCCTGCCATTCGTCCTCCATGCAATGTAGCAGTAGTGAAGATGATGGAGAAATTGAAGCCTGAACTGATTGATGTCCTTGAACAGCTGAATGGTCTCAAGATGTGGATTAATATGAATATTCCCAAGACTCAGGATGGTAACAATTTTGGTGCAGCCATTCAGTCAGAAACGTTCTCGGAGCTAGCACGGATCGAAGGAGATGTTGCAGCTCTTTACGAGAGCATCCCATGGTACTATGCTAACAGGGCAAAGTTGATCGCACGCTGTATGAAATACCCGCAAGTGGAGGACCACCTTCACACTGTTAGCGAGCTGGACAACAAGCAAAAAGAAGCCCTGTACATGATGTGTGCGGAGCTTCGGAATATCTACTGCTGTCTCAATGACATGGTACTGAAAAACCTGGACAAGTTGCAGAAACCTACATCTACAGGACCGAACATGATGTACTGAGCTACTGAGTACGTCTGAGTACTAGCTCTAGGCTTATCACCACCATAGCAGTGCATTGATGTTGTCATGACAGTATAGCACTGTTTTTTTTAGCTACACTGCGTTCATAAAATTGTATGATACACATTACTTTATGATACACATTAGCCATTCTTGTGTATCAGTGTGGAGTATGTCAGTGTATCCGTGTGTCCGAGTGTCAGTGTGTCAGTACAGTGTGGAGTATTGGAGTGTGTCCGTGTGGATACAGGTATATTAGTGTCACCATAAGAGCGACTTCATCTAGTTCTTGTTCCTATTGTTCTATTTCATGTGCTATCCGCACCTGTATATTGTACATGCTGGTTGGTGTGTCAATGACAATGTCTCGGGCAAGGCTTACAAGAAGTTACATCATTTTAATACATATACCGTTGTGCTTTCTGTAGTCCTTTTATTTTGATCTTTTTGTTTGTTCAATAATGTACTTGCATTGAAAAATTGAATGAGATGAGAAGAAGAAAACGGTGTGAAATTGGCGTAGTCACAATGCGTAGTCGCAATGCCTCATTTCAAGCCATTTGTTTCCTTAGTACGTGATGGGAGTTGTGGAGCCAGCGGTTACCCAAAGTTTATTTCAAACGTCATGCGCGAGTCCGCTTGTTCCGTGATTTGGAACATGTGCACACACTTCTTCACACACTTGTGCTAGCCTGCACCCACCCTGTTGTGCACAATAACATTTAAAAAGTCATGCATATACTGGTACAATACAAAGGTCAAAAAGAATGGTTTCACCAATTATAGAAACATACGTTGTAACGCTGCGTTTCATGCACGTAGCTAAATGCTAAGGCAATCATCAGACAACTAATGCTTTTGTCGCGGGATAGCTTGTTCTTATTGTGGGGGATACGCATGGGCATGTAGAGGAGGTGTGAGTTATCAATGCAGGGCATGCATGGGAATATATAGCGAGTGATAATAATTACATCACTGGATGGGCATGCGCAGTAGGCGCGAACTATGCATGGCAGGCGCGTGCTTGGCGATGGGCACGGGGGGGGGGGGGCACGTGCACCCCCCAAAAATTTTCAATCTGGGTAATTGCAATTGCAATGTATGCAAATATGCTCTAAAATTCAAGAAAGGTTGCAAACAAATTGCAGAAAATTGCCGGGGGGGGGCTCCCCTCGGCTCCCGTGCACCCCCCTAGTTGGGGGGCCGAGCACGCCCCTGCATGGAGCGTGCGGAGGCGGAGAAACCACCAGGCAGGACAAGGGTATGCCATGGGGGCACTGGGCAGGGGGTGTGATGTGTGGCGGTGGAAGCACACTGTGGTGTCCACATTCAACAGCCGCGGGTATTCAGAGGATGTGGCGGTGATAGTGGTAGCACGCGGTGGCTATGTCACTGCAGAGTAGGTGGAGAGGTAGAACTTGTTTTGGTGTCTGCACTTTGATACCAACTCCGACCTCTTGTTGAGCAGAGTGTGAGGCGTCTTGAAGGTGATGATGCGCAACTTTTCTGCTAAACACAAGCAGCACCTTTTGGATATGTTGCTGTAGGACTTGACCCGATCTATGACTGCCCATTTGATACTGTATTCCTCACCTTGGTCAGCCAGCGCCCATGTGTGCTTGGATAGCTCGGTCTTGGTACGGTACTTTTCATGCCGCATACTGGTTAGATGGTTGCCATAGCGCACCTTGAAGGGCGTCTCGCACAGGCCGATGTATTGCCTTTCCTGGTACAATACATATGTTCTAAGTAATATTAGAGCAGAAATATTGTTATCACCAATAAATCGGATGTGGTGATAATAATAATAATACTGTATCGGATATTGCAAAGGTTGCCAGAATCAAAACATGCGTTACACACTACAATGATAACGCCAATGATGGTATGTAATATTGCCATATTTATATGTGGAAAAGCAGACTGCAGGGCAAGAACTAACCACACAGATCCCCACCACCACACCATATGCACCCACCACGCACACGCACATACACACTTGAATTGCTTACTGCCCTTGGGAGAGGGGAGAGAGATCAAAAGGAATCTTATTTTCTTGGAAAGATGACTGAATTGGCTATTGAACCGCTCCAACAGCCGGCACCCCAAACTCTGAGTGAACTTGGAAATGATCCCACTTATGAGATCACCGTATGCACTGCAAGTGGGTCAGGACCAGGGAGGGGTAACAGGGCAGGGGTCACAGTTGCAATCAGTGTGGGTGGCTAAATCAGAGAAGGATATGATGCAGGCTTCATAGTTCATACACACGCACACACACGCACACACACACACACACGCAAGCGCGCACACACACTTGTTCTTGTTGCTCACTGCCAATACTGGTCACGTGGGTCTCCCCAGGAGAGGGGAGAAAGACTCAAAAGGAATCTTGGAATGATGACTCAATTGGCTATTGAACCGCACAACGGCCGACACCCCCTGAAATCCCCCAAACTCTGGGTGGACTTGAAAATGATCCCACTTATGTTATGGGCTCACCACACCTCAGTAAGTAGGTGAGGACAAGGTGCAGAAAAAAGATTGACGGCATCAGGGTATCCGTCAAGGGATCCCAGGCGCGTGCGCCGCGCCGGTGCCCTTCAAGGGGGGTTCCGGGGGCCTCCCCGGGGAAAAATTTAAAAAAATGAAGCAAAAGCCTGCATTTTGAGCGAAAAAAGGGGGGTTCCGGGCACCCAGGAACCCGTACGGGGCACGCGCCTGGATCCAACTGCAGTTACCCCTGCCCCCAGTGAAGGTAATACTTGCTACTAGTGTGGGTGGCTAAATCAGAGCGCACACACACACACATACACACACACGCACACACACACACACACACACACACACACACACACACACACACACACACACACACACACACACACACCATTGGACCATTGGACGCCCATCGCCAGAGGCGATGATAGCGATGCTACAGCAGAAGCCATAGCAGCTTGTGCTGGGATTGCACCATTCAACAGCTTGCAAAGCTGAAGAATTGACCGCCACAATTCAGCCTGGTCTACACCACACAGCTATGAAGTGGATTTATTCTGGCCACACACACACACACACACACACACACACACACACACACACACACACACACACACACACGCACACACACACACGCACACACACACACACCACACCACACCACACGCATGCACTGCAGCCCAACTCTGCAAGTGTTAGGAGTTCAGCTGAACAGATTCTTTCTCTTCGCACAAGATAGGACAAGGTTGGAGGCATACACAAATCAGAATACACAGGCACAAGCAGCAAGTGAGGAGTAAAAATGATGATAAAAGTGCTTTCAAACACAAGCGACTTTGAAACACCTAAAGTCATCAAAAAATTGGCGGGAAGCTGATAACAAAATGGCGAGGATAGCCATCATAGAGCAGCTGGTTAGCAGTGAGGAAAAGAAGTTGGTGTAAGGTAAAACAATCAGCCACTTAAAAGCTGCACACCTGAGACCATATTCAAAGGAGAATATCCAAAGGAGAAAGAAAGAGAACCCCTAGAAGAAAGTACTGGCAAACATGAGAAAAAAGACATAGCATCTTTTGCGATCTTGACGCAGAGTGCCTAGAGATATGTTGGGTAGTCTTCTTGTAGTGTAGCGTGTGAGCCACGAACATACAGATCGAGGTAAGCTGCCATAAAATAGTATCATATACGGCCTCTAGCTATGGTGCTGCACAATAAATTAGTGTGTAGCAGTACATGTACTATGGTGATAAAAAAAAGCTGTACCGGTAAGAAAGTATTGGAAAGTGTTGTCTGACAACTAGTACAGGAATATTGCCTGAAAAATCAAAAGGGAACAGCTGAGGACTTCACGGCAGAGAAAGCCATGTCCCGCTCAACCAAAGACTTGCACATTCGAGTGAAATCAGATGAATAGTAAAAACAATCGAGCACTGAAAGAAAAAATAGCCCTTGAACGAACATAGACCTCAATATGCAGAAACACACACACACACACACACACACACACACACACACACACACACACACACACACACACACACACACACACACACATGCTCATACACTCAAGCATACGTGTACACACACAGGCACGCGAAACGTCAGTGTCTAGTTGGTTGTGGAGGTGAGAGCGGGTACGAATGGGCATACACGGGGGCAGCAAAAAAACAGGCAAGGGAGTGTGTGTGTGGGGGGGGGGGGGAGGAAAATGCAGAGTAAGGCTAGCACAGCTAGCGTGTACGACCAGAGCATCGGGCCTAAGTGACGTTATTCAGTCAAGGTTAAGAGAGGCTAGATGCACATGCGCACATGCATACATGCACACATACACACAGATACACTAAACAGCATAGACGTATAGATGTATAAGTAATGGTCCGGTAAATGAACAACAATGTTCTTGCCTTGGAGTCCAGGGAGTGAGGTCGGCTGTTAGCACTAACAGGGTCAGAACACACTGTACACAGCCTGCACAGGGCTAGGGAAGCAGATGGGTGTTGTCGTGACAATGTCCAACGTCCAACGCTAGTAGCACTATTACTCTGCTGCTACGCTATAGGCTGGCACCACAATGTACAACTGTAAACACAAACATGCCATCACGCAGGCTGTTGTGTTGTGTTGCAGAGCACGATAGAGTACAGTGTTACAGGACACGATAGAGTGCAGCGTTGAAGGGCACGGCGAAGCACGGTGCTATATGGCACGATGTTGCAGGGCACGGTATGGTAGCACAGTGTGTGTTATACGGCACGGTGTGGTAAAGTGTTGCAGGGCGCTATGGTAAGGTACAGCAGAGCACAGTGAAATAGTGCACGGTGTGGCAAACCGAGTTGTAGGACATCGTGTCGTAGCACAGTGCTATATGGCACGGTATTGCGGTATTGTAGGGCACAGTGCACAGGTAGCAGTAGCCGAAAGTATCAAGAGCGACGAGACAGGATGAGAACACTGCAGAAAACTGGCATACTATGCCATGTCCTCAGCGGTGTTCTCCCACCCGGCGGCTTGCAGCAGCTAAAAGTATTAGCCATCCACAGGACTAGCAGTGAGTCTGCAGTGAGCCTGCTGGGGTCAACTAACCAGACATCACTGTGTAGCAGGGTAGCGATGCAGCCATGCAGCAGCCATGGTTGTGAGTGAGTATTGTGCACATGTCCAGTGGCACGTAGCATTGATATGCAGGTGATAGGCAGGTGATAGGCAGGTGGAATTAGCCGACATTAACTCTGCAGTGATGACAAGTAAGTACATACACACATGTACACATGTTGTCATCAGAGACTGCATACTTACATACAGCAGTGGCCAGGTGAAGGAATCGAATGATGGAATCGACCCCAGCTGCTGTGGAGTCAGCAACTATGGTATACGGATCAGTGCCAAGCCACCTCGGAGGTGGGGTGGGTGAAAAAGGCCCAGGTGCCTTGGTGAGAAATTGTGAAGATAGGTAATACATCTATAAAACTGTGAACGTTACCATTTGGCCGTTAAATAATGCAACCCTGTGTCGCATTGTTCATGAGTTTGGTTTCCATTGGCCAGTATTGAACCTACATGAGTAGGTGGCCTAGTGACCCATTGGGCCACTGGTCCACTGACCCGCGATGTACTCATCATATCCGTAATATGATGGCCTCACATCAGAATTCGTCAGAAGACTGCATAGTGTGACATATGCATGGACGACTCACTTTACCTCCCTAGGCCCTGCTTCGCGTTAAAGCAATAACTACTTAACGCACTCTCCACATACAGGCATGCACCCGGCTCAGAACACATTGTTTTCTGGTTGGCATATCAGGGATATTGGGCGGAGCAGCTGGCGTGCATGAGAAAGACAGGTCGGCCTGCTCTGCGCAGGAGCTGAGACCCGGTGCACACATACTGTGTGTGAGAGAGAGAGAGACAGACAGGTTGGCCTGCTCTGCGCAGGAGCTGTGACCTGGAGCACACAGAGTGTGAACGAGAGACGGTCGGCCTGCCGTGGGCAGGAGCTGCGACCGGTAGTGATTGAAATGAGCCAGCTGCGGAGATAGACAGCCCTCACCCGATATAAGTATATTGACAAGAGTTGTACTGACACTGTTATTGAGGAAATTATGGTGACAGTGACGGAGAGATAGTGATCCCCAGTCGAATGGGGTTGGGAGGGAAGGGGAAATTGACAACTGACGGACAAACCAGTGAACAGTCAAGTCGTCGGAAAGCAAAAGTGACAAAGGAGTCTCTCTTTTCTCTTTCTCTCTCTCTAAAGCAAGATTTGGAAAGCACGCGTGGGAGAGTGGCGCGCGCTGCGCATGCGCATGTATAGCAATGACATCATAATCAGATGCATGATCATCAGACTAAGTATGAGTGGTAGATGTTCCACGTTCGTTAACAGGGCTTAGCGCACACGCTAAACCACCAATAATCATAATCTTGACTAGTTTGAGGGAAAGACACAAACGGGAAAAGTCTGAAGAAAAAATTGACTGTCACCACCAGGACTCGAACCAGGGATCCTCGCTTGTATAATCATAATCATAATCATAATCATGTGACTAAAGCTGTGTTCACAACTGGCGCGTGGACGCGGTACGCTTGCGGTTCAGGCGCCCCCAAACGCGCGCTCAGCCGTTCACAAAAAACAGCAATCCGAGTCGTATTTAGCGCGTGCGACACCTTCGAGTACTAATTTTTTGACCCCGCCAGTCAAAGTGACTGGCATGTACGCTGATACGCGCGCGTACGCGCCTGATACGCGCTGAAAATTCCAACATGTTGGAAGTTCCATTTCGGCGCGTTTCCGTACGCATGGCGCCCCAAAAGCTAGCAAAAATACGCACAAATGCGTGGTTTCACGCGTACACGCGCCAGTTGTGAACACAGCTTAAGCCTTCGAGAGTACAGTACTGTCGGGCGCCGAAGAACGGCCAGTCTAGAATGCCACCAATTTGTAAGAACGGTTTAGGCTGGATTTTGTGTAGGTAAGAACGGAACTATGATGTACACTAAGCAGCATAAGTCTGCATAGGCTTGGATGATACATTTCCGTAGTTTCATGGCAAGTCAAAATATGCGAAGTGGCAGGTGTGCATTATTTTTATCAACAGTCATGTACCAGTACAGATACATGCATGTACTGTTTTGTAGACTTTCGTACATACCTAGGGGTGAAACGATTAAGGGATATTCCTTAACGGTTAATCCAAAACTTATCGATTACTTATCGACTATTATCGATTAAGCACCACTGACGACAAAACTCACCATTTTGCATCAACTACAATCAATTTTGAAACTTCAAAGAGAACAAAAATAATGGAAACATCGACCGTCGCACAGGCACAAACTGATTCTGAAGGCTACTTCTCCAGCACAATGAGTTCCGTGAAGCAACCGGAACGGAAGTTCGCGGGTACGAATCAGTGCGCGGTGCAGAGAAAAGAGCCGCGTGTCACACAACAGATCTAAAGTACATCAGGTAGATCTACCAGGTACGCATGTAGTGTGTATCCAGAGCATGAGCAACTCGCTGTGCGTGCTGCACGCGTTGATTGACACCTCCGTTCACGCGTGCATCGACTCGTACTCTGGTACATGTGCTGCATGCAGTAAAGTGACTAAAGTCATGTAGACACACTGCACCTGCCGGATATTTCGTCGTACCGTATAGTATGTCGTACGAAAATGCTGTAGCGACTAGAAAAATCGTAATCGACGAGATTTTTTCGACTAATTAATCGACTAAACCACATAATCCTTTCACCCCTAAGGCCATCATTTTTTATAGCTATGTTTCGCGTCGTCCGCACGCATACGTTTTGACTTTTTTTCGGAAAAAAAAATCGAACATGCACAGTGAGTGTACGATCGTGCGAGTCATCAGTGTGGACTGGTTGCGATACGGCGAAGATGGGATTCATAAATGGCCTCTAGGCCAGCGTTGGTAAATCGTTTGTTCGGCATCTGGGAGCAATATTCTATGAGCTTACACCAGACCGCATTGATCGCCTCAAGCTGAGAGGATGCGTTGTTCCGGAGCTCTTTGCACCGCTGCTGAAGTCTCAGTACAATAATCCAGCGAAGCATGGGCACCAACGGTTGCCTCCTCTGTCCAAAGTGAATATTTACTCATGCTGATAACCCAGATGTTGTGCTTCGATGTACGATTTTTCTCTCGAATGTACACCATGCACGAGCTATTGTGCTATGTACAGTGCATACACCTCTGATGGGCCTTTTTTATTATTTTGCAACTTTTTATTTTTTTCCACCTCTCGCATATGATTCTGGAAGTTGAACTGACGCGAAACATAGATATAAAAAATGATGGCCTAATACATATACAATGTCATGTACTTCAGTTCTGTCCGCAGATTGAGTACATGTACACGTACTTCAAAAGTATGACTGTACATTCATTGAATAAGAACGAAATTGCTGTGTTCGTTAAATTTAAGAACGGGCTAGGCTAGAACCCTGACCCCCAGTTCTTCGGCGTACGACAGTACTGTAGGCAAACTTACCCCATCTTCCACAGCAGGTTTGTCTTCTTCCCAGTCGGCCAGTCCTTCCACAAGCAGGCATTCGCCAATCTGTGTACATGTACATAAAATAGCAGAAGCAATGAAGACGGCACTGCCATTGTTACAACATTCAGTTTCTTTAGGAATTGTGTGCTGCTCCCTACGTGGGAGCTCGCGCTTTTCCTGTCGACTTGAATCTCACTTGACTGACTCGCGACTGCAAACCAGAGCACACGAGATGTCCATCAAACCTTCCACTCGGCAACCTGCAAGAAAGCAGCACTCCCTGCTCAATACACAGTGTATTGAGAAAGCTGATGCAAGTCATAAACTGTGGTGGTAATCAGTGTGGCAAGTTGGGGAGAAAGACACTTACCAAATTCATAGCAACTTGCAGCCGATACACAGTGTCTTTGATTTCTCCAGCTTCCATTTCTAGCAGGCCCACATTCCAATAGAATGCTACCAATGCCTGTTAGGACAAGCACGCAGGAAAGGGAAAAGACAAGAACACATACAAATCACAAACTAATGAAATGTGCCAAACACATATGCTGAGTGTCAAGATGTGATTATGACTGAGATCTGCAACTCCAACAACCCTCCAGCGCTTCTTAGAGCTAAGTCCTGAGCATGCACGCAAGCACGTACATATGCATGCACCCCCCCCCCCCCCCCACACACACAAATACATACAAAAGCATCATCTTAATTACCTTCTTCTGGTGTTTAACTTTTAAATCTGTACTTCCCACTGTCTGCTTGATACATGGCTACGAACAAATGTAAATACAACAGCAGACAGACAGAAGCAGAGACAGACAGACAGACAGACAGACAGACAGACAGACAGACAGACAGACAGACACCCAGACAGGCAGATACACACACACATACATGTAGTTAAACATACATAATGTGCATGCACACACAGAAGCCAAGTTGAATACAAGTCACTGTCAAACCTGCCCCACTTCATGTCTTCTCTGCTGCAAACACTTTCCATGATGGATCAGATTATCAAGCACGATTCAAGTTCATGCGAACCTATTAGGCATTACCAGCCGAAGGGGAAAAAAACGATGCCTACACACAACATGTTCACCCACTTGTCCCCTACCCTGCGGTCTGACTCTACAGTCATGGTTGCAAGAGACATTGTAGAACAGCAGCAAGTACCGTAGAATCCCCCCCCCCCCCCCGTCTAATTTCCGCCCCTGCTTGAACTTCTATCTGTGAGGAGACTTCAACGTATACGTCGAAATATGGAGTTGAGCCAGCCTATGCACTGCTGTACACAATAATTGCCAGCACAGACAATATGTCTGCAGATGAAAATGAGCACAATCTAGGTAAATCTGATCTTTCATGTCATTGTACATCGCACTGCACTTGACAGCCTTGATCTAATTCCTGCCCCCTGCCCCCCCCCCCGACCAAGGGGGGGGGGAGGTATTGTTTGGTATCTATGACTACCATGGATGGGTGGTGCATAGCTTCATATCTGGCCACACTTAGAGAAAAAGATCCCGGCCGACCAACCCTGTTACCAACCCTGTTGCAGCTGAGAGATTGTGGCCCAAAATCAAGGAATAATTCTGGGTGGCCAAATCGTACTACAGTCAAACTTGCGAAAAGAAACCTACCCATTTTGCAGACGTTTCTTCTAGCAATGTTTCAATCTGCAACAACAGCAAGTCAGACATGCAAACACATGTATTGACACACACACACACACACATGTACCTGAAGCGCAGTCCTGGCCAGAGAAACTCGACCTCATGAATATAATACCGCCGGGGGTGGGGGCTACGCAAAGCAAAGCCTAATAACGAAGTTCACTGTACACGGTATACACGTCAGTTGAGTGTGCATGAGCAGGCTGTACTGGCCAGTTCAGTGTTTGTGGAATCTGCGTGCAAACCGCGTGACAACGTGCGAGCATTTCGACATACATGTATGGTCGGTACATGTTTGGATAATTAGAAGTTTTCCAGGCATTTTGAGGTTCGAATTACAGTGAAACCTGTCTAAGGCGACCCCTCAAGGGACGAGAAAAAGTGGTTGCCGTGGCCAGGTGGTCTTCTTATCCAGGTTCAGTGGGTCATGTGACCATATCCACATGTGAGACATCATTTTGATCAGTGCATCACAGTGCACACACCTATGCTACTCTAGCACGACTCATGTGCCTGGGGTCCTCAGACCTGTCAAATGTCGTGCATGCACCATGTACATCTACACTTCCTGCGCTGATGTGTAGATCTACCATGCCTGGTGCACCATGCAATGCATACATTTACATGACTAGCACTGTGCAACGCGGTCGCGGGTGGAAGGTCGTCGGTCGCGTTGAGCGAGTGGTCGCCTTATCCGAGGTGTTTTGAACGTGAATGCGTCCGTGACAAGGAAAAGTGGTCGCCATGGTCGAGTGGTCGCCATATCCGAGTGGTCGCCATTACAGGTTTTACTGTATCAGGATTCTACCTGCAGTGTGAGCACTGCCTTCATACCTACAACGCTATAGCAACTATGGTGAAGACAGCACTAGCATACCCAACATACAGCAAAAGTGATGAAACTTTCTGCATCTCTGAGCATAGCACTAAGAACAGCAAGACAGGCAGAACAGAGTATCAAGCTGAGATAGAGATGAATGGGTGGCAGCCTGTACCTCTTCCAGTAGTGCCGGGGCGTTGAGAAGACAATGACGAATAGCTACCAAGCTCTGTATAGGCCATAAACACGAACAAACAAACAAACAAGGAGCATTGATGCACAGATTGCTACACAAATTGCAGCAGTACATTGTACATGATCAGGGTAGACTGTGAAGAGAGAGAGAGAGAGAGAGAGAGAGAGAGAGAGAGAGAGAGAGAGAGAGAGAGAGAGAGAGAGAGAGAGAGAGAGAGAGAGAGAGAGAGAGAGAGAGAGAGAGAGACACACACACACACACACACACAGAGAGACAGAGAGAGAGAGAGAGAGAGAGAGAGAGAGAGAGAGAGAGAGAGAGAGAGAGAGAGAGAGAGAGAGAGACACACAGAGAGAGACAGAGAGAGAGAGAGACAGACAGACAGAGAGAGAGAGAGAGAGAGAGAGAGAGAGAGAGAGAGAGAGAGAGAGAGAGAGAGAGAGAGACAGACAGACAGACAGACAGACAGACAGACAGAGAGAGAGAGAGAGAGAGAGAGAGAGAGAGAGAGAGAGAGAGAGAGAGAGAGAGAGAGAGAGAGAGAGAGAGAGAGAGAGAGAGAGAGAGAGAGAGAGAGAGAAAGAGTGAGTGAGTGAGAGAGAGAGATAGAGAGAGAGAGAGATAGAGAGATAGAGAGAGAGAGTGAGAGAGATAAGAGAGAGAGAGATAGAGAGAGAGAGAGAGAGAGAGAGAGAGAGACAGACAGACAGAGAGACAGACAGAGAGAGACAGAGAGAAAGAGAAGAAAGACAGACAGAGAAAGGGAGAGAGGGGAAGGGGGTGGGGGAAGAGACCACTGAACAATAGCATACATATCAGCATTCAAAGCCAGTTCACTGCACACAAAACACAACAGGGAGGAAACTACTAAAACTGACTGCGAAACAGGAAACAAAGAACACCGATATACTCACTTTGTTCAGGTTTATTACGAAGTTCTTAAAAAAGTCTGATGCAGTGTCCTGGCAAACTTCGACGATCGGAAATAGTCCATGCTCAATCGACAGTTTGGATACAGGCTGCTGCTGGTCCTTCTTGCCACCACCAGCAGCAGCATAGTGAGCAGCAGCATTGTTATGAGCAGCCAGACTATGCACTAAGTTAGGTATTGAAGTCTTGCCGGAGAAATGGCAAGAGTGCTGGGAACAAAGCAAGGCAAACGCAGATACAGATAGACACACACACACACACACACACACACACACACACACACACACACACACACACACACACACACACACACACACACACACACACACACACACACACACACACACACACACACACACACACACACACACACACACACACACACACACACACACACACACACACACACACACACACACACACACACACACACACACACACACACACACACACACACACACACACACACACACACACACACACACACACACACAAGCATGCTTAATCAACAAGAGAGAGAGAGAGAGAGAGAGAGAGAGAGAGAGAGAGAGAGAGAGAGAGAGAGAGAGAGAGAGAGAGAGAGAGAGAGAGAGAGAGAGAGAGAGAGAGAGAGAGAGAGAGAGAGAGAGAGAGAGAGAGAGAGAGAGAGAGAGAGAGAGAGAGAGAGAGAGAGAGAGAGAGAGAGAGAGAGAGAGAGAGAGAGAATGCAGTTACACATACGCATGCTTGATCAACGAGACAGGCATAGGCTGTGTTTACGTTGGGATTTTCCACTCGGGTTGAAAGTCTGCACTGCGGAAAATTAGGTGAGAGTTTGAATGAAGAGAGTTGATCCAGGTTGACTACTGATACGCCGACAGAAGTCCATTTCTAGTGTCCAGTGCTGTGCTAACCTGGTGGGAAAGACGCAATTACGTACGGTAGTAAGATTTCTTGATTTCTTGAATCAACCCAGGCCAAGCGTAATGTGTCATGTTAACGCTCCAGTCAATCCGTATTCATGGCATGTTGAAACTCGACCCAGGTAGGTCTCATCCCCAGTTCACAACGGCCTTTGGTGTAGCAGATTACGTTGCATTGAGCACCCATGCATGTGCACTACATGTAGTACATGAGTGCGTGTACAGCCAAACAATGTGGATAATGCACACCTACCTTCAAGTCATGAAGTGCAGCCTCAGCAGGGTAACACAGATCAACTGCATTGTTCAGCAACATGTTACATTTCTGTGTGCAAATCACAAACACACATACCACCAGCAAGTCAAGAATTACTCCTTTTTTAAAGGATGTCGGGACAGTTTTCGGCCTAGATTTCATCAATAAAATCTTCTCCTCAAATTCAGTAGATGCGTAGATAATCGTGTCTTTCTGTGAAAAAAACAAAAAACAGGGTCACCATGTTTTACTACTGTACTGGATTTCCAGTACAGTTGTCCAAAGGTCGTAAATGTTGCTATTTTGCCCAAAATTCCAATGCTTGAACCTCACAAGGAACGGATATGAGGACTCCCAAATTTTATTGCAGAATTCAGAATCAGCATGATTTTCTTTGCTAGTCCACCAAAAGTGAGCAAATTATCACATTGATTTTGGTGAAAACTGAAAAGTGGCTACAAAACTGCGTGGCAATGGCTGAAACTGTAATGAACTACCTAATATCCCGCACACGATACACAAACCCACAAGCACCAAAGAAGACCACCGCAACAGCACCTACAACACCAAGATCAACAGCGCCAGAAGCATCAGCAGCAGCAACAACAACACCACCAACACCAGCAACATCAGCAACACGACGAGCAATGGACTACAGTTACCAGCCGCAAACTGAGAGGTTCTCTTGGTTCCCTGCGAAAAGTATACTTTGTTGGAAATATTGATGACAGTTGCGACGCAGACTCCATAACGTCACACTGTGTGCAGAATGGCATCACACCCACAGCGTGCCGCACCTTTCCTTCTCGCAAGCATGTACGCACAAAAGCTGCAAGGCTTACAGTCCGAGAAGACCAATGTGCAGCCATCGAGGCAGATGGGTTCTGGCCAGCGCCCATTCAGGTTCGGCCATGGGACTTCAGCGAGGCAAATAGGCCCACAGCCACCAACTAATCGACCGTGTTCCCACTCAATCCCCATGCACCAGTCTTCATACCTCGCACCTATCGTGCCCAACCCCAGAGCACCCACAGAAGTAAACATAGGTCACATTAACATCAGAAGTCTTCGGAGTAAGGTTCTTGATATTCATAAAATTCTGCATGATCATAAAATCTACGTCCTCTCTGTCAATGAGACCCACTTGGACAGCAGCATTAGTGATTCTAATTTGAGCATACCAGGGTACAGGATCTACCGCAGCGACAGAAACCTCCATGGGGGCGGTGTATGCTTCAATATAACCAACCAGTTCCATGCAACAGCACTCCCCACTCCTAGGTATCCAGATCTTGAGAGTCTGCATGTAGTACTTCAGCCAAGCAACAACATCCGTTCCAGTAAACCCGTTATCAGCACTGTGTACCGTCCCCCCAGCGCGACAGTTGAATTCTGGGAGCGTCCCTCGCAACAGCTGGACACTCAAGTTACACGCATTGGAAGGCGTGTTGTTCTTGGCGACTTCAACACCAATGTACTCCAGCCCCGATCACACAACTACGCCCACCTGCAACAGCTTTGCTCCAGCCACTGATTGTCGAATGTCGTTAAAGTGGTTACACGAACCCCGTCCAACACCTGTCTCGACTTAGCCCTCGTAGAAGATGTCCTCACAGTCGGCCATGTATCTGCCACGTCACTGCACGCTATTACTGATCACCACCTAGTTAAAGTGACTGGAACCCCCCACCTGAGCATAGCTATCGCCTCGTTCGAAAGCCGGGAATTTCCAGTATTGACTATGCCCAGTTCGACAGAAGGCTGCAGGCCAGGTTGGAACGGAATCCTCCAGATTGTGCGTCTCTAAACAGATACACTGAACATGTGATCGCATCCATCACCACCACTACTGATGAGCTAGCACCCATCCAACGTATCCGTGTGTCCAATTGTCCCAAACCTAAGCCTCACCCATGGGTCACACCTCAGCTAAAGCATTTGACGCAACAGAGAGCAACTCTGCATCGTAAGCTAAAGCGACAACCTGACAGCGCTGTTGTCAAACAGCAGTACAGAGCAATACGTAGGGAAGGAAAACTCCTCAACCGAAAGCTGAAGTCGAATTACCTGATCCAGAGATTTACTGCACTGAAGCTCGACCCTCGTGGGCAGTGGGCACTGCTGAATGCCCTCTCCGGTAGACGTAAAGTGAAGAACCAGCCTACTGCATCTCTCGATAATCTGACAGCAACATTTTGTCAATATTGTACATGATCCAACCCGCCCCACCAGTATATGTCTCCGTCCGAGCACTCATCAGCCATACCATGCTGCTCAACTTTCCCAGTTCCGACCTGTTACTGTAGAGTGCATTACTAAACTGCTTAAGTCAATCAACACAAGCAAATCACCTGGCTCTGACAACGTGCTACCGGCAGTGCTGTAACATGGCCGGGAGTCCATCACTGCTTCTATCACGGATATAATCAACCAATCGCTCCGCACTGGCCATGTTCCGGACTTATTTAAGAATGCTACGGTAAGCCCGATTTTCAAATCTGGTGATTCCAATTGCTCTACCAATTACCGCCCAGTTTCGTTGCTGCCTCTTTGTAGCAAAATATTAGAGCGTGTTGTCTTGGAGCAGCTCAATGCATTTTTCAAGTCTAATGACATTCTGCATGTGCCGGACAACCAGTTCGCTTATCGTGCCAACAGCTCCTGTGAGGACTGCCTGGTCCTAGTTGTTGATGAATGGCTGAAGGCTCTTGATGAGAATGAGTACTGTGGCGTAGTATGTGCCCACATGAGCAAAGCATTTGACAGAGTGAACCATCAAGGCCTAATCAATGAACTGCAGAATGTTGGGATAGCTGGCACCGCCCTCGCATGGTTTGCAACATACCTAACAAACCGCATTCAGAGAGTTCGAGTAGGACAGGCACTCGGTGATGCCCGTCCGTGCACAAGAGGCGTCCCTCAAGGCTCTGTCCTTGGGCCACTGCTCTTTTGTATATACATCCGCGATGCACCACAATGCTTCAGGCATTCATCTAACAAACTCTTCGCAGATGATATAACCTTCCATATCCGTAGCCATTCGTGTCAAACAGTAACTACTCGACTGAGTGAGGACCTGGCTGCTCTCGATGGCTATCTTGAAAGAAAAGGACTGCTATTGAATCCATCTAAGACCCAGGTTTTAATACTTCGCCGCCCTGGTAAAGAGCTGCCACCTGGTACAGCAGTTCTCTGTCATGACACCCCCATTGCCCACCTCTGCTTCCGGCCGCTATTTAGGAATATTAGTTGATGAGCATCTATCCTTTTCAGACCAAGTGGCAGCGGTGTGTACATCTGTTAACAAGAAAGTAGGAGCCATTGTGCATGCAAAACAGAACATCAGTATCTTTGGCAAGCGACTGTTCTACCTCTCTATAATTCAGTCTACGCTTGAGTATGGCAGCACGGCATACGTACACTGTCGCAAGCTCTTTATAACAAACTTCTTGCTGCCAGCCGCTTGGCGCTAAAGAGAATTTTTTCCTTGGATAGAATGACCCCAACTGCCCTTCTCTACAGTAACACCAATGTATACACCCTTGAACAACGCCTCAATTTCAAGACCTATGTATTTGTGTATCGCTGCCTGAATGGCCTTGCTTGCTCTCTCCTACAAGACCGCTTTACTCTTCGTGCTCACACTGCTGCCCTTATCCGTGGTCAGGTGTCTGTCGCGCTTGTTTTACCCCCTGCTAGCACACGCTATGGTTTCAGTGCAATTTCTTACGTAGGCGCTGACCGGTGGAATGCACTGCCACCTGCTCACCGCCTTTCTAATTCACCTGCTGAATTTAGTTCATCCATCAAGACTTTCTTAGGGTTCCCTGTAAGAAGGCGATGACGACTGTTGGGAATTCCCTAATAAAATAAAAATAAAATAAAAAGTTGAGCAAGAATCCAAATTTATGTTTGTTTCCTCATTTCCCCACACATCTGAATAGCGATAATAACAAAGAGTCCACTTACTTTGAAATGCGAGTCCAACTCATGTAGTAAGGTCAGTTGACTCGTCAATGCCTGGCCAATAGCACATAGAGCAAAGACATTACACAGGAATTACACAGGAATTACACAGGAACATCATGTTACGCTCTATGTGATGTCATGGCACTACACACACATGATGTCAAGCAACCACTACACACACATGATGTCAAGCAACCACTACACACACATGATGTCAAGCAACCACTATAGGAAGTTCATTCAATGTGTGCCAACTACAAGATACCTGCAGTGAGAAATCTTGACTTCCATAAGTCACGTTTCTCTGTTTCTTCTTCGTTCGTGATTTGTCATCTGTGTATGCTGGTTCTTTTTCCAGCTTCTCTTTTGTTCACCTCCCATTCGCTTCTCATTCTACCTAACAGGCGAAGCGCCAGCACCCCAAATCAAGACTTTTTTTATTTTCCGTGGCGGGAAATCGAGCTTTTCCAGGTATCTACAGCCCGTAGAAATTCAACGCTGAGAATTTCCAACTATTGTCCGGCTTTGGTCCTCTGCCACCGACCTATCCTTTGAAGGAGAATGCTGAAACCAGTTGATTGCTCTTCAGTAGTTTTTTTCCCTATCGTACACATATTTTTGTATGTCGACACATGCCGTGTGCGACGACGTAGACACTTCTCAACACTTGAGTGACTTGAATTTGGCCATGATGACCGAATGTCATTGGACCGTGGAGTCGAGTAGAGGGCTCAGGCTCGATCGGCACAACGGGTACGTATAGCACAAGGGTAGGGCTAATGATATATCAAGTTGTTTGCTGTGCACAACCTTGGGGCGGAATTCGGCACGAAATTCTCTGCTCGCCAACTGTTGAGTATACCATGCAATACGTAGGTTTAAACTCATGTTGCAGTGCTATCACGGTTGCAACCCTCTTTCAAATGTTGACATAGCCAACAACCACATAATCCATATCAAATCTTGCCCCTTGTTTTCTTTCTAAGTGTGAAAAATAGAAATAATACCAGTCCTAATCATTGGAAAATGCAAATCACAATGCAAATCACAGTCTATATGGTGTTACTCCTCGTCGAGGTGGTAACAATGTAACTTAATTTGCTCACTATGTTGTTGTCACTATTATTATTTTCCTTCGAGTTTTGTGTCGTGCTTAACTTGATAATTTTCCACCTTGTCACGAGTGTTGTTATCTAATTATCTTTACGCTATATAAGTTTTAGTCTTTCCAGCTTGAGCCATTCCCTGTATAATCCTTGATGAGAAGGGGCCGAAAACGTTCGGATACTTATGACAAGTGCCTTATTATGACTGGATGTGTGTTTGCGTGGATATTTGCGACCCATAACTTACCTTCGTTTTAAAGTATTATCCGCCTCCGACCTCTTTTAAAAAAAAATAATAATAATAATAATTTTTGAAAGGATTGGGAGAACTTCAAATACAAAAGATAAGCAGGGTCCCAGGTTTGAGTCCTGGTGGGTCTGGCGTTCTTTTTCTCTTTTCAGGCAGTTCACTTCTCCAACTGATCCTTTAATAATAATAATATTAACTGGTTTGAGGGAAAGAGACAAACGGGAAAAGTCTGAAGAAAAAATTGACTGTCACCACCAGGACTCGAACCAGGGACCCTCGCTTGTAGCCAGCGATGCTCTAACCACTGAGCTATGGTGTAGTCGTCATCCCAGCAGAGGCCGTTCAACATTTTCTTCAGACTTCGTAATAATAATAATAATAATAATAATAATATTAACTGGTTTGAGGGAAAGAGACAAACGGGAAAAGTCTGAAGAAAAAATTGACTGTCACCACCAGGACTCGAACCAGGGACCCTCGCTTGTAGCCAGCGATGCTCTAACCACTGAGCTATGGTGTAGTCGTCATCCCAGCAGAGACCGTTCAACGTTTTCTTCAGACTTCGTAACTCACACTTCCTGTGAATCCACACAGGCGGGTGGGACGCAGCCCTCACTGTAACCCACACACTTCACGTACAAACTAGCACGCGGGGAGCCCAAAGTCATAAAATATTAACTGGTTTGAGGGAAAGAGACAAACGGGAAAAGTCTGAAGAAAAAATTGACTGTCACCACCAGGACTCGAACCAGGGACCCTCGCTTGTAGCCAGCGATGCTCTAACCACTGAGCTATGGTGTAGTCGTCATCCCAGCAGAGACCGTTCAACGTTTTCTTCAGACTTCGTAACTCACACTTCCTGTGAATCCACACAGGCGGGTGGGACGCAGCCCTCACTGTAACCCACACACTTCACGTACAAACTAGCACGCGGGGAGCCCCAAGTCATAAAATATTAACTGGTTTGAGGGAAAGAGACAAACGGGAAAAGTCTGAAGAAAAAATTGACTGTCACCACCAGGACTCGAACCAGGGACCCTCGCTTGTAGCCAGCGATGCTCTAACCACTGAGCTATGGTGTAGTCGTCATCCCAGCAGAGACCGTTCAACGTTTTCTTCAGACTTCGTAACTCACAATAATAATAATAATAATAATAATAATAATCAACGCAATAAATAGAGTAAGCTGCGCACTCAGTACAAACACCATAAGCAAAACTTGTTTTCATGTAAATAAAGAAGCTTGTTCCTAAACGTTTTCGTCGCCATCTCATCAGAGGATTACTGGCAAATCAACAAAAGCTCTTAACTCAATATATATACGCACAATGCAAGTAATAATTTAGACCCTAACTAGCGCGATAAAATGAGAGCTGAAAGAAACATTACACCATTCAACGATATCAGGTGACAACAGATGCGATAAATTCACCACTAGAAAGTTACCATGCAACCACAAACGAGAACTACTGATCTAAATTCACAAACAATTTCAATTCATTGCATTCCCAACTCCTCACAACCACGCGCTCTTCAGCCGAACCATACAGACACCAGCAAGGACACTTCCGTTGAGAGATAATATTCCTCCACGCCTCTAGACAGCTGTTTCGCTCCCTGTAGAAAGTTACCATGCAACCACAAACGAGAACTACTGATCTAAATTCACAAACAATTTCAACGTAAACAAATTCTTTTCTGCCTACACAAAATCGGCTTAGTGGTAAAAATGTAAATAGACTCCAATACACGCAAATACCTTTGACCTCTCCCTCCTCCTCTTCATCAACATCAACAGCCATTGGAACGTCAAAGGGAGCATCATCGCAGCAGGCAGTGCCAGTAACGGACGTGCCTTTGGTACTGACATCTACATCGGCCTCGTCTGGATTGGCAGTAGCGGCAAGGAATGTCAGGTCGGTTACATTGTCACGTAATTCCAAAGTATGTACTGGTTCTAGTAGCGTTGTTAGGGTGTATGAATCTTCTATCGCCAACCATCTTGTTCAGAATAGTGATTGTCGTTCTAGTTATGCTGATGATTGCTTTTCTGTTTGGTCTCGTTCACGTAGTCAAAGGTATTTGCGTGTATTGGAGTCTATTTACATTTTTACCACTAAGCCGATTTTGTGTAGGCAGAAAAAGAATTTGTTTACGTTGAAATTGTTTGTGAATTTAGATCAGTAGTTCTCGTTTGTGGTTGCATGGTAACTTTCTAGTGGTGAATTTATCGCATCTGTTGTCACCTGATATCGTTGAATGGTGTAATGTTTCTTTCAGCTCTCATTTTATCGCGCTAGTTAGGGTCTAAATTATTACTTGCATTGTGCGTATATATATTGAGTTAAGAGCTTTTGTTGATTTGCCAGTAATCCTCTGATGAGATGGCGACGAAAACGTTTAGGAACAAGCTTCTTTATTTACATGAAAACAAGTTTTGCTTATGGTGTTTGTACTGAGTGCGCAGCTTACTCTATTTATTGCGTTGATTACATTTTTATCTCCACGGAAGCTTAATAATAATAATAATAATAATAATAATAAGTCACGCCGAAAATGTCTTGTCTCCACTAAGGCACTGTATGGCTGATAAAGCTGCATCCATGGTGCCCGCATAGGTGAGGAGTGCAAAACGCTTTAAAGAAGGTCTTCCCAGTCGAGTTATAGTGATGTGGAAGACATTTGCCGTCTGAAAACGAAGAACCCAAGGTGAGGTGAGCGGGAAATCGCCACTAGAACACGGTCACACTCACCTCTTTACGACTCTTCGGCGTGCTGCGCTTAGCAAAGTTAGAGTAGCAAGGCTGCAAGAACCACAAGATCAAAACAGACTAGCATGATGCATGCACACACAGGGAAGACATTAATCAGAGAACGAGAGATCCGTCCTCAACTTCAAAATTACAGTCTAGATAGGTCGTAAACCCCTGCTAGCAAACACGGCATCCAGCATCAATGGTTGCCAGTACATGTGTTTATGTGTCTATGCATGCAGACGACAGTGACTTACCACCTTCTGACAGGTAATGTGTACAAGAAGGCTGGCATGCTCCAGGAAGCGATCGTCAGGTGATTTTAACTTGACATGACGATAGCCTACGAGCACAGGCGTAAAGAAATGTGAAAAACATCGTTTGAACACAAGCGGATTGAGCTTGCCTAGTCAACAGGAGCACCCAGCTTGCAGTGGTACAGGACCAAGAGAAGGCAAGCAACACATAAGCCGGTGCCACCTGAACACTGTTAGCACATGCCAACTGATATACTGATATCCTGGTTGGTATAGCAGCTAGCAGCAAACTTGAGGTGTGCTTTAAAATACTTGATGCACAATGTGAGGATTATTGCAAAGATGAGCCGTGAACACACACCTACTCGTATTCACCGGTTACGCCAAGAGTCCATAAAAAAGAGCATGCAACTGTGATCTCTTTTCTATGGGCCGGATGCGCGGCGCGCTGCCTTTATTACATAATTCAGCTGCAGTCCGCGCACTGTGGAAAATCAAACACCACACTTTCCCTGTGGTTTGAAATGAACTTTCGTACGGAACTGGAGTTCATGCGCCAACATTTAGAGATCACGTAGGTACTGGAACGAATCGAGCAAAAACGGATGGGCCAGGACGAGAAATTGTGGGGTTTGAGTGCATGCTTTCAAAGTGTGATGGAAGCAAGTTACATAATGAAGGCAGCGCCGCACACTGACCCACAACCACAGTTGCATACTCTTCTTTACGCACTCTTGGTTATACATTCAAGGTAGTGTACAGCGTGCACGTCAGTAAGCGGAAAAAACGGAATGCCTCACGGAACAGTGTGTGTGTTGTCCAGTATGAGTACACGTCTGCCTTTGAGGTGTATGTAGAGCCAAGCATGTACACTGTACAACAGTCAACAGTGGCATGTGTAGGGTTGAGGGGTTAGTGCAGGTCATTCAGCTGACACACTTCTACAGTGTCCTCAACAGCAGCTGTAGATTAATCAGCTTACCTGTTTTCATGCACCTCAGCGGAATGGTCAGCTGTCCAATGAAGTCCGATCCAATTGAGTCAGCGTCAATGACGTGGAACCGTACCAGTGCGATCTCAGGAAACTGAACTTTGAATGTCACTGATTCATCCCACCTAGGGGAATCCCCTGTAATCCAGAGAAAGACAGTCAGACAGACAGGCACAATCAGTGTCAGTCTTTCTCCTATTGTCTGTGTGGTTCATCTATCTACTGTCCTGTTGTCTGCGTGGTTCATCTATCTACTGTCCTGTTGTCTGTGTGGTTCATCTATCCACTGCTGTAGTGAAACAGGCAAGTAAGCAAGCAAGCAGGGAGAGATAGAAAGATAGATAAGATAGATAAAGTCAACTTCGCTAATAACGACTGCGGATATAACGACAATTCGCGAATAACGACAGAATTTCCATGCCCAGAGCAAAGTCCCATCCCACTGTAATACATATAATGAGACTTCGGGTATAACGACACTTCGCGAATAAGGACACCTTTTTGATGCCCCGCCGAGTGTCGTTATAAGCGAAGTTGACTGTAGATAGAGAGCGAGAGACAGAAAGAAAGAGATAGAGAGATAGAGAGAGATAGACAGAGAGAGAGAGAGAGAGAGAGAGAGAGAGAGAGAGAGAGAGAGAGAGAGAGATAGATAGACAGACAGACAGACAGAGAGAGAGAGAGAGAGAGAGAGAGAGAGATAGAGGGAGAGAGAGAGGTGCAAAAACTCATGGTGACTCTGTGATAATTCTCTAAGATACAACTTCCACCATTGGTGTCATGCAACGCACACCATTACGGAGTCGGCAGTATGAACTGGGTGCACACAAAACGTACGGTTGTTGCGGCAAGGCCGAGTCTTCCACTCATCATTATCACAGCTAGCACCATTGATAGTGACCTTGACAAACGGGTCCAAGCTTTCTGACATGTAGTCAGACATGAAAGGGTCTGGCAGCGATTTCCCTGAAATTATCTGTGCAGGGATAGCAAGCAAGTATCAGTCACACCAACACAGAAGAACAGTTTATTTTTATTTTTTAAATCAAACTGATCACCTCATGATAAGAACAGTACTAGCATCATGCTAATTTCCACATGTTACTGTACCAGTGTTCAATTTTCCACACCTCAGTCCATTAGCAGTTTATGACAATGCTATGAAGCTCACACCATGGGCATTGTTACAAGAAAACTATTCTTCAAATCTGAACAAGTAGATGCCTGGTGTCCATTAGTTTGAGAGATTGAAAATGGAATGTCACCGGTATGCTTATCCCTACCTTGATTGTCAGCTCCATCGGAGTGACACCATGCCAGTTTGGTGCTGTGGATACACCCTGTGTTAGCGCACGGGGCTTCAGAACGTAGCCGCATGCGCCGTTGTCGCTAAACATCCCCACAGTCAGGTCCATCTCTGTGCAGATTGTCTGCCAGTTCAATGCCACTAGTACACAACATGGAGCACAGGACAATGTCAAAGAAGGAGATAAAACGCAAACCGTACACAAAGATACAAGAAACAAATGGACAATGTCCGTAGGTGCCTCACTGCAGTGCAATGAAGTCGTCTTACAGAGGTTACGACAAGCTGGCTCATTTTCTATTCAGAAATGTACAGCACCAAGTCAGGCCTCAGCTATGTAGTGCGCATGTCTGAAAGCAGCTGGCTGAGATTGAGTACGTTACTACATGACTACATGCCATTGCACCAGCAGCTTTTCATGCAGCATAACAATGTATTCTCTGCCTGGCAGCCTGTCTCCCTGTCTGTCTCCATCAAAGAATGCAAGTTCTTACCACACTGAACACCACATGACCAGGCGGTTGTGGGCAAGTAGTTGCTGCTGTCATCATGAGAGCTAAATGCAGGATATGCACGACTTATTGCGGTCTGGTGATGCTGAACCATATCGCTCATCCTGTGTGTTTCCAGCTCGCACAGTAAGTGACTGTTGAACGACCAGAGTGACCGTGACACTACACGCAGGCACACAGACACGCAGGCACACAGACACACAGACACGCACAGACACGCACACAAGCACATACAACAGAGGCACATTGTAACGGACACAGACATACGCACACACAGACACAAACACACACACACCATTTGACCATTTGACGCCCATCGCCAGAGGCAATGATAGCGATGCTACGGCAGAAGCCATAGCAGCTTGTGCTGGGATTGCACCATTCAACAGCTTGCAAGGCTGAAGAATTGACCGCCACTATTCAGCCTGGTCTACACCACACAGCTATGAAGTGACTTTTTCTGGCCAGTGAATCCCTACTTTTTGGTCTTTTTCATTTTTTTTCATGCACACACATCACACCACATACTCCGGCATGCACTGGCTGTTGGTAACCACCCAAGGAGAATGAAAGAAAAGTCAGGAGGAGTCTGAGAAAGAGAAGAAAGACGTGTGTGACCATAATCGTCGGGAATCGAACCCGCAACCTCTCGATTGGAAATCGCTGCACATACCACTGCACCATATGGGACACATATAGCGTGACACACACACACACACACACACACACACACACACACACACACACACACACACACACACACACACACACAGACACACAGACAGAGACACACAGAGACACACAGACAGAAACAGACAGACAGACACAAACACACACACACACACACACAGACAGAGACACACAGATAAACAGACAGACAGACAGACACACACACACGAGAGCAATATAATATTCCGGCGACGGAGGCACTGCACAGCACGCCAGTAAGTAGATAACTTTCAGCAAGAGTACATAACCAAGAGTGTGCAACTCCTATCTTGAGCTGCGATGGGTTCACCCACGGCGGAATTTTTTTATTGCGTCATTCTTTGGCAGAAGTGTGATGAAGTGGGTATGCTTTCCCGCGCTTGTTTTGTAGATACGGTGAGAGTTCGTCAGGTTCAAGACACATTGATCTATCGTCCGTTGTTCTGCTTCGAGTACCGTAGCTGTAATGTACAAATTATTTGTACTTTGATCTCTGGCTACGCATGATGGCATCAGTGAGCCAAACTGCTGCCAAAGACTGATGTCATAAAATAATTCCGCCGTGGGCTGGGGGATCGTCGAGTTGCACACTCTTGGTTATGTACTCTTGCTTTCAGCCTATGTAGCATGCAGTACTACCGTTATCTGTCTTACCAGACAGCCTAGCAACTTATCACTCCAGGCCAAGTAGTTTGAAAAATTGAAAACATGACAACAGTAACAGCAACACGAGAGGACTGCATGTAGAAGTCGCAGCTCAGTGTCAACACAAAATCCAAGTTAAGTTGACTTAACGTGAGAGAACATCCTTACCTCTTGGCTCAGTTAGTTCTGTCTCAGAGAATGTCCTCAGATGTATGATGGATGAAAGCTGCACTAACTCAAATGCTGTCAGAATGGGCACGCTTGGCTTGCTTGGCCCATGTGTTGTAAAGTGTCTTTCTTTGGCTTTGTCTTGAAGCGGCCAGCTAGCCTGCACCATCAATAGACCAAACGCCCACAAAGAGAAAATAAGGAGGCCATCCAACTACATACTACAGTAGACTCCACTAAGTGGAGTCGACTGTTTTAACCCATACAAAATTGGCCCTTTGTAGTAAACCGTTTTCATTTATAATGAACCATAATATTATCTTGCAAAGCGAGCATGAGAACAAGTGCACGCGTTCAGTAATGGGCAGGAAAGCATGCGCACACACGCACGCACACACACACACACACACACACACACACACACACACACACACACACACACACACACACACACACACAGTGAAGATGATGTCATGTTACAGTCACAGCGAAGATGATCTTACCAAAGATGCACACCAGGAGTTGTTCCGCGAAAGCGGCGCTGTTTTCATCTCCGCGCTAAACGTGGAGCCTCGCCGTAGCGGTCGCTTTTTGTTCTTGGGCGATTTTTCACTTGCTGAAGCCGATGCGGAGAAAGACAGTTCAAACATGTCATCGTCTTCACTCACAAATCCGTCAGCTTTCCCGCCGTCGCTGTAGGCAAACGGTAGCCGCTTGGTCTGAAGCAAATACAACAAGCGACCAGCCAGTCACATAGGCCTAGATGTCAGGTCTAGTATTGAACAAGCTATAAAGTTTTTCTTCTCTAACCATCACTCATGCTAATGCTGGTTACGTCAGCACACCTTGGTTACCATAGTAACAAGTGACATCAGTACAGTTTAACAGAGCAGAGCCCTTGCCGCCGATTGAGACCGAGATGATAGTAAGCAGAGAAGGACACAAGTATCTCAACAAACTCACAAAGACAGACAAATGCACCGACAGACAAACAGAACGCACAGAGAACGCACAGAGAACGCACAGAGAACGCACAGAGAACGCACAGAGAACACACAGAGAACACACACACACACACAATGTGTTGGAAGTCACTTTTAAAAAACGGAGCCCTCACCACAAGAATGATTTTTCCTTTCAGATCCACAGGAGATGGAAGATGCCCCTGCAGCATATTGATACTCTTTGTCTCAACCAGGAATTCTAGGCACAGGAAACATCACAAACATCAATGGAAACATCAGCAGCTGCAGTGGTTTCGTTGAGATCGCATAGATTAGATCTGTTTACAGGAGTCAGGGCTTTTCTGATTTGTAAAGAGCTCCCAGAGCTCCCAGCTCACGATTAGAAGTAGCATGTCAAAAAAGGGAAGAGTGATCTACATCGTAAACCATCTACAGTTTCGCTAGGTGAAGTCCTACCCAAAGTACAAGGCTGGCACTCAGGAGTGGGCCTGGACAAGTTCCAATTACATCACTGCATTTGCACATCCACTATCCCTGGCGGCACTGTCTTTGGAACTGTTTTGGTATCTGCATCTTCATTTCTCTTTGCTTGCACGTATTCTGAGGGAACATAATTATTATGCTGGTCTATATTCGTGGACCCCTATATTGCATACAGTACTGCCGGGGGCCGAAGAACGACCAGCCTAGAATTTCACCATGCACAGCATACCCATGTATACACGGCGACTCTGTGCATAGACTGTAATACATGAAAACAAGAACCGGCTCGGCTACCCCCCCCCCCCCCCCCCCCAGTTCTTCGGCGACCAAGAGTACTGTATGGCACATGTACTCATCCGGCGGATATGTGTGAACAATAATATTATTAAATAATTTGCACGATGGCAGACTCCAAGGACGCGACTGCGTACAGGGACCCTGCAAAGCTAGGAGTGGAGCGGCAATGGCAGCGAGAAGCAGCACAGCAGGAGCGTCAAGCGCAGGCGGCCGATTGTTCACCACAGCTTAACGAAGAGATGGAGGCATTGGAAAGGGAGCTGCTTGGCGATAATGATATAAACTCAATAAATAAGACCGAATGGTCGAGCCGGCACGACACAAGCGTACACACGCACGCACACCCATGTACCATGTACCATGTATACGCCCGTCGCAAGAGAAGCACGCAAATCTGCAAATGCACTGGATGTGCACCCACAGATTTTCTCTTATAGCAACAATAGCGAACAAGATCTGAATGAGACAGATCAAGACCTGCGCCAGATAAAATCGGTTGTGGCAACAAACGCGATTAGGCCGGCTGCAGGGACGCCGTAATGTCGCACTCGCCCCAGCACCATTCAAACAATTCCCTTTGGCAGTTCACGGCACGAACTTCAACAAAGCCTCGTGAATGCGTACCAGGGGAAGGCTAGACAGCATGTCTCTAGACATCAATAGGCATCGTATGAAAAGCCAGTCAATAGCACTAAAGAGCGAAAGCCTTTGTCACGGTTCGGTTTCACTCGCGCACCGGGCCCGAGCTGGCAGCACAAACAAACGCCGGACGCGAGCTGGCAGCACAAATAAACGCCGTACTCACACGAGACCGTTGGGCGAACGGATGGCCACAGCCATCAAAAACAGGAACAAACCCATCCACGGCTCTTTCTCTTGCTAGCTGTGCTGCTGCGTGCATCCAACTGTTTTGCAATTTCTCCCTCCCACCCACGCCTCCTGGTATTTATTATCGCTCTACATTATCCTACGTCTCGTGACAATGAGTGCCACTCAGCATGATGGTACTCCAAGCTACATTGTATTTGGTCTGTCCTAGCTCACTATTCTGGACAAAATATTAATTCAATTGCAATGAAGCGCCGGGGGCCGGCGGGGGCATTCGGCGGCTTGGTCTGATTCCTAGCTTGTTGGTAACCGGCTTGAGATTTCAAAGGTTGCTATGACAACGTGCAGTCATGCGCAGGGCCACCCAACATGCATTTGGGGGCCCAGGAAAGACAGAAACGCGTTGCTAGGCAACAGCAAAAGCGCTTGGCGAGTATCACGCTACTCATGCAGCACGCACGTTGGCGTAGGGTATCACGCTACCCTTGTGCTGCGTAGGGTATCACGCTACCCTTGTGCTGTGGGGTACCACGCTACCCTTGTGCTGCGTAGGGTATCACGCTACCCTTGTGCCGCGTAGGGTATCACGCTACCCTTGTGCTGCGTAGGGTATCACGCTACTCTGTGTGCTGCGTAGGGTATCACGCTACCCTTGTGCTGTGGGGTACCACATTGCCCATCGCTGAAATCAGACCCGCGCCCCGGATACCTTGCGCTGGCGCAAGCGCGCACAGCCACACCCACATACACGCACCCGCATACGCATACACACGCACGCACACCCCCACGCATGCACACACATATGCATGCACGCGTACGCGCACCCGCAGTCTGACACCGCGCAAGCACGCATGCAGGTACACACGCTGGTACGCCCATTCGCGGACGTATGCACTCACGTTCTAGCACTGACTGTGCACGCACGCCTCTGATACTTATGATAAGTTACCTGCACCCTCAGTTGCTGTGCTATAGCTCCCACCTAAGGCATCATGCCACCCATTGCTTTTGCCGACTACATGCGATTCAAACCCTTATCAGTGTCACTAAGGGAAAACAACCATACGAATGGCACGCATTTGAACTACGTACATGTAGCTGAAGCGCTTGAATACCACACTAAGGTCATTCAGCTGACCAACGCAGAATTTGGGGGCATTCGGCGGCTTGGTCTGATTCCTAGCTTGTTGGTAACCGGCTTGAGATTTCCAAGGTTGCTATGACAACGTGCAGTCATGCGCAGGGCCACCCAACATGCATTTGGGGGCCCAGGAAAGACAGAAACGCGTTGCTAGGCAACAGCAAAAGCGCTCGGCGAGTATCACGCTACTCATGCAGCACGCACGTTGGCTTAGGGTATCACGCTACCCTTGCGCTGCGGGGTACCACATTGCCCCTCGCTGGAATCAGACCCGCGCCCCGGATACCTTGCGCTGGCCTCCTGACGGCCAAACTCAACCAACTTGTGCGCTGTGACTGGGGTTGTGCATGTATTAGAAACATAATGTGGCCCAGGTCGGCAGACTTTCAATTAGCCAAGCGAGCTACTCAGGCCAGGGTGCATGATCACTATTCGCAGCACTTATCGTCCATGCAGCAGTCGGGTTAACTGTCTAATCCACACAACTGGCGAAGCCATGTGAATCGACCACCAATGCACACCTGGTCTACACCACACGGAGTACATGTGCATCGGCATAAAACGGCCAAGACACTTACCTATGCACACCCTACACTTGCTGGGGTAACCAGTATAGACAGCACGCTGCTTTGATAGAAGCAGACACTAGATGCGCTGGCACCTGGAAGTGAAATTGGAGTTACTTTACCAACCAGCCTCGGCTACTGAGTGCTGGGAACCCAGAGCCAACAGACATACCAACAACCTCAGCCATGAAAGCTATATAGTAACGACACCCCCACACATACAGTTAACTTCGCTAATAACGACTGCGGATATAACGACAATTCGCGAATAACGACCGAATTTCCATGCCCAGAGCAAAGTCCCATCTAACTGTATACATTTAACTTCGGATATAACGACTATCTGAATAACGACAATTCGCGTATAGCGACATGCTTTTAGTGCCCCGTGGTCATATTCACTGCTTGAATAACGACTTTCTGGGCTTTTGACAGCTATTTCAAGTACCTGTCAGTCAAGTACAATACCTGTCATGCAGAAGTACCAGAACCTATGGTGCACTGGTGATGGATATTATTGCACACATGCAAGAAAATGCAGCCAAGGGGGGGGGGGCTTTTTCTTCCTTTTTTATGTTGGCTTCAAAATTGTTGGATTTACCAGCACACCTATATGTATACAATGTACATGTAGTTGTACATGATTGTACAGTAATCATCATACATGTACATGTCCCTGGCCCTGTAGATGGCTCAAAAAGGCATATTTTTCAATTGATTTCCCTTGCATATTGAATTTTTAGTTCCTTTCAACTGCAATATGAAAATAAAGTACACATTGACATAGAGCAAGAAAAGAGTTTCATTTTGATATGCATATCATACTATACAAAATATGGGTTCACATACATTCAAATGGGACTTCGGTTATAAGGACACTTCGCGAATAAGGACACTTTTCTGATGCCCCGCCGAATGTCGTTATTGGCGAAGTTGACTGTACGCATACAAACATATTTTCATCTCACCAGCGAGATGTTCTTGGAAGATCTGTGCTGCTCTCTTCTGCTGCTGGACAGAGCAATGATGTTCAACTCTGATGATCAATGGAAATCTACACAGGAAAGGAGAGAAAATACACCACCAGGGTGGCAACAGTTCTGATAATCTTTCAACATTCCTTTCCCACCGCCGTCAAAGGACCTCAGTAGTAGAAAAAAGAGTCAGAATTGGGACAACCAGGCCGTGCGGTGTGCGTGCATGTGTGTGTGTGTGTGTGTATGTGTGTGAGAGAGAGAGAGTGCATATATGTGTGTGTGTGTGTGTGTGTGTGTGTGTGTGTGTGTGTGTGTGTGTGTGTGTGTGTGTGTGTGTGTGTGTGTGTGTGTGTGTGTGAGCGCATGTGTGTGTGTGTGAGCGCATGTGTGTGTATGAGCTACACATGTGTGAAAATTGTTGCAAAACACAAAATACGAAATAAATGTGACACTTGCCAGCCCAGCCGGTGAGAGTGCACTCTCCCAGTGTCTATAGTGCTGAAGAGAGCTCTTCTTGTTTGAAGTTTTAGAGAGGCAAACGGTCAACCCAGGCTACACAAATGTAGTGGAATTGACAGTTCCTACTACTGTCATCATCATGTCTGAAAACAAGGTTATGTAAGCACCCAGGGGTGTGCAACTCTGTATGAGTTCATTATGGGGTCCGCTGATGGTGAAAACTCGCATCACACGTCGTATGTTCCCAGCCTGTTTCTAGCGAGCAGCAAAGTAGTGAAAATAGCACTGCCCGAATGAAACCCACTCGGTTGATGCCAGGCATCAACACCATCAAGACAGATATCCAGCCTGCGCGCAAGCTTGCCTTCGTTGAACGTTGTATGAAACATACTTGGAACATATGATGTGAGTTTGCGCCAAGTTGCACATTCTTGGTAGCTTATGTACTTTTGTTGACATGGCCTGCTTCTGGGAGATCTAATTAGGGTAATGAGTAATTAGTAATTACATCGTCATGACTTACTCTGACACCAGAAACGCATAGCGTGCAATCATTTGCACTAAACTGGACAGTTCCAATGGCCCGCCAGCACAGCTATTATGTCGCACAACAGGCTCCTTGTTCACTCCGTCCCAGAGGTCAACTGAGAGAAACACACGGACACAAATACGCATACGTACGTGCACCCATACACTCACACACCCACATTCACACATGCATACACACCCACACCCACATACACACATGCATACACACCCACACCCACATTCACACATGCATACACACCCACACCCACATTCACACATGCATACACACCCACACCCACATTCACACATGCATACACACCCACACCCACACCCACATACACATGTACACTCACATGCACACACTGACATTGTCACATTCTAGAAGTTGCCATGCATCCTTATTTCCAAACCTGGGTGACCCTAAAGCAAGTTGATAACAGTGAGGCCATCCACGCCGTGTCAGAGAATGCCACAGGCAAAGTCAAACCATAGACATCTGCATTCTGTGGGGCTGAGCACTTCACGAGCAATTTCAGGTTCAACACAATTTATGTCCTGACACTTCATATGCTGTGAATTCATCGGAGTACTTGCTATCTACCCTCCCTTCCCAAGACAAATGGAGGTGATCTCCAGACAAGAGGGGAATGGTCAATCAGTTACTGCACACTGCATTATCATTGCTGTTTGGCTAGAGGCTTGCCCTCATCCCCAGCCCTACATTGCCCTCATCCCCAGCCCTATATTGTCCTTATCCCCGGTCCTACACTGGCTGCTCTATTGGCAACTCTGCAGTGATGTACTAAACTTACTTTCGACGTAGCGACAGCCCTTCATGATCACACGCTGGAAAGCAGCGAGTGAGGACACTCCCTCGCGTTGACTTGTACTCAGGTATCTAGAAGCATTCCCGTTGAGAAATAGAGAGGAACAAAACTAAACTCAATTATATGTACATACATGTACTCATCCTGTACTATAAAAATGGCAGGTAACTTCCTGATGACTAGAGATCGATTCGTACTTCATTTGGCGTACGGGACACAATGCCCGCTACGGCGAAAGCATTGGCTTGAGTTCAATTAGTTTGGCTCATCGCACGTTCGGCGATTTACGTGCGTGAAATGAAGTATGAATCGGACTTTTCAAGCCAAACTAGAGATGCCTATCCATATCATCTGAAGTAGTAGTCTATCACAGAGCGAGTACACCATCCCGAAGGAGTATGTATCTTAGTGAACCGTCCACCCAATCAGAACACAACAAATATAGACTACCGTACTCCCCCGATAAGTCGCGCATCCGTTATCAGGTTTGCCATTTTGTTTCGATATATTCACTTCAGTAGTAAGTCCAGCCCGATTGTGAGTCGCATCCACTTTTTCGTCCTTGAATTTTATTGTAAGAAGGCGCGACTTATATTCAGGGAAATACGGTACTTCAACGGTCTAGTGCAGTCATCCCTCTTTAATCCGGAACTTTATAAACCCGCATCCTCTGTAAACCAGCATAACTTTCAGTAACCAAAATGTCCTTTTCATGAACATTGCAGCAGTAAATCAGATCTTCTAATCCCGCACCCTCCTTAATCCAGCAGAATTTCCGAAGTACAAATGACGCCGGATTATGAAGGGACCACTGTGTAGTAGACGGATTTTCTACCGTATCATACCGTATATCGATAGACGTACCATATCGTATATAGTACGTTATTTTGTGTACGTCGTGTGTACGTTATGTTGGTGCATGCGCGTGTTGCTGTGGTATGAAAAGCAGTCTTCGTCTTGAGTACATCATGTCTTCGTCTTGAGTTCGTCATGTCTAGTTGTGTTTCGTCGTCGTGTCAATAAACAGTCTTCTAAGTGTAGTTATCGTTGTCCCTTTGAATAGGTGTGGAGATGGCACGAGACTGGGAGCAGGTGGAGAAAAGGCAGTTACTACATTGGTGGCAGAGGTGGGATTCAAACCCACGCCTCCGGAGAGACATGTACCTATACACACCACCTAGGCCCTAGGCAGCAGGGACAGTAAGCCACTAAGTACATACCACAGTTCCCTAATTTATAGAGGGAACAGGGATGTCTCCCAATCCTAAATTCTGAACGTCACCTCCTTGCATTCTCATATACCCCAGCGTCTATGATGTTTATATGCATGCACTATACACATTCGCTCTCATTTAATTGGGCTTGCTGCCCGTTTGATTCGGCGAATTAAAATAAAAACAACAACAACAGCAGCAGCAGCAACAACAACAACAACATCTCTTATTGGCCACTGGCTATCGTGAGAATAAAGATTTGAAACAACAACAACAACAACAACAACAACAACGACAACGACAACGACAACAACAACAACAACAACAACAACAACAACAACAACAACAACAACAACAACAACAACAACAACAACAACAACAACAGCAACAGTACACTGGGCAACTTACGAGTTATGTGATGATGCAATGTAGTAGTTGCAAAGAGGTTGAGTCATGTCCTGATAAATTTCTCTTGTATTTGGGTTGACCACATCACCATGTTTGCTGTACAGATAGTTCACTAAGCCTATCACATAAGAAAAAGGTCAAGCAAGGAACAGTCAGTTTCTGGAATGATATAAAGACACAAATGATGGCAAATGAATGTAGGAGTAAACATTGCATTGGACGATTACCGGCAGAAATGCTTCCTGTGAATGCACACATTTCCGTCTATCATCCAAATCTGACTTTTACATTTTGGCAACAGTTGAGTATCGTTTGGAAAAGGGTGAACAATAGAACTAGAAAGAAGCTCAAAGACTTGATAAGAAAGTGACCATTGGACTAACCTTGAGCAGAAAGCAGTAGTTTTTCTCGATTTTCAGGTGCTGGTTCATTTTCGCAGATGAGCCATGCGCAACTTTTCATAGAAACATCCAGCTGATCGCATAGAAAGAAGGAGAATCATAGACAAGTACCATGATGAGAAACACATGATATGAATTTTAGCGCTCTGTGTGCCACTACCCCTACTCCACAAGGACATGATGAGGATGAGACTGTAGTATTGTTAAATACTGATGGCCCTCGCCCTCTCTAATCTCTGCCCCTGTCGAAATTCTGCCTGTGAAGCGACTTCAATGTAGAGAGCAAATCACGGTTTCAAATTGATGTCTGCACTGCTTTACAGCAGGGAGTGCTAAAAAGGTTGTTGAGTAAACCCTGCTGTATACCATACATGCAAGCGTATGAAAGTGTGCACAATCCAATACAGCTAACACAGCAAGTAATAGTTTGATCTTTCGCGTAGTTCAACTTAGTACTACACTTCACAGCCCTGATCTAGTTCCCATCCCTGCCAAAAACCAGCTGAGAAGCGACACAGCATGGGGGGGGGGGGGGGAGGAGGGCAAATTGTAATAGAGAACTGTAATTCCACACAAAGAAACACAAAAAAACACTACCTTCTGCTCAGAAATGAGAAAATGCCGAAGTTGTCGGGCCGTGAGAACCCAACCGTTTCCGTATCTGCACGAGAAAAGTGACAAATAGTGACTGAATCTTGAACACAGCTACACACTGCACATATGACTAGTACATAACTACACATGGTGCATAACTAGCATAATGAAATACGTGATCAGACCGCATCATTTCTACAGGACGTGGCCCATGCTGTTTCCGTTGAACCACCTCTCCAACGCCTGACTGGTGAAACCTTCCGCCTGAGATCTGCTGTTTGGGAGGATGGTGCCCGCTTGGACATTGCAGTGAGCAGCCTCTGGGGCGGTAGGTTCGAAAGGGCCTTCCTGGATGTGCGAGTTTTCAACCTGTTTGCTGTCTTTAATTCGTCCTCTCTTTCTGCTACTTACTCTCGTCACGAGAAGGAGAAGAGGCGGAGATATGAGCAGCGTGTTTCTGCTGTCGAGCAGGAGTCCTTTGCTCCTGTAGTTTTGTCCTGCGCTGGAGGTCAAGGCAAGGCAACTTCAGCCCCTCTACAGACGGATCGTGGATAAGAAGGTGGAGAAGACAGGTGAACTCTTCAGCGTAATACTTGCCACAATGCGGTGTAAGTTATCGTTCGCTTTGCTGAGAGCAGCGTGTATGAGCCTGCGAGGATCACGTGGCCGATTCAGCCCCAGTAACAGAGAGAACGGTGAAACTGCCACCATGATGGCTGCCGAAGCTTGCATCCAAGCTTGAGTTGCTTCGGTCGGTTGCTCTCTTGGCTTTAGAATTGTCATGCTAGGTGCTGTGAAGTTTCCCCTTCACCTTTTCTTTATCTCTTTCCTATCTTCACACTGATTCTCACTCTGTAGAACATTATGTTCTGTTGCCCGTACAAGAGGCCGATTTATATATTTTTCTCCAGAAACACATACTTGCCAACCCCCGGCAAACAGTTTCCTTGACACTGATGACGTTTTCCTTGATTTTGCCCATTTTTCCTTGATCTGCAATTTTTTCATCATAATCGTGCAAAATATTGTATATGACATCATAGTGACGTCACCATGACCACAAAACATTCGCAAATAGTACAGCATGTACGACAAAAAGTACTTTTTCATGCACTAACTCAAAGGTTCTCGCTCGCTAGATCTTCGTTTTGGGCACAGCACTGCAAGCGAGCGTCCAAAACACTGAAAATCAACAAAAAAGGTGTTGACGGACATTTTTCGAAAATCCGGTAGATGTTATAACTTTTCCGGTGTGCCGGGATGAAAGCGAGTTTTCCTTGATTTTCCCGGAAATTCCGGTAGGGTTGGCAAGTATGGAAACATAACTACACATAGTACATAACTAGCATAATTATAAGTATGCAGATGCATGTACTGGAGGTACTGTCCAAAACCTACAATACCCAACACTTTGAAAATGTACAGGATTACTACTACATGACTTGTATCAGAAACATTCCAGCAGACCCCAATATCCCCTCCCCGCACCTCCATTGGTCGCTAAAACGAGCTGGGAGCATACAACGGGAAAACTACACCACGTGATGTGGGTTTCGCCATCGGCGGACCACATAGAAAGGGTATCAGGAGTTGCACACTCTTGGGAGTTGCACACTCTTGGGAGCTTAAACACTCTTGGGAAACACTCTTGCTACATTACCTACCGTGCTACCATGTATTGAACCTCTGCGTTGACCACACACATGTTCTTGATGAAGATGTCCAGTTGAGAGCGAATTGATGTGAAATTAACCCCACCTCCACTGACCTGACTAATGTTATCTTCATCCTTGCCGCCTGGGGAGTAGAACAATGAAAGCATGCACATGTACTGATTTACTTCAGTACTTATTTATTCCCGTAGCTATGCAGAAGACGTTACTTCAGTAACGTCTGGCGCTAGCCAGGGTCCACACAGCTTTAATTTGGTGTTCGTTTGTTTGTTTGTTTGTTTGTTTGTTTGTTTGTGTCACGCCTGGCGCTATCCCGTATCTGTCCCGTACCGTACCGTACCATCAAACACAGCTGGCCACATACAGCTGGCCGCAATATTCAAATAGGGCTTTCAAACGCAAGATCATAACGTGAAGCAACTTGGAAGAATGAGTGTGAATGCGAAGTGTATGGGGGAATGCATGTAGGGCGATAGTGCGGGTTCAAATCCCAGGTTATGCCTGAAAAAAATAGGAGAATTGAAAAATTTATAACATTCCTATGCTTTTTTTGCCTAGGTCATCAAGGCGGTAGACGGTGTCGTATTACCCTCGACCGTACCTGTCCCATACCGTACCGTACCATCAAAGACGGCTGGCCGCAATGCATATTCAAATAGGGCTTTCAAATGCAAGATCATAACGTGAAGCAACTTGGAAGAATTAGTATGTATGCGAAGTGTATCGGGGGATGCATGCAGGGTGATAGTGTGGGTTCGAATCCCAGGTTATGTCTTTAAAAAAAAGGAGAAATTTATAAGAATAACCCTATGCTTTTTTTGTCTAGGTCACCAAGGCAAAAAAGCATAGCGTAGGGCCCTGAGCTTCCAAGCTCTCTCCTTTCGTGTTTGTTTGTTTGTGCCATCGACATGCCTGGCGCTATCCCCTACCTGTCCCGTACCGTACCATCAGGGTGTGTGTATGTTTGTTTGTGCCAGGGAGTACTACTCCCTGGTTTGTGCCGTCGGCATCCCGTACCTGTCCCGTACCGTACCATCAGAGACAGCTGGCCATGGCCACAATATTCAAATAGGCATTTCCAATGCAATAAAAATATCATAACGTGAAGCAACTTGGAAGAATGAGTATGTATGCAAAGTGTATCGGGGGAATGCATGCATGCATGCATGGTTTGTTTGTTTGTTTGTTTTTCTTTATTTCAATTCGCTAAAATCAAACGAACAGAACTGCCCAGTGACAAGGGAGCGAATGATGAGCGTCATAATCACTATGCATCAAAACATCTCAGGGCAAAATGAGACAGACTATAAGGAGGGTTTGCATAACACTAGTTTATTTCACCTTAGTCTGATGCGAAGTACATACACTGATTCTCATGTTGTCCTAATTCTGAAATACCTTACATGATTGCATGACTAAACAATTCCATCAATAACTACCGCAATTCCCCGATCATAAGTCGCACCCCACTTTTACTTTTTTTAGGTTTTGTGTTGTATTTTGTATTAATGGATTCTCCACAGGCCTTAGCCTAAATCGAGGAAGTCTCCGGTTTGAGCAATATTGTTTCAATATATTCACAGTAGGAAGTCATACTCAATAATTGTAAGTCGCATCCCCTTCTTCGTCGGAGAATTTTAGTATCAAAAAGCTGCGACTTATATTCAGGGAAATACGGTATACTAGGACTGCAGAAACAACAACAGCAGCAGCAGCAGCAACAACAACAGCAGCAGCGGCAGCATCAACATGCTAAAATACTAACTTTTTCTTCGCTGGAGGTTGCATAGAAAGATTAGTACCGACTGCCATATACATGCTTCCTCCTCGGTCTCAGCAACTAGATCCAAGAATTCAAAATCAGGACCATGAACGATGGAGAAAGCATGGCCGTCCGATATCTCCAATCCAGGATCGAGCAGAAGAGGCGAGTTCCTACCACATCGGATTTCATGAATATCCTTGATGAAAACTGAAGCCATGGATAAAAAAGAGCAAGGATAAACTTCAATTCATATACTGAAGTACAGCTCTACTCTCCACTATAGCGTAATCTCTGGGACCACACATATATTATGTTTAGGGGTGAAAGTTGACACTGAGAACCCGAGTTCGAGTACTCTGATTTTCTACGATCGAATATTCGAGTATTCTTGATATCCTAAAAATCGCACACCAACGGCCTTAAAAATCACATGATAAAACCCTGATTGAACCGATTGGCAGTCCTTTTCTCGGGTGTATTGGTTGGTGGGTCATTTGGGCTCTCTCTACTCGTGTACAAGTGTTCACCACACAGTCTGCACATCAATATCTGCTGACTGCTGCTCTGAAATGCAGACTTCTCTGGCAAATGCATGTACCATGTATGAGCGAGTACTCTGATTTATTCCGAGTACGATTATATTTGAAAAATCCAAACGAGTATTCGAATATTCGGTATAATTGTTTCACCCCTAATTATGTTATATCAAGAGTCACGTTATGTAGAAAACCGTGTGCAAAATACAAGATGTACCTCAAATGAAGGGTATTACAAGGCGGATTCAACCGTGCAAATATAATTATATACACTGTACTACCATCGACATCAGATGCAATCAATACCGCAGAATATATGCACAATAGGACTAAACTGGCTAGCTACAGCTACAGCTTGATTGTACCGCGCACGTGAATCTACTTTGCATCGAGAGTGCCCACGTTGGGACCTCACCGTAGCGTGCATTATGCCGAGGTTTACGTTATGTAGGACTAAACTGGCCTAAATTGGCTAGCTACAGCTACCCCTTGATCGTACCGTGCACGTGAATTCACGTTGTATCGAGAGTGCGCACGTCGGGGACCGCGCCGTAGCGTGTGTTATGTCGAGGTTTACGTTATGTAGGATTACGTTGCGTAGAACAAAATTTGTATGAGAGTGATGCTGTTTCGGCGCGGGATTTGATTTTTTTTACGTACTAGCGAGGTTTATGTACAAGTGAGTTGTTATATCGAGAGCAGACATGTACCTGTATGCCATGAGTCACCATCAGCTATCATTCCTGAGCGATTGTTCGCAATCCACGTTGGTTGCTTTCAACTGCATTCATAACTGTGTCGTGTTTGAGTTTCACGCATTAAAAAAATGTCAGGAGACAAGCAAGTGTTGTCGAGGTTACTGTGCTCCGTGAATAGCTCATTCGAAACGCTGTATGAAACTCGACCATTCATGCCTCATGACCATGATAGACACCCATTGGTACGGTAAATTTTATTGATGAGCATATGTACGTTTGCCATGGCGATCAGTGGATTCAAACTCTTGAATCAAAGACGCATCATGCATGCTCTGGCCGGCCGCGAACAGAACCGCTTTGGCAGAGTGCAAACGATGATGCATGCACTCGAGTTTGTAACATCAGTAGGGAAAAGGACATGCCGTCCATCTTTCCGTGGCCAACAACGGAGACCGAGCTAGGACACACCACTTCAGCTATTGTTCCCCGCTCGATAAATGCATATTACAATGCACCGATGCTAGCCAGCAGTACTGCAACGGGATCACCTGCAACTTGCAAGCCATTTAGTAGTTACTACACCATCGCTGTTATGTGAAAAGTGCCCATTAAGGAACGTTTCCATACAGTAGTATGGTTCAAAGACTCCAATGCAGCATCACATATTGGGCGCGTTCGATACACACATTTCGGTCAATTCTAGAATTAGTTATGGTGGATGCACCGTTCGATTACACAAATTCCGTCGTCGATTCCAATTCCGCCAATTCCGTTGATTCTGAAGAGAGGGCGGAATTTGTAATTCCAGAATTGCGAATTCCAGAATTGACACACTCGACGTAAGCGCCATGCTAGGTCCACGTGCGCGCGAGGGTGCACGGGATCCCACGTGATCCGCTTTTACGATTTTTACGTGTAGTCGTTCGCTTACATGGCCGCAATTCGTTCATTCTGTTCATTCGAGAATAATAAAACCTAGGCCCAAAAGTGTAATCGAAAGCGCCCATAGTAGAGTAAGAGTGGCAAGACACTCCAGGGATACTCCAGGCGAAACGACGGTAAATCCACGCCTGCCTACACAACACTCTCTAAGGGGCAAAGTTCTGGCAAAGTGCCCTCCGTCTCTCGCCATCACCATCATCAGTTGCCATCGCCGCACCTGGTCAATGCATGATCGGTGATGTCTCCAAATAGCTGGCTGTGTGTCAGTTAGCGCCTGGTGACATCACCTATGCGTCAGGCGCTAACTGATTTACTAGCCAGCTATGCAGATATCACCAGCCATGCAGATCATATCACCAACGATGCATCGACCAGGTGCCACAGATGCAAACTGATGGTGGTGTTGAGAGGAAGAGCAATCTTTGGCAGAATCTTGCAGCTTAGTGTTGTGTAGGCAGGCGTAGCCAGGCGTGTAATTACAGTACCACCATCACTCTACTTAGTATTGCTTTCCATGAAACAATCACAAAATTTGATCAGATTTCATGATGTATACGACAGTGAAGTCGTGAGGTTACACTATGTAGGGACCGGTCCCTACAATCACCAAGGTCTCCCTAGGCTGCTAAGGTTTCTCGGGCTGTATTGCGCATTCTTAGAAAAGGCTCTCCTGTCATGGCTAAGTGCCGGAATACAGCCTGTGTCTGTGCTATAAATTACAATACTAGTACTCTAGAGAATTGCAAGTCTCCAATACAGATAAATCCTTCCATAACACATACCTCGACCAGACTTTGCACTTGGCGACCAAGTCAATGTGGTGAAATCGTCTTCGAGTTTGAACAGCCTGGGATAGTGGCACCTGGATCGGACCTTGACGAAACAGGCACCCTCCGTGAGTAATTCAAAGCAGCCATTCTCTGCATAACCAGAAGGACAATCAATCGTTCAGATAATTGGCATTCGGATATCAGCATCTGGATAGTCGGCATTCTACTGTAGTAGAGTATTTCCCCGATTATAACCTTCATTTGATTATAAGTCTCACCCTCACTTTCAGGTTTGAGCCATAATGTTTCAATATATTCACATATTGATGTCGCACTCGATTTTAAGTCGCACCCCCTTTCGCTCTTGAAGTTTAGTGTAAACAGGTGCGACTCCTATTGGGGGAAATATGGTACATAGACCAGAGCATCCATGTCCTCTTAGTAGAACACATCCAGCTTGTCAGCAAAAGAAAATCCAGCTGGTTCGTATACTCTTCAGCAGATATCAAAGTTGGATTTCTTTGGTGACAAGTGTAGCTATCTTGTAACAACCTTTCTGAATGTAAGTCAGCCACCACCCTGGTCCCAGTACTCAGTTGGCTACAGCAAATTTGCATGGGGCTTCTTCAACAGTCATGCCTAGTTGGCTACTTTTGCCAACAAGAGAAAGGAGCCCTTCACAGGGATATGTTATGTTGTACAGCTGTGGTCCTGTGGAGGTTCTAACCATGTTCATGCCCTTATTTTCTTCTTGCAAAATTGCAGCGGAATGCGCTGCTTGATCTGCATGATTTTACACAGAATTTCTGGTGCCATACTGTTTTGTATATACATGTACTTCGAAGTAAGTGTGTCTTGGTACAGACGCCTGTGCGAATACAAGCGTGATGTTGAAGATGGACCGTTGGTGCAAAAGCCTGGCTTCTGGGTTGATGTACATAGAAAACACCTGGCTTGAATACAGACCAGATTGGAATAGATGGCTGGCCATGGCACCGACTTGCACACGCTATACGGAATACGCCTGATCTGGGTGCACACGCCTTTCAAGTTATTTGCATTACAACACGACCAACACAGGCAATCATGCTAGGACTATGCAATGATTATGCACAATTATACATACACACATCACTGTACATTATACCTGCTAGTACATAGGCAGAAGTGCACGACTGCTGGGTGCTGGCTGCAGATCACGTGGTGGGGCACGCTGGACATTTGTGTACTTGTGTATTGACAGCTTCATTCGTGGACTTCGACTGAAAATGTAGAGGACCGGTGATGCAAAAAAATAGCGCTGTTGCATAGTCATGTGAAGGAGGAGAGTGCAGGAATAGGACCGGTTTTCATTCACAGCTTTATGGCATTCTGCCGTTGAATTCACCAGGAACAGAAACAGTATCCGTGGCTGGTGAGGACAACGCACCTGTACAATCTTCAGTCACTTGGCATGCATATCCAGAAAAGCAATGACGTCAGGACTTTTGATACACAGCGGGCATGGATCAGAGATGCACAGCCTAACGTTAGGAAGCTATGCTACAAGAGCAACCCATTACAATCCCCTACAACGTGCATCTCTGAGTATGTTGCACCCTCATATCTCTCTTATCTGGACCTCCAAGTTAAAGTTTTAGAGGAAATAATACTCCTTTGCCATTTTGTGGAAATAGTGACATCATATGTTAGTTCTCCAGCACTTCCGCACCAAAATGTGAATGATTTAGGGTGCGTTCTTATATTCTCTAGCTTCTAGAAGAAGAAGAAAAGAGAAGTCGAAGAAACTGGGATTACTCAAGAACGGGTCTCGAAGAATTCGGAGATATTTTGCACATGTCAAGCAAAATGAAGCGTCAAAGGGGCCGTGATCTTGAGTGATGAATGTACGTGCGTATGCGAAAAGGGAAATGCGTACACTCATGATGAACACGTGGCTTTTAGTCGTAGTTCGCATGCGCTGATCCCAAACCGCGGGAATCTCCAAGTTTCAACCACCTCTGAAGCTTGGAGAGCTTTGGAGAGCCTCCTAAAAGTCTGAGAGGATACCGTAAAAGTCCGTAAATAAGTACCTGCCCGAAAGAAATACCCCCTTCATTCTTTTGGCTCTGTCTGTTGAAGTCAAGTCAAGCCCAATAAACATACTGCCCGAAATAAGTACCGGTACGGTGCGCACATGCAGCACGTACATTGACATGAAAATGACTTCTCCACTACACACAAGTCAGGTCCGAAAGTTAGTTCGTGCACGAAAGTCAGTACCCGCCCGAAAGTTAGTACGGGTGTGGTCACTAAATTCGAAAGTAAATACGTACTTATTTACGGACTTTTATGGTATAAGAACAGCTCTTGAACTTTTCGGAGAGTCTCCAACTTTTCCGAGAGGATTTAAGAACGCACCCTAAGAGTCACGGGCATTTTCTAGTTATGGGCAGTGTCCAGTGCCGGCCGCCTGGATAAGGGAGATATAAGTGTACATGATTATACTCTTCCTCTCTTCATTAGCTCAGTAGTGTACATGTACAAAATGTCGGCATCTCACGATTTTCGACATTTCAGCGATTTATTTTCGGCACAGGGCATTACTACAGTCCATTTCAAAACTATAGACGCGCAGTGTTTTTGAAATATTTCAAATTTGGCTGGAACTTTTTGAAAATAGTTTTCGGAATATTGCTCAGGTCCGCTCCACAATTACTCTCATATTATAGTTTCTAAACGATTGGATAACAGACGCCTAATTTATGCACAAAGTGATCACAGATTTTATGTGGTATAGATGCTGAATATTGCTCAGGTCCGCTCCACAATTACTCTCATTATAGTTTCTAAACGATGGGATAACAGACGCCCAAATTTGGAAAAAATTATGCACAAAGCGATCACAGACTTTATGTGGTATAGATGCTGGCATAATGGTTTTTGCCTAGGTACGCGTCTATAGTACATCGCCAAAGCCGATGTGAAAAAATCATCAGCCGAAATTAAATAGCTGCCGGATTTTTGTATATTTACAGTATAACTGTTATTTCGTAACGTATGCATGTGCTTTTATCTTACTGTCTGTAAACTCCAACGCAGCCACGTACACATGATGAACTCTTCGCTTCGCTAACTCCATAAACGTCCCTTCACTGTAAATACATGTACAGTCGTGGCCAAAGAAATCCGACCCGCGAGTCAAAAGTAGCGCTGCGTTTCCATTTCAATGACATCATGCATGTTCCCAAAACTGATCCAAGGCAAGTTGCCAAGGGCCACAGCGGTCGCATGAGCCTTGGCGCTGCTTTCGGCACATGGTTTGGATTTCTTTGGCCACGACTGTACATGTGCCTCGATGTTACATTTCACCAAATGTTTGCTCTGATGATGGGTCAGGCCTGAAATTTTGGTGAAATATAATGCTAAGCTATTCGCAGTGAAGAGACCATTTCTGGAATTGGAGAAGTGAAGAGATTCAATCATGTGTGTTTTTTATGTTCTGAATAATTCCACCGTGTCAACTTGCACTTCGTGACGCTTACAGTCACACTCACATCATAACTTGCAAGACATAAGTCATGATTTGGTCGACCCGAAAAAGATCGAAAATGATATTCAAAATATTCCCAAATTTTTTCCCGAGAGCTCTAGAGGTAAAAAAAAGAAAAAGAAAAGTAGACGACATGAAAACTATGCATGTTTTACAAGTTCCTGGTATAATCAAGAGTCCATAACCCTGGGTTATGGACTCTTGGTATAATGTATGTGCATGGCAGCCGGACTCTGCTACAAGAGTGGCATCATTCTAACAAGATATTTACTGCTCACCGCGACGAAGTCTTGGACAACCCTCGTTGTCGTCGAAGAAAGAAACACGCCTCCTGCAGCTTTCACTCATAGTGTGTTGTGGCTTAGTACATCATCCAGGGCAGGCAGGGGGTAAGCCATATGCATCCTGCCTCGACACACTCGCCTTTCACTGTTGAAAAGGCCGCTCTACGGGCTTTTACACCATACACTTTGTCTTTTACAGGAATAGTGAAGATACTGATTCCAAGGACAGGGAGAAAAAGAAGTTGTCCACTAAACTCAGTCAGCAAATTCGGTGACGTGATGACCAGCGGACGGTCACCACGAAACTGTTGAAAGTTCTGACACCGCACCTCCTGTAAAAACCTTTTGAGAGTTTTGTCTTGACAAAACAGTCCACGAAACTCCTTCTGGGACGGCATGCATCATGCACCCATAGCAGGCCAGCCACACTGCACATGGCCAAGCAAGCCGAAAATATTCCGCTTCAGTCAAGTTCAGAGCCAAGTACGGCATACCGTAGCATCGATCGACATCATCGTCACCATACAAAGCCATGTCGGCCGCATACGGTAGAAGCACCGTTAGTACACAGAGTACAAAAAGGTCACGCATTTTGTGATGCACGCGACAACACCACCATGATTCTTTGGCCGTTGGCGCATGAACACAAGGACAGTTACACTGACGATCCAGTGCAGTTCTTCCGCTGTCATACCAGTTACACCTTCTTGTACGAGTGCAAGAAGTCGAAAGACGCGGCCTGGGGGATCTTGGGGGATCATCGGCTTGGGGAGTAGCAGAGGGGTAGAGTAATCTGAGGCTGCGTTTACACGACAACGATTGAAAACGATTTCCGTTTACACGACAACGAAGTAGGAACGAAATCGTTGCGTTTACTACTATCGTTTACACGACAACGCCCGAAAACGATACCTAAACGGAACGAAATGGAAACGCACTTCAAAGTGTTTTGAAACGTTTTCAAAACGTTTTCGTTCTCGTGTAAACGGCGAAAACAGTGAAAACGATTGGAAACGGAGCGCGGTCATGGAAACCATTCCGCGCGGGACTATATTTCGCGGGAAATACCTGACCTTTGCGACCACCATGTACCAGCACGTACCAACTCCAACTACAATTTTTTTTTGTAACGTGTTACTTTTTTTTACCGAGAGAAAATGAGCTGAAATGGCTGTGAAAACAGTCTTATACTAGTTATAGTTATACGGAGGAAGCTACAATGGCATGTGAAAACAGTCCAATAAGGAGGGAGCTAAAATGGCTGTGAAGACAGTCTAATGCGTAGCAAGGCGAGCCTCAGCCTGGACGAGGTCGACAGGCACAAGGTTGATGTGACGGCGGCGAACGGAGCGTGATCCTCGAACGCACCGGATCGCAGACCTAGCAAGAGAGAAAGCCAAGCAGCAGCGCATCCAGCAAACGACTTTGCTGTAGCTCTCCTTGCGCTTAGAAGCCAGAGCATCAGCAATCCGCTTGACGACGATGGCTGCCTCTGGACCCATTCCGCCGCAAGAGGAGAAGACCAGTGGTGTGAACGAGCCATGTTCAACTTGGTTAACTCTTTCGCCATACTCCCGCTTCTTGGCACCTTCCAACTTGCGATAAATAGATGCAATGGGCTGGGACCGATAGCTCGCTGCGTGGGGATAGAACACCCTCGTATCGAAAAATGCATTGCGGCTATGGTTCCAAAAGCCCCGCACCCGGATGTCCGCTCGCGCATCGGGCTCAACATTGGCAGTACGATAGCGAAAGGCTTCACCGGTGATGGGTTGGAGTGTCGGCTCAACTTCCACATCGTTGTGGATCTCTTTCATGCATGAGGCTAGGAAATTGGTGACCTCATCATGGCGCATGTGAATGAAGCCCGACAGCTTACACATCTGGGCATGGTCCACAGTGAACCGCTCTCCACAGGGACAGGTATCCGGCAGCCTATCCAAGGGCCAGCCATAGCGCAGGTGGACATGATCATGGAAATCGGCTTTCGCGTCGAAACACAGCCCATGTTCCGCTACTGGGATGGACGTGAGCGTACTAGAGCCTCCCTTCTCTCTGGCTAATGACATGGCTCGCTGTTGGAGTGGCGGCAGCCTGCTCTGCACCTCATTAGCTCTGGTTGTTGCGGATGCTCGGTTACGCTGGTGAACAACTGCCTTTTGCTCTCGGTCGTGCGCAACACTATCCATGACATCAGCGTCCGGTTCGTTCTTCACAATCTGCTCTGTGAGGTGCGCTGTGCATTGCAGTGAGTCCGCATGCTTGCGTTCTGCTTCGGCCATTGGATCATCAAAGGACATACCTCCTAACCGAGTCGGGAGCTTGACCAAATCCATCTCCACATCATTCAGTTGATGCTTCATCAAAGCAGGGATCAGTTTGCTGTCGATGGCCTCCTTCAGAGGGTGCAAGTGGTCCCCGGCTGTCGGCATCGTGCGCTGGATGAACGTCCAGCGATGGCGTAGCCCGAAGACATATCCAGCGTACGCGGCATGCGGGTGAGTGGCAGCAAGATCGGAGAGACGGGTCACCTCTCCGGCCCATGCTGTAGCCTTCTCATTCAGGTAGGCAGCGATGTAGTCCGTAGACCCGACAGCAGCTCCAAGATGACGTTGACCGGCCTTATGGGCCAAGTTTTCGCCCTCCTCCGACAGCTGGATGCCAGTGCCTCCAAACACCCTCTCTGCTTCTGCTCTGCTCTCTGGTTTGACAACGAGGTGGGTTTTTGATGGCTTCGGAAAGTATCCATAGGCCGGCCCGTGTTGCACAAGCAGATCCCAGAACTGTCGTGTAACGTGTTACTTCCCGCCCTTGCCCAAAGCCAACACGTGCTAACTCCAGCCTGATCACCCGTTTTCCGTTTTCGTGTAAACGGTTCAAAACGATTTGCCGTACTCGTGTAAACGGTTTCAAAACGATTCGAGGCCAGCCCGTTTTCGTTCCGTTTCGTTTCGTTTCGTCTCCGTGTAAACGCAGCCTGAGTATGATGTCCACCATACGTACCAGCAAGAGTACATAAACCATTTTTTTATGTACTCTTGGTACCACGTATCGTAGACTCTACTACTCCATGGTGTTCACTGACAGCACGTCAACGATAGGACAAGGTAGTTTCAGGGGAGTAGAGAGAGGGTCCCTGCCTCCCTGGGGGGTTTATTTGTTGCAACTACATTATCTGCCTCATCAATGAGAAGAATTTCATCCTTCGAGATGAAATGCTTCCGCCGACTCTTAGGAGTAACACACCACGACCGGCGTACCAACCAATCTATCCTGGAAGAAATCAATGACATCATCGGAGCAAGGATGCGGCTAGCAAACGAAGTCAAGAAATTTAAGTTGATGTGGTTTGGCCATATTACGAGACATGACGTTTTCTCCAAGCCCTTCCTGCAAGGATCAACTCCTGGATCTCGACCGAGAGGAAGGCCCGCAACATCATGGATTTCTAACATTAAAAGTTGGACGGGTCTTCCCTTGCATGCTCTCTCTCATGCAGCACACGATAGAGTTGGATTCAGAGACATCATTCACAATTCTGTCGCTGATTAATGCCTCTACGATCACCTTGTGATTATGAGTTATACATACACACATACATACATGACTGGGGAGAATGAAGTTGAAGACACCACTGCAGCTGTACTTATGGTTGATAAATATGGTGATAAAGACACACCTGGCAATATGGCGGTAAACACACGCCTGCCCACACACGCTCTCTGGGCTGCAAAGTTCTGGCACAGAGCTCTCCTTCTCACCACCACCACCATCATATTGCCAGGTGTGTCTTTACCACCATATTTATCAACCATAAGTACAGCTGCAGTGGTGTCTTCAACTTCATTCTCCCGAGTCAAGCTCCGTATGAAGACATCCAAGAAGAAGATTGCCTGATGAGTCCAGCGTGGACGAAACGACGTACGTCGCAATCGAGCTATGTCGTTGCTGTGTCATCATCTACTTTATGTGCCATGCGCTACTTGATATTTATTTATTTATTATTTATCATATATGTTATATATGTTATTTCTGCACCTCGTGGCATGTCAAGACAGCCAATTGAATTGAGGAGAGGGTGAGACCAACCACGGAAGAAGAGAAAAAAAGAAAATGAAGAGCACGTACACAAAGTGGGAAGGGATTAGCAACTTAAAAAGCAATGGGATGCTCAGCGAGCTATGCAGCGGAAGTGGTGACTGTGACTTTGTTTACTGGGAGATACTGAAGTGCTGTCTGACGAGGGTACGGAATTTGGGCATATCTGGAGCTTGTCTAACACTGGGAGGCAGTTGGAGCCACGTGGAGTAGGAGGAAAAGAAAGGGGAATTTACGAATAGGGTAGACCTAGCTAGGGGGAGACGAACGCAGCTTCGGGTGGTGCCACCTGAATTGAACCAATTAAGGGACTGTAAATGAGCAGGGTGCTTGTCAAGAAAAATTGAATGTGCCAGGGTGCACTTGGAAGCATCAAGGTAATGTTGCAGAGTGGTAGTGGATGCAGCAGCATACAAGTCTAGATTTGTGATATAACGATCAGTACGAAATATGATGCGCAGTATACGGCGATGGAGAACTTCTAATTTACCTATGTGGGTTTTGTTAATGGTGGACCAGGCAGGGAAGCCGTACGTGAAGAGGGGAAGAATGTATGATTTATAAAAATTAATCCGGCAATTTTGGGGCAAATGGGACAAGTGACTTGACATTATGCCGACAGATCGGCATACTTTGGACGACACATGATCAGCATGGTGAGACCAGGAGAGGGCGGAATCTATGACAATGCCAAGGTGTTTATGGTGGGGCGCTACAGAGATAGGGTGACCGGGATCATCGGGAAAGTGGAAGATGGGCACTGGATCTGTGGGAGGGGGAAAAAGGAGGAGCTCGGTTTTGGTCACATTTGGCTTAAGGTACCAAGTGCTCATCCAGTGAACAATGTCGTTGATACAGGTCTGAACTTTGGGGTACAGGGTGGCGTGAGATGGGGAGGAAGCAAGGACAGTGGTATCATCTGCAAACAAAGAAATATTGGGAATTGAATAGGGGAGGTCATTAACGTATGTGAGGAAGAGCAGGGGACCTAAAATGGAGCCCTGGGGCACTCCGGATGTCACAGACTCGGGGTCAGATAAGGTTCCATTTACTGTGACGCATTGATTTCGGTCCAAGAGGTAGCTAGTTATCCAGGCGAGTAGGGAGCCGGAGACACCATGGGCACGAAGTTTGGCGATCAGGCCCTTGTGCCACACGGTGTCGAAGGCCTTGGAGAGGTCGAAGAAACAGATGCAGGAAACCTGCCGCTGGTCTTTTAGGGAGCAGAGGTCTTGGAT